TCCTTCTTGATTTCCATTCAAAGCGAAATGGAAACAAGCATAGACTGTTGTTGTTGTTATTTTTGTTTTTGGAGGAAAATCTTGTTCCTTTGTTATTATACATACAACAGATGAGTCAGCATTATTTGTTGATTGTGTCTGTAATTAGACATTTAGTTTTGAAGATAATCTTGCTTATTAAATTAATATTTGTTCAGGCGGGATTTGAAATTGCACAACTGTAGATTTTCTTCGTCTTTTTTTCATTCACTCAAATCCTCTACTTTAAGTAGTCATGTAGTTAAAAGGAAACTTCTGTGACTATTGAACAAATGATAACTGTGCTCAGTGGGAATGTTTGAAGTAAGCTTTACTTTTGCTTGCAAAGCTTTTATTGTTATATTTAATTCTCGCACCAGTTCATATAAAAAAGTAAGAGAGTGCAAAAGTTTTGTAAAAATTGTTTTTATGAAAAGTTTAAGCTCAATTTAGGAGATTTTTAATTCGGAGAAGCAGCGAAAACAAATCTGTGAAACTTCACTTATGCTTTAGAAGGCAATTAGTGAGCAAAACGACAGAACAAAAATTTTCTTCTACTTTCCGGATATTTTCCGTTGTAAAATTGCTTCACTGGTCTCATAAAACATAATTTCGCTCATTCTTTCTGTTCCAAAGAAAATATCCAATGTCTGAATAAAATAAGAAAGAAAAAAAGCTTTAAGAAAATGATAGATCATTAAAAAAGCTATTACGAAGCTCATCACGTTTCTGGCCAAATGCAATATTTCCACTTGAAATAAGCTTGATTATTCCTTTCTATGGTTATAAGTTATACTACATAGATTCTTGTAATATCGAAGGAAAAACATTTCTTCGTTTTGCCGCAAGCAGAAGTTGAAAAGAATTTGAAAAACTTATTATTACCACAGAGAATGGAAAAGTTTTAAACATACATATTTAAATTTATATAAATTTCTTTTTTCTCGAGGAATTTAAGTCTTGCTGTAACTTCAAGTTGTTTGAAATTGCTTTCCAATTGGGTTGAACCAACTAGGATATTTATTCATATACAAGACCACTCGCATAAATATGGAAAACCCTTTATTTACTAGCTGTCATAAATGTTGGCATTAAAGAATAATTTTCACAGCATTTTCAAATTTCCAGACTTCTACTGAAGCTTGCTTGCTTGTTTTAAATAACAACTGCATTAAGTTTTATGTTTCTTGTCCAACTTATACACATGAAGTGATGAGAAGAAGCTATTGAGAAGAAGATTATCTATAATGAAAGTATATAAGCTTGGTAGTTACATTTTCCAGCTTATTCGGGATAATATTTATTTTAAATTACTCACAGGCGTTGCAGATTTAACGAAGATCATAAAAGTGAAAATTAAGTTCGTAATTGCAGTGGAATATTTAAGTAGACATCTTGAAAAATAAATAAAGATTTTTATCGCTTCGAATTTAACTTTTTAGTTTCCCGAAGAAAACTGTTTTGTTTATTAATAATTTAACAAATATGTGAAATGAAAAGTCATTACATATGTAAAGGCATTTGTTTTAAGATCATTTCTACGATACGACGAAATTACAAAATAATATTTTGTTAAACAGATTGAATTTCTGGAGCACCCGCAAATTTATACAAAAACCAACCCTTGTCTGTAAATTGAAAATTTAAATGAAAATCTTGAGAAAAACTAGTCATTGGAGAGGATGAAATTCAAATGGTTAAGTGACATTTAAGATCTTAATTAAAATTTGAGATGAGACGTCATAAAAATGAATTCTGTGGAAAGAAAAATTTAATATATTTAAGTGAATAACAATTGAATTATTTTTTATTAACAGGAACGTTTATTTTCTTCTTTTTTATTTTTTTTTATAAATAAATTTAAATCAGTAATAGCAGAGTTATAAGCTTTTATAATTTTCATTATTACTTAAAAAATTATTCTTGAAGTTTTTCACCACATTTGTTGAATTTTCCTCAATCTTTTTCTTTCTTTCTGAAGAAATATTGGGCAAAGAATTGAGAGTGTTTTCGATTTATGATTTTATGAATTCGGCTTTGGATTTATTATTTTTAAAAAACAAAGAAACAAGTATAAGTAAGTAAAATTTAAAATGAAGTAGTCAGATGAACTGTCGTCAGTTTGTTTTACAACATTAAATGGTAAATGTATTGAAATGAATGTGTCGTTTGTGAAAAGTTAAATGCATAATATTAAAATTATTAAACCTTGTTTACTGACAATGAAAGCAATTATTTTCTAAATGTTTCGAAAACTATGGAAATAAGAATGAATATTAATTGGAAGCATCATCAATTATCAATTATGGAAAAGTTGATTTAATTTATATCTCTCATCTCAATGAGAGTTAATTCAATCAATCTGAAATGAAGCATACTTAGACAAGACATAATAAATCTGTTTGATTTTTGTTATCTTCTTTTTTCCCCATCTTGAGATACAAAAGAAAAACTCTTTATGAACTGCAATAAGTGTTTGAACGAAGACGAGAAGCAATTTCTCATTTTAATTCACATCCAAATCGTCGTTCGTCTTCTCGCAATTCATATTTTTTACAGATTAAATGAAAGAGTTTATTTGACATGGAAAAATGACATAAAATGACAACTGCAAATTTTTCATCTCATGATCCACTTAAAATTTAAACTTATTCTCTAGCGAATTCAAACAATCTTTTATATCAATATAAAATTACAATTCGATTTTATCTTAATAAATTTTTTTTTTTTGTTTTGAATCTAAATTTTAGATTTTTTTTTTATCCTTTTTCTTGATTTCTTTGACTGATAAAATTATTTATGCTTTGCCCAAAAATAACAACAACATTTTAACTTTGCCATGGCGATTTCACTTAATGCTTGATTAAACATTTTGCAAATTAAGACTAAAATTCTTTTTAATAGCTTGCTTTAAAATTCAACGATATTCCATTTTTTCTTATTAATTGAATGCGGAAAGAAAGGTTGAGTTATTCACTCTTAAAATTATGAAAGACTAAAATTTAATTAAACCATCCAATTTGAATGCATCTTTAAAATGAAAAGTGAAAATTTCACTTCCTTTGAGGATGCTAGTCATGTAAATAAAATGAAACAAAATTAAACTTCTTCAAGCTACATAACGTCAAAAATATTTTTTTATGCTCAAAATTGAATGCGTTTCTCATTTTCCTTTTTTATATACATAATGGAGAGAATACATTAAATATATCGAGTGAGCTGAATGCATAGAAAAATGAAACAAAAAGGTGAGAGCTTAGCATGAGTGCAACAATGATAGGTGAACTAGATTTTTTTTCTTATTTTTTGTTTCAGATGATAAAGTGCATACGAAACTCTCTGCTTTTATGTTCACTTTTCTGTTTTGCCATTGAGCAGCTTTTCAAAACAATTTGAAATTCATATCTTCCTCGAGCACATATTGAGTACAAAAAGACATAGATATAGCGCATCGAAAATAATTTTTAAGACTCTTTTGTCTTCAATATTTAGAACAGAAATAATTTCAATAAACTCATGCTTTACCAATTGAGTTTTCCCATTTGTTACATAGCAGTTTTAAAACACGGAAAAAAGTGTTTTTATGAGCTTAATTCTAAACATTCTCATTCATTTTTATGCTAAAAATATTTACCGAAACAATTTTCACCATTAATATGAAAAATATGAACGGGAAAGTAAATTGTGTAAGTGACAAAAACTGTACATAAATTAAATGTTTTTACTTCTTTTTCACTTTGTTATCAGAAAGAGTATAAGATTTCATTTTTTTTACATTTACACAAGTATTTGAATAAAATTCTAGTTTCTTTTCAAAGATAGCACGTATAAAATTCGTTTCATTGTTATTAAAAGATTTCTACGTTCACTTCTTGTTCCAATTACATGTTCAATCATCCTTTTTTAAATTTATTACTTTTCATTATTATAATCATTTTATATTTGTTATAAAACACCTTCGTGTGTGTGTTTGCTTCTCAGCTGATTAGGGGAGGAAATTTACTACCGTCTTGTTCGACATCATTTTGATTCATTTTCAGTAGTCAGTTTCTAGAAAACTTACAAACGTTGATTTTATGCTCTGCAGCGCTTCTAACTGTAGTTGAACTAAAATGAGTGCTAAAATATGTTTGCATTGTGTCTAGAGAATAATCGTTACATCACATCATTACGTTACGATGTTCACCACGATTGAGAAACAGAGAAAAGTTCTTTGAATATATTCGAAGACTTGACAGCGCATTATCTTTCCCTGAATGTTGAAAGGGAGATTAAATGGAAAGCTTTAAGTCTGTGGTCGATGAAATTTATACTTTCAAGTTTAAAAAGTAAGACCTTTTAAGTTAGTTAAATGTTGCAGCTGTATTTATGTAGATTTTTAGATATTTACAAACTTGTAACCGAAACAGAAAATAAATCACCCAATTCTAAAATCTCCATCTCATAATTTTAAGTAAATAAGTTAGACGAAGACTTGAACTTTTATATACATAGATATAGAAAATTGTTTTCGTATTATTGCGATATCACAGACAAAGAAGATAAACGCAACTAAATAAATTGGGTAGTAAAAGAACCCCCATGGGGCGAAGAATAAATGAAGGACGTTGTAAATCTCTTTTTTTTCTATCTTTTGTAGAAACATTAAAGATTTTTCAACCAACAATTTAAAGACATGAGGGAGATTTTTAAAAGATGATGGATTTGCAAATTGTGTCTCAACATAAATAACTTGAATTGGATCTTGAACAGAAAGTAATCGTTGAGAGATAAAAAGCTTCTTATTTAATGTTGTTTCTTTGGATACAGTTGTCATTGTTAGAATGTTTTTCTCTGGACATGTCTCAGCGCAATCAACCATTTTATTTCTTTTTAAGAAACGAGAACTTTCTTAATGTTTCTGCTGCGTCATTTTCTCTGTTAATGTTTCATGCACTTCATTCATGGTTTAAGTTTTGTGTCGGAATATAAATTACGAGTTATTATTACAAAATATGTTCCTGTGGCGAGTGAGAAATTAAAGTAAGCAAAATTTCTCTTGTGTTGTGCATGTGAGTATGCATAACATAAGAAAATTCTCAGAAACTTACCGCAACTCACAATCACGTGCTGTTTTCATTATATTTCTTTTTTTTATTGTTTTTACATATTTTTTTGCAAAACTTTATTAAAAATGTTAAAATTTTCATTCTATTTTTAGTAAGATGATTCATTTAACTTTCTTTTTTTTCGACCAGTCTTTGGTTATTACTATTTTATATTTGACACATAATTCAATTAGATACTCTACAGTTTATTCGTTTTTTTATTCATTTAGATACTTTGAAACACGAAACATAAAAGAATTTTTCATATGAAAATGATTCAAACAAGAACTGAGTTGATGACAGTTGATGAATGATCAAACGCAGCTTTTAAATGACTTCAATTTTAAAATGCAGTCTGGAATTTGCTGAGCAAATGTAAAAGGTTTAAATGTTGACATGATTAAAGTATTACCGAAGCAAATATTTTCAGAACTAAATGATCTAGAATTTAATTAAGTTTTGATGATGATGACAATGATGGAACTTTAATTTGATTTTGAATTTTAACTTGTGCAATCTTCAATTGAAAGTGAAGCTAGAATTAATTGAAATAAGCTTAAGCAGCAGCGAATATTGTCTCGCATTCAGTTGCTGTATTAAATTTTCTTAGTACGTTTGTATATGTGGGAAGTTTAATCGAAATTTACATTATTTTTGGCATACTTTCTGATTGTGTCATTTCAGAGAATCAGCGAGCTGACATGATTGCTTATTTGGAACGACTTGCCAGCATTCCTTTCGTTAAAAAAAGCTTAAAACCAGAGGCTCTTAAGCGTTATATATCTTAATTATAAACTTAAATGACAAACTTTTGCTAAAAAATAAACTTTCTTTCTTTTCTCTCAAAATATCTATGCCTAAAATCTTTTTTATATGATAAAGTTTTGAGCGAAATAAAAAATAAAAAACTAAACTTAAAATTATGTGAACATCGAAAATTAATTCGTTTTTTATAAAATATAAACTCCTACAAATATTCTTCACTTCATCCTATTCATATTTAAATTTTGGCATTTATGGCCACCATTTTTATTCCCTTAATCAACTTTGCTTATGCAATCGCGACTCCGAAAATAGCTTTTTCATTATTTATTTGTTTGCTTGTAAAAATTATTTCATTTTTTTTGTTTAATTTGCAAGATCACAGAATTTGCATCACACACAAACGAATAGCAGCTTTTTATTTATGTGTCATCCGTACGCTCTTGTTCTATTTATTTATCCGTCACATAAGGAAAAAATTGTTTAGTTGAAAATTAAAATTAAAAAAAAAAGCTGGAGAAGCAAAAGTTACATGAAAACATCATAGAATATAATTTTTAATTAACTTTTTTTGTTAAGTGTAAATACTTTTCCGATGTAGCTTACGCTTTTTGCTCTGTTTATGATTTATTTACTGAGCTTTCTCGTGAAACGCTTTCATATTTGCTGTTTATGTTTGAAGTGTACTCTAGGGATGGAGGCGAATGATTGCGAGAGGTCACAACTCACAATATTGTTATGTTCCGCTTTTCTGAGAAACAAGTTTTAACTTTTGCCATTCTTTTTTTGCTGTTTATGTTTTAGACTGTTTTGTTTTATTTTGCTGACGGTTATGCTGAAACAAGCAGCACGTTCAATTACTTTGAAATCACGAACGAAAACAAAACTGACACTTTTAAATTTATTGAGAAATCAGCACGTTTTTAGAAGATGCTTAGGTCTAACAAAAGACGATGAAACAAATGGAATGATTTATTTATAAACTTTACTTTCTCGTTAAATTGCTAGCGGAAGGTAACACATCCTTACGTAAATAATAACAACAAAAATATCTTAGTAAGAGAAGTGGAGTTAATATCCATCCCTACGGAAATATCTAGGAAATTTCTGATGTAAGCTAAATGCTCAGTGAACTTTGAAAATCATTTCTGAACTGATTTCTAACGCTATGGTAACAATAATGTTTAATTTTAGAAGCGAAATGAATGTTTAATGTTAAATAATCTTCTTTGCAAAAATTTCTTCAAACCTCTTTAATCCTTCGTATTTTCAAAAAAATAAGAAAAACTTATTTTCGCAACATCGGTTTGTTCTATTGTCAATGAACCAAGCTAAAGCTTAAGCTATTTATGTATTTATTTTGTCGCATTAAAAGTTCTGAAATATTTCGATGAACTCTCAAGCTTCTGTTAAAAGGTTTTTCAAGAGAAGACGAAACTTTACTCGCTTTTTTAATTAAATGCTGTTTCTGACGTTTTACTCATCGATTCAAATAAACTTTATTAAAAAAACCTTTTCCGTTGTATTTAATGCCCAAAATTGAAAACCTGTTGTAGCAAAATTGACTTAAATTTACCGCAAAACTTCGCAATAAAGAAAAAGAACATTTTCTCTGTTGCGTATCGATTTCCAAGAAACTCACAAAACCATGAACGCTTTGGTAGTGAGAATCAATCAAGCAATTTCTATTCCTCTCCCTTCCCCATCGTCTTCCTTGGATACGTATCATTGACTTTTTTTTTGTTGTTATATATCCGAGCAACATTTTTCAATGAAACCGCAAAAGTAAGATTTCTTTTTTTAAAGCGTCAACTTGACATCATGGCGAGAGAAACGATGAAAATTTTAAACAATCCTGACGTTAATGCCTTAAGAGAAAGAATGTTTGAATAATCCAATTTCCTACTTTTTCGATGTTTAGAGAAAAGTAAAAAGGAAGAAAAAAAATGATGAGCCCTTTCTTGTCGTCTTCAAAAAAAAGTGACTTGAGTAAAATATTTTGACATCAACGTGTAATCAAAATTCATCGTTTCAATATTATGTCGATGAAGGGCGTTTTTCTGTGGGGGTTGGGCAATGAGAATTTACTGACGTGGAAATCTTTCTCTCAACTCACTTTCTAGCCATTAGTTATAAACGATCCTTTCCAAATAATTAAGCTTCGATATGAAAAGGAAGAAGAAAATGTTTTTACTCAATAAACTTTCTTTTTTTTTCACTCCTTTTGATCATCTCTTCTCAGCGTTCCATCGCGATGGAAGAATTTCACCTCAAGTTTTCGCTTTTACTTGTTTTTTGTTCTTCTTACATTTCTACTTTGTGCTCATGGCTAGACTGAGTTCATTAGAAAGTAATTAAAGTAAGATAATTAATTGTATTGATTCAGTTTCTTAAAACATTAACATAAAAATAATTGGAGAAACTCAGCATTATTTCATTGTCATACTTATACATGAATATCTATGAAAATTTAAATGATTTTAATTCCATAGCTTAATGATTGTGACTCGGTTCGGAAGTAGCTTATCTAAGACGTAGCATGATGATTGATGTGATTTAGATGTGACGTTTCATGTGCAACGCCAGATGATCGCTTCGTGAAAAGCAACGATCGCAATGACGACACTTGAATGGTTTGGCTCCTGTGTGCTTTCTGTAGTGTCGCGTTAACTCATCACTTCGTGCGAAACGCCATTCACATCCTTCCCATGAACATTTGTAAGGCTTTTCACCTAATTTCAAGAAGAGAAACGAGAAGAATAATGATTGTTAGTTAAACAGTAATATATTTGCTTGCGTAGAATTGTGTTTGGTGGAGTGCCCACCAAAAATGTCTTTTTCATCTTTAAAAAGCATGATGAAAAAAGGCTTAAAAAGACATTTGTTTAATGGAGCAAAATAAGTTGAGTTTTGTATTCTGTCGAAAGCATTAAAAACACCACATTTCGACCACTTCCATAATGAACTTCTAAACACAACTTGAAATCCCCGAGAAGAGAAAACAACATTAAATAATAACTTTTTAAAATTAACTTCAGTCGAGGAAACGAACGATTTAATTTTCTTCTCATTCTTTGTTTATATTTAATGCGACCGAAAGGAAGAAACATTTCTCATTTCTTAAGAAAACTTTACGATCCGATGGATGCTTTCTGTGCCGAAAATTATGGAAAAGAAATCTTTGAAACAAATTCCAACATGAAATGATTTTCGAAGTGATCCACCTTCAGCTCAAGGCCTGGGAAATGAAAGATTCAGCTCTGTTAATGTTTGAGATATGTCAGAGGGTGGATAGGCGTTCGAATCATGATAACCATTTTGGTATTTTTCCATCGTTAAGGTCAAAAATGTTGCTGCAAGTTGCTGAACCAACACACTCTTGATTGTTATAGAAAATGTAAACGACATTAACATTTCGGGCCCGGAAAGAAAACGAAGCGATTGTGATACGAGAAGAAGAAACTTTTCCCCCATTTTTTTCCACATTTCCATTCTTATTCTTATTTGCAGACAGTCTTGTCTTTTGCTGATATGGATTTTGATGGATGACCATACATAATTCCTCCACAATCGTGAGCTCTCATTTAGCATTGACTTTTTGTATCTCTTTTTGTATTTAGCTTCAGGTCATGGCAATTTTATTCATTCATTTGATGATGTTCTTGCTTACATAGCTTAAATGTGATTACGAAATTGAACATTGTTGTGCGAGAAGGGATGAAGAAGTTTAACTTCCTTTTGTTTCTCTTGTTAACTCAAACATCTCTTGAGTTAGACAGAAACTTTATAATTGGAATATCTAATGCCGCTTGCTGAATTCGAAGAGAGACACTCAAAAACATAAGATGACGAGATGTCATCCCGAGAATTTCTCAATCTAACGCTTACTCGCATTTGTCTGAATAATCTTCAAATCTACCTCTACAAAGCCACATCATGGGCGTTTAAAGATAATTAAATTATAAAAAATGACACATCTTTCATTGAACAGAATAAATAATTCTAGAGTGTCATATCCATGACTCATCGCAAGTTTATTCAATTGAGCGATGACATAAAAAATAATTTTTAACTCCATTCATGAATGAAAACCTCAAAACCTATCAATTAAATCAATTAATAGCCGGAGAGAATCTTTTTTTATTATTTTATTTTATTCAGATCCCACTGTTTCAATCATCTGTGAAAACCATTCATTGACCAGAATTTCATCGCATACAGAGATTAAAGAACAAAGAAGAAAACTTTGATTACTACTGCGCAACATCAGATGCTTAAGAATCCTCTTAATTCTTTATTAGACAATCGAAACGGAATGTTACGAGAGAATGAATGAAATGAAATCATCAAAAACTAAATAAATATTCGGTTTGTAACCCCGTTAACCTCTTCTCGTTCCATTCCACTATCGTTTAAATGAACAACAAGCATTATTCGTTGATTCGATTTATCGCCATCATCTTTCGCACTTTATTAATTTAAGTCACATTAATTTTTGTTGTTGTTATGCCTTCTTTTATGTTCATTTGTACACATTTATTGTTTACTTTGTTGTCGTAGGACGATGATGAAACTAAAATTTAAATTATTTAATTTGTTTCATTGACTCGTCGGGTTCAATTCGAGTCAATTAAAAGAAATAACAAGAAATTCTTTACGAAATAATCACGATAATCATACAACATATCAAATGATTTCCATTGAACTTTGTCTCCCACCAATTGAAAGTGAAAGTGATAAAATCGCTTAAGTCACGAGGTCGTTCGTTCTTTCATGATGAGAATCATAAAAAATATTTTTTACTTCTTTAAAAAGTGTCAGCTGGAAGTTGAGAACTCAATTGGGATCAATTGGAAAAATGTTTCATTTCTTCCCACTTCAAAGTGTTTAAATCGTTAATTAAATTTTGTTGTTGTTTTCTTTCACATTTCTGAGTGATGACTCAAGAAGGAATTTCATTGCATAATTGTTGAATTCAAATGTCAGTGGTGGTGCTAATAACAAATCTCACCTGTATGCGTTCTTTGATGAGCTTTTAGATGTGAACTTTTCGTGTAAACTTTTTTGCACCCAAGAAATTGACACTTGTGTATTCTTCGTCTTGAATCGGGACTGTGATCTTGTTGTCGTTGTGATTGTTTGCTCGTTGCTGATGTCGTATTTGAAGGTGTTATTTGAGCTAATTTTAAATGATACAATTATAGAAAACAATCAACATGAAAGAAAAATATTTACAAACCTGTTTGATTTGAGTTTCCCTGTGTGTTGTTGGATCCTTTCGCAGTTATCTGTGCTTGAAAGTTTGGACTCATCTGAAGGATTTTTGTTACACCAAAAGAGGTTTTGTTATTTGACAGCCGTACGATTGTATTACGTGTCAATGTCGTGCCATTTGACACACGATAAATACCCTGATTATCGATTAATGCTAGTTCAGGTTCCGTTATTGTTAAATTTTTGCTATTACTACATTTACTACTAGATTCAGGTGAAGACGGTGGTGTAAGTGTCGGGAGAATGTCATGGTTTGCACCTGCTGGCATCAGCATCGACGATAGTGTGCTCGCTGAAAGTGAATTAGTTGCTAATGGCGATGAAGATGGCGTTCGAGCTATTAAAAGTTCGATGGTGGAATTTGTCAGCTTATTTGAGCCTTTGATGATTTGAATGTTTTTTGCATTGTTAAAGTTTTTACTGCTAGTGTTATTATTAATGCAATGCACTAATTTCTCGTCATTACTATCGGAATCCTCATATTCATCATCGATTCGATCTTTTTTCACGACGACTGAACAACTCAGTGAACTATCCCATGACTTCCCCGAACATGTCGATGACGATGAACTCATGGACAATGTATCCAAATTTCTGTCATTTAAAAGTTCATCGAAGCAAAGCGGGTCAACTTTTACACTCCATGAACCTGAGATGGGACCGGGGGCTGTGAACAATTCCCACGGTACCATGTCGTTGGGTTCTGTTTTGAAGGTTTTCGGTTTCGGCTCATCTTTCAAATAACGATCCATCTCGTAGCATGTCTGTGGGCGAAGGGAGAGAAAGAATGAATTAAAAAAAGAAGCAAAAAGATTAAAAAAATTGTTTTAACAAAGTTGAATAAAGAAAAAAACAATCATTAAAACCCTTCGCCTTTATTTTCTCTGCCTTTAACGTTGTGTGTGGTTTAATAATTACTTCATTTCGCTTGTTTAGTTCTTTCAACCTACGATACGACGAAGGCTATGTGAAGAGAAGGAAAATTTTATCATTGAAGTAAAGTCTTTGTTTGAAACATTTAATGGATACGTCGACTTTCTTACTTAAAAAATAATTTCGATGTAACGATTTAATTTCTTTGTTTATCGATTTTATTATTAAACTTTTATCAGAAATTAAGAGGTTCGTTCGACTCTCCAAAAGGTTTAACAATGCTAATTACTTCTTTTCTCTTGTGCAAGGTAATATAAGTAGCAATAAACGTAAGAACTTTCAATGTTGTGCTTATTTTGTTATTAAGAAGAAGATATCTGTGTACATTGTTCAACTTATCTTTAAATATGTCTAAGTCATCAGAAAATAAAATCTGTGTCGGTCTCTAGTTGTGTAATCAAAGTGGAATTATCATACGCTCTCTAACAGTTCTCTATGATATCATCAAAAAGTCCTTTTCTGCTGTTCTCTTGCCTTAATTACATTCAGCACAATATCGCTTTTATATTTAATTCCTAAACATCATGTAATATTTTAATCTGTGATGAATGATGGGATTATTTTTTATTTTCGGTTCTTCTCTTTCCTTTTTCCCCCACACTCACTCTCAATTTCATTTTCTGGGTTTTTTCTGTTTTTTTCCTTGTTGATTTTGTTGAATAATTGCTGAAATATTCGACAGAGCTTTCAAGGGAAAAAGATGGAACTTACTGAAATATTTCTGTGTGTTTGTTAGGATAAAGTAAGAGAGACGGAGAGAAGAATGACATTAAAAAAATCTACGGTAATTAATCGTATCCAAGCATACAATTTAGACGAGATTATTCAACTTGAATGCGAAGGTAAAATTTTTATTCTTTTATCAAAAAGTTCCCAACAATTTCAACCTCTGAAAAGTTTAATTTCAAAAGCTTTCATCCTGCTTAAACAAATTCTAAATTGAGAATACATTGTGACTACGTCGTATTCAAGGAATATGAGAGTCTTGAAAACTGTCTTAAACGATCACGATTGGTATTTGAACTGAAGCAGCAGTTGAAGTGGAAACTGTACATGAAAAGCTTCAATTCATTGAAGTGCGATAATTCTTATGCCAAAAAGAAAAGAAAGAATAAAAAGAATCAAATTCTGATTATAAGAGCAAAAGCTGCTGGCAATTGTTCAACAGCGAACAGAGGAAAAAAAAAGTTTTTTTAGTGAAAAAGCTTTAACATCAGCAAAATTATATTTTTTGCACTGTTCATTCTTCTATTGCTGCAACTGCAAATGAGTACCTTGATCCTTAAAGCGTTTAATAAAAGAAAAAAAATCTTTTGAGTTTTAAGTGCACCAAAAGCAGAATATTGACGCCACTTTTGTTAAAGTGAAGTCGGGAATAGTGGAAGGGGGGAAATTAAAATGTTACCCTAGCATTTGGCAGTAAAGCTGTAAGGACAGTGTCACCTCAACGCTCAGGAGGGCGATAAACCAAAAGAGCGATCATTGTGAATATTGTAATTAAGGAAAAGCAGCCTCGAAAGCTTTCGTGTAAATTATTGACTGCTTTCGCCCACTTTTAATTAACTTTCTCGATTTTACATGATACTCGCGATGTTGGCCGCCCGAAGCTAACATGAATATTTAACAAGGCTGCTTTTTTAATTAGCATTAAGCTTTTTAAAATTCTTTCGGCGCTTTATGCCGTGCTTCGAGATTTCCATGAGCGACAAGAAGCGGATGAATAACATTTTCCATTCTTCCGGCGGGCGTTCTTTTCGAGAATAAATTTCAACAAATTTATACATCGAAAAAGTTTCACAGATGACGCCATCATGATATCATTTGCTTATTACCCTTATTTTCTTAATTTCTGTAAACATTTCGAAAAACATCTGGCGAGCGATTGTCAAACCATGGCAAAGACAAAATTATGCAAATATTAACTCAATTATCAAAGGGTTTGATTGCTTTCTACAGAAACCGCTCGTCAATCACAACAACCATCATCACATCATTTACATACTCAAACAAAATTCCCCCTAAATTTTATGTTTAAATAAATATGTCTTTGTGAGTCAAAAATATTTCAAGTTCATGTTCGAAAAGCTTCCTTCTCTCAAGCAAAGTAATGAGATGAATGAATATAAAAAATTAACAAAAATAAAATATGACGCAATGAAAATTGTCAGTTTGCTAAATAAAAGTGTCCCTTGTGATCCATTAAAATGCTTTTAGTCACATCGTTTAAATAAGTATTTCATTCCATTCCGGTGAAAGGGAGTGAAACATCCTACATTGTAAAGGAATTTATGACATTTATGACTCTATCGAAACTCATGAATCATTCCTCAACTTTCAGCCTCATGTACGCTTCTTAAATTATGAAAAAAAGAGAGAGAGAAGGAAATAAAAGTTTTCCTATTATGCTAAAACATTATTTTTCTAAAGTGTTTAACATCATCATCGTCATCATCATCAACAACAACTTCGGAATTATGTACAACAAACTATTATATTTAATAACTATCTATAGTAGATTTTCCATCATCCATCCATGTACATATTTAACTATGCATGTATTTTTCTTAAAGGAAGCTAAGAATTGTTGAACAATTAATAATTAACATATCTATGCAAAAGCGGAGCGAAGAAAGTTTCGTAGAAGCTCATCGGATGAAATTTCCTCTTGAAGTCTATCATTAAACTTCTCTGTCACTAAGCTTGCTTTTCTTTAAATAAACGATTAAATTTCTATGTCGACATTCAACATGGTAAAATGTTGTAAACTTTTCCCTGTTCACCCCACTGATGTTTTAGTTGGGGTGAAATTTTCTCTCTCTTTTATTTTGTTTAAAACGGAAAACATGGTAAAATGGAGAATAATATTGAAATTGATGAATATGTAATGTGAAATGGAGAATTCAAGAAGGGTAGGAATAATAAAAAAAAGAGAAAAACTAAACGAGGAAGGTTTTTATTTTATTTTCCTCTATACATATTTTCACATTGTAGTGTATGTAAATAATATTTAGTCACGCAATTATTTGAGTCATCTCGGCGCCGTGTAACACAATGAAAAGGGCGCGGAAATAAAGAAGAAAACTTCTCGTTTTTTTTTCAAATAAATTTATGGAAAATTTATTCCTTTTGAGAATTCGATTTTGTTGCGAAACCAACTGTAAATAAAGAGATTGAAGTGAAGTGAATATTCGTTGGGAAAGGTTCATTCATTCAACGAACATCAAGCAACTAATGGGAAATGATGAATGATAATGACGCGAGTGTTAGTCGCGATTCAAGTTGAATATACATTTCAAACTTTGCGTACTTAATACACCAAACCATCAATAACAAAAGCTCTGCCTAAATCCTTACGTCTTCAAAATGATACTTAAGTATCGCATAGTATTTGTGGTATACACTAATTAATCATTTCCAGACATTCACAAGGAAGAAAAGAAGAAGCAGACGCACAAAAGGTGCCACAAAAAAGAAGGAGGAAAAAAGAGCAAAGATGTTTTCATACGCACACACACACACACAAAATCATGATATAAAAGATATTTTTCTTACGTCTTCTCAAACTCAATATCAACAACGACGATGTATGTAAGAAAATGACTAAGGTAAATAAGCAATTCAAGAGAGAAGAAGTGGACTATATCGAAGACTTCAGAATGCGTGTATGAATTTCCTTCGACCACAAATGAGAGCAATAAAAAAACAACGTCTTCGCTATGTCAAGAAGTGTTTTTCTTTCCTCTTTTCCTAATGGGAATAGTTTGAAAATTACGTAGCAATATTTTTTTTCGTCTGGGAATGACTTGGAATATTTATTTATTTATTTGTTTGCAACATTATGGTGACACTATCATTGTTTAATTCCAATGCGTACATTTTCCTTCTTCTTTTTTCCTTGTGCTTTTCTTATCTTCCCATCGCCATCCGCCATACTTTTCGTTTTTCTCTTACTTACAAAAAGGAATTTCTTTTGCTCTCAACTCATGCAACACAAATAGATAAATTTGTCATTGCTATGTAATAAGAAGCACATCGCTTAATGGAGTTGAAATATGAAAAGGATGAATAAGACAGGTAGTGAGATCCATTTCAACATAACAATAGAAGAAAAGAAGAAGGAAAAAAAATCTCTTAGAGTAAAAGAAGAAATGATGATTCTCGCTTTTAGTTTTACATGCTTCGATTTAAGTACTTTTTGGCAATGGAAATTCCTTCTCCATTTTCATGGTCCTTATGAAACAAGGAAAACGCTTTAAGCAACTCTATAACGTTCTACACAAATATTCGGCTTTCATTTCAATACAATGGCCATTAATTTGGGCGCTTATTGAGAAGAGAAAAAGGTTTTCTTTCTTAGCAAAACACCCTCGAGCAAAAATTTCCCATAAATAATATAATTTAGAAATCTCATAGCTTTTCTAGTGATTTTACTTCTCTTTCTTCAACGCTCTTCAAGCTTTTCAAGCAGGAAATTATGTGGGGCGCCCCATAAATTTAAGAACAGCATCATCTCCTTCATCTCCTCACTCTTCTGTTATAAAATTTTCTTGTGATAATTCAAAGCTTCGCCTGTCGCACTCTACTCATCTTCTCTTTCCATCTCATTTTCATTTCACCCATTTTGATTTATTTACACTTAATATCACGCAAAAGTGTGAATATACTCGCCTTTATTCCGTCTTCCCTTATTCTCGCACCTTTTTCTTCCTTTCTTCTTTTTTTTTATTGCGGGATTGAATAATTAACGGTTCATAAATTTTCGTTTAGACATTGTTTAGCTCGTTTTTATTTGCACGTCTGTACATACTTACACATCTTGTACATCATTAGTAAGAAACGCTATGGAATTTAGCATCGATTCTTGGATCGTGATCTTCGAAATTTGCTCTTAATTCGCCAATCGATTTGTAATGTTGTTTGATTGAATAGCGGACTTCAATATGGTGATTGAAACAATTAATTAAAACAGAAAAGAGAAAATGCTTTGTTAAGCGTTCTAGCTGAATGGTTTGATTAGCAGAAATTTAATTAATGTTTTGGTCCCGTTTAGAAGCAGATTAATTTATAATCCAAAAGCTTTGATGAAAACATAGAAAGGAAAATCAACAACACACAAAAAATTCTGTACATAAATTACTTATAATAATTATTTAGCAGTTTCTTCTTAAGATTGACAAAAATTCTATTTGAAATTGTATCAACAAACCCAAAGCAATTATAAAAGTTTTCCGTTCACTTTGAAATAATTAAAAGCAGAAGCTAGAAATGTTTCGAATCTTATCTCATCCATCGATGACAAACTTTTTCCCAATGCAATTCAAAGCAATATATTCGAGATTATTATTGTTGTAAGTTAGAAAAAGGAATTGCAAAACTGATGATGAACTTTCCACTATTAGTTTTATCTCTTTTTACTTGTTTAATCTATTAATCTATGTTTATGTCCATTGCAGAATATATTTTGAGGTTTTCTGATGATGGACATGACATGAAATTATAACTTTCGCTTTCATCTGGCTGAACATAATAGAAAACTTTCTAAAGCTTCTGGAATGATGTAACACATTATTACAAAACTATTCTTCTTCTTCTTCTTGTCTGTTGTTGTTGTTTTGCTTCAAGCTTTTCGTTTGTAAATAAGAGAAGAAAAGTAAACTAGAAAGCTTTTTATGTACCCAAAAAAAAGCGAAAACTTTTCTTCTATTAAAAGAAAGAAAGAAAAAAAATCTCTCATCTCTTGTGATGTTTTATTGTTTAGATGATGAAGATTAATGGATAAGGAAAGGCTTTGTTAATATGTTTTGAGATGAAAACTGCTTTTTGAGGGTGAAAATGGAGAAAATTTCCTTTTCTGTCCTATAACCTTAATCTGGAATTACTTTAGACAATTACGATTGGAAATTGAATTGTAATGACATTTAGAGTTGTCAGTTTATGTCTCGTTCTATTTCCCTTTTTTCCTTCTGGATATTTATTTGCAAAAGTCAATTGGAGTGTCGCCACTGAGATTGTAATTTGAATTTCCTTTTCCGTAGTCTGTCAACAGGAAGATTTGTATTGTATTTTCGAGATCTGACGCCATAGTGTCTGCTTATTGCACTCAATTATTGAAGCTTTCAATGAAAATGATCTGCTTTTGTTTCTCCTTATCTTTCTAGACCAACGAATAAACTTTATATAGGTCTTATGTGGATAATTACAATTTATAGTTATGAATGAGAATTTCAATTCATAAATTCTCCAGATAAGTGAATTAAATTGAGAAGAATTTCTAGCAAAGAATTTGACATTCAATTATATGGAATTAACTTGCAACACTTCATTTATTATTTGACCTTTAGAACGTGTGTGAAACATGGCAGTAATTTGATTACGAAATTTATTTTAACTGAACCTTCTGACAAGATAAAATGTTGCAACATTTATTTGAATTATTTTAGAGATGAACACAAATTCGCTTTTCTTCTGAATTTTCTATTTTTGTCCCTCATGATTTTTGTGGATGCTTCGAAGAAATGATTTTGGTTTACTGTATCGTATAACAAGACTAACGAACTACGATGAAACCATCACTTGAAGAGATTTATGTACGTTCTCTTGTTAGTCGCTTTTCTGTTTTCATCTTATCGAATAATGTTTTCTCTTGGGGATTGTATTGAAATTTTCCCTTCGAAAAATGTTTAACGACGAAGTTTTTAACTTTTCCTGTAAAATCAAGCGCTTTATAAATAGAAATACAAGGAAAAGTCAGTTCAATCGAATGTTTTAATTTTCTTAACGAGATTTTCTACCATTGTTGGCTTAAGAGTTTAGGGGAGAGAAAAAAAGGTCGATGAATAGAAATATTTCACAGAGAAGAGTGTGAATAAATTATCTATGATAAATAAAAGAAACTACTTCAAGCATTGTGCTGAATCAATTCCTGATGAAGCCTTTGTTGCAACATAATTGATGTTGAGATAATATTTCCGCAACTGTGTTAAAGTATAAGTTGGCAGAATTGAATGTAATAAATTATATTTTTTTTAATGAAAATATCAAGCACTTATGTAAATAATTGAAAATGAAAAGCTCGTTATTCTTCTGAATCGATTCAACAGCACAATAAAGTCGCTGTTCAGTTGATTTATGATGAAATAAAGCTTCAACATTTGACAATTAAATATTTTTATGCTTTAATTGAAAGAAAAATTCTGGTAGAATTCCAAACGTTTTAAATTCTTTGCATTATGTAATTAATGTATGGCAGTGAATAAATTAATAGAATCGATGTACATGTTAAATATTAATTAGCATTTTACAGAAAAACAGTAAAGTTATTGGAAGTTAACATGAATAATTTTCATTAAACTGTAATTACATGAAAATATTCTCATAAAACGGTAATTTTAAATTCTTATTCACTAAATTTATCACGTAAACGAAAAAGCTTTAATATATTTAACGTGCTTTTGGAGCGACGATTTTTTTTTTCCTTCTATCACCGACAGATTTTCGTGATGTCATTTTTATGAAGTTTGTGAAAATATCATGCAGATGGTTTTAATGGGTTTCATTGATGTTTGTCGCTCGCCTTTAATGGCATTATCAGCTTTTGTTCAAATAATAAAATCGATTTTCCATGCGTTGTGCAGATCACCATCTTTACATTATGGCCGCACAGCTTCATACAAAATCCATCAAAAACTGATTTGAAAAAGAAAATTATTACTTCAACTGATGACCATTTTTTTTCTTCTTCCTTGTCATCATCGATCGGTTCAATTCGAACGGGCAATCGACATTTATTGTCGGATGCTTACCCAATGTTGTTATTTTTCAATCATTTTCCCATCACGACAAAAAAAAAGCTTTTTCGTTCTTAAGAAACCTTCTCATTCCATTCGCCAATCGTTTCTATCATAAACTTGTCTTACAAACTTCACGAAATGATTGAACAGAAAGCCAAATAAAAGTTTATTGTTCCCAAGTTACCTGTAACGAGATTAAGAAAAGATCAAACGTTAATATAACTTCTATATAACAGTTGAATGTGATAAAATTTCATTGAGAATTACGATAAGAAACATGTGATTAAACTTCAGAAGAATCCAAAGAAACTTTTCTTTTAATAATTTTTATGGTAACGTCTTGAAGCGAAGCTTTCATTTTCATCATAAAACAATGTAAAATATTCAATTATGTATTCTCATAAATATATTGACTTAAAATCATGCATTCAGAAAAGCATTAAACTCAAATCATATATATCTGCTTCTTTATTACAAATCGTGGAAATATTTTAAAGACGATGAAACAATATTTTTGAATTATTGAATTTTCAATTCCACCTTCTTTTTTTTTATTTGGAATGAGAGGAAATTTAAATTGGAAACATTAAGGCTCCCTATGAGAAAACGGCAACATATTCCTCAATGGCATGGAAGCATTATTTTCAACATAAATATGTTGCTTTACATAGAAACAGCAAAGAAATTTAATATGATATTGTTCGTTCTTCAATATGTATAAATTCGTAAGTAAGGAGGCAGAGTTGTGTGAACCACATTTGATCCTTGACTCCATTTCCCTTCCATGCTGTTTTTTTCTTCTTTCAAGCTTTCTTTCTTCTTTACATTAAACTCATCAGAGAAATGCGAGAAAAAGGAAAGAAAATCTATTCCTATTGTTAAGACACTGTTTTTGGATCATTTATTATAAAACACTCTCTAAACATAACAAACAAAAGACGGAGGGATACGGTTACGTAACACCATAAACAATAAAAGAAAGAGAAAGAAGTCAGATGAGTCTCCCCGACGTTTTGAAGGAGAGGCATACTCGAGATAAATAGCAAAAAAGAAGCTTCAGGATGTATGTAGTGAGATAAGATAAAAAAGAATAAATGTTTCAGGGATGTGTGCGTGAATAATCTTGCTTTTTTTTGAGTTTTCCATTTTCCATTTTTCTTTCCTGTGATATAACAAACTCTGTTTCCATTGCCGACTTTGTTTGTAGCATCAAGAACATCATACAGAAAAAAATCAATCAATATCAAATAAAAAGTTTTTTTATCATCGCTCTTTTCTTTTCGTCTTCTTTTTGTTTCGTTTGAAACGAGACCCGATTGGCATGATAACTCGTCACACAATTTCAATTGAGTATGAGCAAGAACAAGAAAATATTTATTGAGAAAATAAGTCAATTTTATCTTTTCGTTTTTGTTGAAATTTTCATCTCTATGATAGATTTTTCGAGAATTATCAGGAACATCATGTTAGTCATGATTTTTATTCAAACTTTTGAATGTCTGATTCTTGTTTTTCAAATCAATTAATGTTCGTAATTAAAGCATATCATTATCATATTTAATTTTTGTTATTAAGAAATGAACTGTTACCATGGAAATTAATACTTTCAGAGCAACTTCAAATTCTTCGTTTGAGTTTAATTAAATTAAAATAATTTACTTCCGAAGTTTCATACCAAAAAAAAGCTTTTAATGTAAAACTTTTTATTTTCTTTAATTTGTTTTCATTGACTTTGAATTTCTTTTCTTTCCTTTCCTTTCTACTTGACAACGGTTTTAAAACATTATTCGTTATTTAGATACGAAGCGCTATGGAATAAAAAATAAACAAATGCAAAGTATCCGTAGCTTGATATTTAAAATAAGAAAACTTAATTGTTTATCTTCATTTTCAGTTTTCTCCATCATCGTGTTTACTAAACATTTCAAAGAAAAATTTAATCAATGAAAATTTCAAAACATTTTCCTTGAGTGAATGAAAATCAAAACACACAAAAAAAAGTTTCTCAAAATTAGTTGATTTTTGATAAAACGTTACTGTAAAGTCTCAAGAGTCAACCCCAATCATTTATTTTCGCTCCTTCCAATAAAGTTTGAAATTGTCACAAATTGTTCCGAAAAAAAAGAAAAAAGGTTTCGTTTTGACACAAATTTTCACAATAGAACATCAGATTGTTCTTGACACCTTCATGGAATTAGCTTCAATATTGTTTGAAAACTTTAATAAAGCTTCGTTACATGAAGGGGTTGAGAAGCGAGTGGGCTGTTTCTATTGATCAAATTCTACCTTCTGAGACCAAGAGGAAATGATATCGTGCGATTCTCATACTCCAAAATGGAGCAAAGTGGAACACCCAGACAAATAAATTCTTATATTTACTCATAATGAACTTTAATTGAGAAGAAAGCCTCAATGAAGCGAACTTAATGGAAGCCGGATAAGAAAGAAAGGAAAGCGAAAGTAATTTAGAAAATATAAAAGGGTACGCTTGATGCTTGCACAACAGAAAATAAGCGAGACAGTCTGTGACAGCCGTAAATAAAAGGCAGGCGGATTGTTGGGCAGCAGAATGGACCCCAAAATGCGAGATTAATTCAATCAGAATCGTATTATATTACATTTCGAAATATTCTTCATCTTTGCAGCCTTTTTTCCCTGTGTATGGTTTGTAACGCTGTTCTCTCTTTACAGCCTGAGGCTTCTTGGGCTTCGCTAAAAATACTTCTATAGGTCCAATGAAATATAAGTCTTACCCCATGTTCATTAACTTTGACAGTTTCATTTTTATCCCTTCGTCCTTGTTGAAAATATATCTTTAAGAAACATTTCGTTTTGAACTGAAAAAGAAATTCTTCTTTCCCTTTTTTTATATTACTTCGAAGAAATGCCAATTACTACTAATACACGAGATCAAGAAACGGAGGATTAAAAGAATTCAAGATTTCCAATGATTGAACCTTAATTAAATGCTTTAATTAGTAACTTTCTAAATACCCGTCCACCTCAAGTATTTCCGCAATTCAATTTTAAATGAAATGATTTAAACCAATCTTTTCGAATCAACAAATCTTGAGAAATTTCTCAGAAATACTGAACGTTGTCATACATAGATAATAATTGTTTTCACTCATAATTAACACGAAATTTGTTGAAAACTCTCAATTTATATCAAGTAAAAATGTCACGTTATTTCCGTCACGTAACTAATTAACTTCCTTACATGTTTTTTTGAAATCTTTTTGTAAGTTTTCTCACAGTGTCGAAGCGCGAAAATCATAAAAAATTAAAACGTCGTTCCGCACAGGTGTGCTTGAAATTCAATTTACATATGTAATAATGAAGTTTTTCCTTTTTGTCATCTATTATCCAGCCACACAACGCCACATTGTAAATGTGGTGAATTTCGATTAAAGTTTACAATCCCTGGAGCAGTTGCATCAACTTTTGATGAAGTTGTAAATGAGTTAATCATTTATGCATCGAAATGATGCTATTAAATAATAGAGAAGGGAAATGATATTAATTTCAACCTTTTAATTATTCCAATGAATGAATGAATGAATGAATGAATGACTGACGACATGAACAGAGACAAAAATATGATATTATTACTCAATCAATTTAATACATTTTCTCAGTTGCGGCATGAGTTAAGATTGAGATGTGGCGTGGGTGAAGATCAAGGAAAACATCAACAAGGAATATAAAAATATCAAAAAGCTTTTATTTTATTTTCTAGTTGGTAACTCGATATGCAGAGCATGTATGAGAGCTTTAGAGTAAAATTGATCGAAATCTTGGGGGTTTTTGTCCTAGAAAAGCATAGATTCAACCTTCAGCCAATATTTAATGTGGACAGGGATAAAATAATTGCGGAATAGCTATGAAGTTGGTTAGATAAACGATTGATAAGTGGCAAGTCTAGACAAAACTTTATGAAGGAACTATCGACAGATAACCGTCGGGAAGCAGCCGTTATCCTTTTATCTGTTTATAAAATTGCGTGCCGTGAAAGTAAAACTCCTTGATTTTCCTTTCTCCGTTATAGGTCACGTCATTACATTCACATTGTTTGTAACTTTATAGCAAGCTCGACAGCTTCAGCTAAACCTTATACATTATTATTTAAAAATATTTTTCCCTTCTTTCCATGAATATTATTATTAAAAATAACTTCTTTGTTTCAACACACTTGCAGCTGTTTTGAATCTACTAAGTTCAGCTCCTAACGTTACATTCATTTGACATTCTTTTAAAATCTCATTATAATGTTGCAAGACGAGAAAAGAAAAATTAAACTCCAAATCACGTTCGCAATTCTTTTTTTCTTATCCTATAAAGAACGGATTTTCTTCTTTTGGTAGATTTTTTCTTTATTTTTTGTCGTTGAAAGTCTTTTCATTTGAAGAAGCATAAAATATTTAAGGAAAATTCTTGTTGTAGACTTTATAAGTCGAGTGCAAGACTCTTTCGATTAGAAATCGGGTTGTAAGCTTTAGATTTAGCTTCTGAGAAGATCAAGTGATTATCTCTGAGTATGTACATATTAGACATCAATAATGCAACATGAACGTAACAAATATTTTAAAGGAGATCGGAGAGCTTTTTGAGCAACGACAGACCACATTTCTGCCCTTTTGTCACTCTTATTAAATGCATTTCATTAACTCATTCATAAAGGTGTGGAGGGAATAAAACTTTCCATGCTTCCATCTCACTCCGTCACTTTATCTGAATCTTCACATCCATTAAACTCATTCCTTCATCCATTAACCGTCACGTCGACGGAATGTTTCTCTGATGTAAAGAGATATTAGCTTAATATCTAAGTCTTCCATTTGTTACGTGATACAAAAAGCGGAAGGTGAATTATGATCATAAATTGGATGAAATTGTTTATTCTTAGGATTTTCCCTTTCAATCAAATTCAACTCCAACCCTCGTGAACGAATTTACGTTTTCACGCATCTTCAAAGCCACATAACATAGCGTCAATGTAAAAGATTCCATTTCCTCTATAGATAGGTGTAGGTTGTTATATTTCTCATTAAAAATTATATTCCTACCACCGCACATTTGAGGCTGTTTTTAAAAGATATTTTGACAAATGTGACATGAAAGATTAAAACACGTTTCGTTATCACGACACGACGAAAAGGATTGATATTCCCTTTTTTTTCATCTCTCTCTTTCACACTTAACTTCAGATGTAACCATGGAAGATAAATTTTCCTCAATTCTGCCAGATTTTGGAATGTTTATCACCGAACACATAACAAATGATTAGGAAAGCAACTTGAGGAAAATTTAACCTTTTCAAAAGTTATTTACTTTTATGTTAAATTTTGTTCAATTTCAAACATCAAAGACATGTTCGTGGAAAAATTTAATACTTTTTTAAATCTCTTTGATTTGAGTTTTAAAATGTCTGCATTTGATGTTCAGATTATGAATTCTGTTTATGTCTTTTAATTATAAATTATATAAAAAGATAAACGACACTCTATTCGAGTTTATGAGGTAAAAAGTGGTGGTTTCTATTTTGTTGACAACATATTTCTTGATCCACTTTCATGCAGTTCTTATAACGATGATTAAAAGGATTCATTGAAAGCTTTTTAGTCCTATGATAATTAAGTTTCTCAGTCAAAAAAGCACTTCGTGCTGTGAAGTAGAAACAAACTTTTTCTTTTCATCCCACGAGCCATAAATTATCTTCATTTACCTCCACCCCCTCTCATCTGTCTTTTCAAGCACTTTTGTTTCGCCTTTCTTTACATTCACTCAAAAGAGATTTTTTGTAAATTATGAAGGAAAAAATGAACAGCAAAAAGAGAATTTATGGATTTAGTAACGATCCAAAGTAATTTTTAATAACCCACTAAAGGAATAAATTTTCATTTGCTGTGTGCCTAATGGTGATTAGGACGAGCACTGAGCGCCAAAGCTCTCTCTAGTTAGAAACTTTTCAAGACTTATTTCACACCAACCGACCCTAGAGTAGTCATCATAATCAGTCGAATCATATCGAGAACTGAAAATGATTACGAGCGCATTGTTCATTTTTTTTCGACGGCCATTTTATTGTTGTGAACGTCAACAGTGCTGTGTTTACCATAAATCATAAACATAAATGTCTAACATTTCCTGCAATATTCGCTTCGTGATTTTTCTAGCTCGTTGATCGGTGAGAATTTTTTTTTCAATCGAAATTGAATTGAGCAAGTGACATTAATGTCAACGAGTGAACGAGAAAATTGTTTTTCTTCTCGTGTTGTTTTTAAGGGCCCTTTTCCAAATGTCGGAAGCATTTCAATTGTTAAAGATCCCAATCGGACATTAATTAACTATTGAATAATTGTTGAACAATGTTAAGTGATTTCAAGAGTGTATGTGCTTATAATGCATTTTTAATTTCGCACTTAAGAGAATTGTCGTCTTGTTATTCAGAGTGGAAGTTTCCAATAACAAGTCAGACAGAAATTACACCATTAAATTGTCTCCAGAATGTTGATCTGCATGCGACAAAAATTCATTGTTTTCTTTTATTTTCTTTTTCTTTACGTACATGACTGAAAAAAGAAAACGGAAGAATTTTCACGCTTATTTAGTTAAATTAAGTTAACGTAACAAACCCAATTTTCGACACAATGTTTTCATTCATCGTAAAAAGGTTTGGGGCGTATGAAAGAAAAGAACAGCGACGAAAGAGTTTCATAATAATCATAAATTAACATCCATTACGTTATGTATTCCTTCAACACATTTAGACGGGCTTCAGATGATGTTAAACGAAGACATTTCGTTTTCAAAGCATTCTTCTTGTTGCTACTTTTATCTTCAAAATCTCAAAATGAACCCAAAAAAAGATCAATGCTCTTGAGAATAAATATTTCAGATTCAGTAAAAAAGGAAAGCCTTGGGTTTCTGTCATTCTTGCTGAGGAAAATTTTATGTTTTCTATCAAATGTTCAATCAAAATTCACAGTATCTATTCAAAGTAGACCTGAAACCTCATCTGAAAGTTTACAACTAGATTCTGTGCCTTAAAGATATTTAATTTTTCACTTTATATTCCACACCTTTCATTATTCACTCAATTTTTCAACTCGTTTGTGTAGATATGCAGATGAATATAGCAAACGACACTTATTTCCATAATTTTTTCCTTTTTTTTTCGTGTTCGACCAAAAATATGGAAAATTTTGTATGTTGTTGCTTATTTTTTGCCTTTAATTTTCTGCTGTCATCAACATCGTGTTCTTATTGCATGTCAGTTTTGGTTAAAGGCTAACAAAGATTGAAGTAAAAGCTTCGAGGATAGTAAAGTGATGAAAAGAAATTTTATTACGAGGTTGGCAAGTGAATGTTATCAACAAATTTTCTTCTCAATTCCACCACAGTTCTTTTCATCACTTCTCTCGCTCACTCTATGTTCACATGTCAGTCAGATGAGCCTACAGCGTAGAAGAAAAGTCGAATGTAAAAAGTATGTTTGTGAAAAGTGGCTGTTTGTGAACTCGTTGTTGTTGTGTATGTTTATGAATCGAAAAATCAAATTTTCTCGCAGTCAGACGATTTTTCTCTGTTGCTTACATCCCATTGAAGCTTGAACTGAGAAGGGAAGTGAAAGTCTCTGAGGGTAAACTCGAGGAGTAAGAAAAAAAGGCAACAAAATGAAAAGCAAGGATAATGGAAAATGTAGAAAATCAAATTTTTGCATTACAAAACCGTTCGGTTTATGCGTCTTACAAGTTGAGAAGCGTTCGTACGATGGATGGAAATCTTGGTGGTGTTTTCTTTTTCATTCTGTGTTAAACCCTAAAGGTGAAATACAAAAGAATGAATATCATAATAAAAGATTTCTTTCGCTTCTCTTGCATAACAATATTTTGCAACGTAAACATGTTCAAAGCTTTTCCTTACATTAGAAATTTCACTCAAAATTATTTTCAATGAAACGCTTTCGATTATGAATATTTTATATTTGATATTTGCCTAATCCTTGTTCTTAAAATGTTTATTGTCAAGTTTCATACACAAATGGAAGCTTCAATCTTACACCCAAATACATAACCTCACAAATTTCTCATCTCAGAACATATTTTCATCGAAAACAAAGCCCAGAATATTTGTAAAATCTAGATATGACTAACAACGCATCAATCACTGTTTTTAATGTTTCACTGCCTTATCGGAGCGACAAGTGACATGTAAACAGATTGTCACATGTACGCTAAAGCCCAACAACAACAACTTAACATCTAAGTCTAACATTTTGCGCTCCATCATTTTTCGTTATGGTGCGGATGGGGAGACAGCAACGGTATCCGAAAATAACATGCCCACAAGCAACGTAAAGTGAGCAAGGGAGAGATGCTTATACCTTATTTCTCCTCCAATGACATCTAACAGGCAGCAATAAAGTTGATTAAGCACAGCTGATACTTCGTTAGATCGCATTATTTAATCACAAAAAGGTGTCTGGAATCCAAGGATTTAACTTTCTCTTTTTCATTCCATATTTTCTTCTTCTTTTTCTTTATTTCCATTCAATAATCGAGCGAGAAATTTATGTTGAAAGGAAAACGTAAGCAATAATTATGTTGAAAAGTGGAAAATGTAGAAGTAATAATAAGATGGGAAAGAGAAAATATCAGCAAAAACTTTTCTTCCTTGCACAAGCCATTGATCTCGAAATTATTTTATTCAATTTCATCATAAAAAAAGAGCTCACAGTGCAACATTTCCACGTTGAATGAATGAGATTAAAAGGAAATCGTTTTTCATGTTTGAAAATCCATCAGCTGGAAAAATATGTGAATGTAAAAGGAAAACGTTTGATGGATGAATTTGGGTTGACCAAATATTTGCGATTTGACTACGTTACGTTGAGTTGGGTCATAAGTCAGAAGATTTGTAAAAAAATATAAATATGAACATTTTATAGATCGTCAAAGTAAGATTCACTTTATATTTATTTTACCATATGAAAGATTGCCAGTGCCAACCTTCATAGAAATCTATTTAGGAATCTGGGGTATCTATAGAGACACAAAAGGTTTCATGCTATGTGAATGTTTATTTTAAAGCTTTAAAAATGATTTTTGATTCTGCATAACGTGACATTTCCGTATATCGTTGTGCGCAATGTGGATACACGCAGTGGCAAGGGGAGAGGTGAGATAAACTTTTAAAAAATTGTGAAACGAAGCACAGGTCGTGTGTAAACAGATAATAACGATAATTTATGGGTGTTTTGTGCGCACTTAAATCTCCAGCCGAGCCCGAGTTCTCAATTTAATTGGAAAATTGTAGCATGGTATTTTCATTTATGCCGGTCGCTTTTTTTTGTCGGACTTCTTCTTCCTTCTTTTCCTTTATTTAACATCATTCAACAGTACTTGTTGAAACGGCGGTGTGGCGATTGGAATGTCAACGACTGACGCGAAGGGATCGGTCATGAACGCGAAACATTCACTTCAAAAAATTAATTAAAATTATTCTGATACGCTCATAAAAACACGTTTACTGCTTTGATTTACTTTACATCGAGCTCATCGTGATTATTCTTTGTCTTAAATAAACATTTGCTTTGATGCTTGTTTCCTTCCATTCATATACATAGACCGAAAAAAAAGAAAGAAAGAAAAAATTACTTTCCGCTTTGTTGTTTACGTAAGTAAAACGGGGAAGAAATTAATATCCCTTCGAAAACTTATCCATTTTTGCTTCTTTTATTAGCCGTATCTAATTGAAAGTTGCGCGAAGAAGGCGACAACGAGCGGAAGAAATATAATATTTCACAGCTCAGATGCTAAAGTTGTTCAATTATTTACATCCAGCTGGTAATGTTCATGTTACGTAATTTTCAATTTCAATTTAAATCTTAGGATTTGTATTTGTGTTCCATTATAAGCAAAAACTGTGGTTATCCACAAAACTTTTCCATTGGGACTCGTTTCAAAACAAAAGGTTGAAGTCTCTTGTTTACAATTCAAAGTATCTTCAAGTTATGTTTAAAGCTTTCATTCGATATGCCATTTGACAAAAGAAAAGTGTGAAGCATAATCGTAGCAAAACGCGTAAAAATTAATGTTAAGAACCTCAATTAGAATACTTTTTGCCGTATAGTCTTCAAGAACGGGGAACACCAGTTAATAACAATTTGAATGGGTGCCTAATGCACCATAAAGCATAGACACGAATATGCGTATGAAAATTACACAACAGAGTGGATGGAAAAATGGTATTAAAAATTCTTTAAGTTTTATGCTACGTCGCCCGTAAACAAAAACCAATTTTGTGACTTACTTCCGCTTTTCTCTTACTCACTTGCGTTCACGTACATGCTTCGACTTCTCCATCCATTCATTCTTACACCCTCATAACATCAACAACATTACTTCGTTCTTCCAAGAAGGAGAAACTTTCAGGCTCAAGATCAACTAAGTCACCATGAGACTAATTCATAATTTGTGACGCCACCCTCGCCCAGCCTTTTATGTCGATACCAACACAAACTTCAATTCCAAAGATTGCAAATTTTATGGAACACGAAGTGAAAAGCTTTTAAATTATCATGTGCTAAAATGATATTCACTCTCTCTCACTCACTTCTTTCTTTTTTTTGTAATAAAAAATGTAAATTGAAAACGCTTCTCCCTCGAGTGATTGTTTAAAGAGATAAAAGAGTGAATCTTCATTCATCTTTGCATTTGAAAATTTTGTTTTTCTGTTTCTCATCCCTAAGGATGAATTTTCTTTCTCTTTTTTAAAATTGTAAACTGCAATCATAAATTTCAAAGGCACTAAACAAGTACTTAATGTATTTGAAAGTGTTCGTTATCGCTCGTTTAAGAAGCTGACGCTGAAGCAATTTGGAGGCTTAGAAACGTGCCACAGCTATGTTCTTCTCATAATTCAAGGCAGAAAATACTTTCAAGATTTCTATCTGACAAACTCTGATAAGAATCGAAATAAAATGTCGACCATTTCGCTGTTTGAATAAAAGTTACAAACAAAACACAGAAGAGAACAGAAAATTGTGGAAATCAGAGACTGAAAAATGTCAGCAAATTTATTTTTCTTTCTTTCGTATTTACTCACGAATTTATCATTCGAGCTTTTCTCATTCTCTTCTATTGTGCCGGAAATTTTTTTCTTTTCTTTTCCTTCTGTTTTCATATTTTTCGGTAAATCCGAATAAAAATTATAAGAGCAAAGCTTTCTATTTTGGAAGATTCATAAAGATGAGGCAGCAGAGACAACAAGAGAATGAAAGGGGAAAAAATACCAAAGCCACCCTCTTCACCAATGCTTTATGTACTGAACGTGGCCTGAATTAATGTTGCCCAGCTTTTCTTATGCTCATCTAGCCCAGTTAAATACAAAACTTACATTTCTTTGGCAAACGTAAATGCTTTTCATTTTTGAATCAAATTTTCAACTAAAAGACATAAAAAAGTCTCATGTAATAAATATCTATCGAGACTGTTTCGTTTGGTTCCTCTTCATGAGAAAAGCATCATGTGGAACAATACACATGAGCACTAAAAGTTTAATTGAGTTCTCTCACTTTTGTTCGTTCATGCCTCATCGCAACTTGACATCGCACTTGATCGAAAGCTTTGTGATGTTACGTCAAGATATTGATTGATTAAAAACGGGAGAGAGAAGGGAAAATGATTCTATGCGAAGCAATTATGGAATCAATCAACAAGAATTCCAAACTTTCAGTTTCATTCAAAGGCTTTTTCTCACTTTAAGTTTCTCTTATCATTTTCAACCATTTTCTTTATGTAGCGGCAGAAGAACTTGTGATACTCCTATCGGAGATGAAATTTTAATACAGCAATAAAAATTCGAGTTCCTCCTTCTCTTTGGTTTCTAACTTCACCTTTACTTGCTTCACTTTCTTCTATGTTCTCATAATAAAAAATAGTCAGGAAAGAAATCTTGTCGAAAAGTTTACTGTCGTAATTCGATAAAGAGAAAAGAAAAAGATGCTGATATTAAGGAAAATGCAATTTTCCGAATTTTCTTTCTCGTAAGGTGTAAAAAAGAAACTTGCTGAAAAAGGTTTTCCCTTGATAAATGAAAATAAAAAAATAGAATCGCTTAAAAGAAAGAAAAGAAAAAATTGAATATTTTAACAACCAAAAGCATTTGTTTCCTACGATTTTATCGGAAGCTTCTCTTTCGACAATGAATGATTCACTTTCGCAATGGGTCGATGAAAAATGAAGCAATTTGAATATCTTTTCGTGTAACTTAATGCTGATTAATATTTTCCAATTTTTCATAATTTAGCTTTGATATTATTTGTTGAAGGAGAAGGGAAAGGGAAGAAAGGATTGATGCGAAGACAAGCTCAAAAAGATGGAATGAGATGTAGAAAGTGTTGGAAATTTTTCAAGCTTCAGTACGAGGCGGCTGACAAAACAACTCATAAAAACCATTTATCTAGTGCGTCGGCAACACAAAAGAACACTACATCATGTGAGAAGACACAAAAATAAACTTTGAAAGTGACAAACATAAAGAAAAAAAAATTATAAGAATGAGAAGGGGAAAAGTTATTGGGAAAAAAAGAAAGAAGAGCGACAAGAGTTTGTTGTCATTGTGCAGATTGAAGACACAAAAAGATAAAAAAAAATTCGAGTGAAACCCTTTCGTTGAACCCAAAGAACTTTCCAAGGATGCCCATAATGTAAGACACGTTAAAAGGGATAATTCTATTCACGGATCTCATCTTTTGTCGGTGAATGTGAGCAAATAACAGCATAACAAGTGTGCTTAAAATTTATTTCTCCTTTTTTTCGCTATTGTCGTTTTCCATTGCAAAAAATGAATTTACACAGGCGTAAAAGGACACAATTTTGTAATTTCATGCTATTGTTGATGGTTAAGATTTTAAAGCTTTTTATAATATTAAGGAAAAGTTTTAAATGAACAAATCGAAAGCAATTTAGTTGAGTGCTTTCTAAGCCAAACTTGTCACATATTACTAATATATATGTTCGTAAACATCTCTCCAAAAATCCTTTTAATGATTGCATGAAATCAGTATTTCATGGACCAACTGCACCAGAGTTATCAGTTGTCAACAACATATGTAAGGAAAAAACAATTCATGGTAAATCTACGTGCCACTCGGTGTTGGATAAATGCTTTCTTCCCATGCTGAAAAGGTTTCAATATTGTAGATACATTAATGTGCATGTCTCACTCTCTCTCCATCTTTGTTTTCTTATTTTTATTCGTGGAAGGAAAATTTTCATTCTTTCTCTTGGATTTTTTTGTGTCTGCTGTTTTCTTCTTCTTCGTCGCCTTTTGTCGCATTTTGTGAATGTGTCTGATAAATATGAAATTACTGTGGCAATAGGAAATGTCGAGAAAGGAGTTATATATGACAACTTTGTCGACAGCTTAGCATCAGTATTGTGATATTAATTTCATGCCACAACGACTGATTTTTCTCAACGTTTTCATGTATGTTGAAATTTATACATTTATCATCGTGCCAATATATTCTTCCGAATCTTCTCTTCGAATTAACCGACGACTGAAACAATTTTACTGGACCAAAAACGTTCCAAAGACAAACTTTTCACGATATGCGTTATAAATATTAATGTTTTAAGCAATGCAATCCACGAAATGATATTTTTATGCATAGAAGCAAACATCGTAGTCACCACATAGCGAAACGTTTTGTTATTCTCGCTATTCATAATAATTTTAAACAATAGTTCATGATGTTCATGCAAATGCACAACTATTTCCGAAGGAGTGCACAAACTTTACCTTAAATTTTCATATTTTCAAATTTATGTGTTGCATTCAAAAAATTGTTTTGTTTATCATTAAAAATGAAACTCGTAGAAATAGACAACAAAAGTACAAATAGATGAATAAATAAATAAACCAGACACTTTATAGGAGAAAAGTTTTTTTTTCTTCTATACTTTCCCCATATTTTTAATAATATTGCAGTTTTTGTTCACATGTTGACAATTTTTGTATTTTTCAATTTGTTTTGGTTTTTTGAAAGCGAAAATTGCATATTGGAAAAAGCCACGTAGTGGACATGTGTGTTTGTTTCAGTGATTTGGTTAATGCATACCTGGAATGAGAAGAAAGAAAAAATTGCAATTAGTTATTTGAATAGTTGGATGGAATTTATGAGACATTATACAGCCAGTAGAAATGAGAAAAAGCCAAACAATTTCATTTTAATCTTTTCGCGAACATTAAAGTCAAAGTCCCTCTTTAAAACCGCAAAGCTAAATTCATACTTTAAAGCGATTTGTGCAATGAAGCTAATTGCACTTGGGTATGTTGATGAGAACGCAGTGATAACTATACCATAAACAAATTTCAGCAATTAGCTTCCATAATGGCAATCGAAAAGTTATTGCAATGTTTGGGCTTTCAGAAAAAAGCAAAATATTTTGGTTTACTTATCAGCAAAATTTCATGAATATGTTGCAGTGAAAATATTTGTTCTGCATGTACATTAAAGTCTCTTTAATTATTTCAATTCTTCAATTTTCTAACAATTTTCTTTATCAAAACTCCATCTAAAGTAAATGAATTTTTGATTAAAATTTCTACGAAATATGATTCATTTGTGTTGAAGTATTTGCATTGTTAACTCATAATTGAATTGGATTCAATCGTATGAAAAAGCCTTGTTCAAAAACTTTTTTTTTGTGTTGTTTTTCTCTCAAACAAAGAAACAATTTTGCGCTCATTTCTGAGTTGAGTGAAGTTTCAATGTTAAATTACGACATGGCATTGAAGAAAGACATCAAACTTCAGCATTAATAGAGTTTAGCAGATTATTTATGCATCCATCCATTCATTTAACATGCACTCTGACTGCAGTTGTATTTACTTTATAAAATGTCATGGCATGTTATGGAATTTAATGAACGTTGTTGAAGTTTATGTTCTCATTGCAGTGCTTATGCTGAGAACAAATCGAAAGGTGTAACCTGCTTCTATGTTCTATTCATTACCATTGAATTATCGCCCGATTAATTGAATAATTTATCATGTAAACACGCAAAAGACACTATAATTTGATTATCTACCTCGAGTACAAAATACTTTCATTCATTCATTCAATTTTTTTCATTCTCAGAAAATTTTCGTTCGTGCGTTCATTTGGTTTGTGTTAGAGACGAGACCAAAATCGTAATTACATTCTGCAGTTTCGAATTTATTTTTGCATTCAAATTGTAATTGAATTACATTGTTTATTTGTTTATTTATTCCACCTGCTGTTTATTTCATTCCGAAGAGAAAAGAATTTTTAATGCTGAAATTTGCATTTGAGAGAATTTGTGGCGCCAACAAAGTTATTTATTTTATTTCGCCAAAAATCAGTGCAAAAGGTTTTAACAACATTTTCTGTCTTTTAGGAATAAGCAAGCAATTTTCATCGTAATTTTTGCTTTGCACAATCGAATTCTTACATTGTTTTACTTTAACGTCATTCATCAATCAATTTAATACCAAAGTGTGGTGCAATTGCATCTCATTGCGATTATAAGTTATCGACGTAATGTACAACTACAACAGATATTTAACCAACTTCAATAGATGATGGTCAACCATTCATCAAATAACTACATTCGACCAACAAGTTTTCTCAATAAATTGTTGCAATAAATTCTTGTAACATCATGATTGGTCGCTTTTCATTCAATTTGTCTGGTCGCTATTGGCAATGTGTTAAAATATGATAAACTTTCATTGATAACTGTTGCTTCATTGCTTCTTTTTTTTCCTTCTAAATTATAGTGATTAACTCATTAAGCGCCTTAAGTGGCGATTATAAACATTGCTTTATTTTGTAAGCATATGAAATGCCATTCTGTTGATTCAAACTCTCATCGTGTAAGTTAAATGAGTTTGCAAAACTTATTCGTGCGAATTATTGCAATTAACTATGCTCGCTGCCAATATCTACATGTCGATGAATGTGATGGAATGTCATCAAGCATTAAATCGCCATGTTTGGTTTTCTCTCTAAAAAAATTATCGATTTGCCACAACAAACTATTCGAATACGGTTTATGCATGTTTGGAGATATGGTTTTGCAACTTACAATGTCTTCTTATGCACTACTCAGGTATTTATGTGATAAATTGTTTTGAAATATTTATCAACTTATTTGCTAACGAGGTTTTCTTGAGTATTTATAATTGGCTGTTTAACTCATAACATAAATAACTGAGAAATAAGATTTTCAAATACAATGAAACTTCAGAAAGAAAAAAAAGTTTTCTAATTTACTAAAATGATTGATTGGAAAAGATAAGAGTTTTGGAATGCGAACTTTGGTGTGTTGGTTGTGAGGTGTGCTGGTGAATGTAATGAGTTTATTTTTATTTAAGCATTGTTGACTATTCATACCGTTCATTTTTACTTTCACAGAATATTCAACATATGTTTAATAATTAAAAAATTACTAAAGAATTAATCAGGAACAATGAATGAACAGAATATTTTAAAACATTTACGAGAATAAATTATCGGAAATCGATGAACTTGTTGTCGAGACGAGGGAATCAATTATAATGATTCAGTGCTTTTCACACCAAAAACTTTTGGTTTCACTGAAGTTATGTTGTTGATGTTCAGATACGTTGTTCATTCCCCAGAAGTATCAGCGAACATGTGAGAGTTCATGTTTCATAATTCTTCTCAACATAAAATATCCATTAGATCAGTTGAAGGAAGCCCCTTTGGTTGTCAAGAGAGCTTTAAGTATCTTTTGCCTTTTCTCTCTGTTTTGTTAATTGCCTTTTTCAATTACTTAAAACACGATTTTCGTGGTGCATAATTTTCTGTTTAATGTTAATTCTTTCCTATGGGATTTTCCTATTGCCTGATAACTAAACCAAATAAAAAATCACCAAACTCTCATGTTTTAATGATAATAATAAAAATATATGGCTGATGATGTTGATAAATGTCATTTGCTTTTGATAAATATTTTACAAAATAAAAGAGAGTGAGAGGGAGAAATAAATTTTGACGCCTTTAGGAAAATTAATAAAATTTATTTACTTTTTTCATTCCTAATGGTTTTCAGCGATCCACAAAGGCATAAACTGATTTATATGCAATAATAGAGTTGATGATGAATGACGTTCAGCTTCACTTTGCCGAACAATTTTTTATGTTTTCAATTTTCCAATTTTCACACACACTCACACATACAACCACAACAACAAACAGCATTCAATTTTATTGCACATTTTGTAAAGTGCTCAATAAATAATGGAACAAAAAATTTATAATTGTGTCGTTGAACGAACACGTCTGATTCATTTTATTCGAAACTGGTTCGAGTGAATGTGAAAAAACATTTTTTTGACTGCAGTCGATTTTCAATGGTTTGTTATGATTGAAATTGAATAAATTTCCATTTCTGGATGTTTTTGAAATGCATTTTAGACATGCTGTAAATAATAGTAAAGAAATGAATTTTAATGTGAAAAAGTTGATTTGTCGTCTTCAAATAAATTTTGAGACCTCAAACGCATTTGAGTTACTTATACGGAAACTTTCACTTCATTTCTAAAAATTTCTTTTTTCCCATGAAATATATTCTTGAACATCAATCGGTTTGCAATCAAAATGCAAATAGCAAAGTTTGTTTCCCACTGAATTTGATATTCTGCTTCTCTGAATAAAGAAGCATTTTATGTGTGAAGAATTACCGACAGTCGGGATGTGAAAAACTATTCCGGAATGCTTTAAAGTTTGTGAGTGAATGCTACCAGCAATGTATTAACATCGAAGTCAAATGTACTCGCTTTCTTTCTCAACAAGAATGAATGACGATAAAAAGAGTCTGACAAGCTTTGTAGTGACATAATCTTTAGAATTGGAATATAAAGCATAAAGCTTCAATCTCACTTCATACGAAGCAAATAAAATAAAATTCTCGACTCAAAAAAGTATGCAGTCGATACGACAATAGATCGCTGTAAATAAAATTATGCTGAAAACATTTTCCTTCTCTATTCATTTCGCTAGATGTCGGAACGAATTCTTCTTCTCGCGCTTCTGTGCTCAAAGAGATAGCAACCGAGATAAATGAAATTTATTTAGCAATTTAATTACTCGAACAATGCATTGATGTTGACTGTGAACAGCAAGAAAAATATGTACAACGTGAACGAAAATTAAGAGAATTTAATGCAAATTTTTTATGCCTGCTTCTCGTATTTTTTTTTTGTTAGTAAACAAGCGTTGAGTTGTGTATAAAAGAATTTTCATATTTGTTGCTAATTTTCATCTCGACTATAGCGAATTCACGATAAAACTTTCTGAAGATATCTAAGAGGTTTTTACAATAATTAAATGTTCCATAAATATCGTGCTATGGACCATAGAATACTCAAAAAAAACCAAAATGATTCTGTTTTTTTTATTCTCTGAGCTCTATCAGAAATAATTAAACAACAAAAGCCTTGTTGTCATAACTTACAATTAAATTAAAATGTACACAATCTGCAGATTGCAGATAGCATTTTCCGGCGATGTCGTTTGCCTTCTGTTTACTATGTTCAACTGTTACATTCACATGTGAACACGAATTCTCATAGTGCTTAATGTCAATGTTTAAACGCTTGTGCTTTAAGCTTTACTCTTGTGGATTTTTCAATTGAAAATTCAATCGCTCAAAACCTTGATGAACTTTACAAAAGATTTTTTAAATTATTGGTTTTTTAACATTCGTGTGAGCCCGCAAGTCTTTTTTTATTCATAAAGGAACAATGAATGTCAGATGACACAGTTTATCATGAACAATTCTCGTGATAAAGTTAAAAACTTTGAATGAAGTGTAGGAATATGTAAATGAAGCATAATATTCGCTAATTCGCCAATTTGTTTAGAATATTTTAATTTTTATACAAAGTAAAGTAAAGATCATTTCTTCCACATCTAAATAACATAGGAAGAAGAGAAACTTTTTGCGGTTCTCACATAATTTGGCACTTAATTTTAATTTAATTTCGAGGAAATGCTTTTACTGTTGTCTCTCTTTCTTTTTGTCTTCAACTAGAAATTCATTCTCATTAGTGAGCTGCTTATCTTACATGTATGCTTGTAGACATAAATAAGATAGAAAACCAACTTTATTAATGTTATAAATGAAATGAAATTAAATAAAAAAAAACTTTCCCATCAGCAGAATTTTCTCTGTTAGGCAATTCGTTCTTTTCCCTTCAACTTTTTTTCTCTTCCGAGACAAACATAATGACGGAAAAATGACAAACAATAAAAAGACATTTATTATGTCATTTCCATTGAAATGATGTTATTTGGTCAATTTGAAACTGTACTTTGTGTTATTATCAGACTTCAACTCGACTGTTGTTTTTGTGAAATGTAATTTTCCGTCACAGTCAACCACAAATGATATGAGCTTTGTCGGAGTTTAACTTTTCATGGCATATCGCAAGGTGTTTGCTTCACTCAACCTAACATGGATGGAGTAAAGCAAAGCAATAAAAAGCATTTAGATAAGAAATACTATGCCACGTTTGGTTTTCTCAGAGATGTTAATTCTTCCGATTTACATTCGAAGCAGCAATGAATAAAGAATTTAATTTGAATTTCAATTAAGCATTTCGTGAGAGAATGGCTCGCGATGGTCGTAATATGTTGATTAAAATATGTGTACAACAAAATAGGCTTTTTCGTTTCAAAATTATATACAAAGCCATGAGAACCGGGAGAAGAATGCATTCTAATCTAATGGACAAGCTTTGAAGCATCAAAAGAAGGAATTTCTAATTTTACTGTCGACTTTTTAAAATTATAATTGCTTAGAGTTGTTGGCTTTCAGTTTTAATTAAGTCTATATCAACAGCATTTAATCAAACTGCAGCAAAATATGAAAAGTTACTGCTCTACTGCGACTTTGTGGAAAATATTCCAGGTGAGAGTTGTTACATCATGATTCATGAATGAAAATTGACTATGAAAAATTGTTTCTACATATTTTCATTTCTTCAAATAAATGTCTGTAAATTGAAACGCCATGAAAGCATTTCCACTCATTTATTCCCATATCAGCAGCAACTCAACGAGTTGTTCCAAGTTAAATATTATGAAATCGTTTCAAATATCGAACGAAGTGAAATGGCTTTCGATATCATTTCAACTCGGGAAGTTTTATGTTTTATGTCGCATTGGATCATTTATGGATATCATAGGATGGTTTGAAGCGTTCGTCTCACCCTCTTCTTCTTTTATATTTCCATATCATCATCGTATTTGGATTTTGTACAGGCTATTTTACGGGACAGAGAGAATGAATTGTGTAATAAATAATAACAAAAGATGAAAAGAGAAAGACGACATTTCGACAAATATCTTCTCGTAAATATCGTTTTCGCTGCTCATCTAACTGAATGAGGAAAAATTGGAATATTTTATGCCATTTTCAATAACATTGTAATGTATTTTTAAATGATGTGCCACTTCGTTCTTTCCAATGTCTTTTTCCTTTCCTTTCGGATGAAAAGGAAAGAAGAATTTAAATTTTTATTTTATCATCACAATACAATCTCTCGACACAAGCTTTCACCATGTATTGTTGTTATTCGAAGAAAAAGCATATTTTCATACATTATTTATCAAATTCAAAAATAGATGAGATGTGCTTCGATATGAAAATTGGAATCGTGCTTTTATTAAGCGCGAAATTTCGGCTCTCTTTGCATCGATGATATGCTGAGTTATTCTGTTTTAAAATGAGAATATTTTCTTATGTCGTCTTATGTGTGTTCACTTTTTTGTTTTTGAACATCCGAAATAAACTTTAAGTGCGCTTCACAAGAACAAATATCGTATGTATCGATTTTTTATTGACTAGTCGACGAGATATTGAAGCTTTCACTTTTTATCTCTTTCAGTTTAAATTCTAGACAAGATGGAAACACTGGAATCATGAATTGAGATTGTTTATAACACAAAAACTACTGTTTTTCTATACTTAACTCTCTCTCGAATGCTGTTTCAATAACATTTTTTGTTAATATTTGAATTGCGAATTCTGATTTTTTCCTCTCTCATTTGCTGCCAAAAATTGAGGTCGACATCAATCAAAAAAGTTTTTATATCTAGCTAGGGTTCGTTCCATTACTAACTAAATATATTTATGCAGTTCTATCGTTCATCATGTCATACGTTTAATTCCAGTCAAAAAGTTAGAATCACAATGATTCAATTTTTTTCTCCACTGACTCATAATGAACACATGACTTGATTCAAATCGTTAGCCTACAATGCAAGCTTTAAATTTACACCTCATCACACTGGCTCGTTCCTATTAACTTCTCACCTCATCAAAAACTATCAAAGCGATGATTCATCAATAATTTATCAAAGCTTTCCATCGTTACACGTTTTCGCAACGAGTTTATATTAATAGAGTAGTCTAGACAAAAGTCTTCTTCTAAATTTTTATTTATTCTTTCGTTACAATTTTATGATTTAATTTTATAGTAGATAGAACATAAATAGATTAAATTAACGTTGAATATTGACAATTAAATAAAATGACTGATCAGCTCTGAGACTCAATAAAAGAAAAATTGCTTTGAGCTAATAGATATTTATTTTTTATGTTATTGCAATCACGTTCAATGTTGCTAAATAATCATTTTTAAATTGCAATAATACTACCTCAGAACATGACACAATCCCGTAACATCGATTTCGTATCAGAATTATTTTTAAACCTTTTTTTCTGTTATTTTGCACCCAACACGACCCCAAGCCATTGAATAATTTGGCTAACGATTCCATCAAACTGCGGTCGCGGAAACCAAAGTCATTTTTTTGTGTTCTGCGTGCAAGTTAATTTACGTTGGCATACCAAAACGATTGATGAATAACAACAAATATGAAATCGATTTATCATAACAACATTTTGACGTTGAACTCTTAACTGAAGTCTGTTGAAATCCTTAGCTTATTTTATCTGTCAAGGAAAACAGACAGCGGTGGAAAAAGGGTGAAGAAGGAAAAGTGAATTACTTAAAGTGAAGGTGTAAATTGATTTCCCATCAACAGCTTGCTTTTCCGTTTCCCGTGTCTCTTTTTTTCTTCATTGTAGACACTCGTGGTGAACAAAAAAATTTTGTCTAATCAGCAACATTGCTTTGATTCAGTAACCGAGAATTAAAACCGAGAGAAAATTAATTTCACATTCGCTTTTCCGCGTTCACTGGCTCGTAATTATAAGTTTTAAAAGCTTTCGCTGTCAAATGCACGAGAAACTGCCGTGTTAAGTTCAACATTTTAATCATATTGTGAGCACATTGTATAAAAGCACTTCTGCTATAATATTTGTTAGAAATTTCACAACAGATGAGAACACAAAATGGAATTATTCTCAACAATTGGTGAATTTTAGTTTCATTATTAGATATCATAAAATATAAAGTTTTAATTTCGAAGAGCTTTGGTTGGGGAATGTGATAATGAAATTCTCTTTCACTCCTTAGGATGAAACAAAAAGTAAGAAGAATTGAACAAGTTTGAAAATATTTAATAAATTATGAGAAAATAGCTCACGTTGCGACTTTTGAGAGATGAGACGGTTCATTCTATTGGATGGTGGAGCCGCTTAGGGATTTTCTCATAATATCTGCTACACAGTTTAGTTTTCGCTCGTCACTGTACATGAAATATCGATCTCTTCATAAGGGAAATAAATTTTCAACCAAGTCAGTGTTGCTTGTGCTGAAGCATGTTTTAAAATTCTTTCATCATGAAATGAATTTCAAAAGTTTATGCATGTGCTATACACAACTCTCAGTGAATAAGCAACAAGAGAATCAATATTTATGATCTTTCTCTGAATATTCTGAGGTTTTCCATACGAACAAGCTAGAAAGACGATAACTTCGATAGATAGATACATTTAGGAATTTCGAGAATGTTTATGCTTGCTACTTGAAACTCTTGGAATCTGTTGAATTCTGTCAATTTCGAAAATTTATAAAATACCAATTTATTATTAGAGTTTTGAAGCGAACGAAGACGATGGGGGAAGTTTATGTTCATTGTCACCAAGATGGATGTGAATGTTTATAACTCGAATATATTTCAAAGGCTTGTTAATGTTAATGCTAATATTTACTCATCAATCAACTTATTTAGGAATCACTCATTTGATACTTGTCAAATTCGTCGCGAAAGATTGTGGAAAATTCAATAACATAAAACTGTTTAATCGTCGCGACAAACTTCACTTTTTGCGCAAATTCATAACTGCTCCCCGATTTCGTAAAATAAAATGCTATAAATTATCGCAATATACATTTAATGTTTGATAACAAAATTTACTTTACAGGGAACGTTCAATTGGAATTATTTTCCTCTGAGAAACAACAAGAGTCGTTATCGATTAATGCAGTTTATGATTCAAATAATACCAATTGAGCCGAATAAAATGACTTTAATTCTCGATGTTTAAGCAGCAACCATAAAATTTTTATTTCCTTGAAATTAATTTCAAATAGAGTTCTACTAAAACTCAACGTTTAAACATTAAGATGATGAAGAAGTGAAGAAAAAAAATATATAAAGATTAACGACATCAAATTACTTATGTCTGATGTAGTAAGCGAAAAGAAACATTTCTTTTCATTTTCAATCTCAAACTTTTAACGCTTCAAAAGTTCTCATTTTTCTGATTCTTCTTCTTTTATTCATGTTATCAACCGTAACAGCAAGTGAAGCTTCATAAATGATAACCGGCAAGTTTACATATACGACACGACGTAATTCTAATAAAATATTATCTCTTATCAATGACTTGTTATCGACACGAGTAAATTCCCCATCTCTCTCCCTTTCTTTCTTTCTTTCTTCCTTCTTCGCTATAAAGTTCCTCAAAGAGCAATAAAATATTCCGAAGAAAGAAATCATTAATTTTTTTATAGCATTTTAGTTGGAACGAGAATTTTTTGTTTCTGTAAAGTTATCGAGAAAATCTTAGTTTATTCGACAAAGTGATGTCACTACGTAATAGCTTGAAGGAAAACGTGGAAATTATGGAAGTTTATTGAAGCAAAGCGATAACGGAGTTTCGTAACAAGTATAAACCAAACCAAACCAAAAATAAAATAAAGAAATGAAATCCGAATATTCAAACAGTAGAGAAGAAATATTTGTTTCTACCGTGAAAAATATTCATAATCAAAAGTTGACCCATGGCATTCAGAACTGACATCTCTACAAATCAAATCGAATGCGGCACGAGAAATAAAAATTTCAAATTTCCAATTTTTTATTCTACCACCATCGAGATTTATGCTCATCGTAGATATTTTTTCCTTCATTCACCTTGAGGCGATTAAAAGATTAATTTGGAAACTTTTTTTCTTTAACGTTGGTTTATGATTTCTGGTATATGGACGGAAGAATCGTCATTTCAAATGATAACCATAAATAATTGGGAATACGAGTAAGGCGATTTGGTGGGGAAAAAGAAACTAAAAATGTGATAACAATGACTAATTAAGTTTCAAAAAAAAACTTGCATAGTTGCTACGTTTAATGGCAATCGAGTAAATGTATTTGTGTGTGTGTTTGTGTGTACTTGTAGATATTCATCCGTTTTAGTTGGATATTGTATGGTAATCAAATTTCTCCATCTCTCGTCGTTCCTAAGCTACGTGAATGACATACGAATTTGTCGTCAATTGAATGCCTTAGACTATTGCATACACGTTCTGTTGTTCATTTGGCAATGAAGTTCGATGAAATGCGCCTATCAAATGAACACAATGGACATTAAGTTTCATAGCGAGACAGTAAGACTAACTAAAGTCGACAAATCACAAGTTCTCTTAATTCGATGACTAATTAAGTCATTCGGTGCCGTGCCGTGCTGTGTTAAGCTAACAAATGAATAACAAAATGCTTACATTGTTAATCCTCTATGAATATTTAGAAACGAGTCGAGTAAGAGAATGAAACAAATCGTAATTAATGCTAAAAAATATCTTCCTAATGACTGTTGTTTCTGTATCGTGTTGATGATTTAAGGAGAAGTTATAAAAAATGTTGTCGAAATGTCAAGCGATGCACTGCAATGAGTGTAATTTTATTGTCAATAGATTTCTTTCATTACTTCTGACTTCATCTTTTACTGTCAAAATGTGCAGCAAACATTTGGCACAAGACACGAAGAATTTTTATTTTCTTCTATTCATCATTTGAAAGAAGTTGAAGTTTGTCAATTTAACAAATTATCAAAGTTTCTTCTTTTCTGTTTACAAAATGACTTTAAATCAACATTGGCATCATCAGCAGTTACCTGTTTCGACAAATGACGACGACTTACATTCAACTGTAATTATCATCTATAAATAATTTAATGACTATCAACCCGATCTAAGTTGTCTACTTAAAGTACAAACAACTTGTGTAATTATCTCTCAGACAAGCTGACAAAAAAGCACGGTTGCAATTTCCATTTAGATAGCTCATGATGCATATTTACAAACGTTATTTTATTTTATTTTTCTAAAAAGAAGCTTTTTGAACGCAAATAGTCGATGACTCATAAAACGAGAGAGAAACAACCTTGTTTTGAATTAAATTTACTTTTCCAACGACGATCTTACAATCTTGCTATAACCCGCCACAAATTGCATTTGATTTCATTCCGAACCGCTTGCATAATAACAGTAAAAGTATTTTTATTTTTTTCATTCATTAAATCGTGTTTGAAGAAACCTTTGCTTGTTGCACATTCATGACCGCAAACCTGACTAAGATTTACAACTTTAGCAAATATAGGAAAGAATTCAAGGAATTTATCGAGTGTTTCAAGCTTAAAGGTGGTGATGTCATGTTACGCTACTCGTTGAGTAAACTTTTGAATCATCAACACAAGATTGAGGTGAATATTTAAGCTTGATCAATGACGATGACTACAGAATGAATTCTTTTTGAGGTAGTAATAAACATTTTGCTACACGTCGCAATAGCTTAACTAATTAATTGTCTCTTATTGTTGCTTCAAAAGCATGTTGTCGTACAATTGTCGAGTTCTTTTTGTCTCGAAGCGAGACATCATCCAACCACATAACATCTTACAAACACAAGAATAAATATACGTTGATAACGAAAAACAACACACAAAATAGACACAAAAGCTCTTTAAGGCCTTCCAAATAAAAGAGTAAAGAGAAGACTTTGTTTTTCTGTTATTTGCGCTTAAGTGTGTGCTTTGCGCTGCCGCTTTATACGCTCACAATGATTTCATACCTTCGTGGATATCGATCAAAACAAACAACTCTTATCTCAACTTTATTGTTACGAAATTTGATTAAAAAAATGTATGTTATGTATACATGAAAAAATGTTTTTTTTTTCTACTTATAACTTAAGATACGGCATATGCAAGTGAATTATATTTATGTATGGAGACAAGTGTTTGTGAACACAAAAAATAGTTGAAGATAGAGCGGTTGAGATAGTGGCTGTTACAGTCATCGAGTTTTTATTTAGCTGATGATGAAACTTTGTCATATAAATTATAAATATGAAACAGACTTTGAGGCTGCTGCGAAAGAGTTTCGAATTCTCTCTATATTTAAATCTTCTAGTAGTGTCATTAATTCTTCGAATATTAAATTCATAAAACAAAGAAAAGACATTCGTGTCACATATGTTTTCATATGCAATTCAATTAAAGTCACTTCTCTTTCCGTTCATGTTCCAATAAACGATCACTTGAAACATAACATATCGCATTTCAAAATAAATTGGAGAAATTTAAAATTGATGAGACTTTTATTCGGTATTGTCGTGAATTGCGCCAAAAAACAAACGAAAAATTCGTGAATTGCTGCGAATACTCAAATATAAAAAGCAAATTTTCAAAGCAATGAAAAATAATATCATGTTGTTGAGATTGTTCGCATTCTGTATTCTTATTAATCATTCACATGACGCGATCTTTTATATACAAGCGAAAGTAAAGTCAAGTAAATAACGCCAATAATAACGTATTTTTTGGGGAACATAGCAACGTGAAAAAAGCGACGCCGAAGATGGAGCAAAAGAAAAAAAAGCCGGTAAAATTAATGAAAATAAACAAAAAACTTTTCTCAACGGTCAAAATGCGAAAGTGAGAAAGATAAGAAAAAAATATTAAGAAAAGAATGAGGTGAGTGAGACTAATACAAACAGCAAATATTCGCAAGTAAATAGTGAGACAACGAAGTGGTGAAGTAAGAAAAAAAAATCAGCGCAGACCGATCTGACCATGTGAGTGTATTTATGATATAATCGCCCGTTCATGATCCATGTGACATGGACAAGATGGCAAAACTGGTTTTTTGCGCGGCACGACTATAAATGGCATTAAATGAAAAAAAAATAACATTTCTTAAATTTCATGTTGAAATCAAAGTTAAAGTCACAAGTCGAGCTTTGTATATTTTTTCTGCAAACAAAAAGGGAATTAAAAATAAAAATTAATTGAAGTTAAGCATTAATCATAAAATGAAGTTTTATGGGTTGCGAAAATGAATAAAAACAAACGAGTAATCATGACATCACACGAATTGAAAACATTCAATTGCACTGTGCAAAGTTGTTCTGTTCAATGAGTGAATCAGTCGTTTATCCCTGATACAAGATCCTAACCCCATCCAAACATCCATGTTTTGCTATTATAATGCGAAATTAATTTTGCAAAGAATTTTCAGCGTAATTTCCATGAAATAAAAATGTTGGATGATGAAGAGAAGAGCGCATGTTAAATGTGAAAGGAAAATATCCATTTTCTGCTTTTTACATATTGCATCTAAGCGAGCTTTATGCTTGCTGCTATTCAAACAGTTATGAAGAGAGTTAGGAGGAAGCATGAGAGCAAACATAATTTTTTTCTTCCTGCTATTTCAATTTTAAATGGATGATGTTCATTGCGGGTGTGCAGTGGATGATAGCAAAAGCATCAAATACCAACCAACCAACCCTCTACTCCATTATTTCTGCATCATTCAAGAACACCGCAGTTCATGAAAAGCAACAGCAGTGGAAATTTTCGTTCTGAAATTCACATAATGGAGTTTAATTACATTTTTCTCACCGGCTGTTACCTCCTGCTTGTTTGCTTGCTTCGCTTGTCGGACAATTTCATTATGAATCGTGTTAAATTAATTAGTTAAAAAATTTTTCTCTGCTGTTGGAAATTCTGATTTTAGATATTACAATTCAACAACACTCATCCTTTCTCTTCAACAACGAGAAAGCCGAGACAGGTTTGTAAAGAATAAAAAAAAATAAGGTTGGAGCCAATTCAAAAGCACTTAAAGCACCTTCGTGAGTTTTCTAATGAATAAGTCGGAACTTTTAGATTAAACTTTCATTGTTTACAGCGATAACAAGCAAAAGATCAATAAAAGCTTTAAATAAGTATCTCGGAAATTATGTCTTATTCACTTCCTTCTTCTTTCTAATAAGAGTCATGATCTTAATAGCTTTGAAACTTCAACTTCTCCCTCACCAAAGTTCACCAATTGCCGATTATTTATTTTTAATGTCCTAGCTAGTCCTAAATAGCAATAGAAACGTTCTTCTCTTTCACTCATCCCATCATGAATCGATTCTTAAAGAAACACGCAACGAGGAAAATGTCAGACCCTGTTGAGATTTATGTGAAATCTTATTCCGCTAAATTCACTTTTAACGATCAAAATTTTTCTCCTTTTAAAACGAATTGTAAAGTTGAAGAAAAGCAATTTGAAGAGCCAAAGAGAATAGAAAGGCAAAAAGGATCCAACAAGCGACAGATGTATTCACGACATTCATAAAATGTAGAAGAAGTTCAAATCGCAACGCTATGCTTTAGTCATCCATAGCGCACCGAAAGCACCGAAAATTGTCGTCGTCTTTTCGTTTTTAATTTGCAATAAAAACGCCATAAACTGAAATCAATTTTGCATAACTCGAGTGCGCGTTGCTATCGCTTCCTCAATTGCCATCTTGTGTAGACGCTTTATATCTTGTTTAGTGGACCATTTGGCTTTCTCGGTTATTTCCTTTTGGTTTGAAAGATGACTACTTATAAGATCTTTCTCGGTCAAGAGGGAGAGGACATTTTTATGAGATCTTCTCTTTTATATATAAATTTGGTGGCTTTGTTCAATTTGCTTCGACATCTCAAGTATTCCTTTCTCCGTCTTTTATTGTACATCAAAATAAAGAAAGAAAAACGAACGAGAAAATCTTCACCACGAACAATGATATCAGAAATCCGTCTGCGAAACGATAAAATTGCTTCAATTTGCCCTCGTCTCTTTTACACAAACGGTTATCAAAACATCTTTCAATCATACGCAAAAAAAAGAAGAAAAATATATCCACAAAATATGGGGGTGGATTGTTGAAAGAACGAAGAAGAAGGAAGGAAAAACACTTTTTCTTTTTTACGCGAGCTTTTCCGTCTGACACTGACATAGCCTTTCCTCATTCGCCTCATTCAAAAATCGAGGAGGAAGACAATTGGAAATCTTATTTAACATGCAGATGAAAAGAGCCCATGAGAGGCCATCATCAACATGGTTATGAGAAGGGACGATGAAATCGATTGTTGTCTGACATCCGATAGCAATCTGCTTTTTCCAAATTTATTCTTCATATTCGAATTTTCTTCGCTCATATTTCATTTCATTTCATTTTACCATGATTGAATTATGACCATAATTTGGCTTTTCCGGAAAGAATTTTCCTTTTCCATCATATTTTGGGAAAAATATTCCACCGTTGCTTGCTTAGGAAGTCGTTTCGATTTCTGGTTTTCGAAAGATTTAATGGCAATGCATGCATCCCCATCATCATAAAGATTTTTTATCTCTTCGACATATTTATTGTTGTGGCAAGATTTGAGTTCTCGTGTTTTCCTTTATTTACATTTTCCATCGTTGTCCAACGAAAGAAGTAAAGAATTGACAAAATTTTCCAATTATTCATTCAATCTCTTCTCTTCTTGGGTTTTTGTCATATCATGTCCGATTAATGTTTCATTTTGCTACATTTCGCTTCATGTCACATGAGAAATGAATTATAACGTGCTCGAAATTGAAAGGATTTCTTTCCAACATTGTGGTGTAAAAAATATTCTAATTGTATCACGAACACATGATACTCGTCTACCCACTTTTAATCTGAGGTAATTTTGTTAACACACTGTTCATTTCTCCATAAATAAATTTAGCAATGATGCGGCGATGTTCATCAGAGAGCTTTTCATCTTTTAGATATTTCTCGACAATATCATCATCGGCATATGAAGTAACTCTGATTGACGCTGAATTTCATACTGTGACCATGATGCGAGCCCGCTAATGAGAATTTGTTGTCATAAAGTAATGAAAAGTAAAAAAAAATAAAATAAAACTCGAAGGGAGAATAAACAATGGACTTGTAAACATACATATCATTCCACCGGGTACCCATGCGTCTCCTTCTCTCTCTTTCTATCTCTCTTTCTCACTCACATAGCTTATTTGAATATCATTTGAATATTTGATGAATATTTCAACAGAAAACAATCAAGCTTCCCTTTATTTTCGCTCGTTCGCTTTTTGTGGCTAAAAGAATTTCAAATTTCTCTGTTTGGCTTTCTCTTTCGTTTTTTACTTACTCACTTTGTAGCTTTGAGCTTTCAAGGGTTATCTTCATATGTGAAGAAGACATAGTGCTTAGGGATGCGAAAATGTCCCTCAACGCAAGAAACAATTTTCATGAACGAAATCTCCCAACAGAGACGAAGTCTTCCAGCAAAAGCACAGCAAAAAGCAGGATGTTCATTAACATAAAAATTCAATATTGATGAAATTTATGTACACAACAGATATCTTCTAGCTATCGGGCGTCTTTCATGTACACACAAGAAACCTAACGAAGGAATCAAATGGTAAACACATTATCTCTCTCTCTGTCTCCTTTGATGAGTAGAAGAATCAAGCGAAATGAAATGACCATTCACATGTAGATATCTATCCACCTAAATATCTACATTTATTATATGTATGTAAATTACAAGAATTTATTTATTTTAATGGCCCTAGAGTTATCCAAACGCGATGACATAACACACAAAAATTCTTTTCATTTTCGTTTGCGATCTGTTGTTGTTTTCGTGTCGTTTTATTCGTTGTTGTTGTTGCTGCTGCTGCTGCTGCTGTTGATTTAATATAATTTGAATTCATAATTCAGCGAATACTGACAAAGTTGAGAAGATAATGATGAACTTTTGTCAACATAAGTATTTAAATAAATACATTTAAAGTCAAAGTCAAAGTGACTTCTTTTATGATGAATCTAGATAGAATAATAAGAAGAAGTTATCATCGTCCATGAAGTCATCTTTTAAAGCGTCTCATCAACACAATGATGAAGTCACCGACGGCGATGGAATCAGAGAAAAGAAGAGAGACAAGAAGAGACGCGCGAAAGATGATGTGTGTTGAATTCATGATTATATTTTGCTTTTAAGCATTGCTTTATACACATGGCGAATCTCCTTTCTTTAACGGACGATTCCAAAAAATAATCGTGAGAATGTGTTTGTAGCTTCGCTTTTTGTCCAACGATTTTTATTCGGTCATCGCGCGCGTGATTTCAATATCTCATGGTGGTTGCTAATACTAAAATGCCAATGTCGATTCGTTAAGTTTGTCTAAAAATACTTCGCATTAGAGCCCTGTCAAAGTTTAAATACATGATCTCAGACTCCCCGAGTCACTAGCAGAAGAATGATGAAGTTTCGTGCATATTCTAAATGAATTGAAAACAACAAAGCAATTTTTTTTTTGTTATTCAAAAAACGATTTGTCAAATATGGCATTTAATGAATGCACATTCAGTATTTACTATTTAGCGTTTCTGTGGTATGTGTCACATTTGTTTGACTTTGCTTCTTTTTTTATATTTTTCATTATAATAATAACGATGGTAACACCGGCTTGGTGAATAATAATCAAATATTTCTTTCATGTCATTTTAAATTTAAATGGCAAAGCAGGTTTTTTGAGATGAAAGTATTTAAATTTGAATGCAACAATTGCTTTGATTTAAAATTCATTTTAAAAATGTTTGAAATTTATTTGTTTCTTTTTCTTTGAATTTCATCAAGAAGAAACTGCAGATAAGATAAAAATCAAACGAAACATTTTATTTCAATTGAAATAAAACTCGACACACCACATTAATATCACTTCAAAACATTGCATAACAACATTTTTTTTGCAAATTTTGTCATTTTCATTAATTTACTTTTCAACAACAGAACGCTTCAATAATACTCAAAATACGCTCGCATGTATCCAAGCGCATAAATATAAAACTCACACGTTAAAAGCCTGAGACATGAAGGAAAGAAGAATAATACTTTATGTATTTACACGATGCTTCGTTCTGTGCATCGTAAAACCGCGTGGTTTTTTATTTTTATACAACACCAACGATTTCGTCATCGTTTGAATATGTTTCTCTTTTGTTATATTATTCGTTGGTTGCCTTCAACTTTGTTCTTCGTTCTTTGGGTTTGTTTCTTTCTTAATTATTGCTTAAAAATTCATTTTTATTCGTTCTTAACGTCTCATTCCCCCCCATCATTCCTCTTCTTCTTCTATCTTTAAACATGTTTTCCACATTTTCAGATTAGAATTATGCTTCATTCTCTCTCTCTCTCTCTCTCTCTCTCTCTCTCTCTCTCTCTCTTCCTTCTTCTTATTTATGTTGTATTTCTTTTTCCCAAACCATCAAAAATTCATTTCGTATTATTTTCATATTTATTTCGCTTTAGAATTTTTTTCTCTCCATCCAACTTTGTTATTGTTTTTTTTTTCTCGCTTTATTGTTTTCTTCTTTTCTTTTCTTTTTTTGTTAAGCAACAGAAATAACAAAAGAAGTGAAAAGTTCTGCGGGGGCCTCCTGAAAAATAAAGACTCTTGCTTATGACGGTCATTCAAATAAGAAGAGAGAGAAGAAAAAAGTCACTGATGATTATTTTCTTTTGGAATATAAATTTCCTGTGAAATTAAATGATTGTGCCATTGTCAATGGACGAGGGCAATTTGAATGACTTCAATTTGAGTATTTTTGCGTCTGCTTTTTTCATTGTAGATTTGAGAATCTAAAAGTTAATTTTTCAGTTCAAACACAACAATAAGAAACTTGTGCTTTCGTTTATGAGACGAAAACCAGCAGCAAATTAAGCCACAAGCAAAGAAAAGTTCTTCGCAAACTCTTCAAAAACCGTTCCAAGGCAATTTTCATTCTCCCCCTGGAACTTCTCAACTCAAAACTTTTCTTGGTCTTTGAATTTCATCTGATCAGGAAGAAAAATAAAGTTTTTCTTTTCGTTTTAAAGTTCGTGATGTTTTCTGGTTTGTTCTATTTTTTTTTCTTTACATTACTTTGGATGAAATAAAAGAAAAGTTCATGTTATTCTCCGCCTCGGATATTAGACACAGAAAGAGAGTGAAAAGAAAGCAAAGAAGAAGAAAAAAGATGTTTCATTCAAGGGCAATGATCTGATAAAATAAACGTATATTTCCTAGTAACTCTTGTGGAGAAAAGAAACCGTTTCATCGGTTATTGGGTGAGGAGAACAAAAGCAAGAAAATAAGAAGCGAAAGCTTCCTTTAATGTTATTGTGCGAGGTCTCCTGAAGAAGAAATAAAAAAAATAAACGATGAATAAAGCCACAAGAAACATTTAATTTTCTTCCGTTGAATTAATCTTGGATTGAATACATTGAAGATGAAAATCCCACACACACTCATACACCACAATCATGGGATTGCTGCTTTAAAAAGCAAACGATTTAGCCTTTTTTGTGACCTCTGTCTCTCCTTCTCAATCTCTGATTCTTTTCTTCTTCTAAAGATATCTAAATGGGCTTTCAAACCCCAAAAAGGTGATTATTGCATAATATGCGAGGACAGTGATGTCACTTATCGTTTATTCATGTGTTTATTTAAGCAAGTGCACGTCAATCCATAAACATGACTCATGAGAATTCATTTTATATTTCTAAACAAATCCAAAGAAATTAACAAACAAGAAAAAAATTTCTAAGACGATTTACAATGTTGAAATCCAAGTCGAACACGATTCATTTTAAGATTATTTTCGTTAATCCCTCCGCTCATATTTGGGTATGGCAAGGTGGCAACTGGCAAAGGTGAGAGCGGGGCTATAAATTGTAAAACGAAAATAAAAGTAAATAGAATTTCTCCGCACCAAGTCCCATGACCGAAGCGAAACAGGTTTAGGTTTACGGTTGAACATAAAAAAAAACTCTTTTCTCACTGGCTTTCTATCGACGTCGTGCCTCTAGGTTTCTGATTTAATCCTATTGTCAATTCTTCCACGTTTTCTGTCTGAAGATCATAAAACCTGACGATTTTCTGGCTTTCTTTTCAATCTTTCCCTCTCACTCTCTCCCTCTATTTCTCTTTATTTGGATAACGTTTTCAATTCCACACACATAGCTAAGTAGGGTTCGAGTCAAGTTAAAGTCATCATAACCACATGAAACGTGTTTCTCTTGTCTTCTTTCGAAGTCATCAATGATGTTAGGTCAGCTAGTGGTGTAAGAATATCAAGAAGAAATTCTTTCATGTAAGTGAAAGTGCATCAGTATGCTACAAGTACATTTAGTTCTTAACTGTCGATTGAGGTTGTTTCATGTTTTCATGTTTGAATTGAAAGCATCTTTCGATTCGTTATATTTTCAATTTTATTCAACGAGGTACTTTCCACAGCAAATACTCTGATAACAAGACGCTTTCTATCTGTTCACAGTTGTCAAGTGTCGATATTTCAATCGAAATGAATGAAAGTATTGAACAGCTAAATAATCTCTGGATATGCAGCATGTAAGTTATGTTGGCATCTATGCATGTGAAAGAAGGAAAACTTTTCTAAATAAATTCACGTGCTTCTTTATGCACCTGAAATTCAAACCAAATGCAATGACTTTCCACTGAAAGGATGTAAATAAAACGATGAAAGAAGAAAATTTGTAAAAGAAAAATTGTGCAATGAAATTTTCTTTGAAAGAGATTTTCATTTGATTTGATTTGATGCGACATAAAATTTGTTTCTTTTATTCCTTTTAACAGCGGTAAATGTCTTATGAGAATTTAAATATTCCTCTCGATATATTTAAAGCAATGACTTACTTATAGTGAAAGGATATTTACCCTCGTCAATAAAAGGGCATTACTTTCAAAATCTCTCATTCTGCAATCAATTAAAATTTAATTGAAATATTTAATCCCGCTTATTGTACTCTTCTTGACGCAAGACGTTCATTCATTAATCATAAATGAGTTAAGATACACGATGCAACCGCTGTTATTGTGCAATATCACAAAGCACGATATTTCGTCACTTTATATCTGTCAACACGTTTCGTCATTCTCGTTTTTATTTTTATGTTTCATTGCCATCGTAGAATAAGATGACAAATGCAATGCACCTTTCCATCTTCCAACTTTTTTCTCTTTTTTTATTATTATATATTTCATTTCATTTCTTTTCATCTTTGTGTCATCGTCTTGATTTTGAGTCGACTTTCAACACGTGTGCTGTTGGATGAAATTGCCGCTGTATTGATGATGGAGCTGAATCAAAAAGAAAACGAAGAATTCTTTTGCTTTATTAGATTTTTATCAAATCGAGAGAGAATCGGTGAAGAAATAGAAATCAAGTTGTCGTTTCATTCGTAGTTCTTACTCCCGCTACTCGACAGATTTCTTTGGGGAGATTCTATTATTGTGGCGATGATGCGATTGAAGCGGGGGTGGAGAATCGATTGTGACTTCAAACTACTGACTTGGAAAGCATAATGACATTTGAAAGTTTATTGGAAGTCGCACCATGTCGTCGTCATCATTCGTCTCTTTTTTCTTTTCTTTTGATAAAATCTGCGCCCATCTTGAAAAGAGCCGTTGATTCCCCAGGAGGGCATCTAGTGGGAAATCATTTATTCAGCTTGATTCATTAGTGTATGTGTGTGTATGTGAGCAAAATAAGAAATTCCATAAAGATGTTTTCTTATTCCATTTTGCGACTGATTGCCCCCACTCCTTAATCCGCCCTACGCGTGATAATTTATTCAATTATTGAATTCAGAATCGAAAACCTCATCATCATCATCGAAAACATTCTTTGGGTTACACAACGAATAAAGAAAAGCACATTAAGAATTCCATTTCGGTATCATATTTTCTGGTATTCGTCGAAGAATTCTTTTATATGATAAATAAATAAAAAATATATTTTCAACATGGTCAATGACATGAAATCGAAGCGACGGTGTGAAAAATATTAATTGAGCGCAAATATACTTCAGTTGATTGTACGACACAGTTTCGAGACGACAACAAAACAAAAATTGTACACCTTTCAATTCGTCGTCTTCGATCTTCGTCTTTTCATCTCGAAATTGTGTGCTGAACATTTATCTCACGCTGAGCTCAAACTTACTCTCATGTAAATTTATTAACAGCTCTTTGGCTAACTCACATACGTAAATATTTGAATGAAGAAAAAGATTTTTTTTAAGATAGTTCTTCATCTTCCCAGTTCTCAGTTGGTAACGAGCGTCGTTGACATTTAGTAATCATAATTATCTAATTTTATTCGCATTAACTCCCACAATTTGTTCCATCTGGGAAGGAAGTAAAAGAAGTCACTAACTATGTGAATGAAGAGACGGAACAATATTTGTTTTCAAGAAAATTATGCAATCGTTAAGCGAATCGACGCTAGAGTGATTGTCGGAAAGAAAACATTGTCTACGACTCTTCTCGAAGATTACACACAAGAAGAGGAAGAAGAAGTTAATGAATTTTGAAGGCGAAATTAAAAAAATTTGGATGAAGATTTTTTGATTTCGAGTGTTCATTCTTCTGTTGGGAAGTGATGAGCAAAAACAGGCACGTTTCACACGAAAAATGGACGGGCAAACATCGATATATGTAAATGCTATATTTGATTTTCTCATTAGTATAATTTTCATAATCAATATTCAAGCAAGAATTCTCACCGCACACAAATGATATTTTCATCCTCCGCTACTTCACAACCATCTCTCGATATTAAACTACAAGGTTCCCATATTGTTTCAAGCACCAGTGTCCACTTGACATACAGAAACGATGAGAAACTCTCGATATGAAAGATGAATATATAAAAATGTTGTGCTGTTAAGAAGGAAATGCCCAAAAAAAAAAAGAAAACGCGATAATAAATAAAAGTTTCGTCTTTCACGAAAGAAGTTTCACTTCAACTCAGTTTTTTGTTTATTTTGTAATCAGTCATGACTAAGAGTATGAGTAGAAGAAAAATTGAATTTATGAGAATTTTGAAAGTCACCGCGAGTGAAAATAAAACTTGAGAAATTCGTAAGCACATGTGAATGTGATATATCGAGCATAAATATCTTTTAAATGTTAAACACAAAAAAAGTAAACAATTTAACATGATGAAAAATATTCTTTGCAGAAATAGAATCTGAAATGTTATGAATGATAATATTTTTCATTTTGATGTGCAAAAGCATAACAACAACAACATTTTCATAATTCTACAACCCTTTTCTAATGTTTCCTTGCCCATAAATATGCGGTTTGGAAGACTTATGGGCTGCAGAAATTGTTTCCTTTGAAATTGTTACAGAAATTGCCTTTTAATTGCCTCAAGACTATCTCAGATGAGGGAAAACACGCAAGAAATGACCATTCAACTGAATACAAACATATCTCCATGCACATAAGTATTCTGTTGATGATCTGGAAAAGGTCAAGTAGCAACCACATGTGTTTCATGTCTGACTTTTGTTTAGAGTTTGATTTGCTTTCTAGAGCAGTTACACTTTTGTTTCCCTCTTTTACACATTTACTTGTCTAGACTTATGTCGAAACCACCCCCAATGTTCTATGCGATTATTCCTTAAAAAATAACACATCAGTTAAGACTTTCACTTTTACCCACAAGCATTCAGAATTTTTCTTCCTTTTAAATATGAAAGAAGAAAGAAAATTTTTCTGTTATTTTTGTGAAAAGAATTTCTTTCGTGGGAGTTGAAAAAGCATTCAAGAGAAGAAAGTTTTTAGGCTTACGAGTTGTGCTAGGCATGGCCTTACTTCGTCTTATGAAAATAAGAGAAAAAAAACAACAACTTTTCACATCTTTTTCCCTTCCATCGCACACGACAAAGCAGGAACAAAAAGAAAAGATTAAGCGTAAGTAAAGGAAGAAATTTTTCCCTTTGGCACAATTACAAGGCAGCACAAATTCATAACATTCTCATTTTTTTGCTGCTTCCTTCACTTACTCTTCAATGTTGACGCCGTTGGTAGGATGAATATGTACGCAGACATCCATAAAAAACATTAAAGGCACAAGGCATGTGCACAAATATTTTCATAAAAATTCATAACTTTTATGGTTTCAACATTAAGGATGGCGGGATCGCAAAAACTTTTCCTTTCAGTCACTCGTTCTTCTGTGCTGTCATACATATAAGCACACATATATTTACCTTCATTCAGGGTGAGAATATAGAAGAAATGTTTTCACGACATTACTTTCGGAAATATTATAAGTGCGGTAAAAAGAAACATTTTCTTGCTTCTTCCACCACCACACAACCATTAAGATGAATTGGGGTAGTTAAAAAGTGATGTTTCTTAATTTAACGTCATCAATCTTTCGAAAGAATATTTCAGTGCCAACTGCCAATTCATCGATCAGTTGTTGTGACGTCGTCATAGAAACAAACAAGAAAAAGTTATGTTTCAGTTAACAACATAATTTTGCATGTTTTATGACGTATCTATCGTGCACAACAAAGTATTCATAAGATTAAGGAGAATGAGAGATCTTTTCGTCTTACACTGACTTCACTTACAGCCATTTTACTTAAATTAATAATTTCATAAAAGCAGCAGTATTTTCCTTCTCGCATTTCGTTTTTTATGTTTATTTTTTTTACTCGAGCTCGTTTATAAAAATGAACGAAATAAAAAGGAATAATAATGTTCAGCCATCAAACAAAAACCAAAAAAGAAAAAAAAATGTGAGAAAAAAAGCGAAACGAAGCTCGCGGGCTATTTCAACAAATTAATTTTCCCTTTCAACTTACCCCCGTACTTCTGATGTTTTTTAAAATAATGAATGATTCTCGCGCGATGGTCAAGACTCAAGAGGGTTAAAAGCAATGTGCGTGTTAATGAATGTTTCCTTCGGAAAACTTAATCGAAGTTGAAGGGGATTAAAAGGAATGAAAAAGAAAATGCTATAATGATTTTTCCTGGCGCAACGCGCTTTTTTATTGTTTATAATGAAGTCTACTTGATGGCTAAAAATAAATATCCCATCGCTTAAATTACTTGCACACATCTCATACAATTATCTACGATTACCCCATGAGATTTCTTTTTCCTTCTCTCACCCATCAATTCAATGATGAAAGCAAAGCTAGGCAAAGAAGATTTTTTTTAATTTGAATGCAAACACATGTACGTGAACTTCCTTCGCTAAAAATGTGAGATATTTCCATTTTGTGAATTACGAGCGTGCTTTGAGTCTAAAAATAAGCGCTTAAGGTCTTTTCTTTATTTCTTTTCTTCTTTTAATGTTTATCAAAGTAAAATCAACGGCAGACGCCAGCATTAAGTGAGTTCATTAAATACTTTCCCATATCATAATCAGCAAAAAAAAATGAAATAAAAATAAAAGTTTCCTCACTCTTTACATACTCGGTACATACTTAAATACATTCAACCCCATGATAATCAGTTAACAAACACTCAAACTGTGTGAAAATTAAGTGCACGATGCTTGCATCTAGACATGGAATGGATATCACTGCTTCAAATTCAGCCTCAAAAGAGTTTTGCACTTGACGAGAAGAAAATCATCGATTTTTCTTTTTTTCTTTTTTCTAAAACAACAACATGAGATTTGTTATTGTTACTACGTGTCCTCGAATACACTCAACATACATATACACACATTGTTATCGTTTCAAATCATTCGTTGTTCTCATAGGGAAAGTAATGGCATCAATTATGCTTATATCTCGAGAGTCAAATCTAATAATCTTTCAATGGAACTATGCGGGATGAGAAAAGGACGTGAAGGAGTTTATTAACATCAATCAGCAATAAATTATTACGTCGTCTCTTCATTCTTTCCGTGAATTCATTCATTCATCTGTAGCGATGAGGAGAGAACGATACAATGGTGTGAATATATAATGATAATAAAGGGAGGAAAGAAAAAGAACAGCAGCGGCAGTAGAGTCCGACCAAGAAGAAAAAGGCGGCAATAAAAACCTAAAGTTTATTTACCCTCCGCTATTTTTCCTCTCACTCTTCCCCTTCGAGAAATTAATTCTATATAAATGTACGACGTACATTCTAAATATATATATATGTGTATGGTGTACAATATAATGGCTTTGAAGCATAACATTGTAGTGCCTTGGTTGTATCAAGTGTATTTAATAACAAGGGCAAGCAACAATGTACAACATAAAATTTTACATTTTACAATCTCATGAAAGGACAACTATTTAAAAAAATAGAAAAATCTAATTTTCTTCCCAATTATTTCTTGTCAACTTGACATCTTTTCATCGAGTGAGAAAGTTGATTTTGACTCTTATACGATGTGATTTCTTCCATCTATCATGAACGTGTCGTAATGCAATGTTGATGGCAGAATGGATTGGGATGTGGATGTGGTGGATATTATGTAACAGCAGCATATATCTATGTACATAGCTAAGAAGAAATGGTAAATGGTGGAGTAAAAAAAATGTGGATCGTTGATAAACTTTAACCCACAAAAGCCATCAAGCAAATTGTAATCTCCGGGATGAGAGAGAGAAAAAAATTGTGATCTTTCTGATACGAGGGCGTATATGTTGTTTGGGGAAATGTTTGCATTCGAGATGTTGGTAGGTAAATATCATAACACTAATTTCCTCTCCCTAACTGTGCCATTCTCCCACCGCTTCTTCTATCTCCGCAATTTACCACACCAATTTTTCCACTTTTAACTCTTTTTTTTTCCATCGTTCAGAAGCGCTCATCTCAAGGACAGGTGGATGGGAAGGGAAACGAAATCCTGGGAATATTATAATAATTAAACGGGAGTCTAGGTAATTATGCAATGCTCGGTTCATTTCATGTACCTTATAAACCACAACCGGCATTAATGAATGATATTCAGGGTTAATTTCGTACGTTTTAGCAGTGAGTGAAGCTTGCATGAAATATTAAAAGAACATTTTGTCGTTTCCTTCTGGAATTCAAATGAATTTTTAATCTCAACTCTTATAAATAGAACAACAGAGGAAATTTTGAAGCTCAAAAGCTTCGGTAGGCCTAGTAATAATTTCTTAATTAACATTAAGTTGTGACATAAACTAAAAAGAATGTTAGTTAAGAAAGGAAGTAATTTTCATGGAAATGTTGCGTACATAAGTGAAAGCAAGACAAACATGGCTAACACACAATATCTACGCACATTCGACAAACAAAGCAATGAAGCACTAACTCTTAGTTTAGCTTTTTCGAGATGTGATTTCAGTGAGTGTGTGAGTCATGGGGGTTGTTCGAGTATTTTTATTGCGTTATACTGTCGAAGTTTTTTTTTTTATGTGCCGTTGCTCTCGCTCTGCTTTCTCCTTTGGCTCATATAAATTAACTCAAAAGAATTTTTCTTAGTTCTTTTTATGTTTTTTCATTCTTCTCCTTCGATTCACTATGTCGTTGATCGCGTCTTCTACCGACTTTCGAAAGCTTTATTTCCCTTTAATACTTACAATGTTTCGGAAGAATTATATTTATTACATCGCTTAACTTAGTTTGTTATTTTCCTTGCTTTATGGCTTTTTATTTCACTGAGACTGGGGTGGATATAAGCGTTGAAGAAATCTGAATGTCTGTGTTGGTGCGTATGGAAATCATTCACTCAAAAGCTAACCGAAATTGCTTATAAGCTTTGGACATCGAATCTTCCCCATGGAAATTATTCTCTTGTGATAAATAAAAGAGATCTTTTAATATTTTTCTGTATTTACATATTTACGTAGTGTAAACAAAACATTCTCTTAATATATATTCGTACACAGAGCATTGTCTTTAATTGCTTTGCGCCTCCCGCTCTTAACACCAAAATTTTTGCCTCCGCAAACAAAATAAGAGAAGAAAGAAATAAAATAAAAATAGCAAAGCTTACAACTGAAATTGGAACAATTTAGATCAGCACAATTTATTTTTACGTTTGCCAATTTTCGGAATATTTAATTACAGACAATCCGGTGACAGTGCTGTCGCTGTCTGGCGCTTGCTTCTTTCAACGTGTCAGAGTCATTTTATTTTTTTGCTTTTATAATTTGTGGATTTCCTTCTTTTCTTTGGAATGGGGATGGGAAGTAAATGGCAAATTTTGGCATGAACGCTTATTAAATCGCAGCATTTTCCACTTTTCTCCCTTAAAAACAATTAAAGGAGAGAAAGAAGCAGAACTTCAACCTGACAACCGCAACATAGAAAATGCAATTAAATTTGCTTGCCCATTCTCGTAGGTAAATAGAAGGAACCCGCGAGGGTGTCCATGTCGCCAAAGGCAATGTTAAATCCATTATGAAAAACAATAATGTCTGTTGAGACAAATGAGACGGTGGTAGCGAGAATTTTTCGACACAAAAAAAGGAAGAAAATGAAAACAATTCTCACTCCTTCTCACTCCCCCACATTGTTTAATGATGAAAAGAAGAAAAAAATATTAAAAAAAAAGTTTTACAAGCATTTTCTGGGTTGGGATTTGTATATCGAGACGAGTTGTCGGGAGAGAAACGGAAAATTGTCGGGAAAAATTATTGAAAAATTAATAATGCGAATAATATGTAGGTAAGTACGAACAAACAATGAAATTTTATTTATGGCATGTAATTTCACCCCACATAGCCACTGCAATGGGAGAAGGAATATAATCCTGAAATAAGTGAAGCGACACGCTTGAGTGACTCAATATTTCACTTCACAGAAGTTTAGACAAAGAAAACAGAAAGGGGAAAACTTGAAGCGAGAAATAAAATTGTAAATTCTTCAATTAGATGGGCGCCACATGCATTTGAAAAGCCCTACACCAATGTCACGTTCTCATTAATATTTAATGTATATATTTACGTCAGTAAGTAAGTATTTCGGGGAAAATGAGAATAAAAAGTAATAATGCTAAGTGGTTGAATATTATTTACTTAGAAAATATAAACTTGCATGAAGTGCAGTAAAAATGCAATCAATAAAAATGTCAAACCTTCTTTTTGGGTTTGGAAGTGAGCTGAGGTAAGCTTGATGACTCATTCAATTGAATTTTTCCCCTTTTTCATGATTTCTAGCAATTAAGAGTGAAGAAAAAACCGCAGAAGTTTGTTTTCATATGGAACAATAAACATGAGAACTGCAACGTCATCAGTGTCGAAATAAGCTGTAGGTTAAAGTCGAGTGTGGAAAATTTATGTGACAGCATAAAGTGCTATACTGACCCAAACGACCAGAGACTAACCAGATAGAACAGCCAGCTGACAATATGCTTCCTATCTGGAACGTATTAGATAACAGTCGTAACAGTAATCGTAAAACTGTGGCTGCTTTTTTTGTGTCATTTATTTGAGGGTTCACGTCTAAAATAAACCATAAAAAAATTCTCCAAGAATCAAAATCACAAGAACAGGCGAAAAAGGCAGCAAGAAGAAGGAGAAGCAACGACTAATTGCCGAAATTTTTCTTTTACTTCCCTCGTCTATATTGAGATGATTGTAAACGATAAAGACATTTTTACAGTCGCCAAACAGCAGGTAATAAATGGCGTACGGCTGAAATCAGATGGAAATGTTAATTACACTCAAGGTGAAGAACAATGAAAAGAAGAATTTCGAGTGACGACAAATTAAAAATGAGAAGCACAAAGGAATCTTTTTTTTGTTTCTTTCTCATTAAAGATTGAAAAGTCATTTGCATTCAATTATGAAGCCTTTTTCTTTGGTCTTTCATTTCATTTAATGTTGAAAGTTGAGGGGGACAAAAGACATTTCAATTTTATGTTTTTCTTTCGCTCTGAATGTTTCTTTTGGGTTTTGTAATGAATCTTATGAGTTGCCATAGCTTCGAGCTTTTATTTTTCTTTTTTTACGATGAAACATTCAAACATTTCAAAAAGAGAAATAAGCTTTGGAACATGAAATCGTAAAACTCCTTAAGGGTTATTAAGTTGGAAGATATTTGATAAAAATTATGAAATTGAATAAACTTTAAGGAACTTTTCACTCTTGTATTGTGTCAATAATCATGGAGAAAATCGAAATTCAATTAGTTCATGTGATCCGCACTCAGTTCCTTCTCTGGAAGTAATTATGTCCACCCAACATTATTTTCTCCTTTTATTTGTCTCGCTGCTTTCCACTTCCTTTCTCATTTTCGAAATATAACAAGGAAGAGATTCTTCATTTAATTAAATTCTGCCAGACAATTACAATTAACATTGTTTTTAAGCGGAAGAAAACGAAACAAACGAGCGACGAATAAATAAAAAAGGAAAAAAGTTTCAATTTAAAAAACTGAAAAATAGCAACAAGGATTTGAAATTGAATGGGAGCGGTATCGAGCGAGGCACAGACAAGGGAATCGTCCGCTTTTAACTTCACAAATATAAATAATGCTTCATTCCGCTTCCAGAGTTTCACAGCGCAACTAATTAAAATATGAGAAAAAAAGAAATCAATTAATAAAATTGATTGCATTACATTGCTCTTCATGAGCGTCACAAAAAAGTAATCGAAGGAAAGAAGGGGAAGTGAAGCGTAATAGCGAGTTATTGCTTCTTCAGTTGATAAAATTGTTTAAATGTCGTTCATTTCTCTCGCTCGACTTAATTTTTTTCCATCTCTCTCTCCTTTTTTGTCAATTTATTTCCATCTTGAATCTTTATTAATGTTTCTTAGATTTTGCTGTCTCGTCCCAAAAATAATGACTCGTATAATTACTAATACTCTTTCTTCGAACTGATAAGCGAAGAACAATGACGTGAAAACAGATGGAAATGGTGGATTTGAATTAGTTTAGCTTGCTTGTTTTTCTTCACGTTCAACGGTGAATGAATATGACAGATGAACTTTGTTTTGAAGCTTTTTTGGCTGAGAATTATGGACCAAGTTGTTCTACTTAAGCAAACTTTTCCTTCATCTCCTTCGAAGCCATAACTTTTTATTAGTTTTTCCTTCTTTTAAAAGCAATTGTTGTGAGCTGAGTCATCGGTCTAGTTTTTTATCATTGGATCTATCTTGTTACGCAACCTTTAACGAACTAAAAGCTTCTTATCAGAACTCATAAAAACTTAAATTCCTTACTTTTTCCAAGGCTTCGTAGTCTAATTCATCGTTAATGTTCACAATTGTCGGAAGGATAGTAAAATATTAAAAGGAATTTCCTGTGCCTTACTTCAATTGTCTGACATTCTTTAAAGATTTCGTCACACTCAAAATGTTCCTTCTTTCCCATTCATTGGAGAAACAAACGACCCTTTAAAAGCTTGTCAAACAGACGTTGCTTTTGTGTCATGTCATTTTAATAAAAAAAAGATAAATAATGACTTCGCAAAGGCGAAAACTAAGTATTGTGATCATAAAAGTGCAAGAGAAGAAGAAAAAGTTGTTGACTTCTTCGTCCCATTTAAAGCATACAACACGACGAAGTTGCATAGTGACGAAAGCGTGAAATATCAAATTACAGCTCAAAGTTGCTTTTGACTTCTTTTCTCAGTTTCGTTGTTCATTTCAAGATGCTAATGCACAATATTCATAAAACGACGAGAGAAAGAAAGCAGAATGGATGAAAAAAAGTGAAAAACATGCTTTCCACCCCCCTTATAAGGTGTAAGAAAAGTAGGAAAGTGAAGAAAATTTTCCTCTTGCTTGCATTACCGCTATGCTGATAATTTAAATTTTCTTTCGTTTCCCTTCCCTGCCACAAAACGAGAACTTCTTTCTATTCCATGCTTCCGCTATCTTACGATGAAAGCTTCTTCGTTCTCGTGCAGAGAGTGTGTCTGCACCACAGTGAAGAAGTTAAACTACGAAAGGTGAGAAATTGATGATGAAGGGAAGAATAACGGCGAAAAATCATCCTTATTAATGGCATATTTAAGTTACTTGAAATTTTCCACACAAAGTGCTTCGTCTCATCTCCCGATGACGTTGTGGTTCTGTTAGTGACAACCACAAAGACATTTGTCTATAAAATTTAAAATATGACTTCTTTTTCTCTCTTCTTAACCACCCACACAACATGACAGAGATTTCCACTAAAATCATTTTTTTGTCGTTCTCTAAAAGCCGAAATCAGTGTTATGGCAATTATTATGGTTCTTACTAATAGTGGGGAGGCATAAGAAATAAGCTGTTCATTCCACACTACTGACTGAGATCCTAAAGACATAAAAAAGCAGTCGAACAACGAAAGGAATTTCTTAATCTTTTCATTTCTGAAAGAATTCGTTAATGACGATAAAGAATTCTTTTTTTATTTTAAAGAAAAGGATTTCAGATGACTTGGCTGCCGCTTTTATCGCCTTTGTGGGAGGATTTAACATAATTTTCCATTTCAACTTTATATGATTTGAGTGTGAAGATGATGTCAAAGACGAAAGAATTAATAAATAATTCATGTACGTGCTTTAAAAAAATATAAAAGAAACTTTGCCATCTCGTTTGAAAGCAGCAATCTGATTTGTTTCTTTTGAAAACTCATCTGATATCAACAATTCTCTTCTTACTTCTTCAGTACCCACCCATTCACCCAGTCGTAGACTATGTAGAAGCATCAGAAGACATGAAGCTGTGGAATGTCTGCTGAACTTTTGTTTTAGAATTCTTCTTTAACTAAGGAAAGCAATGCGACATTATTGAGTTTCAATTTTCAACAAAAAGAAAGTTCTTCCTCCGTCTTTAATTTTATTAATTTTATTACGTCGTCTTTTTTCATCTCCTCAAATATCCTCGATTCATCCATCCTTGTACCAGCAAGCAAGCAAACAAACATGAATCAGAAATCAGGAATCAAAGAATTCCTTCAAAACAGAAAAGCATTGTTTATGGAGTCACATATCTTATTTCTCGAACGAAAAACTTATTCTTCATCTCACCACCCGCAATTGTCGTTTGTAAATAATTTCGCCTACATTCTAACGAAGTAAATATAAAAGCGAACAACTCTAAAGCGAAAAATATTTTCCATAATTCCACTTTTATCATCGCTGCTAAATCAGAGACGGGATTTTTTGTTTTTATATATTTTTTTAACTTCTTCGTTCTTTTGAAAGAAAGAAAAGAAAAACAGAGGAAAAAAATCTTAAACTTTTCTTTGTTATAATTTTTCATGTTTGTCTCGTGTTTGTTGCGTGAATGTCTAAAAGAGGGAGAGGAAAGTTCGTTCTTTTTCTTGCTTTCTTTAATCTTCACATTGAGATCTTTTGTATCGTCTTCCATTACACATATTTATACATACACTCACGCAAGCACGCACAGTTAATCTCCCCGGTTGATCCCTTTGTTTGTTATCGTTCTTAAAGTTATCAGAGCCATTGCGATACAATTCCCGGGCTATATTTTCCTTCTCACCCCTCATCACATTACATCACATGAAATGAAATGAAATTAAAGGCGCTTTTGCTTAAAATTTGCGATTTGTGTTTGTCACATAAGCTTCCATCAAATGAGGGTAAGCTTTAGTCGAATATTTTTGTAATTAAACGATTAAAGGAACATCGAGGAAAGATGTGCGTTATGTGTTGTGTGAAAATGGAAAACGAATGACTGAATGATGATTTTGGTGGTGGTGGAGGCTTTTGGAGAATCAGAGAGTGAGGGAAAAAGGAAGGCAGAGAATGGAAACGAGGCATAAGCATATCGTAACGATGCGGAAAAAGCAAAGGCATAGTCAAGAAAAGGAATTTTTAATCTACTCGATATCGGTTCAATAATTTGAAGTACTTCCATTAATGTTTGCAAAGAAAGACGCTTCTGGTTCTCTTCACTCCATCTTCGATGCTTTTACAAACCGTTTTTATTACGAAAGAGTATTTTAAGACTTGCCTTATATATCATGTTTAACTTTTATTGCCATCAATTTTCCATCCAATCTCATTTAGCATGGTGCGTGCTTTTCACTTGTATGAGTTTTGTGTGTGTATGTCGGGAGAATTTCGCATTGATCGAAAGCTTTTTTATGCAGATGGCATAGAACATCAGGCTTTCAATATAATCTAGAACATTTTTAACTCCCAGTAATCCATATTTTTACTTTATCTCTGATCGTCGACAAGAAAGTACGTTTGCAATTCGAAGAAATTTCATTCAATTCAGTTCTTCTCGTTCCTCGATACTGCCAAGCAATGACTTCATATCTCCCTTTCTCATTTCTTTTCTTCCTTTCCATTTCCGGTTATCCAAGCACAATATCTCTAGACCTAGATATGCCACAAAATCGGGATGTGAAACGATGAAGGAAACCACACAGAAGCGAACTTTAATATTTTCTCCAACAATTTTATTGCGATGAATTAGGATTTATTGGCGGGAAATTTTTATGGTTTTGTGTGATCAATAAATTCGATTTTTCTTTTATTTTTCTCTGCTATTTTTCGCTGAAGCGATCATTATGTAAATAGCATATAATCGGCATAACTATGAACTGACTCACTTCTATCGTTGTTTCTGCTGTATGTTGGTTATATGGTGGAAAAGAGTGGAAGAGAGTGGAAGAAGAACATTAAACCACAGAAATAGCTGCGAGGTAGCTTTCTAATTTCTATAACCATTTTCATATCGCACAATCGATTCCTTTATTATCCATTCTCAAGTAAGGGAACGACTCCCATTCTTGCTATCCGCGATAAGAAAATGAAAGAAAAAAGCTCGTCTCGTCTTATTTCAGTAAAAATCACGACATACAGGAAAATTTGACATTGCGATGGATTTCAGTGCGGAAATTTCTGATTTCTTGTGGGGGTGTAATGGATTATATGAGACGAGAGTTTGAGAAGTTTCAAGGCGAATGAGAGTAATAACGACATGGCAAATGCCTGCGAGGATGTGTTTCATTTGAAGCGACAATCAGTTCAGAATGAAGAACGGATATATCGAAATGGATTGTCGGCTCAAACAACACACATTGCTACAATATAATTCTAGAATTAATACAAATTTATTCAATCGTCGATGGAAATGTTTGTTGTTGAATTTTCAGTTAAGAAGAAAATTTTCCTCGAATTTCGAACAGAAGAAAGAAAGAAAAAAACGAAGATTAAGAACAAAAGTGGTGGTGTAGGAAAGCTTAGAGCGTTCAAAAATTGCTATTGAAATATTGACGAAACAGTGTTGGAGTATCAAAATCTTAACTGCTCTAATCTTTAATCTTACACCTCTCCGACACTGCTTCAAACTTTTCTTTTCTCATCTCTTTTCTTTCCCCTAAACTTGTTTCAATAACGAATAACGAATAGCAATTTAAACTTTTAGCGCAAAAATATTCGTCGTCGTATCGACAAAAAAAAAGGAAAGAAAAAATATCGCTTTGAAAAGATAAAGAAACAAACTCTTAGATGGTTTGAAGAAAACCCCGCACTATAAAAAGAAAGAAAGAAAAAAATTAAACATTTCAGAGTTTAATGACTCAAAAGCTATTATTTAAACAAAATATATATTTACCCGAGAAAAGGCATCGCTACGGGAAAGAGTTTGAAAGTCATATCGAATGAAAGTCCCTATTGACATAGAACAGAGAAGTTTTCTTGTTTTGTTTACTCGTTATTTTTATGTCTTAAAGACGAAAATACATTAGAATCAATTTTCTCTTTTCTAACAAGACGATTCACTTCATTCCTTCATTCGATGTATTCATGATTTCAGACTTCAGATGAAAACTGAAGGTTTTATGAGAAGAAGAAAGAATAAATGGAAAATTACTGAAATATGGCAAACATAAGGAATGCGAATATATTAATTCAAAAGTTGCCTCAAAACGCAAACATGTTTTTAATTGAAATTTTATTCCAGAAGCTAAATGAAGTTGCTTCATACTTCTGTGGGGATTCAGTCACTTTAAACTCTTTAAGTTGATCTAAAATTTCTAGTTTTCTTCTGTTTTATGACAGATAAATTAATTATATATTTTTTCTATTTGCTTATCTACTTAAACACATAAAAATATGAATGCAATGTAAACAAAAAAAAAATGTTGTGACTCGAATTGAAACCGATAACAAAAGAAGAGTCACCGAAAATAAAATAAAATGTGAAAAAAAACCACAAAACAATTTCTTTCGATATTATTTGTAGTCGTCATGTTGAAAGCAAAGACTTTTCTTAGATGTTTGAGAAGCCGTTAACACAATAAGTACATATGAGTTGTTATGGTTCCATATAATCACTTCTTTCAACATTTTCCAATTTCGTGTGTCGTTGTTCCAGGAAAAAATGAAAGAGAAAAGAAATTACAAGCATGGTGAACATATTTAATTATTTCTTTCAAAAATAAAAGAAAAATCATTAACCAGACCAAAAAAACTGAAAGAAAGAGAAACGATTGAAGCGTTTTAAATATCTGACGAATGTCAATATCAAATGAACCCTCACAGACATCAACAATTCATTTTCGGCATGATTCATCAGCGCTTGTCTAGCTTCAAATGCATGAATAAGTAGATATTCAAGTCTTTGTGCAGTAACGTTAAATGTGTTTAGATTATATAAGCTGAATAGTGGGCGCTCAAATAAACAACAACAATAACACTCAACGAAGTTCTAAAAATTTAAAACATAAACAACATGATATGAAGTAATGTGATACAAAAACGAATATTACAACACATAAAAATATCCGAACGGACAGAAGAGATGGAGAAAAATTGTGTTATTGATGCGAAACTTTTTTTCTTTAATTCTTTTATTCAGATATAGCATTGCTGACTATTACAAGTGGAGTGTTGCGAGACAAGTACACAAATACACAGAACAAGCTTAAAATGAGCGTCAGCGATTGCTGTTGCTGGGAAATGTGAGTCAGAGTCCGAATGTCAATGAAACCCCGGCTTGATATGAAAGCAAGTGTACTTCCGCTGCAAATGTATGTATGATTGAATATGAAAGAGAAGGAACGAGAAACGAATGAGTAAGTGAGAGAGAGAAAGAAGGGGAAGAGTACATAAATAGTCAACAACTTCCTCTATGCAATAAAGAAAAAAAATTATTTTTATTTATTGTATGACTGTGAAAGGAATTCCTGATAATGAGTGACACGACTGTTAAATATGCGATGAGATTGAAAAATAATTCTTTTCTTTTTCTTATATAAGACTTTTCAGCTTATTAAATAAACATAAACACTTTGTTTTGAGATTATCATTTAATGAAACTAATCGGTTGAACATAAAAATGAAGTTATAAAACTTTTATGAATAGAAAATGATTTAAGAGACAAGCCGACTTGTTATCAGTTGAATTATTTTAAGACTTAATTACACATCGATTAGAATTATTTTTATCAGTTAACCGACATTAATATTTAGCATGTCTTGGCTTGATGTTTATTGAATCTGATCGCAATAACTGAACGGTTTTGATGATAAATTTCAAAACAAACAAAAAAATTTTTCTTTGGTTCCGACAACTTCATCATCAAAATGATTTTTGTTTTGATTTATTTTTTGTGTTTTTTTCTGCTTCTTGTTTCTCGCAATGTGTCTATGTGGCTGGCAATGTCGATGAGTCATCATAGTCGTCTCTCAACAATATCATGTCGAGACTTTTAAAACGTGCAATTAACTTTTTGCTTCTCTTCAATCGCCACTAGATGTGATTAATAAGCGATTGCTCATTTTACTTTCTGAAGTCATCATCTCGAGATTCTCGATGAATATTCATAGCAACAGATCATGATTAGTCGACGACAAGCTTTCTTACACGTTCGTTTGGATTTGCGAGAAACATTTTCATGACAACGCGTGTGAATGCACATAAATATGAAATTGAAATCTATTTTTATCATTTCTCCTCTAACTATTTACTATTTAATATGTTGGGAAACTCTTCTCTTTCTTCATTTCATCTTGAAGAATTTTTTTCTTTTCTATTTCGTTTTCCGAATCGGAAGGCTTTTAAACTGTCCGCTTCTCTTCCATTTCTCATTTATGAGTTATGAATACTTTACTGGATTTAACTCATATTTATATTTTATCTCTCGTTTCTTTTCATCGCTATAGTCAGACATATTTTCTGATTACGGCATCGCACAAAGTTTTTCTTCCTTCTCCCCCAATACGAGAATCGCTTTAAAACAAGTTCACGATGTACAGAAATTCCACATTTTATGGATGCTTTACGGGTCAATGTAATGTGCTAGTGACTAAACGAGTCATGTCTTTAAAGATTCTACAACAAGATTCACAAGACGCAAGGTTAACAACACAACAGATCACATCACATCATACAGGAAATATTGAATTCCCTTAGTTGAGTGCCAATTTCTTTAATTCAACAGCAACTCGATGTGTACGAAGAAGTTTTATGACTTTTTAAGTCTCGACGGGCGTAACAATGACGAGAGGGAATCTCAAAATTACGCAATTTTCTTATGTTAATAAAATTATGTTTTGAGAACTTGCCTGTTGCCATTGATCTTCGATTGATGACTGCGACGAGAAGTATCCAAAATCTTGGATATCTTGTAACTCCCTGAAGATGTTTCCGCTCGGTAGAATATCCATAATTGCTGAAATTGTTTTTTTCCGCTTTCACACACTCAAAAATATTTTAACTTGAAGCACTCGAAATAATTTCAGGATTGAAAATATTTTCTTATGTTTTAGAACTCTTTTCTTTCTTTGTTGTTATTTTATTTAACACACAAGTGAGTGAGATAGAAAGAGAGAGAGAGAGAGAAAGATGAAGCACTTAACAGCTATTTTTGTAGCTTCACTTTTTGTTTTTTATTTCTCGTGCAAAAAATTTTCCTTCATTTAATTATTAATGAAAATTAATTTTTCAATTCTTTTTTTCTCGTTCTGGTTTTCTGTTGATTTTCTTTTTCTTTCCGAAGAAGCAATAATGTCGATAAATATAGTTTCCAACAGGCAACTCAGCTCTTCTGATTAATATTTCTTTTCTTTTCCGTTTTTTAAATATTTATTCAATGAAAAATTTTTATTGATGATTTTCCACACACATTCCGAAGAATTTTCTCTTTTTTTATCACTTTTGGCCTTTAGACACGTTCAAACGTGATAGATACTTAATTATGAGTAAACATTTTCCTTTTAATGTTTGATTTTTTTTTCATTCTCTCTTTTGAGTTTTTGGTTTTAAAAGTTTTTCATGGACACGAGTGTTTTATCTTATCATCATCAGCACCAGTCATAATTTTTATGAAATTGATTGAAGATTGTTTATCAGTTTTATGGCTAAAAGTTTACATGGAAATTGATATGAAATTATATAAAGAAATTTTTATTAAACGATCACTTTTATTTTTAGAATCGGTAACACAACAAATAAAAACTCTCCGTTTCACTTCTTTTCCCTTTTTTCTGAAGTGTGAGAAGAAAATTGTATGAGAAGATCTTAAGAATGATCTTCGATTGATTTATGATTTTTAACACATAAGATTTTTCACACACGTTTCAAATGTAACATGATATGCATTTAGAACTTTGTCAATTTTTATTCCTTTTTCTCTATATTTGCTTTTATTTTATTAAAATTTCTTTTTCTATTTTTAATCTCTTTCATTCATATTACTTCATCGTTTTTTTTCTTCTTGTCAATTTATAAAAATTTATTACTTCCAAAGACGAAGATCTCTGGACAGCATTAATCAAAGTACAAATTGCGCTTTCGCGATAAATCACCAACTGGTTACGAATCCCAGGCGAATGATTGATAACTCAACACGACAAATTTTTATTATTTTTCTTTAGTTTGCTTTTGATTCAAATTATCTTTTTTTCTCCTTACGATATTAAATTTCCCGCAGAAAAAAAATTATTTAAAAGCGGAAGAAAATATTTTTCGGTGTTTAAAAAAATAAAAAAATTCTCTCTCGTTAATATTTAGCTTTATTTGCCGGCATCGACTTTAAGACTGAGAAGTGAACTCAAACAAAAAAAAATATTAAGTCAATTCTGTGTTGTTGCTGTTTCTTCTCTCACCGCTCCGAACAAGCGAGCGATGTGATTGTGTGGGTTGTTTATATAGTCGGCCGTTAACGATGTTTTGTGTGTATGAGCGCGAGATATATAAGCACTAAGCAGTAGCAGCAGCATGTATGCATATTTCTCAAAGGGGATAGTTTGAGAAGCTTGAGACGAACGGCTAGTCATAAAAAAACTCTTCAATGGGAATAAAAACAACCATTAAACGAGAAAAGAATCCAAAGATTAAATTGCATCATCGATCGACTAGAGCGTGGTGGTTTGCATATGGTTAAAGAAAGAATATTATCTCTCCAAAGGTCGTTAAGTTGCGCAATTAATAAAAAGAAAATGAGAAGAATGATTCCTCGTTTTATGACAAGGCTCTTTAACGAGATTGGTATCGAGCACGGCTTTTCATATTGAACAAACAAATTCGATTCATTTTTATAAAAGCAACAACATTCCAGGCCGTTCCAACAATGCGATGCCGCAGAATGCTAGTGCTTTAAATGTTTATTGTAATTGATTTCAATCAAAAAAACAAATAATCTTGAAAATATAAAAATAGAAATTTATGAGAAACATTCTGAGGAAGAACGAACTTGCACAGAAAATTTTCAACTAAATTGCATATAATTTTATGCCCCTTGGTATCCCCCAAATGGTTTATTACAACAATGTTGTTGGTTCCAATAACACTGAGAAACATCAGAACATTGGAACGATAATGAAAACGAAACACAAGTCGCATGTTTCATTGATGAATGAATTTAGCATGCATGCGGAAAATATTTTTCTCTTTAATATTTTGATTTCTTCGCTTTTATTTAGATATCATCGCAGAGTGAAACGTCAACAACCTTGTGGATTAATTTTAAACGAAATTTCTTTAAAAAAATTGAATATAAAAATATATTTCACTCGAATTTTATTGTCGTGAAAAAGTCACATCAGAAGAATTCTTAGAAAATTATCTAAAATTTAAATATTGAGATAATTTTTCCAGCAGTTGTTCTTAAATTCACAATGCGTGAGAAGTCTTTAAAATGATGTTAACATCGAAATTACTTGCAAATCAATCATCTTCTCAATAATTTAACACTTCTGTTCTCTTGTTTTTTTTCATTAAACTCTTAATGTCAAGAACAAATTCGAGTAAATTCATCAGCAGCAACTTTCATCTAAACATTGAATCAACGACAGCAATTGACAAGAGATTGTCATAAATAATTCATCAAATACTCGCTTTTTCTATCTCGAAGCTGCAGAAAACCCATAAGCATGCTTCGTCAAATTTCTTACCCTCCTCAGCCTTTTTCTTTGTTCTTCGTCTCACCCACTACCCCACATCCCATTTCTCATCTCTCTTTAACATCCACATAAGTTCAACGCAAATCTTTACCATGGATAATCAAATTTTTAAATCAACCCTCTGATAAACATGGAAGAAAAGGCGAGAAAAGAAGTCGTTAAGTTTTGCTTGCAACTTTTCTGTTTTCCATTTTCTATTTTCTTTCGCTTCTCTGCAAATCGACATTAAAATCTCATTGAAAATTTTTCATCAGAAAAGGTTCAAGAACGTTTCGCAAGCAACTATGGTATTGTGTTTGCAATACTTGATTGTTCTTCTTCCCTCGCTTAGGATTTTCTTTGAAATTTGAAATTATTAGAAACTTTGTCATCCAACGACAAGCGATTATCATCAGTTGTTCGTTCATTCTAAGTAAGTATCATGGCGAAACACAAACTTCTCCTCATTCTCATATACATATTAAGTTTGTTTAGATGTGATGCGATGATGGTTTAAAGAACTAGCAAAAGAAAAACAAGAATAGGGCTTCTTTCCATTCCTTTCTTCTATTCTCTACTCAACTCTACATGCCAAAAAGAAGAAAAAAAATTAACAAACAATCGAAATATTGAAAATTTTAGCACGTTGACAGCATGGAATATTAAGCAGGAAGATCTCTTTCGCCCATTATATGGAATGTTTTATGTGAAGCGATGAATTTCTATTTCTACATGTGCCCTCGTCGTTACCGAGTCAGGTTTGAGTCTATTTTTTCGGTTGAAATTTCGTTGAATGCTTTTAAGTTAGGAAAGGAAAAAAGTGAGAAAGTTTTGTCACGTACACTCTACGAGCTCGTCTCTTTCCCTAGCATGCTTCCATGTATGCAAATTAGCTTCTGCCTCTGCTTCCTATACCAAAATTTCTGGCTTTAAGAGCAGAAGGGAATCAAAACTAAGAAAGATGAGAATTCTCACCAACTCAAAATGTATAAAAATGGATCAGGAAAATGGATGATCGGGGAGAATAAAAGAAAAAGAAGTTTTTTCCTGTGTTGTGTCCCACTATGGTGGGAGTTGGTTGAAGTAAAAAGATAAATTGGAGAGACAAACAACCAACCAACAAGCATAATCCTCGTTAAAATGGAAAATATGCTTCGACTGCAGACACAATTTACATGACTATAAACCGAGGTTTCTGTCTGCCATTTCCAAATCGTTAGATGGGCGGAAAATGATAAACATTTGAATGCCAGAACGACCGGGAATTTAGGTCGTGTTAGGTGTGAAGCTGTTGGGAATTTCAATGTTTCAATGAGCTTAAAAGTGACTTAAAGGGAAGTTGTAATAGGGCACTGTATCTAGTTTCCAGATATCTACTTAAATATTACAACAACATAGTGTGCTGTAAATAACTTTCTCTCCTTAATCTCTTGATTGTTTCCCACCCAAAGCTTAGATTAGCTGGCTACACTGTTCATAGTTTAAAGGAAAATCAGAAGCTTTTTTCTGTCTTCGTTGCTTAATTGCACAGTTTAATGGATTTTATGTGTGGTGATAAGTATTGCAGCCGCTGCAAGGCTTTCGCCATTTTACAGCCATTCATTTTACATTTTTCCTTAGCTTTCCTTTCGCAATTTCTGTCCCCGATGGTGAATTAAAATAGAAAATCCACAAAAGAAGGGAAACAGAGAAACAAACACTGCATGAGTTTCACTATAATTTGCTTGCGTCTGGGGGGGAAGTTTTTCGTTTCTCCATTTTTTTTAACTTTTTCATCAAAGCGTTATTTTTCAACCACTGCTGCTACTGCTGCTGCTGCTTCTTGTGTTGTGATATGCATAAAAGCATAGAAAAAAAATGTTTTTCGCTAGTGAATGAATGTTAAAGTTTATTTCTCTTTTCATTCCATTTCTCCGTCGTAGAACTTTTTTCTTTATTTATATTTTTGCTTAACATTAAATCTTCTATTCGGTTTGCAATTCAATTTTCTTCTCACATTCACAAATATTTAAGTTTTTTTTTCTGCTTGTTGTTAAAACAACAAAAACAAAATAAAAAAAAAGCTCACAAGATTTCTTCTCTTGATTAGCAGCAAAACTTTTGTCGTGTATTTAATTCAAGATGGAAAAAGCTTTTCTAGTATTAAAAGTTGGGAAAAGAAAAGCAGCAAAACGAGCACAGAATGTTCGGTATCGTGCACACGTGGAGTTTTAATTAGCGATACCGAAGACTGAACGTTTTATAAACAGACTCCGACAGACTTTGACTCGCAAACCAAAGAAAAGCAACATTGCGAACACGAAGTTTTCAGTAGGAAAAAGAAAATGAAGGGAAAATACATATTTGCCAATTTTCTTCACCTTACACAAACCGAATTTGCTTTCTTTCTTTCTTTTCTTCGCACTTTTTTCTTCTCTTTTCTTTCTTGCTTCGCACAGATTTTTTTTTCTCTCTCCGGTATGTTGCGATGTGGCAAATAGAAAATGGCTTTTCCTCTATAAAACTTTATTTTCAGTGAACGTTCGATGAAGAAAATGAATGGATTGGAAGCTGGAGCTTTTTTAATCTCTCACAGCTTCATTGGATCACGCGATGCGATTGATGATATCACCGAATTACGGTAATGAACTTCACACTTCTAAGATCACGCGCGCGCGAAACAAAACGTGTGTCTTTCGTCTTTAACGTTCGCTCACTTTCTGATTTTGGATTTTCTCGATTGGAAAATTCTCCGAATATCTTCAACTATGTACGAAAGATTTTTATTTGATGACGATTTTCCAAGTTTCCAATTGGAAAACAGATAAATTATATACTTCCAGCCTGTCATGCGCAAATTGCAATGCGATATAAATTTTCCACAACTCACGAGGCAAATGAAGAATGTAGCGGCAATTCATCAAATTCTGGAACATTTTCAATGTTTACTTTCAACGGTAAGTTCAATGAAACATGGAAATATGAAAACATTATGCTGGTTAACTCATGATTTGTTCACTGTGAAATGTGAAACGCGAAGAAGTCAATGTTATGTTTATTACTTTCTTAAAATGTTTTGATTTTCTCAACATCAAAACTCTGATCACATTTTAAAAGACATTAAATCTGAAATATCTGAAAAATCTTCAAAAAATTCACTTTAAAATAAATTCCTTTGATCATCACAAATCATGACTCGAATAGAAAACTTTTAGGAATGTCAAAACCTAACCAACTATCACCACAATTCGTAGATATCATTTCAGTCCATCTTTCGGTATCTGAAAAGAAAGTTTTTCCGCTGAACATGAAATATTATTCAATTTCAGATGAAATTCTTTGCGAGACGAGAAGAAAAACTAAAGTTAAGAAAAACAAACTTTTTCCCTTTTTTTACCAGTAGATAAACGAAAATGCTTTTGCGTTTTTATTTTATTTATTTATATTCTTTGTTCCACTTTGCACTCCGCTCTTAAACTCAAGAGACCGGGGAATAACTTTCAATGCATTAAAATCATGTAATTGAATATGAAAACTATTCGGTTTTTACAATTATCCACTTTCTTGTTCTTCTCAACTTCATTCCCCACAAAAACCAAGAAAAGCTTCCTTTTAAATATTTTAAATGCAATACAAATTATTAGAAAATCCTTCAAGGGTTTCTCATTCTTATTCGAGTTCATCTTTATAATTTGAAAAATTTCATAATACAAAATGCATTTAGTTAAACATGAGAGAAGTGCATCGGTCAGAAAATATTTAAGAATAAGAATATTTAGTTGGCAACATGCACAACATTTAGTTTGGTTACCACATCCAAGTATTTTATTTTCTGTTCTTTTAAAAAGCATTTAAATGGAAATTTGTGTGCACTTCAAAGTGACATTTAAGCTCGTTAGGATTTGTTTCAAATTTCAACAATTTCATCATTGAAACTCCCACGATTTCCTCCTCTGCCATATCAAGATTCATTTCCAAAGTGAAGAATTTCGAAGCGTTGCTATTTGCGGGTGCATTTAAATTGGAAATTTATGGTATGTTTGTGTAATCTTGGCTTTTGCTTGTATCTCGTTGCACAACTATTCTATGTTTATTGGAATGTGTCGCCACGACTACAATAAAAGCGAATTTTTTTCATCTTTCAAATGTTCTCGTCTTCTTCACTGAATCACTGAAAAATTTCTTTTCTCTTATATTTTTTTATTTTTAATTTATTTTTCAATCACAAAGATTTTCTTTAATGATATGTGCGCTTGACATAAATGAACGAAGGAAGCATTTTTATCTTGTCTTACAATTCTAGTTTGATAAATCAAAACTTGGAAAAGAGTTTTCTACATTCTCATAAGAAATTTATTAGAAAATTGCAATAATTTTATGATTTCATTAAAGAAGGGATTTGAGATTTCAAATTAAAGATTTCTTTCTTAAATAGACAACAATCAAACGAAAGAAAAAGTTGTCAAATCCCACCAACTGTCTCGTATATAAATATTTTCTTATTCTTTTATTTTTGAGGCCACAACTTTTTATTTATCAAGAAGGAAAAATACTTTGAAAAAGCATTGAACGAAGCGAAGCATTATCACAAGAAAAATAAGCACAGATGAAAATTTTCGCTTGTGTCTTATAAAAATATTATCATTTGTGAGAAATTTTCTTCATTTTATAAGTATTATGATGTTGTTCCTGACATCGACAATAAATAGAATAAAAAATGAAAGAAAATTTCGAGAGAGGAAAAAAAGCTTCTTCAATTGATAAGGAAAACTTTAAAAAAAGACAAATAATGGAAGTTGTCGGGATTTTCAAAAGACATAAAAAATATTTAAAGATGCAAAACAAGATTCTTCCATTCATTCACTCCACTTCACGTCGTCTAACTAAACTCATCAATGTTGAATCACTTTTTGAAAGAATTTTATTTTATTTTATATTTTTATTTTGATTGCATTTGACATCGACAAGCGAATCTTCTTTCAAAAGAAGAAAGTTTGTGCTTTTATGCAAATAGTTTTAAAACATTAAACATCTTTTCTAATGGTGGTTGCTTCAATTCCATAACAACAACTTAGCAGAATAGATTTCTATTATTTTCTTTTATATATCCGCGTTTCATGCTTTCCGCTATCGTTCCATCAGAAAATAAAGAAAAGAAAAGAAAAAAGGTTGATAAATGGAAATGTAAATGTGAAAATTGGCTTTCCTAATCGCTTTAGCGTAGAAATTTTTCATCCTTTTTCTTTTCTTTTATCGCACACTAAGATGCTTAAACTATTTAGGAAATAACTTAAAAGCTTTTATGAGATTATTGCATGTTGTTTTTGTTTTTACTATTCGACAAAAGGTAAGAAATTATTAATAATTGAAAACATTTCTCTTTGTTGTAATCAATACATGAAGAAAATGGAAAAATAATAATAAAAATTTGTCTTTTAAGCTTTTCTCTCTCAATTTTTGCTTTTCTAAAAATCTTCTTCCAAAGATCTTGAATATCGATTACTGTCAATCCTTCTCCTTTGACTTCTCCTTACAGCATCTGCTCTTCGATATGGCTCAGACTTCAATCCTAGCAGAATGTCTTCTAATGCACCATTGTAAACGTCTTCTTGTTGCAACAACTTCTTCTCTCGAATGGCATTTGTTTGTTGTTTCAACTCAGATATAACAGCATCCTGGAAGTTTTTTGTGTTTATTTTTTTAAATGATATCATAGTGTTCTGACAAGCAATAACATTAAATGGTTTACTAAGGAACTACATTGACTTCAGGATATGGTTTTTTTGACTTTATTTGATGGACGGGAACATCATGCGGGATTAGTGAACAGCAACATGCAATTATTGTTTCTTCTTACCTGTTGCTTCTTTTGATTTGTTTTATTTCTTAACATCACCTGAGCTTCATCTTCTTTTTTGCTTGCTGCAAGAGCGACAGCTTGTTCGAGACGACGTCGTTGTTCATTCTCTTGATCGATTGTCTGAAGAAAAGAAAAATATTGGGGATTAGATTAAAAGTTTCATTGATCTAATCTAACTCTGTCATTATAGAATAAGTTAATCTAACTCTAATTTCTTACCTTAAAGGCTTTGACAAAACGAACCAAGAGGGAGAAGAATGCATTTGCATCTGGATTTCTAGAGGATTCACCGAAAAATTCAAGACATTCTTTAAAGCTTTGTTGTGCTACTTTTGTATCGGCGCTAATTTTCTTTAATTTTTCTTCAGAATTTGTGAGAAAATCTTTCAGTACGAGATTTTGAGTGTTTTTGCCACGCTGTTCAACTTCCTTTCGAACAACATCCATTCCCTTCTCCAGCTCACTAACGTCAGTGATGACATTCTCAAGCGACACTTGTGATGCTTTATCAATGCAAAAAAGCTCTGAATCAAAGTTGAGTAAGTCGGGGAATTTCTGTCGAATTGTTGCGACGATGTAATGAAGCAAAGAAATTTTCTTATCAGTTGATTTTGTGTCCAGCAAGGTATCCAGACTTTGCAATCTAAAACCATAAGCGGGCCCACGTTTACTACTGTTCAAATAATTCCCAAATGCTAAAATCACTTCCAACAGTGCTTTGAACTTCTTTGATGATTTAACCGACGTTGAAGCGGAAATAATTGAGTAGATTTGCTGAAATGAAGTACGAAAAAAAAGAATATCAAAAAATTAGTTCAACTAAACATCTTTCTTTTGTTAATTGAAATAAATCAACAAGTAACAATGATTGAGAATAAAAACATTAAATTATGAAAATGAAACTTTCTTTGTTTTTCAACCCAATCAACAAGCGTAAACATTTACCGGACTTATGAGATGAATGCTATCAAAGAAATTTCCCATGTAATTCATAATCGATAACTTCGAAGCAATTCTTTCAACTTTTGTGAGATTCAACATGAATTTGTCTTCTTCCGTCAGTAGATTTATGTTCTTCTTCTCAATCACAAAATCTTTATAAAGCTTCGTCTCTTGCTCGGTTGGAATCATTTTCTGTAACAATTCAACATTCTCAAGTGACAGCGTCTTCAAGTCTAAATTATTAATTGCTTTAATGACTGCTTCATAACTCATTTCAAGTTTTCGACGAGAAATTGCTGTAAAAGGAAAGAAATTTAATTATAAGAAAAGTTTTCTTTGATATTTAAGTGACATCACTCACCAATATTCCTTAATCTTGTATGCTCCAAAAGTGAAATGTTTTCAGGCTTCTTAAATCTTTTGCTTGAGAAATCTCTCGCTAAACCATCAAGTTCTGACGATGCAAGTGCCCCAATTCCAATTCCAATCTTAAACTTCTCTTCAAAGTCAACAAAGTCGATTGTTTTGTGAAGCTTTTCATCGTCAAGTTCATTGAAGATTGTGCCACGCACTTGATTCGGCTTCAGTGCTTGCCAATTAAGTGTTGGCAATTTATATTTTGTTTGAACTTTTCTTTTAATTGTCATTGCACCATGTGGAGCTTGCATCATGCCTGGCATGGGTGGGGGTGGAATGTTGCTGCTATTTGGTTTTGGTGGCGCTATGAACAATGAAACAAAAACAAACATTTTGTAAATTCAACAAAAACAAAAAAGATGAAAGAAAAATCTTACCTGGAGGTGCAAGTGGTGGGGATTTTGTTGCATTGGGTAAAGGAGGTGGAGGTGGTGCTGGTGCAGCAGGACTAGGATTCACTTTGACTTCTGTTGTCGTTTTTGTTGTTGATTCATGTCTTGGACTTATGTCACTTAATTTTCCTCCCTTTGCAAGAAGATTTGACACATCTTGCCATGACGTTCCTTTCGGCAATGTCTTTGAGAAGTTCTCCAATTCAAGTAACATTGATTCTCTTGACTTTGATTCTTGTTCGTGTTTCTGAACCATCATTCTCAATTTATTGACTTCATCGTCAAACATTTGTTGCTTCTGAAGCAACTCATCGCGTTCCATTCGAACTCTTTGCAACTCTGTTTGAAGATTGGCAATGTTGAATGCAGTTTCTCGTTCAATCTCAGCGATTCTATCACTGGCACGTCCTAAATCATCTTCCAGTTCGTTTATTCTCTCCAAAGCTGCTGTTTTCGTGATGCTATCTTCCATCAAAGCTGACACATCGAACACATTATCAAGATAAGCTGAAATTTGAACCTGAAGCTCTTCAGATTCGGTTAATCTGAGTTTCTCAAGATAATCGTCTAGTCCAAGTGCCGTAAATTCATATTGCAGATGAACACGATAATTGATATCCTCAACAGAATGAACAACAATGTTCATAAACTGCATACATGCAACCATAAAGTCAACTTTAAACACTTCGTAGTTGATGAACATGTCGAGAAGTGTCTCAAATCTTTTCGTTTCACCAGTCACTTTCTTAAAGTTATCAAAGGCACATAATATGATTTCATGTCCACCTTTCACAAGACAAATGGCAGCAAGAAGTTCCAATACCAAAGCTTTCGTTCTCAACGATTTGTGAATGAGACTAAGTGCAATGCAATTGATGGCTTCACGATGTTGAATGACCATATTAAATCCGTATTTGTTGTTCATTATGGCACGTAAGCACATGATACCAACATGAATGTCATCGGTCGTCGTTCCCATGTTAAGCTTCTGAATGTGTCGTGATCTTCGTTTTGTGCTTGGACTACTCAACATTTCATTCAATTCCGGACGAGTCGATGTTGAAATCATCGTTAGACGATTTTGTGATGAACTGTGTGGACTGTTGCTTGTATTGTTATTATTGTTGTTATTGTTGATATTTCCTGTGCTATTTCTTAAAGGTTCACTCGACAATCGTTCATGTGAATCATCGAGACTGTCTTGTATTTGCTGTTCATATCGCATCATTTGTAATCGGAAGCTGAGGTAGTCGACGAGTGCATCTAATCCTTGATTTTGATCATCCAGAAACTCTTTCACCCACTCAATATGATTCGTACGAAGTGAAATCTCAAGATCACGAAGAACTTGCGTTGATGTTGACTCACCCACAATTTTACGTTTCTAGAATTTATCATGAGTTAAACAGAGACAATCAGACGATTGATTCATGAGATCATCGTTTAATTCCTTTGTAATCAAAGAACTACTTAAATCATTTTGAAAGTTCATCAAACAGAAATAAAAAATAAATTAAAATTATTTACAAATACGAACACGATGAGTAAGCATCGCACAAAGACCATAAGGCTCGGAGATCACCACATGACGTCACTGTGTGTTATTTATATTTCCATCAAATACCAAAGCAGATTAAAGAAAACATTTTTGTTACTTAAATATTTTTGAAATCTTCATTGTCGATTATTCATCGTCACTGGATAATTGTTTTTGATTTGATCTTTGATTTTGTTTAAAGTTCAACGACGAGAAAAAGAAATCGCCGCGCGTCGTGCTATTGAATAACATTTTCATTTAATTGTTTTGTGAGCCTATTGTCTCTCTTACATATTTTATTTGAATCGCGCTCATTAAGCTTTTATGTGATTCGCGAAATGTTTAAGATTTATTTGACAATTGGTTGTTTCAAATGCAAGCTATGATTACGCAACCAAGCTTAGTCACTGATTTCCATCTACAATAAATAATTTACGGCAAGATGATGAAGAACGAATGTAAGCAACACAAATTGATGTCATGACCAACATTATTAAAAAGACGAAAAGAAACACTCGAGGCCACGAATTTGTTTGAACTTTCAATGATCTCTTCGTTTATCATAAACTCACCCGATGACTTCGCGATGCTTTTGGATCGAGATATGTTCTCAATTTTGTTAAATAATGTGATGGAGGATCTTTTGCTTGCACCATTTCCTAATTATAATAAAATCAATTCATGTCATTAATGATAAATTATGCATCGTCGTCATCATCATCAATTCAACTCTCACCTGATCACAAATGATGTCCCATTTCTTCTCATTATCATAATTCTTCAACAATTTTGCCTTATCAGGTGGTAAATCCATCGATTGCTGTTGAGAAGAAAATATATAGATTTAAACAATGCATCATTTGGATTTTTATTGCTTCGATTATCATTTTTTACAGCCCAAAAATAGACAAAGAGAGAGTAAAGAAATCACGGGGTACCCGTGGGGAGAACTTTACAATCTCATTTCGTTCGTTCGCCCATATTGAGTCAACATGGCACGTAAATGCGATAAATTGCTAGCTTTGCGTTTTGTAAAGAGGGAGAAAGAAGAAAAATGTGCCATAAACAAATCCATAAAGAAGCACAAACGACGTTTAAAGTAAATGTTAAAAATCCCAATGGAGTAGCCGAAAGCTTCGTTTTACTTCAACTTTGAATATTTACTCAAAATCATGTCATCAAAATAGTTGTTAAATTTGTTCTTTTGTTTAAGAATTAATCACATCTTCAGACATCATCATGATGCTGCGCTTTGGCCTTTTATCTTTCCTTCACTTTTATAAATATGCACTAAAAATCATTTCAGCATTTTTTACTTCTTGTTTTATTTTTTTATTATTTTGCACATTCTAAATACGATTTACATTGATTGAAATTTACTGAGAGCAGCAAGAAAATAAAAAAGAAGGAAGCACATGAGATCGTGATGAAAATTGAAAATAAAAAAAGAATCTTTAGATGACTTTTTTGCTTGGTTTTTATTCATGCGATTGAACTCGTGTTGCATTTCATGTTATGTTGATCGAGAGCAGAGAGAATCTGATTATTATTGTGGAAGGTCTTCGTTCTTGTTGTTCTGTATGCATGTAAAACTTTTTATCGCTTGATTTACTCACAATGTATGTAATATAACAAACAAACATGATTCAAGTTCAAATAATGTAAAGATGATAAGCTAAGGAAATTCAGAGCTTGGGAGTTGTTGGAGTTTCAACTGATACTTGAAACTTGATTCAATTTTCAATTACACAAGTTTGGTTCTTGGCAAATCAAACAATGTTACTCGCTTTAGATATTCTCAAGCAATCAATTTTAAATTTGACTTTGAAGTTGTGAGATAATTGAAATTTTCGACCTTCAACCTTCAGTTAAGCATTAACATATTAATTTTCACGCGATTAACTTTTCTTTTCCATGTCAAATTTCAACTCTAAATTTACAATTGTGTCAAACTCAAAGTCGCCCATCCCAGCTCATTTGATCTTCCAAATTGCACGCCATAACTTCTCGACAATCAAATTAAGTATAAAAGAAAATATCTGTGTAGAGAATTAAAATCAATTCTGTTCCATTAGTTTTATCAACCATGACTGAAGCATTCTCGACTAAGGCTTGGACGAAGATCAATTTTCATCACCATGTTCCGCCTTCAACTTCCTTTAATTTTGTTGAGCAGTTGGTCAAAGTATTTTCTTTTCGAACCTTGAAGGCTCTCAACGCAACTCGATTCAATTAAATCATTAATAAACTTCACTCGCTAAAACTTTATAAAAGGAAAAAATTATTTCTGGTAATTCGAGCCTTCATTGTCGTCTGTACAAACATACATATTATGTTCATAGTAGAGCAAGGGAAAAGAAATATCAAGGCGCATAATAAATTCGAAACCTTTCAGCGCATTTCTGCTTCAGTTCAATGAATTTTCGTGCCACTCGAGCAAAACTTGAAATGCTTTTTTTTATTTCTTTCGTCTCAATTTCTGATGACGTCGTTCATTTGTTTAAGCTTTTCCAGCATTCAATAAGCTAAATTATAATTTAATTTACAATTCAGTCAAAGATAAGAAAGCAAATATGTAAAGTGAAGGAATGTAAATATTGCCACATTAATTAATATTTGTTTGTCATACCTCACTCACTCATTATTGTTGTCATATTCCACTTCTACAACATCAAAAATTATCGATGAGCTTCAATAACGAACCGAAACCAATTCTGAATAATTTCCATTGAAATCCGATGACTTTTACATTACAAATAAACTTCTTTTCCCAATGAGAACGAAATCCACTCTTAAATATTTGCTTATGCATTGCTAATGAGTCTCTTCATGATTTGGTACTCCATCTGAGATTTCTTTATTATTTTTTATCATAATAAAAATACAAAAATGTTGTTCTTTCTTCCCTTCTTTTTTATGTAATCGTTGACGACGTTGTCGTCGTTTGTTTCTCGCAACAAAAAGAAGCTCAGCTTCATGACTAATGGGGCAACAACAAAACAAACGCACACGCGGAATCATAAATTCGGCGCTGGTAATTTCTTTTCCTTTACACAAACAACATCATCAAATCATATTATTGTTAAGAGGGAGTTCTCTTTTATTCTCATAATAATTTCGCTTGTTGAATGATTGTTGTGTGTATTTATTTATAAAACGACCGGCTGGGAATAAGAACTGTTGAATGAAGGAGACGAAAGAGTATTTGAGTAAGTGAAATCGGAGAAAGATGGCATAGCATGGCATGGCATTGCTTTGAAGCGCGTAGAACCAACACATGTTCTCTTCCTCTCTCTTCTTTTAAATATTTTTTAAGTAAAATATTTGTTTTGTTTTAAAGGAAGTTAACTGTGGAATTTCTTTTTCTGTTTTAAATGACAAGGGAGAAAGAAATTAAAATTTAAAGAATAAAAATGAACGCAGTCAGCTTCTTAATCTTTGTTTCAAACAAAGAATCAAATCGACATAAATATGAGTCACATACGAATGAATGATTTATGCACGATTTAGCGAATTTAAAGGCCTCTCGAAATCGTTTGCTATATTTAATAGAAAAGATACATAAATCCACTTACCAATACTTTCGCGAATCTCCGATCAAGCTCTGAAGCATTTGGCATTGGCTGAAGGTTTCTGCTTCGAATGCTCGGCTGTCGAATGTGATTTGAGATTAATGTCGACGACGGTGAGGCCATGATGTCACTATGACAATCCATGAATATATCGTGGCGATCATTTCCATTGTTGTTGTTTAAATTGTCATTTCCTTTAGCTAATATTGAGCCCATTTTTATGAAATTCTCTTCTTTTTTATTTTATATTTATTTATTAGTTACGTTTCACGATTTCCTTTTTTTGTTTCTTTTTTTAGCTGAACTTGCGAAACTTCTTCGTGAAATTTTGTCTGCTTTATTATTTTTTCTTCAAACTCAACTTGTTTCGCCGAATAATCACTTAAACGAAATTTTATGCTGGTGCCAATATAGAATATGATAACATGTTTTGATGTCACTGCAATCAGATATCATCGACAAAATTATGTTGACTTATCAAATGCAAGCAGCAGCAAATGGTCGACGTAGTTTGTACCTGCTTTAAGCGCACTAAGTGATTTTTGTTGTAAAATGTTTTTAAAAAATAAAAAAAAGTCGAGCGAATCCAAAAAAAAAACACAAAAACTACGAAACTTAAATGTCAAGATGACGTCACAGATCTATGAAATAACTTCATAACAACACGCTATTTAGTGGTAGCTTGGTTTTTATGTTTGAATCACATAGAATTTGGAATCATTATGGAATCACTACCGTTCGTGCGTAACCACAAAAGTTCACTGAGAATTTTGTAATATTTCAGTTGTCGTTGTTACTCAGTTGCCTTTGAGACTCATTTGTTGTCTTCACACACAATTCGATGACTCATCACGTAATCGTCTTAAAACCAAACTACTGTAACGATACGATAATCACAAATTCGTTAAAAAAACTATTCAATTAAACAACTTCATTAATTAAAGTACACGCAATTTCTTTCTCTTTTTTTGTTGTGCTCCTCGACACAGTTTTATTTTTTACTAAAAAGGTCTTTTTTTTTCTCTTCTCTTTCGTTGTTTGTGCGCGATCAACGATCATTTACGAATAACAACGAGTGACTGAGAACATGAATCAAAACTGGAATTATTATGGATCCAATTTGTTTCTCTCGCAAACAAGCAACTCTCTGTGTGAGCATAAAGTTGAAGCAACAAATAAAATAAAGGAAAACAGCAAAAAGTTTACATGAAAATTAACACACAAACTTTGAAGTTGTTTCAAGTTTAAAAGTGCGAGAGGGAGAGAAATGTTTCACTGATAACCCTCGAATGGATGACACAATGATCTCAACTGATGATGTCATCGATGATGCATTTCAGGAATGGAAGAATGTCATGAAAATAAGAAGAAAAATAAAATAAAAGGATGAACGGGAAACACCTCAAGGGTCATAAAAAATTAAAATTCATTGAATGACATCATACGACATCTAAGAATAATAAAGAGAGACGGATGCTGAGAGAGAAACTGTTGAATGTATGTTAAATGATTGTACAACAAGCACAAAGCAGCAAAGAATGAAAGGCGATAGTAATGTCACATCATCGAACACTGAGATTATGCACAGAAGTGCATCGAAATGAAAGGAATTTCTTTCTCTTTTTGAAATTTTCTTTTCTTCTTTTCTTGACCACCCACACAAAGAGCTGAAATAACTGATGGTCTTGAAATTTTATACACACAACATATTTCTTGTTTTGCTTTTCTATTTTATGCAGATGTTGGTGTGGAAGGAAGAGTAATGTTGACAACATAAATTAATGAATATTTAAAATGAATATTCATCACTTTTGCATACAATAACTCAATTTTTATAACGACATTATCAGAAATTCATTATTAGACTAACTATTTGATGACCAAACACATATTAAATACACATAATAGTCACAGTTTGATTCATGTTTTGAGTAATCTCTAATCGGAAACGAGTGAGGGGAGTAAACATTTATGTTTGATAAAAAAAACTTGTGAAATTTACCTTTAAATGAGATTCTTTTAGTGGCACATGAATTATAGACAACTTATCACTACATTTTAATGACTAAATTAATAAAAAGAACGATAACAAAATGTTAAATTTAATTTTTAACACGGAGCAAAAACTCTTTTGTTGATGAGTTGTTAGTTGACCGATTATTGCGATTGAATTGATTCAATTGGTGAACGTGAAAGTATTTTTGTATTTTCATCCGAAGATCTTAGATGGCAGCACTTTCCCACGGGAAAGAACTTCTGAAGCTTAAACTTCAGCCAAGAAACCTTTTCATTCTAAGATAAATTTGGAAAACAATTGCAAAAAACAGATTCCAAATTGTAGTTTCGCTGGAATACGTGTACAAACTTTCGACTTAAAAAAGGAAAATATGTAGGTGAGAACGTAATTTGAATATCATGAATATATCGTAAATGCCTTATTTATTAAAAATGTGTAAACGCCAATCGATAGAAGTGGTAAAAATTAAATAATGTGAAGAAAACGTTATATTTAAAAGCATTCCCTAAGGGAGTTTAAAGGAAAAACTTTTGCAGTTCTTGCATACTTTTAATGAATCGTTGCCGATCAATCAAAAGAAGTAGATTGACACCCTTTCTGTTTATTAAAAAAACTCTCAAGATTGTTGAACAAAATTTCATATTTTCATATCGTATCTTCCCATAATTTTTAACTTTGTTCACTTTTTTTTTAAATTTTATTCTCGATTTCGATTTTTTATTTAGAATGAAATAAAGAAAATCCAACAAGAATATTTACAACTTTTAAAACATTTTTTCCGTTCTGTCAACTTAATATCAATAATATAAAGGAATTCAATCCTTTATCATCATCACTATTGCACACATAAATCAAAATGTATTTACAAAATTCTTTCTTATCGTTAATGTAATCACATTTTCTCTTCCTCAATAATGCATTAAATAGATAATAGTTGAATTATTAATAATATCAACGCTGCATCTAAGATTTAATATAGATAATATTTCGTTCATTGAAACTTCATTGTCAATTGATTGATTTTCATTAAAGGAAAAATAAAAAAATGGTTTATAACTTTGGCTACTGTCGACCTGCTTCGGATGAATTGAGGAGACCACTAAGAATTTTTAACTTCCTCTTTAAACGTACTAATTAAATCGTAATTAAGTTTAACTTTCTAATCTTTCGTTTATGAATTGAAAGTAAGTTCAGTTCGAAGCAGGATGAAGGATGACGTGTAAGTTGCCTTGAATAATTTTGAAGTTTATCGATCTCAGAAACCTTTTAACATGATGTCTCCGTACAATTTCGCCAGAATAGACAATTTCCTATTCCGCTCTGGCATAGTAGGAAAACTGCAGTAATGAAAACGAGTGAACAAAGTGTGCATGGCTGAAAATAGAAAATAAATATAAGTAAACAAAATGAAAAATTGTGTTAATCTTTAATATTTTTTATGATCTAAACAGTTTATTTACCTTTCGTTCCAAAAAGAATGATATGAGATAAAGTATTAGAAACAGTCTGTGTATGAAGAAATTGTTTGTCTCTGATGGTTTTGGTAATAGAAGTACCTGAAAAAATTATTCAATTAATTTTCATTTCTTGTTTTGTTTTACAAGTCTTATAAATCCATTGTCTATGCGCTTTCTCGATTTACTTACAGGAAGGAGACATTGAAGACAGTACATAATGACTACAGTTACGTGTTTTTTTATAAATCCAGGTTCAAGGTAAAAAATAAAAGAAAAATCTTTTTTTGATGTTTTTAATTTTTTCAACTAAAACGAGATGAACTTTGGATTTTATGAGTTCACTTCAACTGAAAAGTTTGAACTCTTTCTAAACGAACCTTCAACAATTTGTAAACAATGAGCTACGAATAAATAAAACATTAAAAACGTAGAAGATGGGCCTCGTTGTGGTACACACGGGAGCTGGTAACTTTGTAAATGAAGAGAACTATAAAGTGTTGTGTAAAAAGGCCTGTCGAGTGGCTACAGAACTGCTTGATGCTGGTGGAAGTGCTGTCGATGCATGTGAAAAAGCAATTACGATATTAGAGGATTCTTGTCATACAAATGCAGGCTTCGGATCAAATTTAACATGGGATCGTAAAGGTAGATATTGAAGCTTATAATAATATCATTCGATTGTTTAATTCTCGTATTCGATAGTTGAATGCGAAGCTGGAATTATGGACTCGAAAAGCACAAACTTTGGTGCTTGCACATGCGTTTCAAATGTCAAGAATCCAATCTCATTAGCACGTAAGATATGTGATAAGCAATCAAGTCTCTTTCATTTCGGAAGAATTCCGCCGATTCTTCTATCAAGTGATGGAGCAAGTGAATTTGCCAAAGAAACTGGCATCACGTTAGTCACAATGGATCAATTAATTTCAAAGAAAGCCTCGAATACTTACAATTATTATCGCAGTAAAATCAACGAGTTTGAGAGAATGAATTTAATTGAAGTGGGTCCATTGGATACCGTTGGTGCCATCGCAATTGATAACGACGGAAATGTTGCTGCAGGTTGTAGTTCTGGTGGAATTGTGTTGAAGTTATCAGGAAGAGTTGGACAAGCAGCGTGTTACGGTGCCGGCTGTTGGAGCCAGAAAGTTGACAATCATTCAACTGCTGTTTGTACAACTGGAAATGGGGAATATCTCATAAAAACTCTTCTGGCAAGAGAAATTTCTTGCGAACTTCTCAACTGTGACTGTCCAACGACCAAACTTAATCAAGTATTTAATGAAAAATTCCTTAAATCGCCTCTTTTACCTCCATCGCAAGAATATTATGGTGGATGTCTTGTCATTGACTACAATTCCGATACAAATCGTGGTGATCTTCTTTGGGCGCACACAACAAAAATGCTTTGCTTGGCATACAAATCATCAAAGATGAAAACATCAAAATTCATCGCCTCGTCTTTGCCCGATCCAAATCAAGCTGGAAACAAAGTCATTGTCTCTGGAATTCCATTTTCTCTCTAACTTCATTTCTATTTTTTTTGATAAGAAAAATTATCTCAAACAAAACATTTTTTTTATTCCAAACTCAACTTTTTCTTAAGCAAAAATTTCTATTTTTAAATTTCTTTGATATTATTTTTATATGAACGTATGTGTGTGTGTGTGAGTGAGTGTGAAAAGAAAAACCAATAAACAAATTAATTATTAAATAAACTAAGGAAAAGTTTTTTACTTTTTCATCTTTTTTTCCTTCACTGATGATTGGTGTGAAGTTGAATCTGAAAATGTAAACATTGAGTTAGTGAGTTATGAAAGTTTAAAATGTTAACTGAAAATCTTACCATCAATCGTCGATTCTTCTGGAATTACTGATAACGTCAAGAATTTCGATGGACTTGTTGATTTCCTTGACGATTTTGATTTAACACTTGACGATTTTTGCCTTGTCGGCGTTTTTCGTTTTCGACTCTTTCTTGAAGTTGTTGTTGATGTTGAACTTTCCGACTTTACGCTCTCATTATCTGAAGTATCTGATGCTTCAATCGTTGACTTCTTTGTTGTACGAACTCCGCCATCATTTGATGATAACTGTGCAGCTAACTGACGTGACTTCTCCACAACTTGCAGTTGCTTTCTTGTCATTCTTCGATTACTTACCGAAGGCAATTCAAGTGTAGCTGACTCTTCAATGATTGCTTTGTCTGGTGTCATCTTCTTCCTACCGCTACTTGAACCTTTCTTTGTTGAAGATGATTTTGATTTCGCCCCTTCACTTTCTTCACTCGCACCTCGTTTTAATCTCAATGATCTTTGTCGCGTCAAATGACCGCCTTCGTCATCTTCTGTCACTTCCTTTTGTGTTAAACTTTCTTTCGAAGCTGCACGAGTTAATCTCCTCGGTGTCAATGAAGGAGAATCTCTCGATTGAATTGACTTTCTTCTTGACTTCAACGACGTTTTTGATGTTATTGTGTCCGTTTCAGTTTCAGGTGTTTGTGATGTTCGACTTTGTGACAAAGTTGGCGTCCCTGATGATCTTCTTCGTTGTGACGCTTCACTCCCATCCCCTGATAATCGCGACTTACTTCGAGTCGAACGAGTTGTTCTCGTCGGTGTCACTGGTTGCGGCGATTCAAGAAGATGCGATTTGCTTCGTGTCAACACGCCAGTTGAAAAGAATTGTTCACCAGATTCTTCTTCAATTTTCTCCAACATTTTCTCTTTCAAAATTCGTTTTGGAAGTTCACGATCTTCAGTTGATGATCTTTGTGATCGACTTGATGACCGCGGTGATGACGGTCCACTGCTTGGAACTGATTTTCCTCTTGTTTGTCGAACATTAAATTGATTTTTTGTTTCTTCTTCAACTTTTGGTGGTTCTTCGACTTCTTCTGTTGTCACTTCCACTGTCAATTCTTCTTCAATTATCGCTTGATCCAAAACATTTGTTTCATTCTCATCTGGAGTTGTTGTGACATTTTCAACTGCGGTTGTTGTCATCACAACACTTAGCGTTTCCCTCTCACTAATTGACATGATAATTCCATCATTTAGTTCATCGCCAGTTGTACTCATGAATGACAAATCTTTCTCTTGTTCATCAACTTCCATTGCCTCATTTTTCTCTTGAATTTCTTCAATTCCGATTGATTCAGCAGGTGGTGTCAGATTTTGTTCTTTATCCTGAACTTTCACTTCAATTTCAGTTAGTGCAACAACTTCTTCATATTCTGGTGATGCAATTTCCTCTTCATCATTTGCTTCTTCTTGTTCTTGTTGTTTTTCAACATTTTTTTCTTCAATATCATAAATAAGATCAAACATTTCTTCGTTCTGATCAACAAGATTAACATCTGATGATGGCACGAGTTCTGTTAAATTGGAACTTTCTAGAATTCCTTCATCAGTTCTTGACAAAGCACCAAATGAAGGCAAAGCAGCAGCAGGTTCTAGTGCTGGTGGTGCTGAAATATTTTCATTCTTCTCTTCATCAGAACTGCTGCTGTCCAAACAAATCACTTCATCGACATTCTCAGCTTCTTTTCCTTCACTTTGACTTGTCGAAGAATCGTCGTCGTCATCATCAAGATTAACATCGCCGTATTCATAATCAACATTCTCACTGCTTCCCTCGTAATCACTATGTTCAGGAAGTTCTTCTTCCTCAAAATGTTCATCTTCTTGTTCTTCATCTTCGTCTGATGCAACGACGTTCTCAACTTCCGAATTTTCCTTCGTTTTTTCCTTTTGAACTTCTTGCTCATCTTCGTCAGTGTCATCACTCCAACTGTCAGATTCATCGCCGTAATTTGGTGGAAGAATTGATTTCCTTTCATAATGATAAATTGATTTATCATTCTCACGTCCGATTGTGTCATCTGGATAATCATCATCGATATCATCGTCGTCATCATCATCATCATCATCATCGTCATCACTTGTTGATTCCTTGCGAACATTCTCAACAACAGCAACATTTGGTGGATCTTCATTTGGAGTTGTTGATCGACTTTTAATTGATTTTCTCGGTTTTGGACCGTCAAGCGGCAAATTTTCAATGATTAATGATGCTGATGTTGTTGCTTTAAGTTCTGGCGATTTTCTAGGCGATTTCCCAGGCGAATAAAAAGCTTCAGTTGACGACTCCATCACTTCGTCATTAAACGAAGTGTCACGTGAGTCAGGAAGTGCTGCAAATGTTATCGACTTTACCGATTTATTGTCATCACATAACTCACTGAAGCGACTTGGAGTTGGTGAAACACTTCCACGACATGAACGCGTTTTTAAGATCGAATGTGGTGTTGGTGGACATTTGTCGATGATTTTGCTGTTTGGTGGCGTCTTTTTAAGAACAATTGGCGTTGCCAAGAAGTTTCCAAATGTCTGAACACGTTCCGGTGTCATTTGACTTGAATCTCTTCCATCTTTCTTTTTACTTTTCTTAACGAAACTAAAGTTTGGCTTCGTTTCTTTGAAGATCGTTAAATTATTAATTCTTGTGTCGGCATAACTAATCGACGATCGTTGTTCATCAATTCGTCGCTTTTTCTGTCGAGGTGCTTCAAATTCTTCAGTTTTTCCTTGCTCTGCTTCCTTTCGTCTCTTCCCATGTTCATTAACATCTTGCGATGCATAATTTGATGACAAATCGAGTTGATTGAGTGTTTGTTGTTTATATTCAAATATTCCAAGCTTTGGACTGCCCATAAACGGAAGTTTTTGCACATCTTTCGGTGATTGTGAATCATAAGCAGCTTCAGCAATCGATTGAACGCATTTCTGATAAATGTCGTTGTTTGCATTGCATGGCGATTGAATTAAACTGACGCTTAATGGAAGTGGCGAATCTTTCGCGGTTCTCAAATGATCGACATCTTGTTGTGGACTCATCATTGTTGTAATTCGTCTCGTTGTTGATTCCATTGAAGCATAATAAGCATTGAGAACTTGTTTTGTCGGTTCGAGATTGACATTCGGTTCATTCCCATATGACTCGACTAATTGCGCTGCTTCAAGGAACTTCGAACGTTGCAATAAAAACACAAAATGCGTATTTAAGTGACTCAAGTCATTCAAACTCTTCAAATATTCCGTCAGAATTATTTCTTCATCCTCTGTCAATGCCAAATCCAACAACTGCTCATAACTTGGTGAATTAAGAATTCTTTCAAATAATTTCTCCAACAATTCACGATCACCATTCGCACGTTGAACTTTCAAAGCTTCACTTATCAAATTATTCGCTAAAAGTGTCAACATTTCCAATCGCGTTGAAATTTGATTACCAGGACAACGAAGCGCTCTCAAAGCTAAACTATTTGCATCTTGTTTAAGTAAAGCGTTGATGAGAAGTTCACGTTGCCAAACTGGCAAATGTTTGTCATGAGAAAGTGGCGAAATGAGCTCTTCAACTGCTGTTATTAAATGTTCATTGTCTAAATTCCAGAACGCTTGTGTGCGTTTAATCAAAGCAGGATTCATTTTGAAGACAGCTGGAAATTTAATTAAATTCCTTACGATGCTTCCATAAATTCCGTCACATAAAACCTTCGTAATGTCCATAAAGAGATAAACAAAAATCACGTGTTTGCTTTGAATGGAGATTTCCGGCACGAGAAGTGTTCGAAGTAAAGCTTGAATTGATTTCGGTGGATAAGTTCCAGTTCCACCCCAAATCTCGCTTAATTGCTTCTCAGCTTTGCACTCACGTTTGATGAATGCATCGATGAAGAGAAATTCTGAATTGTCGTCAAACTTCTTTCGTTGTTTATTGTAATGTGCGTTGATTCTTCGATATGGATAAGGAACAATAAGAAAATCGTCGGACATGTCGTGATCACGTCGTTGTTGATCATTATCGAAGCCTTCAGGCAACAAACCAACATTCAACAACCATTGCAACACTTCTTGGTAATCTGAAGCCATTCGAATTGTCTCCGATTGTGTCTGAAGTTGAAGGAAAATATTGTCGGGAATAAATTGCCGATAATCTCTCAAAATGATAATCAATAGATCGGAAAGTGTTCGAAGTTGTTTGCAACACTGCGACAATTGTTTTTGTGTCCCATAATCGATTCGTTGTTCGGAATAATCGAAAAGTGGTTGACATAAATGATTGCAAACATCTTTGATTGAGCGTACACGATTCCAAATCCAATCAGTGAGTGTTGACAAGCCAATTCCAACTGAGTTGTCTCTTCCCAAATAACTTCCGTCGGCCCATGCGTTCGCACATTTTTTCAGAAATCCATTAAAGTTGTATTCGAGTGCAACTGACAAGAGAAATTCACGTTTCTGTTCGATCGGCGTTGCGACATTGTAAATGATGTCAGTAAATTGTGGAACGATGGCGACTTGAAGAAGTTCTTTGAAGTAATAACTCGGCTCGAGAATGGCTTGCGGTCCTTTCAAGTTAAACTGTTGCAGTGCAATGTTCTGCAATCCAAACCAACGGAAATGAGAAAATTTGTCATTCTCAAGCACACAAACATCAAAACTTAAAGAATTTGGATAAAAATGTTCTTCGGGTCTTAAAATGGAGTTGAATGGAAACACTGAAGTGTCATTGACGATGACATCAAGTGCAGTACACGTTGGAATCTCGAAAACTGCTAAATAATTTGATTGAATCCGCCAATCGCCGACATTCGGCATTTCTTCTTTGTACCATTGATTAAGATCGAAGACAACAATGTCAGTGTTTTTACTTGTCGGCGATGTCCATGCGAGAATGTTTAACGTTAAAACTTCTTCTTCATCTTGTGTCAAACGGCGAGTTATTGCACGACAGCAAATTGGAAAAGTTTCCTTCACATAAATTGGCATCGTCAGTCGAACAGAACATGAACGAAAATCTTCATAAATGCCATCAATCTTTGTATCAAACATTAATGAATGCATCACAGCAATTGCACCATTTCGCGATGAATGGAAAGCCCAAACATAGACGTGACAACGTGGATCGTCGTTCGGTTCGAGATACGAAATGTGAGTTAGTGGCGAATGATTGTTTGGTGGATAAGCCAGATGGAATGGTTGAAGACTTGAAAGGTCGTAAAACACTAATCGACCATCTTCCAGTCCTACAGCCATTGTAAACACATTCGGCATACAAAGAATCGACAGAACTGGACTCGAATCATTCAACACGTCGAGTTGAATTGAGAAAAATAATTTTTCTGACATTCCTTGTTCAGGTGTCGACGAGATTCGATGTTGTCTGGCAATTTCTGATTGTTCAACATTAGCAAGAATATTCACGCATTGAAATATTTTTGAATCGTAACTTGGTGATGTTGCAATTTCTGGAAAGAATTAAAATTGAATGCTTGAAGACTTCAAACTCGAAAATTTTCTTACTTACCACGAGTATTTTTTGGTATGATGATATCAACTAGAAAAAGCTTTCCCTGATCAGTTCCAATAGCTAGTGTACCATTAAAATGTCTCAGAACACTTCTTTTACAACAACCTTCAACGATGTAGCGACAACAAGTGATTCGCTCACAAAAATCCATCGAACCGAGAATCTTCGAGCCATGAACACAGAAAATGCTGATCATTCCTGCACTGGCATCACTGGCTGTGAATTCTAAAGCTACAGCTAAGATACAAGTTCCTTCTAAATATGTGATTTCTTCAACGCAGGTAATAACGCAATCTCGACTTCTGAAAAAGAAAACAAACAAAAATTAATTAAGGTTAGCTAAGCAGATTCAACTTTTAATTGTGAAATTCCTTTACCCATGATTTCTATTGAAGTTATAGAATGCTATTCGTTCTCCTGTTTCTGTGGATAATATTTCCAATGATGAATTTTGTACAATCCAAGCATATTTTCCTCTTTTTATAAATCCCGCTAAAATAAAAATGACAAAATAATAAAATCTTGACATGAGTTAAAATTCTTTCGATATTCAACCTTGTCCTAGTGCGAAATGTGAATCGTCTATTGAATTTTTAATTCCAACATGATTTTTTAGATTCAACTGTAACTTATCTGAATACATTTTTATAATTTAAAGCCAAATTTTTTATTTTCCTTTTTTTGCTGTTATTGTTGCCTATAAATCCAAAAAGTTTCATTTTCTTTCAGTTCATGTGCGTTCAGTTTGCTTTGTTCACTTCATTTCAGTTCAATATTTTTTCACAAATCGTCAATAATGTTCACAACAAAAAGATTTTTTTCTCAAACTTGCAGATACCTTGCACGTTTCAAAGTTTATGGACCGGAAAATCCTAACAGAAACAGAGCTTATGTTGAGTCTTTAGCAGAATCTCAAGATGGGACAGCATTTTTTGCATGGCATCCGAAGAAAGAAGTTCCATATGAATTCACGAGGCCGCTTCCAACAAAAATTGAACAGAAAAGTCAATCACTATTGAAAGAACAACAAATTGAGAAAGCTAAATTAGCATGGAAACATAGCCACCCAGACTTTGCACGAGAAGAATTAGCTCGACTGACTTTTACCACAAAACATCGTTGGTATCCAAGAGCCAGAGATAAGAAACATAATTTTAAGAAAACTCTAATGGACCGTAAATATCTTTAAAGGTTGTTTTATTACGAGATCAGTAGTTGTTAAAAGAAATTAGAAAATAAACCAGCAACAAAACTTCTTTATTCAAATCGTTTCTTTTTTAAAACATTTCCAAGTATGTCAGAAATGTTGGAATTGCCAACTCTCTCTTGAGTTCTTGTCCTACCACTTGTCATTGATGATGTCGATGCTTTCAAGTTACGATGTTGTGGAAAACTTGGCATTAGTTTAGGATCAGCAGGTAATGGTGCTTCTTTGAAGTAACTTGATTGAAGACATTCTACAGCGGTCGCTCGCTTCATTGGATCGTACATGAAGAGAAAGTTCAGCAATCGAAGACCAACTTGAGACAAATATGGAAATCTTGTCTTTAAATTATTGTAAGGTTGTTGCCTTAAATTGAAGTTCTGAAGAGCTGGTAAATCTTTGAATCCTGGCCAAATACTTTCGCTTGGCGTCCCCAACAAATCCACAATCAAATTTATTTGAGAAATCTCACTGGTGCCTGGTAGAAGCGGTTTGTGTGAGAGAAGTTCACCTAAAATGCATCCCACAGCCCACATATCAATTGCCGTTGATTGATTTGGAGATCCCAATAAAAGTTCTGGTGGCCGATACCTTGAATTGAAATTGAATAAATATATTAAGGATTGCGAATAATTAATAATCTATACTCACCAAAGTGTTACTAAGCCTGGGGTCATTGACTTTTGTGGAACGCTGAAAGTTCTCGCTAAACCAAAGTCAGCAATTTTCAGACATCCTGTGTCGGTCAGAAGTAAATTGCTGACTTTAATGTCTCGATGAATTATATAATGTCCATGCAAATATTCAAGACCACGCAGAAGTTGCATTATTATGCATTTAACTTCTGATTCCGAAAAAGGTTTTTCAAGATTATCCAAAAGTGATGCGAGATCTTGTTCACAATATTCCATCACTAAAAAGATTTTTTCCAGCTGTTCGCCAACCACAACCTCTTTGAGATCCACTATATTCTCATGTTTACATGACTTAAGTATTGATATCTCTCGAAGACAAGCTGGAATATAAAATTTCATTGAAAATTTCTTCCAAAAATGTAAATTTATTAATTCTGCTTTACCAACTGGAAATCCATCGCGAAACAAATCTCGATCCACTTTCACTTTCTTCAAAGCGTACTCTTTCTTAGTCTTTTTATCACGCACACGATAAACAACACCATATGTACCTTGACCAAGCATATTAAGCTTTTCATATTCCTCCACTGACCGACAAGGATTTGTCTGAAAATAAAAACAAAATTATTTCATGTTTTTAAATGAAAATCCTTTGACCTTACAATATGTCTGTCACTTATTTCCTGTAGTTTTTTAGTTTGGAAGTTAAGAACGAATCCTTTCTTTCTGATTGGCTCACTCCAATCTGTCATTTTGATAATGAAGAATTTTTCGACCAATTTTCCTTACATTTAACGGAGTGCGTTTAGTAAAGTTTCATAAACGCCGGTTGAACGGAATTTCCAAAGACTAAAAACAAACAAATGAAATTTTTAAATTCTAAGTAAAAGAAATAATATTATAAGAAAATGGTTCTCTGTACCTTTTTTCTCAACGGCCATTGCCGCTTTGGGAGTAAATGTGTCAATGATCATATTGATTTAAAGTGAGTTGCATTAGTAGCATAAGAATTTAACTAAAGGTTTTTAAATTTATCAAATAATTTCAGGACACTTTTGAAAACTGAAGTTGAAGCAGCTATCAATGGCAAACAATGGCTATTATCTTGTTTTGGACCTTTCAAAGAAAGTGCTGTGCTCCCTAATTTTATTCCTGATAGGTCATTTGAGGTGAAAAATGAAATTCTTAAAATAACTTTAATTAAATTAAATTTCTGTTTTAACAGGAAGTTCGTTTGAGTTTCTTAGAAGCATCAAAGAATGGAACTGCACAGCAGCACGTTAATGAGTTGATTGCTCAGTATAATGATAGTGTAACGAAGTTAAATCAATTAAAAATGGCAACTCCAGACACAATTCAATTAGTGGCAAATATTTACAATCAGTCTGTGAAACCAGATCAAAAGAAAACCACGTCATCAACAGCAAATGTTTTTGCTGTCTCCAACACTACATCATCACCTCAGCAACAGATAAATCCATTTCAAACAAGCAACATCTTTGGAGGTTCTCAACAGCAAGCAACGGCAATGAATGCTGGAAGTATTTTTGGGAGTTCAACTTCCAACAACCCATTTCAAAGTTCTGCTCAAAGCAACATGTTTGGAAGTGCCAAAACGCAAACATCACCAGCAGCTTCAAATTTCTCTTTTGCTTTAAATCAACCAGCAGCAATCCAACCAACACCACAACAATCAATTTTTGGTTCTGTTGCTCAACCAAATCAACAAACAAGTTCAATCTTTGGTTCTGCGAATCCAATACAGCAACAAACTGGATCATCAATTTTTGGTGGCCAACAACAACAGCAACAACAACAAACTCTTGGACAAACAAATACATTTGGGTCCATTTTTGGACAATCTCAACAGCCTCAACAACAACATACTGCGTCGTCAACTTTTGGTTCATCAATGTTTTCTCAACAAACGCAAGCAGCACCACCAACTGGACTGTTCAGTTCAGTTCTTTCTCAACCGATTCAACAGCAAACTAATCCATTTTCTCAACCGACAACAGGAAATATTTTCGGACAATTTAATCAATCACAACAGCAGCCGCAAGCAGTACAGCAAAATGTTAACCTATTTGCCACACCACCAAGTGCAAATCAAACACCAAATGTTTTTGGCATGCAACAACAACCACAACAACAACAACAACAGCCATCAGCACCGACAGGAAACATCTTCCAAATCCAACAGCCAAACCAACAACAACAGCAAACTTTTGGCGGAAATCCTTTTCAAACTCAACCACTAAAAATCGATGACAATATTTATTCAAAACCTGAAAACTTGACACCAGATGAATTAAAAGCTTTCGAAGCTGATTCATTCCAATTGGGAAGAATTCCTTTAATACCCCCACCGAAGCATCTTTGTACATAAATATTTTTTTTTTGAATAAAATAAATCAATAAAAATTGAAAAAGAAATGTCTGTGACTGTCATAAAATATTTTCACTTAGGAATGGTCATTTGTTATCAGCACGTGGTTGATGTTTATGTCAGCATAAGCTGCATAATTTCCAGCACATGTGAGAAAGGGAGAAGAAAGATAAACAATGAAATGCATCTGGAAAATATCCTTTCCAGTCGAACATCTGTTTCCTTGTATACACACAAACCATGAAAATCGATAGACGGAAAAACAGAAATACTTTGAATGTGTTGAGTTTTTCCTACTGCGATCTGATGTTTTCCAGATTTTTCCTCATTTTCTCGTGTGCTTTCATTCCGGCCAGTTCGCTTTAAAAATCAGTCTTAAAAAAGTATCAAAGAATGACTTGTGATGCTTACAATGTATCACGTTGTGTAATTTCCTACAATTTTATGGATGTTTTGAAATTTTAAGAAAGTTTTAAATAAAATCAACTCGAAGTGAAACTCTAAAATTCTTCTTTTTGTTTTTGGCTTTTTGAATATCAGTTGAAAAATTATTTAGATAAAGAATTGAAGAAAGATTTATTTTCCGCGAGAGAAAACTAAAAGAATTTGCATATTGATGAAATTGTGAAATAAATATTTATATCAATTTAGAAAATCGACGAACAACAAGTGATTCATGTTGTTGATTTTGTATTTAATGCTGTGGGAATTAAATGAGATGGTTTTATTAAAAAACTTTTAATTCGGTGAGTTTGAAGTTTAATAATACTTTTTGTGTAATTTTTTTTTGTCATGATTTAAAAATAATTTATAAGCTTAAAAATCAACACAGGAATGAAAGTTCTCTTTGAGTTGAAACTTTAAAGGAATTTGTTTAAAAATTGGCAAAGAACTTCCAACTATCTCAGTAAGGATGATAAATAAAGTTGTCAAAGTATGTTTGCAGCTGGTAACTTATCCCACTTATTTTTTGTGAAGAACTTTAGTTGGGCATAAGAGAAGTAAAAAGATAAAAATGCTTTCAGTTGTTGGCAATGGCAAGATCTTGGTAAAAGCTATTTGCAAGTTTGGAATTTTGAACTTAAAACTTTGTCTCTTCTTCATGGCCACAATGATTTACGTAATAAATTCCTGAAATCTTATCCGATTTAATTTATCTTCATCGAATGGGAAGTCAAGTCAGAAATCCGATTTCCATTAAACAAATGAATATTTGAAAGGAATGTTTTCACATAGCTTCGTTCTTGATCATCATTTGGATACCGAAAGAAACCCTTTTCAAAAAAGCTCAATTTCTTTCTTACTTTTCCTGTAGGAAAACATAAATTATAATCCATTTTTATAAGCTTAGTGATCCATTTCTGCAGGGAAAAAAATTGTTTAAGAGCTTTGTTGCTAAATTAATATCTGAAGAGAATTTCGTTTCGGCATCATAATTTATGCAAGAAGCGGAAAACGGTTAAAGAATCTTTTTCTTTTAATTGGGATAACATTGCTTTGTTGAGTTGATAAATGTTTAAACAGCTACTTAGATCTATGCTTAGACACATTCTACGAATCTTCCTTCCCCACCTGCTGTTACTTGACAAGATCCATATCTTAAAAACTGCTTCTATCACGTAGACAAGCGTGGGATGCCACTTTCCATTTGCATAAATTTTTAAGTGTTCTCCATCCTAAATTCGATACTTTTTTCTTCTTCTACAATGATGAGTCGTTGAAACGTTTTTATATTTAAAGATGGAGTGAAAAATCCATAAAACATTTCCCATTCTGAATCGAAATGAAAAATAATATGAACTTTAGAAATTCAAATCATGTGTAGGATTTCAACATGAAACGCATCACATTGAATAACTTGAAGTTTCATGTTGTTTGAGATGGCAAGTTAAGGAAATTCATGAAATATTTTTTCAAATCATCTTGAATCGGTCCTTTTAAACGTCCCTCGTCTACCTTTAATGCTTTCAATGATTTGTTTGCTAAAGTATCGTTTATTTCCATCGGAATCACAAATTTGATGATTGAGGCGGAAGAATCAATGGAAGAAGTTTCCCTCCCAACCTTATTTATCTCCTTACCTTTCCCACTTTCATTTACTGGAATGAAACGAAGAAAAAAAAAAGAATGAAACTTTCGCAATTGCCATAAAAANGTAGGTTAACCGAGTTTCTTCGTTTCGGTTACTAGGTTAACCGGAATCTGAAAAATACCGGTTAATTAACATCTATACTCCCAACCTTATTTGTCTCCTTACCTTTCCCACTTTCATTTACTGGAATGAAACGAAGAAAAAAAAAAGAATGAAACTTTCGCAATTGCCATAAAAAGACATTAAAGAAGAGATAAAAAATTTGAGTCTATAAAATTTCCATAAACCTCTCTAGAAATAAAAAAGAAATGTGAAAAACAACGACGTTTAATTTTTTTTTCTCCATCGCACCTTACATAGACACCGGTAAAATGTCAATGTCAGGTAAAGGAAGAAAAGCTTAGCTTCGAAAATATTCCCTCAACTGTCATTGTGGTCTTGATTGTTAAGGATATTTTTATAAATTCTGTTAGATTGTTACTTAAAATACTTAAGAGAAGGAAAACATTTAAAATAATTCCAATGATTGACGTTTTTCTTTTATGTTTACTGTCACATTAGACGACTTGTGGAGCTTTTAAATTATTTAGCCTCAAAGAATGCATGACACGAAAATTTACATAAACATCGACTTCTAAATATGTTTTTCATCGTAGCCCGCCTTGTTGATGTCTTCGTTTCTTAAATGTATCAATTCCGGGAAAATAAAACTTTTAAGACATCTTCAAATTCTTGTTCAAAGTTTACATAATATGAAGTTGCTGTAAAATATTCGCTATTTGTTTATTCTGAAATACGAAGCGAAATTGAAATTCTGTTTTCGATTTGTTAGCTGGAAAAAAAGGAAGAATCAAAAGTGGGTGGTTGAAAATGTAAAAGGAAACTTTTCTTTCATCCAAATCGATATTTCTTTGACACATTTTTTTCTGCCGCAATTGAATATAAAGTTGCTAAATTCGTCTGCCATTGTATGAAATGAACATCTAACTTCACACATGTTGACGTTGATGTTAAAACATTGAAACTTTACACGAGAAAAAAATGGAGGAGAAAAATCCACAATCGAAATGGCTTTTGTCGGTAACAACAGAATGGAAAAGCGAAAGCAAACTCTCAAATATTTATTTTTTGTCGTTTATTCTTACTGAGCGAACAATCAAATCATCTGTAAGTTTTTTGTTACTCGGCAACTGTGAGTAAAGCATCAGGATGGTCTCTTTGTCGTCAGACGTAACAAAATCGAATCTTCATTGATTGAAGGAGGGGACAACTCACTGAACAACTCTCGTTGAGAGATGAGTGTGTACTCAACAACTTGAAATATAGCTTTGATTGAAAAGCAGATTCGGTCTTAATCGTGAATCAAGTTTCGCATGAAAATATTTACAAACAGAACTTCCTGTAATACTTTAAATGAAATTCTTCTCTTAACTTTTAAAGGTACAAAAACGTTTCCTATTTAAAAGTTTCATTCACAAGGGAAGTGATAACATGACAATCTCTAAAGTTTGATGTTCTTTATAAATATTTTTAGACATGAACATCATCACTGAAACTTTTTCTCTTCTTAAAATTAGCTTTCTTGTGCCTATTTTCAATGTTTTTCTTCTTTCTTCCTGTCTTGTTTTTGAAGATGACGCATTTCCTTTTCCTGTAAAAAATGAAAAAAGAAGGAAAAATCACAAAACTTATTTTGTCTTTCATGATGACAATAAAGGAATAAAAGAAAGGGAGCGAAAAGAAAAATCAATGAAATGCTTTGCAGCTATTTAAAGCTCCCACGATTCATCTACGAGGATGAACAAAGATACGTTTCAACGCACAAACAACACGATTTTCATCTCCATAAACTTGGAATCCCTTTTCGTCATTTTTTAGGGTGGTTTGCGGGTTGGTTGGCTGAAAGGTATGAGAATGAATAGAAGAGTTGGAAGAAAGAATTTGTCATCATTGTGTTGAGCTTTGCTACACTTTTTATACCAAAAGTGACACGATTTTATAATCTTTTAATGGAAGAAGCCGGAAAGTGATGACACGAATTTGAAGGGATCGTGGAGTTTATTTAGGCGACAAGAAATTCTTCCGCAACAATTTCTAAAGACACTTGAAAAGAGCGACAACATCTCACTTCATTTATCATTCCTTCTATTTATTTAGAGCAATTTACATTTTTTTATTCTCACCATTTCACTTCATCAAATGATTTTTTATCTTCTTGTTGTGAGTGGGAGTTGTATAAGAATAAGAAAGAAAGCGACGAGATGGAAAAGGATTTGAAAGCATTTATGTAAATGTGCAGTTATTCTTGATCATTTTATGTGAGTATTCACTTTTGTATCATCACGGAAGTTCTTTCATTCCTTCCATGAAGACAAACTTTTCCACGAAGAATTTGTAATTTTACTGTTTCTTGAGAAAATATTTTGAGATGACATGAAAGGAACAATAAATGTAGAAAATAATATGAACATAGATTCTTGTTACTACTTAAATGTCACAATGAAAAGGAACTTAAAGTCAAGATGAATAAGAAAGTCTTGACAAATGTTGACATTGTTAAGAATAGAATTGCACTTGATTTTCCTTTTTTCTCTCCTTCTCCAACTTCATCATTGTTTGAACCTGCAAGCATCTTAACACGATTGGCTTCATCCGACAAGAAAATAATTCTCAAACAATAAAGCTTAAGCTGCTTTTCAAGATTTTTATAGTTTCTTTGAAATGTGTGTGGGTGGGAGGAAGTGAATAGACAATTGTTTATGACATTACACCATGACAGCAATTTCTATAGCGTAAGTCGAAAGCTTTTCAAGGCAAGACATGTTGCAGTATTTCATATAAAATTCACTGAATAAAAAACTAAAAATAGTGAAGAAAAGTCGTGATCTGAATCCATTTCTTGTTCTTCCAAACTCATCTCAATTTTTTCTTCCCCACAACTGCAGAACAAAAGAAATAATTTACCTTGGGTTAAGGAAACAAAAGAGAATAAAATTGCGGCAAACTTCACCGCAATGCTAAGTAAAAGTGTAGGAGATGAAATTGGATTTGTTATAAAGACGATTCTTTGTCTTCTTTAGATTTCTTACATACATAACTTCAGTAAAATTAGCATTTAACTCAATTAAAATGGAAATTCCGAGGGTTTTGTAAAAGTTTTAACAGGAAAAGTTTTGCATATATATTAAAAGCATTCGAGGACATCAATTCGCGTGAATCAATTGCATTTATGGAAATTTATCTCGCTTTGACAAATAAAATTAATGACTTTTTTTATCTTTATGTTCAACTTCAATTAGCAAATCGACATTTCTCTAATTTCTTCGTTCTTTTCGTATTTTTTTTATTACAAATTCATAAAATTTCCTAAACGATAATGTGACAGAAATCCAGTAATGATCATCATAACAAGGCGTCAGAAGAAAAACAACATCGCATGTTTACGACAGTACATGAAAACAAGCAAACAAAAATAATCGCGTCAACTTCCAACCATTAATCTTGTAATCAATTTCCTTTCCAGTCAAACATATTTATTTACATCGCATGACTAAAAATTCAAAGTTTTCTAAGGCCAAATAAAAGCTGAAAAGCTTTTCAATTAATTTCAATTCATTCTTCTATTCTTCAGTCATTTTTCTCCTTTTTCCCCCGTTGTTTGTGTCTTTATCCAATCCACCCGCATCAAGATAAATAAAAACTTCGATGTTAATCTCTTTTGAAGTGAAAAACGAGTGAAAGACGCAAGTGGGAAATCAACCCTTAACATTAACTTTCTAACAATCAAGTTGAAACGAAAAGAGGATGAAATCAAAATACTCGCTTTCTTGAAAAGGAAACAAGGAACAAACATTCATTCAGTCATTCTTTCTTTCTTCCTTGATCCCTTTTATCATTCGACTGAAACGAAATGATTTTATTTTTATGCTAAAGTGTCATTGAAATGATATCTAATCAAAAGTCTACATATATGTATTTAAATTAAACCTACTTACACATAAGCTAAGCGGATTAAAAGCGTGAAAAGTTTTGAATCTTTTTTTAGATATTTGACGACTGCAAAAGACGTTTCGATGTCAAAATTCTTTGAAATTTTTATCCCGAATTTATATTTCAGAAACATGCAAGGAAGGAATTTCAATTTAATGCTTAAATTACAAAACAAAAGTGTGGGAGGGAAGAAATTAATTAAATTTTCACGTTTTGCAGTGTTTGTGTGTCGAGCAGCGTCTCAAATTGATTTAAAATTCAGTAATCGAATTTGATTCTCATGATAAACTGGAATTTAATGGCGTGAAAAAGATGCTAAAACATCTATTGGGAAATATCTTTTGTGCTTTACAAGATGAAGTTAAAACTAAATCATGAGAATGAAAAACTTTATCAATCCTCATGACATTACGAAATTGATAGATGGAAAAGGGAAATGAATCAATGATACGACGACATGAAACTTTTCCCACAAAAGAAATGAAATGAGAGAGCAGGAAAAAGTTTATTTAAGCTTCAACTAATTTAAGACGTAAATTACTTGTGATCGATTAAGTTACATCCTGCTGGGTGCGGGGGTGGGTAGAAAATTTTATTGTTGTGAGTCAAATGAAAAGTTCTCGTAATGAAAATATCCGACAGCATAAGAAAACTTTCTAAGAATTCAATGAGTCGAACGAAAAATCTGTTTACGATTCGTTGAATGGGAAGAGAGATTAAAGTGCAATAAGTAAATAAAGATTTCGTGAAAAGAACAAAAATCAATTCGATGAAGACGATGGAAAAGCTTTTTCGAATTCATCGTAGCTTCGTAAGTCATTTCCCTAATGTATAAACTCAGTAGAAGAGAATAATAGTTTTCCTGACTCAAATCATCCTAACAACTGAACAACTGTTCAGCAGACAAGAAAATTCTTTGTCGAAAACTTTCAACAATACGAAAGAAGCGCAACTAGGTACATACTTTTCCTCCTTTAAACATTTTTTGGGATCCACAAAAGATTTCAAATATAAACTTGATTACACGCTTTGATTCAACTGTAAATCTCTCTCACTCGTTCTCTCTAAGAGAAAAGGAAAGAAAGAAGAAAAGATTAATCGTGGAAAGTCGTGGAGAGATTTCCGTAATCAAATATTCGAAAAGCATAAAGAAGGCACCAAAACTATTTTCTATCTAAATTAATTAAATTCTTGGGCAACATAATTCAGAGTGATAATTGAAAAAGTTTCTCTCTTAAAGCTTCTTTTCAAGCCCAAAATAATTCAATTGAAGTCTTAAGGAAAATCCTTTTCTTCCCCTTCTCCATGTTGTTGTTAATATTTGAATTTAATACGAGAGGAAAAATTTATCATCCGACATTAAATTGCATAAAGTCGACGATAATTGGTGTTGTATAATGCCAACGAATTGGAAGCATTTCTTTTCTTTCATTCCCAGCTTTTACCAAAAACTTTTATTGTAGTCATAAATATGAATGAAATTTTCTTGGTATAAGCGGAAGATTTTCATTACCAACAGGAGAGCAAGAAGAAAAAATATTTAAATGAAAGGAAACGATGTTTTCTTACTATTAAAGCTATTGAATGGAAAAAAAACTTTTCGCAAACAAATTCCAAAGCTTGTTTTACCATAACAATGCTTTAAATATTTATTTATGTTTAAAGAAAATTATTAAGGATCGTTTTGTTCCACCCACGAGTTTTTGCGATCATTATTATCATCTTTATGGTTTAATTTATTTTAATACTCATTAATTATAATCTACGGAAAAGAAAATTCAATTTTACAACATGTGATTTTTCTTTTAATTTAATTAAGCTGTTAATTAGCTTCCTTTATTCTCAGTAACATTAATCGAAACTTCTGAATGTAGGAAGGAACGTGAATCGCTGAGAAATATTTTTCCATCATTTTCGCTAAGGGTTTCTTGATCAAAAATATTATTAAACGATAAACAATCAAAATTGTGAATTATTTATTGTTTATTTGCGTTCTTGGTAGAAAACGTAGCAATAAATTTCACTGCATTTCCTTCGGTTGTAAATAAATTTCCCTTTAAAAGCTACAAGGAGTGCAATGCAAGCACATTTCTCATAATTTATGAAGTAATTTTAACAAAGAAAATTTTGGGTTTGGGTTGTAAGACTTTTAGTTATTTTCATCCTGCACCAAACATTTTAAGCTTTTTCATTATCACTTCTTACAAGATTTCACCCTTTGACACTCATACACACACAAAACAAGCAACTTTTTATAATTTTGGAAAATGAAAAGTTCGTGGAGGGTGAAAGGAACAAAAAAATAAGAAAATTAACAAGAAAAAGTTGTTCTTGTGGAAAATTCAAAATTGGATTTTCCTTCTACATTCTTCCAATATTGGAGACATTTTCATACGAGTAGAGAAGACATTTTAGTGTCACCATCAGGTTTTCGTCACGCTTCGAACTTGATATGGAAGAGGAAGTGTGCAATATGAGAAAAATGTAATTTTTCTGCTTGAAAAAGTGAATCCTTAGCATATGAAAATCTTGCAAGTGTTTGCTATGAAATGGCCTGAAGTCGAGATGTTGAAACTTGAGGGAACAAATGGCATTGTAAGCACGTAATATTTACTTTCATGCCATCGCAGTTTCTTTTATTCTTTATTTTATGTGTTAATCGTTGTAGCACACTTTACAATTTATCTGATGTCACTTCTACCTTTTGTAAGTTCATTTCATTCCGAGCATTCGAGCGTGAGCTTTCAACATTAAGAAGAAATCCTACCTGACTTTACACTTTTTTTTTCAAGTGACAATATCATTGCTTCACGTTCATGCTTTAACGTTACATGAGATTTCTTTGTGTGTTTAAATTCTTTTGTCTTTGTTCCTCGACAAATTAAATACTTTTTCATTTAAAATCTTAAGAACGTGTAACATTGCGTGACGCAATTTGATGTTAACAAGTTTACACTCAACACTTCGCTGTAAATGAATTTTTATCAACAAAATAAGAAGAAATTACACAAAATAAATCTTTTATTGTTAAATATTAAAAATGTTGCTCACAAAAATATTGTTCTTAATTTTGGTTATCAAATATTAGTCAAAAAATAGTGGAAACTTTGAAATTCATTTCGTTAAATTAAATAATAAAAAACAAAAAGTGGAAATTTTCACTCGGAACTTTCAAGTGGCAGTAAATTACATTTGCGTTTGAATTATCCATTAAAGCTTTCTTTAGAAAGGAAACAACAACATAGAAGGAAAATGGAATGTTTAATCTAAAAACTTGTCCAAAGCTTCGTAAACGTATTCGTAAACAATCATCATGATCGCTCCACCGGGTGCCAATCTCATAACTTTTGGTGTTAAGCCTTTGTAAAGTGCTTTAAATCCTTCTTCACGATAAACTGTTGCGATGGTTGGGAAAGTGGATTTGTATTTAACGACACCCGGTTGTGGTTGAGGACCTTGTATGCGAGACTTTGCCACATCAAAGGGAATGTTTATGACACTTCCTAATGTTCCCGACACAAAACCAATCGCTACTTTACGCAAGAATTCTTGGAACGGATCTTGATATTCTGGCACAATGTTTTTGACTGAATGATAGAAGCCAAAGTAGATCATGTTGAAAACACCATTTCGCCCAATTGTTGCTGACAATCCTCGATTTAATCCTCTCGAACCAATTCCATTCTCAGCGATGATTTGCCGAGTGACGCTCCATGTACTTGGAACTTCACCTCCTTTATTACGATTCGATTGTAAAGTGACTTTAACCATTTCGAAAGGATTCACAAGAATTGCTTCAAGAACACCTGCACCTAGACCAGCTAGAGAAAATGTCTGGAAATAAAAATAAATGAAAGTCTCGTTCAGCACATTAAGAGAGCTTTCCTCTTACCAAAGGTGTTGGCTTTTCATGCCCAAAGAGGAATAAAGGTTTGAGTTGTTCAAAAGTAAGAAACTTGACAGCACGTTTTGGTGTTTCAACGAGAATTGGAGGAAGGATTCCTTTATAAAGTGCAAAAATCCCTTCATTCCGAACCATTTTCTTTGCACAATCGAACACACCATGGTAGTAAACCTGTAATTGAAGAACCAGAGATATTTTGTAAAAAGTAAAATTGATATTGGGAAACATGAAATGAAACTCGTTGAAAATTTCAATTAATTCTGTTTTATGTTTGAAAAGAATCGACTAACATTGCTCCCTGTCTGAACTGAAACATTCGCTGTTTTTATTTGCAGCTGTAATCTTGTTTTGATTAAATCCAGTGGATGCATGATGCAAACCTCGATGAAACCTTTAGAAAAATACTTTTATGAACTGAAAACATTGAATTTTGTTTTAATAATTCACCTGCAGATCCACCAGCTGCTGTTTGCATACATGCTTGTTGAAAGAAACCTCTTTGCTTCTTATTATCAGACATTTCATCTACTCTTTACAATTCACAGATTGCCTTATCAATGAGTGATAACTTTCAAGATATCTTCAAAGTCAAATTTATTAAAATGCAATAGAAATGATTGGAGATTTAATTGAACTTAATGATTAATTGAAACTTAGTTTAAATATTAACAAAATAATCAAATTTTAAAATGCAAAAATCACAATTAACAATCAAATAAATTAAATTGATAAAAAAATAATTTTTAATTTTTTAATAGAATGTATCAATTCTCTCTCTATTGTGGATTATGCTGATTTCTCTCCCGGATTAAGCCGACACTTCGAATATTCAAACAAGTACTGCGGGTTGACATTACAAACACCCTCGAAAAGAGCTTTAAAAAGCATAATAACTTCTTTGCACTCAATTGCGGTTAATGTTGTTTATGATTTATTAAGTTTGCAAAAGGTTCTGTTTATATTGAAATCGATTTCAATCACATGCACATGAGAAGCAAGCGAGCGCCTACAACATGTAACTTTTATATTCCCTCTAGAATTTTACTTCGGAAATATTTAATGTACAATAAATTTTCTTTCATAAGTCTCTTTCACACTGCATATAATTTAGTTAAAGAAATTGTTAGCAATAACTTATAATGGATTTTCAATGTGAACACGCTAGAAACTTAATTTTAACTCACTGAACTGTAAATTTGAAATTACTTCATTGTTGCGAAGCCACTTGATTAATCTTCGGATATTTAAATTCCAACGTCGCCAATTTCTCCATTTTCTAATAAAAGATCGTAAGTATTGTGCTTTCACTGTCACGCTGTTGAAAATATTTTTACTTCCATTCCAACTCGTAGGAAATAAAATCTCGTTGTATAATTTTTCAATTGTTTGGAAAAATCATTTTGCGTGGGAGTAAAAAAAACGTGAAAGTTCTTTTTTCTATGTATTTTCAAACGACATTGACAATTTGTTGGTTTTGTCAGCAGTTTAGAGCAATGGTTGACTTCAATGTTCATACATATGCCAACTTTAATATCGAACAATAAATCAACCATGCATGTGGTGGAAGATATTGTTCAATAATTTATTAGATGTTTTGGGGCTTCCGCTCTCGATTCTATCAGAAAACATTTCGATCGCATTCCGAAAAAATGATGAGAACGTGATGGACATTGATAAATAAGGGATTTAATTCGTGCACGTTTTCTATTCGATCTCATATTTATAAATATATTTATTATTAATATTATGTATGACCAAGTGTAAGAGATAAAGTTCCTTCATTAAAATCATATCGAGCTTTACGAAAAAAGAACCTTTTAATTTGTTTTTGGCATTCTAATAACAAAATTCCATTCCAATGTTTGCAGAAACAAACCAAATTTAAATGTTTATGTTTGCAGAAAATCAGAGCAGGCAATTGAAACATAAAACCTCATAAAGCTGAAAAAGCATCGTTAACAAGAATTCCATTACTAAATTAGAGAATTTCTTCATATTTTTTTCTGGTTCATAATTTTGAGCACTCAAGTTGAGCCTCTTAAATACCTCAAAGTATCATAAACTAACAATTTATGTCTCCTTGTTCGTCGTGTTCCTAACATCAAGTGGAGATAAATTAAATGTCACTCTTCACTTTTTTATCGTGAGAGAGCTGAAGAAAATGGGAATTGCTACAGGAATAATTTCGCAAGTGAAAGTAGAACTTTCATCACCCCTTCTAAACAAACAGCAAAGTTTTTGTCTTCAACCAGACACCGCCATAAAAATTTCACTGAAAATGATGTAAATTTATTCGTCCCAGCGGAGCTCCTATGATGATAAGTCATGACAATGTTTTGAGTTGATGAGCACCCAATTTTCGTTCGTAAGGAGATGAAAGTTTCGTGTTTCACTTCAACATTTTTCAACACTCATAGCAACGCTCGTATGTCTTTAAACAAAATTCGAGGACGTAAATCAAGGAATCATAAAATGTAAGGGAAACGACAAAGATGGAGCATTATGCAATCAGCGTCAACTCACACAATGTGATACCAAACAGAAGTTGACATCCAGAAAAGAATTTTTATGATGCTACATCATGATTCGCTTCATGCACACAACTTTTTAATTTTACGTCTTTTTCTTTTATGTCGCATTCAAAATAAAAAGAAAAAAGAAGTTTACATCAACAATTTCTTACATTCCGAAAAGAAAGAAAAAGAAAATGACAGGAAATTTTAGAAAAGAAAGAACTTGACATTAACGAATAATTTCCTCTCAATTTTTCAAAGAAATTTTTCATTTTCCTTTATGATAAATTTGTAAAATTAATCAAAAAGAAAAAAGAAAAGAAAACAGAAAAGTTCATTGAAAAAACATGGTAATGGAAAGATTATGTAGTTCAATTTGCGCGTTTTATGAAGTAGATTAAAAGAAAGATGTAAAATAAATGATTGGTTAAATTTAGGTTTAACACGTAAGAAAGTTAGAAAGAAAGCTTAAACCAAGACTTGATTAAATGAATGATTTTCGTTGTATAATCTTACTTCCATTTAAGCACAAGTCCCTATTAACGATGCAGTGAATGAAATATAAAAACTCTTTTAACATTTCACCCTACAAAAGCAAGGAAATGAATTTCTTTTTCATTTTATAACCTAGCAAGACCGCAACGTTATCATGATCGTATTAATGTTGAAAGAGGCTTTTGTTTGTGAAGCTAACATTATATTTAATGTACAAATCCAACAGAAGAAAGCTTTTCAAATGTTACCGAGAAGGTTCCAGACTAAGTCCTACAAAGATCACTGGATAACACACAAAAAAACCATGGCTGGGCAAGGAAAACTGAGATAATCAACACAAAAAGAAAGACAGAACAAAAAAGCTCATATGAAAGTAATAAAAAAATCCCTTTTTGAGTTGTTTACTTCCCAATGGCTCGTGTTTCTTTTATTCTTCTTCGACTTTGGTGAGATGGGAAGATGAAGCAAAATAATCTCACCCACAATTTATTGCATATCGCTTCATACATAATCTCTAAGCCATTTTTCGCCCATTTCAAAGTGCTTCAAAATGTTTATTTTGATCCTTTCATAACGTTACCCTTCTAAGAAGAAAAAGGGTTTCTTAAATATTCATTTATATTTTTTATGTTCCTCTTACCAATTGATTATCATCACTAAGATGACTTCAAGGAAACACAATTAAAACTTTGTCTTCGTCAACATTTTAAGCCTTCGTCGCACTCATTTATTTGTTTGTTTTCTAAGCTTTAAGAAGATGACTGCTAAAGGCGTTGGAAATCCTTTTAATATGAAAGTAAATTTCATTAAACAGAGACTTTGACTCGTCTTCAACTATGCATGAAGAAGCTTAACTAAGATACATATTTAGGTATATCATATATTAAAAGCATCTGCTTTCATGGTTTTACTTGCCCTCCCAAAGGAGTGAACGATAGCGGAATTTATTATTTTATTAAATATCTTTCAAAGAAGTCTCGTGCTGCTAAATATTGCGTGGGAGTGTCTCATGAACCATAGATTATTATTATTGGGTTATGTCGAGCAGCTTTTACTTTCTTGATTGTCTACTCAGCCATAAATTTATTGATCTTCATTTGAAACACCATGAATGATTGAGGTAGAAAATAATGTTTCGTATTTATTTATTTTTCGTTCCGGAATTTTTCCACCCTTAAACCATGAGACTCGTGAATCCATAAATTTCCATAAATTATGGGTTTCCATTTTTTTTCTCTCTCTCTCTCTCTGCCTTTTATATATTTGGAGACGGCCACACTACCCGACTAGCTTGTGGCCTCGTCTTTTCATTTTCTGTTCTTCCTACTAATTTGATTTGGTGCTTTTTCGAAGCTGTTTCATTATTCTTTAATATTATTCTTCCCTTATGTCCACTTGGGTCATTTCCGGTTAAGCAAGCTTTCATGAGAAAGAAATTGCCATTTTTTCGTTCAAATAAACATCGTCTAAAAATGAAGAATAAAAAAATGAAATTCTAAAACATTTTATTCATTCAAACTTTCTGTCGTCCCCTTTTCTGGCTTTCTTCTTCTGTTATGAAATAAGTTTAGTTCGGAGAAAGTCAATGATGGGGATGACAAGTCAAGAGTTACCTTGCTATTCACATTCGAATGAACATCGATGAACTTTCTGAAAGCTTTTCATGAGATTGGAAAACATTTTTCCAACGTTTCCCTTTATTTAAACTTTTTTTGTTGTTGTTGAAAGCTGTTCATTCAAAAAAGAAAATTTCTAACCTTGTGGCATTTTGAGAGTGTGAAAATGAAATTGACTTTCTTTCGTAACACCATTCATCATTCAAACATCATAAATAAAAAGCTTTTTGCGTACGTTTTCATTCCTAGTTTATTTTCGATAAAGACTTCTTACAACTTTATCGGTTGGTCTGAAGGAAAATTAAGAATCTGAGCATAAAGAAAATCTTTTTCTTGTAACATGTGCCATGCATCATAAGATTCTTCATTTTTTCCAGCCTATCTTTCCCAAAACTTACTTACACACAATCAAAGTAAGGAAATAATAACTAACAAAAATATCTTTATTGACACAATCAAGAGAAATGAAAGTTATGTTCTAACTTATGGATCAGATGAGGAGAATGAAAGAAGAATGGGAAAAGAAATTTCATCAAAATATTCAACATCTTGAGCTTTAATAAACAACGAGAACTTCATTAAAGCGAGAAAACAAATTAATGTTGCGTCATTCTTACAAATATCCATTGGTACGGCACTTTGTTTGTTATATTAGAATGTCTTGGACTTAAAGCCCTCTTGACAAAGTGCAAGTTGACATTCCAAAAAAAGATTTAAAGCAAACAAAACTCATTTATTTACAACCCCTACTTACATTTCCATCAAAGCAAAAATCTTAATATTAAATTTTTTTCGCATTCTTTCTACGAAGACGTAATTTTTATATTAGGTATTTAATGAAAATTATTTCCATATTTGCTTAAGTAGAATTTGTACGTTCAAAAAGAATAAAGAAAAAAATAATTGGAAAAGAATTAAATTCATTACATTCATCGTATTCTACTTTACTTACACTTTAGGGCATACAAAGCTTTCACAATCTGACAGTCGTCTTATCATTACTTCATCCAACCCATCTGACATTCTTTTCATTCAACTTTTGACATCTGGTCACTCCTTCATCATTTCGCTTTTGGTTCTTTTTTATGTAATCGCAAACGTTTCAATTCTGTATTTGAATGAAAATTTGTGATAACAAAAGCATTATGTTACAATATATGAATCGATGTTTACAAAGCTTATGAGATTATATGAATTCTGACGAATTTGAATGACGAAATGGGGAACAGAAAGTAAACTTTAATTAACATTCACTTCACAATTTATTTATTTCTTCAAGCAAACGACTCTTTTGGGTTTTTTTACCACAATAGCTGACTTCATGATTTACTCATTGAAGGTCTAGTCAATTTATGAACCTTGCATTAAAATTACCTTTAAGACTTAAACTTGTTTGATGTCTACAAATCTCCCAGAAGATACATATTTACACAATCTTAACTCTTTTCAGAAACAAAACATCACACAACTTCAAAGGTGCTAACTATTTAAAGTGCCAATGTTTAGTTTTACTAACCGTTCAGTGAACCTTAAAATCAAATGAATACTTTTCTGTTTCCATTATCATATCATTAATGAAAATATTTATGTCAAGATTTTTGTGATCATCTAACGGAATTAAAAATTCATATTGAGTTCTAATTTTCAACATCAACAAATTTTTGTCTTCAAGGCTATCCCTGAGATATCAAAGAATTTGAATCAAGTTAAGGTCAGTTACATCAAAAGTCTGAAAAGAAGATTGTCTAGTTTGACCAGAGGGTCATAAAAATGATGATTAGAATACATTTTTTCAATTGAAGCCACACGAGCTTTTTATTTGAAACGTAAATAAGATGATGAAACAAAACGGTTGAGAATAACTAAAGGATGGGAAGATTTATCCTTGGGCAGAAATTGTTTGTGTTCCAGCAGCTAGTTTGAATGAGAAATAGAGAAAAATGAATTCGTGTGTGGGTTGAAAGATGTTTAATGAATTTACCTGCGTTAGAAGATGAACCTCCAAATCCACCTCCAAAGCCAGGGTAACCACCACCAAAACCACCTCCTTGGTTGAACGATTGCGTGCTTGCACCAGCATTGGCTGATGATCCTGAGAGTCCACCACCAAAACCTCCTTGGTTGAACGTTTGTGTAGATGCACCAGCGTTAGCTGCTGAACCTGAAAGTCCACCACCTAAACCTCCTTGGTTGAATGACTGTGTGCTTGCTCCAGCATTTGCTGCTGATCCACCAAATCCACCACCTCCGAATCCACCTCCTTGATTGAATGTTTGTGTTGAAGCACCAGCATTTGCAGCCGATCCACCGAAACCACCACCTCCAAATCCACCTCCTTGATTAAATGATTGTGTGCTTGCTCCAGCGTTAGATGATGATCCACCAAATCCACCTCCAGGGAATCCTCCGAACCCACCGAAACCAGGTTGTTGGTTGAAAGTTTGTGTCGAAGCACCAGCATTTGCTGCTGATCCTCCGAAACCGCCACCAAATTGTCTTACAACTCTAACGTGAGGCTCTTCAGCATCATCAGGAATAACTAATACAACTGGAAGTAATTAAATTAAGTTCCCCGTAAAGTATGAGATTTAATTTATTATTTAATTACTTTGTGCTGGGAAAGCAGTAGCTAAAGCTACTAATCCGAAGAGAACTACAAACTTAATCATTTTTAAATCACTAACTTAATCGGGTGAGTTTGATGGTGTCTTGAAAAATTTTTATATACGACTGCAAGAATATTTTAAAAATGAAGCTAATTTATAGCGAACAAGACTCTTCACATCGCTCTCTTCAAACTCAGAGAGTTCATTATACCGGCTTTTTATTTCAGATGAAACCTCGTCTGTCTAGTTTTTTTTTATTATTTTTATTTTGTTCATGTTTTCACTGCTTTTGTTGTGATGATATTTTCTTTAGAATATTCAATAAAATCGTGAGAATTGCAAGAAAACGAATATCATCAAATGTATTTGAATGGAAAATAAGGCTAGTAATCTGTTAACATAATACTTTCTCAATATACTGTTTGTAGCACTATGTTTACACTTACCTTAATAACAGGTTTGAAGAACTTTATTTATTTATCTGAGTTCAAGGTTTCAGAAATTGTTTTCTTAGAATTTCTTTTCGATTTCATTCATGCCAGTGTATGAAATTTGCATCGACTTTAATTCCAGCATGTTGAATAATATTCATTAAAATATCAACAACGTCTCAACAGGATTATTTAAATATTCTATTATCACTGATAATACATGGAATTTCGTTGAACTTGATAGAATTATCGGTCATTTCATTTCAGTTTTTTTTTTCGTAGAAGTTGCGTCACAATATTATTTGGAGCAGAAAAAATAAACTTTATTATTAATTCAACGATTTATTCATGTTTTTAATATTCTACACAATTTAATCGCAAAATATAGAAGAAAAAATTCATATCAGCGTAAAGGTGAAGCAGTTCGTTTTAACGTACGGTGATTGATTGTGTTCCGGCAGCTAAATGAAAAGTGAAGACAAATTTTATAATTAATGTACAAATAACAAAAATAAAAGAAGGAAATTACATGCGTGTGATGATGATCCTGAAATTCCACCTCCAATGCCATGTCCTTTGGTGAATGATTGGGTGCCAGCAGCAGCATTAGCAGCTGAACCTGATATTCCACCACCGATTCCACCTTTATTTAAAGTTTGCGTAGATGCACCAGCGTTTGCTGCAGATCCTGAGACTCCATGCCCACCACCAAATCCATGTCCACCACCTTGAGTTAGTGATTGAGTGGAAGCACCAGCATTTGCCGCAGATCCTGAGACTCCATGTCCACCACCTATTCCATGTCCACCACCTATTCCATGTCCACCGCCTTGAGTTAGTGACTGAGTGGAAGCCCCAGCATTAGCAGCAGATCCAGATGCTCCACCACCTCCTACATGACCACCACCAATTCCATGTCCACCGCCAATTCCATGTCCACCACCAATTCCATGGCCTCCACCTTGAGTGACTGATTGAGTGGCAGCACCAGCATTTGCAGCAGATCCAGATGCTCCACCGCCTCCTACATGACCGCCACCAATTCCGTGACCGCCTCCGATACCATGTCCACCACCAATTCCATGGCCTCCACCTTGAGTGACTGTTTGAGTGGCAGCACCAGCATTTGCAGCAGATCCCGAAGCTCCACCACCTCCTACATGACCACCACCAATTCCATGACCGCCTCCGATTCCATGTCCACCACCAATTCCATGGCCTCCGCCTTGAGTGACTGATTGAGTGGCAGCACCAGCATTTGCTGCAGATCCCGAAGCTCCACCGCCTCCAACATGACCGCCACCAATTCCGTGACCGCCTCCGATACCATGACCACCTCCGATTCCATGACCTCCGCCTTGAGTTACTGATTGAGTGGCAGCACCAGCATTAGCAGCAGATCCAGAAGCGCCACCACCACCAACATGACCGCCACCAATTCCGTGACCACCTCCGATTCCATGTCCACCTCCAATTCCATGACCACCTCCAAGCGAAGATGATTGAGTTCCAGCTGAAGCCCCTGCACCAGCCGCTCCACCNGTTTTTTTTTTCGTAGAAGTTGCGTCACAATATTATTTGGAGCAGAAAAAATAAACTTTATTATTAATTCAACGATTTATTCATGTTTTTAATATTCTACACAATTTAATCGCAAAATATAGAAGAAAAAATTCATATCAGCGTAAAGGTGAAGCAGTTCGTTTTAACGTACGGTGATTGATTGTGTTCCGGCAGCTAAATGAAAAGTGAAGACAAATTTTATAATTAATGTACAAATAACAAAAATAAAAGAAGGAAATTACATGCGTGTGATGATGATCCTGAAATTCCACCTCCAATGCCATGTCCTTTGGTGAATGATTGGGTGCCAGCAGCAGCATTAGCAGCTGAACCTGATATTCCACCACCGATTCCACCTTTATTTAAAGTTTGCGTAGATGCACCAGCATTTGCCGCAGATCCTGAGACTCCATGTCCACCACCTATTCCATGTCCACCACCTATTCCATGTCCACCGCCTTGAGTTAGTGACTGAGTGGAAGCACCAGCATTAGCAGCAGATCCAGATGCTCCACCACCTCCTACATGACCACCACCAATTCCATGTCCACCGCCAATTCCATGTCCACCACCAATTCCATGGCCTCCACCTTGAGTGACTGATTGAGTGGCAGCACCAGCATTTGCAGCAGATCCAGATGCTCCACCGCCTCCTACATGACCGCCACCAATTCCGTGACCGCCTCCGATACCATGTCCACCACCAATTCCATGGCCTCCACCTTGAGTGACTGTTTGAGTGGCAGCACCAGCATTTGCAGCAGATCCCGAAGCTCCACCACCTCCTACATGACCACCACCAATTCCATGACCGCCTCCGATTCCATGTCCACCACCAATTCCATGGCCTCCGCCTTGAGTGACTGATTGAGTGGCAGCACCAGCATTTGCTGCAGATCCCGAAGCTCCACCGCCTCCAACATGACCGCCGCCAATTCCGTGACCGCCGCCAATTCCATGACCGCCTCCGATTCCATGACCACCGCCTTGAGTTACTGATTGCGTGGCAGCACCAGCATTTGCTGCAGATCCCGAAGCTCCACCGCCTCCAACATGACCGCCACCAATTCCGTGACCGCCTCCGATACCATGACCACCTCCGATTCCATGACCTCCGCCTTGAGTTACTGATTGAGTGGCAGCACCAGCATTAGCAGCAGATCCAGAAGCGCCACCACCACCAACATGACCGCCACCAATTCCGTGACCACCTCCGATTCCATGTCCACCTCCAATTCCATGACCACCTCCAAGCGAAGATGATTGAGTTCCAGCTGAAGCCCCTGCACCAGCCGCTCCACCTCCTATGCCATGACCTCCACCAATTCCATGTCCACCTCCAATTCCATGACCACCTCCAAGGGAAGATGATTGAGTTCCAGCTGAAGCTCCTGCACCAGACGCTCCACCTCCAATTCCATGACCTCCAAAACCACCACCATGGGTAAATGATTGTGCTCCAGCATTTGCGCCTGACATTCCAAATCCACCAGGTCCAAATGCACCAAAGCCTGGTTGGGCAAACATTGGACTAGGGAAAGCTCCAAATTGTCCAAAACCAGGCTGTCCAAATCCAGGCTGTCCGAAACCAAAACCGGGTTGCTGATTAAAAGTACTTGAAGTCGACCCGGCAGTTGCACCAGAACCTGACATTCCACCACCAAAGCCATGACCTCCTTGATTGAAAGATTGAGTGCTTGCCCCAGCATTAGCTGCAGATCCCGAATGCCCACCACCAAAACCACCTCCTTGGTTGAATGACTGCGTGCTTGCCCCAGCATTAGCTGCAGATCCCGAATGTCCACCACCAAAACCTCCTTGGTTGAATGATTGTGTGGATGCACCAGCATTAGCAGCTATTGAGAAAACGAAAAAAATTAAAAATCATGTGGATTGCAATAATAAAAATTTTAATGGATGGAAACTTACATGAACCTGAAAGTCCACCACCAAATCCATGTCCGCCAAATCCACCTCCCTGATTGAACGATTGTGTGCTCGCACCAGAAGTTGCACCTTGAAAATTTAAATGATCAAAAATTAATCAACACATTGCATTGAATTCTAAAAAGTTTTGATTAAAATTCTCGAGACATTGAAAAATCTAAAAATATTCATAAAAAGCACGATTATGTCAACGATTGATAATTTCACACAGGTTTGCAATTGAAGTTGTGTTAGTGTGAAACTTCAGCTTGATAAATTAATATAAGAATTTTAATAATTCTAACTGATGCTGTAATAATTCTAAAGTTCATTTTGTCATCTTTGTAATCCTTTCATTTTTATCCTTTGTCGACATTTTCTTTATCATAAATAATTTAACTTACTTGATCCTGAAAGTCCACCTCCAAATCCATGACCCTTGTTGAAAGTTGAAGAACCGGCTGTTGCTGAAGAACCAGACATTCCACCGCCAAAGCCATGACCTAGACCTCCTCCTGATGAGAATGATTGTGTACTTGCACCAGCACTAGCAGTTGAACCTGATTTTCCAATATCTCTACTTACTCGGACATAATCTAAAAAATTTCGATTATTTTTCAAGGTTTCAATGAAGTGATTAGCAAAATTTAATTTTAAAACTTGTTTTCTTCTTACATTCCGAGGGAAGAGATGCAGCTAATGCTAATATTCCTAGAAATACGACAACTGATAACTTGATCATCTTTTTTTATTCTTATTTCTTGGATGTGCTTCCAATCGTTCCTAAAGTTAGAATATGAGACTTCAATTCGCTGATGTCTTGTTTTATAGCGATTTGATCTTTGCAAATTTTATACTCTCTTAATTCTTTTTCTAGTTTTAGTGGTAGTGAGTTAACTCCCAAGATTCTGCTAATGTTTTTTAATTAAGGAAGAAAAATAACGATATCTATGGAGAAATCTCTTTAGAAGAGAAAAACCATAAATTTTTTTTTATTTATAAGTTCAGTTTTACATTGTAACCGATGAGGTGTAAAAGTTTTCGTTCTAAATTACACGTAATTTAAATCTCAAGGAGAATATGATTTTTTGAGAGATTAATTTATGGTTTCCCTTCTCAGCTCAAAATAAAGAAATAGAAGAAAAAACAACATCGAAATGTTTGGACAAACCAAGGGACAAACAAGCCTTTCTTCCTTCCGAAACCAATGTTCCGTATACATTTCCATGTTTTATCATCCGCCCAAGCATAACTTCTTCTGCATTTCTATCCGACTTACATATAAATGTGCGATGATAAATAATTTGATCCCTTCGCATGACTCGGAAATTTATAAAATAAATTTCAACTTGTTTCTCATCTTGTCTTGTGTGGCTGAATAAAGCAATACAAGATGGGCAATTTAAAGACGAGAAGAAGAAACTTTAAATATTCACTCACACACTAAAATGTCTAACATTCATCTGACTCCGAATTAATGCTGAGTTGAGCAGAAAAGAAGCTTTCTTCTCTGCTTTCTCAACCAGTTGCAAGTTTTTTTACGAGCTTCGCAAAGAGACTAAGCAAAAACGAAACAAATAAAAAGTATAAATAAATGAAGACTTAAGCTTCTCCGCACTTTTTTCTTGAAAAAATAAATGTTGTGTGCTTATGTATGATACATACTCATGGGATGATACGAAGGGTAAAAAGGCATTTTGTGTTATTGCATAATTTTTCATTTTTTGTTCCAATCGTAAGTGATGGAGAAAAATAAAAAAATCGTGGGCTAGAATGGGAAAAGCAAAGTCTTTGAGAAAAATCACAAAAAACTCCCTTGCGTCATATAAATATTCATTATATAATGTTTCATTTCTTTTTCAAAGATTTTTCCTGTAATTTGTGCAGTTGACATTAAAATAATTCAAACTGACGAACTTTTATCAAAGCTTTAAAAATTGTTAGAAGGATAAAAATTAAATTAAATTAACGAAAAAATCTTTAATTGAATATTGTCAATTTATGTTGGCATCACACATTAATAATTTTTAATCTCCCATCACTTAGGGGATAATTTAAATATCTACGCAATTATAGATTTTTCGAATCGATATGTGCCAAAAAAGTTTATGTTGATTACAGTTACAATTTATTTAATTTTTAAAACGCTAGCTGGAAATTATGAACCAATTAAAGTTCAGCCAATGAATTTAATAAACGGATATTCGTTAGAAAAAAAGTCATGTTTCAGTGATAAAAATAAAGAATAAAATGTCTGAAATAATCATAAATTTCAATGGTTTAACATTAAAAATTGATTTTTTTATATATTCAACATGTACATATCGTAAAATTCATTTTAACTCTTTTATAGGGTTAATAATATTCCATTAACTGATGTATGTATTTATGTAATAAAATGTGACGAAGACGATTGATAAGTAAACTAAAAAAACTTTCGTTGTAAGAAGGAAAGCGGAAAAGTGAGTTATTAATATTCATGTTCACATCAATAATTTCCTTCTTAAACAAAGCTAACTACTACCTTCTAAGCCTTTCCTTTAATAAGCACGAATAAATGTCATTCAGAATCAAGATAATTTGATAAATTGTGCCTTGCGTTGTGGTATAATGAATGCTTCCGGTTTATGATATTTAATTTGTTCACGCAGACTTCTATTCCAACGTTAAACATTGTCCATCGAGATGCTAATCAAGTTCCATTATGTACACATCCTAGAAATTTCTATAAGCTTAATTTACTGCGGCTTTATTAATTACAAATATTATTTGCACTTAAACATAGACTATGAAACTCATTTCTTTGGGGGTTTTTGTTTCATCCATTAAAAATTTATATTCCAATTTATTGAATTAACTTCACGTAATAGATAATGATTCTGAAACGATAAAAGTTTCCAACCGAACAAATTATTAGAATTTTCTCATTTTGATTCATAAAAACATGATTTATGTTTAAGTAAATTGTTAAATTTATTATTTTTTATTGACATTTCCTTAACTTTTGATTTATTTACAAAAATATGTTTTAATTAAAAGCTAAGTCTAAATATGTATGAAGGTCCTTTCCCTGTTGAAGTTATTTATGCAAAAAACAATTTGTATAATAAATGGAATATTTAAGAACATCATAACTAACATACTTTAATTATAATAAAACTTCTCATCAAATGTGCATGTATAAGCTCAACATTAGGGAAGTAATAAACATGTTTAAAAAATAACCTTTTACCCATTTCTTGTTTGAGCCTTTGGCAATAAATTTCCATAGGAAAAAAGGGAAAAAAGCATACTAAAAGTTTGTGTTGTGTGAGTTTTAGAAGCCCTAATGAATATGAAAAATGTTAGCATAAGTAAATCAATCATACTTCACATTTCATAAAACTTTTATCCCTTAAAAACTTCTATCGGCAAACATAAATTTCATTTTTCAATTGAAGAAATTAGAAAAGTTAGAAATTAGAAATTTATTTTGACTCTCTTTTGTTACTTTTTATTAAAGATTCATAAGCATGTGCTGTTGTTGACAGAATTTACTTTAACTTTGTTCGACAGCGAATTTTGAAACTCTCCATGGTGATTTTTTTTTATCCCAGAAGCGAGGGAGAAAAATATGAAATTGATTGTATTTACGTGACACATTTTGAGCATAGAGATACTTGGATACTTACTAAACCAGGACTTGTTGGATAAGCGTTGGCATTCCTGTTTTTGAATTTGCATAAACATGTTTGATGTTGCTTTAAAAACATCGCATCAGCAATGAGAAGGAGAATAAAAATGAAGATTTAACGCTAAATAAAATATCCAAATGCTTAGTCAACATATTGTGAATAAAGATAATTTCTTTAATAAATGGAATTTTAAATTTAATTGTTTGCTGTTATTTCAAATGTGCTTTCATATAAAAAATAGTTTTTACACCAAAAAACTTTTCTATGAGCCACCTCCACTTCCTTTCGGCAACAGAAGAACTGAAATGTTAAAAATTAAAGCAATTAAAATTTCATGAAAACATTTTTAAATATGAAAACATTTCGTTTTAAAACAGAATGACAAAAACCAAACAAATATGTGGAAGTATTTTTGAAGTAAAATATTTTAACTAAAATTTTTAAGTTTCAAAGCCCATGAAGGAAGCATAAAGCAAAAAATAAAGCTTTGCTACATAAAATTGTTTGTTGAAATGAAGCTAAATATAAAAAAGGCTTAAATCTGCATAAACGTACACAAACATAAATCCACTCGCATTTCAACATATTACATAAATTATAACTCTACATAAGCAGCGAAGGAAAATTAAATTCCAGTTTCATGAAATGTAGAACGAGAAAATTTGCTCCATGTTGAATGAATGAATCCTCTCTGGACATAACAGCGGACGCCAGAGATTGCATTGTGTAAATGATTACAATAGGAACGTCACTTACTTTACTTAACATTGCTTAAACTATTATCACACTTTAACCAAATATTTTTCAACAGTACTAAATGGAATTAAATATTCTTTTAAAGTTTTTCTTCAAGATTTTTCATGATGCTAACTAAATCATGTTTTGTTTTTCTTTATAATCAGAACTTCTGAACAAGACAAGCTTTCACTTGAAAGAAGATTTTTCCATGAAAGTTTTCAATGATTTCTTTTTATTTATATTCAGACAACATCAAGCAAATGAAAGAAGCTAACATCATTCGTACAATAAAACTGTCGGAGTTAACTCTTATAACTCACTGCTTTCCTTTAACATTCAGTCAATGTTAAGCGCTGGGAGGGGAAAGTGAGAAAGAAAAGTCAGAAAACACTAATTTTCTATTACGTACACGTCTTAAGTGCTATTTCTCTACCGTTGACTGATGATAGAAAGAAGTTTTCAAGCTTCCTAATGCAGTAGTTTTCTACGCTCTCATATTTCAGAATATGTTGTTAAAATGTGAAGCAGTGAAGCTTGAAAAATCAACCAACTATTTGTATAAACTTTAAGAGAAAATGAAAAAAATTACTTTCCTTCGCTGCTTTAACAAGATTTTTTTTTATTAAAGTTCAAGCAAGGAGAAGATGAGAGGGAAAACACTCGGACAACAAACGTTATGACTTGATTTATTTCGACGAGAACCATTGACATGTTGTTGCGAGATGAATTAACGAAAATAAATATCTTAAGGCGTTTGCTCTTGTAAAGCTGTGAAAACAATCCCAAACCCCTCACTTTGAGAAGCTCACAATATTTGATAAATGTTGTTATTAAATAAAAAGGCGCTTGGATCTTCTTCCTCATTTATTCTTTGATTTAATATTCACGACGGGCTCGTCAACAAAAATTTTCCGTTTTTTCTTTCCGCTTCTCACCGTAAATACTTATTGAAAAGCAATTTTTCTTTCGATTGGACACTCTAACAGCACGAAAACTTATCAATCGACTGAATAGCTGAATGAATGAATGAAAATTTATTTATCTATCAAACGAAGAAGAAAAAAATGGTTTCCAGCACTGACAAAAGAAAAAAAAAAGGCACAAGAGCTGTATCGATATAAAAAAAAATCTCATTCACGAAAGGAAATGAATGGGAAAACCATCGATTGTTGATGTTATTTTTTTGTTTGTTTTCATTCCCATTCCATGTAAATACTTCTACCCCCAGACAACTCCCAATCTAAGTCACTTTTGTAATACTTAGAAAAAGGAAGAAAAGAAATCACAAAAAAATTATTTCAATTTATTCCGCTTTTCTTTATCGGCACATCATTTGTTATCATTCTCACATACATCTTCCGTATTATTACTAAGGCTTACTGTAGCATGGATGCTTCCGTTGTTGTCATGTTGCAAGAATGTTTATTTCTCCAATAACATCGACATGCCGTTATAATGACTGGTAATTTATTAAGAAATCTGCTAAACGAACAAAAAAGGAAGCAAATACGAAAACAATTTCATTTCATGTGTGGTACTTCTTGCAATTTCTCAGATAATTTTCTTTTGTTTTCCATCTTTTCACTTCACAATGAATTCATTCTACATGAATGAGTAGTCAATAGAAAACTTAAAATGAGACTTAATTGTGACATGATGTAACTCAAACCTAGATAAGTTGTTACTTAAATTGATACCGTAAAAGATTCTCATCAGTCTATCTAAGCTCAATGGAACAATAAAAAAGAGAAAAGAAAGGAAATCGTTTGTTGTAGATATTTGAAAGAATCCCTTGGAGAGATAAAAACAAAGGAAAATGCTGTGAAATTTATTAGCTTGTCGACATGAGAAAAGGAAAAGAAGACGATTGCATATTATCGCTTTTATTGCCTTTGTCTATCCCAATCCCAAATAACAATCGCCTATCAAGTGAGTCATGTAACTCTCCTGTTTTGTCTGATGGCTTCTCATTTTATTTACAAATGATATCTAATTGAAATAAAAGGCATTTACGAACGGAAAGATGAAAGTTCCCCTGAAGTGGATAACAATAGGGCGATTTATCAGCTTTTTTGTTCACTTTTTATATTCAATAAAAATACTTTATTACATTTATTATATTATGTAATTACAGAAGAATGAACAAATATTTAATAGGAAAAAACGAAAATCATTTTCATGCTTTCATTCTATTTTCACGGTTGTAAATTTATTTCTTTCTATTTAATTTAATGCTTTGATGGAAATCTTCGTGTTGAAGGAAAGTTTAATTGAATGATTATCCAATCATCATCATCATCATCATCATTGTGGTTCATCTTCCATTTACAAGATTCAGATCATTTAGTTACTGTTTAATATTTTATAACTCAAACAAAGAATTCAATAAAATTCAATAATTTTCTTATGAGCTAACAAAAAAGGACGTGAAGGGAGTTAGGGAAAGTACTTTGAATTTAAGATTTATTGCATTAATGGAAGCATTAAGGAATTTAACATGCATGTAGTTGAAATTCTACAAGAAATCTTTCATTAAATGGTTTAACAGATTCCAGAAAGAAAGAAATATATAAAATTTGTTATCATTGTCTGAGTTCCTAATTGACTGACTTTTCAGTAAGAATTTCTTCAATCTTTTCATTTTTTAATTAAGATTAATGTTTCATTGTGCTTTTCTTGACTTTGTATGTAAATTTATCATCATGACGGGAAGTTAGGAAACGCGACGAATTATTCGCACAATTTTGCGATTTTATTTGAAGAGAAGAACTGAAATAAAAAAAGAAAAGAAAAATAATCGAAGTTCTGTTTATGATTTGTATGAAAGTTAATTGGTTTTATTAGTGAAAATAGAAGTCAACTAGAAGCTTTATCAGCCTTCAATCATCGTCGGAAGAATGTTATTTGTGTTAGGGGAAAAGTTAGAAAAGAATGAAGAAATCATAATAATTTCATTCCGGTGTTAGCAATGTTAGTTAGTTCACTAAATAAATATTTGACCCATAAAGCCTTCATAGTTCGTTTTTGCTAAATTATGTATTGTACATCATCCAACATGGATACATGATTTTGAAATTACTCCTAAATATACTCCCTTAACAATTAAGCGTTCAGCACTCGTGCACCATTAATTCACGTACTCATTAAGCAACAATGAAAAGGAAATAATTAGAATTAATTTCCGAAATGAAGAAGAATGAAATGAAAAAAAAAATCTGCAAATCCCTCATTAGAGACAAGCTCGCAATCATTTCTCTCCTTCGAGTCATTTTGAAGAAAGATTTTAGTTTCATTTCTTGCTTGGATTATTAAATATGTTGGCAAGTAATGAATGTATGTCAATTGTCAATTAGACTTAATTATAGAAATCGATTATTTATTATTAGACTTGAAATACCGACAGTAAAAAATATGCAATTAAGAAAATGCAAACAATCGACAACCCTACTTAGTTTAGTGTGCTACTTTTGAATTAATTTATTTAGTTCAACATTTTCCCTCCATTCATTTTTCTCACACTTCAAGATTTTCATCTCGATAGAAAGATAGAAAGAAGAACCAACATGGAAATTCTGCCAGAAAATGAAAATTCTGCAGTACGATCAGCATTGATTTTTTATGTTTCTTAAATTTAAAGTTTTTCTTTAAGAATTTATCAGAAAGCAATCTCAAGAAAAAATTGGCATAATCTGGATTGAAATTGAGTTTCTTTCGTCTACAAGAAATTAGACAAAGAGGAAAACTTTGGCAAGAAACTTTCTTCAAATACAAATTGAAATTCTATTCCATATTTTCATAGCCAGCTGTTCAATTGATAAATATTCACATTAAAATGAAAAAAAAATTGATTGAAAGTTATGAGAATTTTTTTCTCCTTCTCACCTTGAGAAATGTTCAAAAACGTTTAATAAATAAAAGACAACAACTCGATTGGATTTCAATAAACCGGAAATAAAATTGCAGTACTTTGAAACTGATAAAGAGAAATAAAAAAAAAGACTGCATCAAATTGAATTTACGGCTTTACATGATTTATGTTGCAAAGAATTTTGATTTATTTTCTGTCTTGCTAGTCGCTTTCATATCACGTACATGTTTTAGCAAAGGCCTTTCTCTCGTTCATTCATTCATTCGTCTGTTTGTTTGTTTGTCTGTTTTGTTTTCTTTGCTATTGCCTGATAAATAATCTCAATTTTTCTCTGCTTTATCCTAAAGCCATTCATTTAAAGGGTTGATTTATTTCTGAATAGACAGCTAATGATTCATATCTCATTCGTTGGCATTAATGTTTGAAAGAAGAGTAAATTCCGAAGATGATAAAATAAGTTACGAGATAGAGAATTGCAAATGCCGTTCGCGTCGATGCTCGTCGGTTAAACAAAGAGGATTAGTTAGGTTTGTTTGTTTTTCTGTTTGTGCACATAAAATTCTTTTTTCTTCTCATTTCAACACAAACATTAAACAACCTCAAATCATTCCACCCTCTAGTTAGTAAGTTAGTTAGTTAGATATCTGTACAAAGCGTTCTTGATCTACCGAATACTATCTCATGAATATCAAAATTAATTAATTCAATCTTTACAATCTCTCATATAAATGAAATTCCCATGAGATAAAATCAAATTTAAATGTTACCGANGTTTCTATCAAATTATGGGGTGTGTACCTTTATTACTTCGGGTACCTGCCATACAAAGTTGCCCTTTTCCTAGCGAAAAAAAAAAAACATTGCTAGCGAAAAAAAAAAAACATTCCTAGCGAAAAAAAAAAAACATTCCTAGCGAAAAAAAAAAAACATTCACAGCGAAAAAAAAAAAACATCGCGAAGATGAAATTGCGTAATGTTGTCATTTTCACGTGCCACTTATGACCATTGCCCTCAAAACGCTTATGGCTTTTGATGGTGGTTCCTATATGGCCAGGATTGGCCTATAGGTGCCTGTCCTTGATCTGATGATGATGATGATGACATCGCGAAGAAAAAAAAACTTCGTATAGAATTCAGACGAGTGTCTCATTTCAAAGCGTCAGAGCGTGTTTTTTTTAAGGGAAAAAAGTCTGTTACCGAAAGTCGGCCCCAACAATAAATATCGTGCAAAAGCCCGATATTTAAAACTCCGGCAGTTATAGAATTTCTAGACGAACAGTATTAGTAAAAATCTAACTCCAATAAGGGGCCACTTTGTGTGAAAAGTTTCTGGAATATCGAAGGTGGAAACATTATACAAAGTGGCCCCTTATTGGAGTTAGATTTTTACTAATACTGTTCGTCTAGAAATTCTATAACTGCCGGAGTTTTAAATATCGGGCTTTTGCACGATATTTATTGTTGGGGCCGACTTTCGGTAACAGACTTTTTTGTTTTTCTGTTTGTGCACATAAAATTCTTTTTCCTTCTCATTTCAACACAAACATTAAACAACCTCAAATCATTCCACCCTCTAGTTAGTAAGTTAGTTAGTTAGATATCTGTACAAAGCGTTCTTGATCTACCGAATACTATCTCATGAATATCAAAATTAATTAATTCAATCTTTACAATCTCTCATATAAATGAAATTCCCATGAGATAAAAGCAAATTTAAAATGCATGCAATTATGTTGAAAATTATCAAATACAAAATTTATAATCGCTCGACTCACCAATAATAATTATAAGCAAAACAACGCCGATGATTCCCATGATAATCATCATTTTCACATTAGCCCACCACTGTTTTCGTTTTAATTTTCCGGCTTGTTGTTCAAATTGCGATGCTCCATGTTGTAAAGCATCAGCACGATGATCTAACTCGGAAAGCTTTTGATCACGCTCCAGCACCTTTTCAACATTCACTCTCATAATGCCAACGACTTCATCGACTTTTTGTTGGGTTTGTTGAAGTTTTTTATTTGGTTGACTTCCAGAACTGCTAGGGGGAGGCGGTAATTGTGGAAAACTTTCATTGAGTTTGATTTAAAGTTAAAAGTTCAATACGATGTTAATGTTAATGATATGCGTGAGACGGAATTAAAGCGTAGACAAGAAAGGGAAAGAAAAAACATATTTAATGTTAATGAAATTAATTTATGGTTAAAGATTAAAAATCTGATCTTGAAAATCTTTAAGATAAATTTTAAAAGGTCGAAGTTATAAGATCATTAAATCTAACTGATAGTTGTAAATGTTTCTCTCAAGTTTACGTAGTCAGTTATTTATTAACACAAAAACTTCATGACGTCATCTTTCTTAATAAAAAAACTACGAAGTTTCTTTCAACTAAGTGGAAGAACTTAGGAAATGCGTTAGCGCGTTTAGGAAAACATATGCTGATGGGAAATGGGTGTGGAATCTTAATTTTTTAAGAAGAAAGAGAAGTGAACTTACGCCGCTCCATTGGATGATCCTTGATCTGCCATTTTTTAACGAAATTCGTTTGTTTCTTTTTGCCTAAAAATGAAATTAAAGTTGAAGCTCATTAATTTGTGTCTAATAATAAATTAACTTTTCTAGAATGTATTTATGTGTTCATGTGTGTGGATCGTTATTCACTGATATTCTCCAAAAAGAACGAAGATAGCAAAGATAAGAACGAATGCCCAAGTGAATGCCAACACACAGACAAAAAATCGAAATGATTGCAATAATTGATGAGTCATAAAGAAGAATAAAAGCCGAAACTTTTTATTAAGATTGACCCGGATTGAATTTTCTAAGATGCTACAAGTTTTGTTTATGCTTTTTAAACCTCAGGATATTTTCTATTTCCTATAGGAATTCACTTAAGTGATGGAATTTCTCCTCCCTAAATAAAATATTTCTCAATTTTGTTTTGGTCTGAAACCTGTTGCTTGCCAAGCTTCCAATTCACTTTTTAAGACTGATTTCGCTTTATATTTCTTGAAAACTTAACAAAAAGTATTTACCCTTGATGAATATGTGATAAATAATGCGAAATTATTAATTTTAAAAATATTTGGGTTTTATAAGTCAATTGAGTTGCCCGATTAAGAGAATATTTTCTGAACACACGCAACTTTGTTTAGGGGCTTAACTTATGCAACAAGCGATACGCAATTCAAATTTAAATTCTAACGGAATTTTCCATATTTTTCTATTTGCAGAAAACTTTTTCGAACATTTTCACTGAAAAATGCATGAAAACATGAATAGAAAAATGTGACATATTAACATGTCAAGATGTAATGAAAAGCATCGGAAAAGTTTAATACGAAATATGGGAGTCACCTTACTGGCAAGAATGCTGCTATTGATTTCTTCGGTCACGTTAATTTCTTTATTAGCGCTTACACGATGTGGTCTCAGTGGGGCTGCCTTGGACAGCGGTATAATGGAAGAAGGTAAAGCAAACATATAAATTACATGTTACGATATTTATTAGAAAATGTTATTTTCAAATAGCAGCAATTCAACCAGTCAAAGCATCTGCTTTAAGGTCAAATTCTGAATCACATCATGCTATGCTAATGATTCAACGCGACGAAGAAAATCAACAGGAAATAGCAAAACTTAAAGCCGAGATTAAAAGTCTTAAACTTGAACTGTTTCAATTAAAAAATAATCCGTCATTGATATCAGATCAGTTGATACCACTTAATCCAAATGCTTCCACATTGTCAACCCAAAATTCAGCTTCAAATCTGCTTGATTGCACCGGCTACATCCGTCGACAAGTTGGTAATGCGGAAATACTTCATGGGTTACCAATGAACAACGAATATGAGCTGATACCGTTTAATCACTTCACCTTTAGTCGTGTTTATCCCATTGATCTGGGTCTAGGAAAAAGGGTCGTTGAGAAACCAATTGGATATAAGCGAAGGGATCTTTTGGATGCCCTAAACAGAGCACTAGAATCTTTAAATAAAAACGCCACACTTCCTAATCAACGATACACTTTGGATGATTTTATCGAAGGGATTTACCGTAATGAACCAGTCACTGGCACGCAATATGAACTTTACTTTCGGACAAAGGAGATAAATAATAAAACAAACCCCTCCCCCGCTTCTTCATCTCATCACAACGATCACGGAACGACAAAAATTATTGTCATGCGACCATTCGCTCCATTGCAAACAATTCAATTTGAAAGATTTCCCAAGACAGCAGAGAAAGAGATCATACATATAATATTGCCGCTTTCAGGTCGCATCAGTACATTTCAAGGATTCATGGAGAAGTTTGTAAAAATAGCGCTCAAAAACGACCGACGAGTTCAGCTAACAGTCGTTTACTTTGGCGAGGACGGGCTCTCCGACGCACGACAAATCATGAAGCGTATCATTGCGCAAAAAAGTGCTTACTCGTCGAATCTTAAGTTATTGGCCTTAAACGAAACCTTCTCGAGAGGTAAATTTATTTTAACGTCTCCCAAAGCGATCGACATTTCATTTTAATTGGAATCTTTTTCGTCTTCTTCTTTGCCTTTTTTTTTTCATCATTGATAGCAAAGGGACTTCGGGTTGGTGCTGAACAAGTATGGAACGAGGACAAGAGTCGAGGGAAGAATAACAAGGACGTGCTTCTGTTCATGTGCGATGTAGATGTTGTCTTCAGTGCGAAATTTCTCGACCGTTGTCGATGGAATACAAAGCCGAGTCGTAAGGTAAGTTGAAGATATCGAAGAAGAGAGAAAGAAAATTTAATCGTAATTTCTTTGTCATTACATTCTCATTTGTCTTCATCGGCAGGTTTACTATCCAGTCGTGTTTAGCTTGTATAATCCCCACGTCGTTTACACGCTACAAGGTAAAGAATTGCCATCAGAAACAGATCAACTGGTGATATCAAGAGACACGGGCTTTTGGCGAGACTTTGGCTACGGCATGACATGTCAATATCGATCTGACTTTCTCAAAGTTCGCGGTTTCGATGAAGAGATTGTTGGGTAAATTTAATTAAATTCTTTTCTTTATCACCACAATAAGGTTTCTGTTTTTCTTTCTTTTTTTAATTAATTAAATTAGGTGGGGTGGGGAAGACGTGATGCTGTATCGCAAATATGTGCGGTCTAATATCAAAGTCATAAGAACAACTGATCCCGGAATTTTTCACATTTGGCATCCAAAGGTGGGGGAGTTGGAAATATTTCTTTCATTCTTTCTTTAATTTAATTAAAAACTAAAATAAAATTCTTTGGTGTTCTTCTTCAATTATCTTTGTGTTTATATGTGCAGGTATGTTCCGGAACACAAAATGGGCAAAAACTCTCAGCGGATCAATATCGAGCATGTATTCGTTCGCGAGCTTTGAATGAAGCTTCTCATCCTCAATTAGGATTCTTGGCATTCCATGACGATCTCATGATGGCAAATCAAACTGAAACATCTCAAAATATAAACGCAACGAATCCTCATATTGTTGAAATAAAAAGCACGAAAAAGCAACCGTCAACAGTTCAAGCGACGAAAAATTTACGTGCGAAGTTGTCGTCATCCACAACAAAAAAATCCACATGATCTTTTGTGATGCATCATCAAGAGAGCTTTTGGAAAATTGAATTTTAAATAGAGAAACGCTTCTTTCATTTATCATTTATTGTTTCCGACTCTCTCTACGTCATTTGAGTTTGATTTATGATGAAACGAACTGAATGTTATGTAAATTAATTAATAATAAAATGATAGCATTTGGAAAGATGAAATTATCATTAGAAATAAACTTAAAGCACATCAATAAACCAGAAGTGTGTAAAATGAAAGTTTTCCAATAATTTCGATGTCAATGCTCAAGAAAATCGATTTATGCTGAAAATTTTCGATATCTATAAATGAAAATATTGTAAATATTATTCTCTAGCTATAGCTAAGATACCAAAGATGATACTTGATACTATCGAAGAGAAACACTTCAAACTTATATGGCTCAAAATGAGAAAAAATGTGATGAAAATTTTTCGTTTTTATTTCGCCCAAAGTTTCTTCATTCAATGAGAAATCTTCGGGAAATTTTTATTTTGACACTTGACGTACAAGGAAAAGCTTCTTTACTATCATTTCAATAAATCTTTAAATCTTTTCATAATTCTGGAGACAGTTTAAACACTTGGTTGTAGAATTAAAAATTTAAGTAGTTACACTTAGTGAAGTCCTTCAGAGATGAAATTGCTTTCTAAAAATATTTCTAAAATCAAATAAATTTTTATCAACATCAGATGATTGAAAAGTAATCAACAAGTAGTTGATGTAGAACTTATAATAGGTTGTTGATATTGAATAACTGTAAATATACTAAAATGAATAATCATAATAAAACTTGGTAATAAATAATGGAAACAAAGAATTTACAAAAACTTGTTTTTCTTACTTTGATTTAATGATAGATAGTGTCGTCATGTGACATGATAATTATGAGTCATTGTGGTGTGCAAATGTCCGGAAAAAATTTAAAGAAGGAGAAGAAGTTCTGAGATGCTATTAACCACATAAAAGAAACACAATTAAATAATAAAAGTACTCATACTTACTTATTTTTGTAATATTTCCCCATGTAATTAAGCAGAATGAAGTGGAGAGAAGTTCTAGGAAAATCACTTGGGAATTCAACAGGAAAAGTGAGATCATTGACTTCCCAGTATCGCATAAAAATTGTGCAAAGAAGCATTAACCTCTTTGTTTCAAGATTAACATAAAATTGAATACTTGCCGGCGGTGGCTTATTGCGTCATGACCTTAAGCAGGAAGAGAGCATAAGGAAAGAATAATTTTTCATTCACAAGCAAAATGGCAAGGCAAGAAAAGAACTGAATAATCATTTGGCAGGTAATTAACTCAAGGAAGCGTGATAATGAGAATGATTCGATATTTACACGTTTGCTGTTTTCTAAAATTCTCTTCATCATTGTTTGCATAGAATCAAGAAATCAATTAAAATGAATTTCAGAATTATCTACTCAGATGTACAATGACAGTTGACTTTTGGCCAATGAAATGAAGCATCCAAGCAAATGCACAATTTAATGAACAAGGAAAAGTTTTATGAATGATTTCCCTAACGAACTTTATTCCTGACAACGATGATGCTTCATCAAAAAGCTTTAATTTTAAATGGGACAATATTTGCTCGTCACATAAACTTCAACAATGTTTTGTTAGCGGAAAAAGTTAATAAAACCGAATGAAGCTTTTGAATGAATTTATATTTGAAATGATCTACAAAACCACATATTTGTTGTTTTCATTTTTATTACCAACATGCAAGTGGAATCGTGTTAAATTCACACAAACCTTTTGACCGATTTTTCATTCTCGTCATCATCAAAATTAAAAAATATCAAAATTCATGTCAAGGCCATCAGTGATGTTATGCAAAATACTTCGCGGTAGTAACTCAAAATGCTCACAGATAGACATTTGCTCAATTATTTGACGAGATTTTAATTAAATAGAAAAGTCATTATTTCTCACAAAAATCAGAGTAAAGTTCAACGGAACGTTACTAATTATTTCGGTCGATTGTTAATTCGCTTCAGTATTCATCATAACCTTGCGTAGTGTCTTCGCTTGAACTTCAAACATTTTAAAGATTTATTCGACTTAAAAACAAAACGATTCATAAATTTTTGATGCGCTTTAATCCTCCACGAACTTTTCTTTCTGATTATTGTGATGATAAAAATTTTAATTATAACTACACAATTAATTACCAAACTTTAATAATTTCACATTATTGTTCAGATGTCACTTTAATAAAAACTTTTTTCTTATCTATCAATTTAATTACTTTTTAATGTATAACAACCTACAGAAGCAATGAAAAATTGAAAAAGAATTATCAACTCCTACTTTAATTAAATTTTTAGGATGAATTATGAGGAGTACATAAATAACCTAGGCTTAAAGACTTCTCACAGATTTTCTTCCTTGCCTTGGGGCTTCTGTTCAACGAAGAATATTTTAATGGAAATTTAAATAAAGAAAAAAAGTCAAACAAAATGCAAAAATTAGGAATTAAAATTGCGAAAATTTTCGAGTCTAAATCTATGTTGGAATGAAATTAATTTAAATTCATAGAAAGTTAGATCCTTGAGAATTTATTCGCTTCGAAATGTACATATTAAAGCTTTATTCACTGTTTGTGTCTTTAAAGATAAGTTGATAAGAGAGAAATGTAATCAATCCATGCATACACACCATCGCCACCCACCCTCTAACATGCTTTTCACGTGAATATGATACCGCAATAATAAATAAATTCTCATGCGAAATCAAACATAAAATGAGAATTGAAAACGAAGCATCATGTCGAAAATGTGACTCGTATGTTATGTTTCTTGAATCGTATGTTTGCTTAAGTTTAGGAAATGAATATTTGCGGTAGAGATTATGTTGACTTGAATCGTATAAAATGGAAACGAAGGAAGGATATGCAATGTAAAACAATAAAATATTTGTCAGTTTTAAGAGGCAAATAAAATTTGCATTTTTACACTTTGTTTGTACGCGTGTTTCGTGAAATTTACTTTCGGAGTTGTAAAGATAATTTCCTGCTTGCTCGAATGAGTAATTAAAAACTAACAACAAGAATTCTTAGTGAATGCTAGAATGAGCATGAAATTAAATTACTATCACGATAAAACTTTTCCCACATAATCATAAATCTTTCCGTGGACGACGGCAAAATTATGCGACAATAGCATCTGGTACAGTTTGATGCAATATTGCATTCATTTTATATATCTGCGTACATAGACAATTGTCGCAAGTAACCATCGGCATGATGAGTTTTACTTAATTATGATAATGATGCAAAAAACCAAGTAGTTAAGTTAAATCATTTTCGGCCTTTGACCACGCTCGAATGCAAGAAGCAAAAACATGTCGAAATCATTTTTCTATCATTCGGAAAATACAAAATACTAAAGCCGGTAAATTGGAATTGAAGGGGAGAAGAAAAACTCGGAGAGAAAAATCATCGACGCAAATCAAATCACCAAAGCGACACTCGACAGTCAGCGATGTTAATCTATGATGTTGAATTGTGATGTATGTGTTGTCGCTTCGGTGTCATTGTCTGTACAGTGTACACAACTCTCGATTTAACTAACATTTTACTGCGAATATCAAAAATTAAAAATGTGAACAAGCAAAAGCAGAAAAAGAATTAAATAAAGTCATGCATTGTGTGTGAAGTTCTGTTCATTCAAATTCTGTTTGTCGACCCGCTCGGTGTTGTTTTTTTGTGAGCTGTCACGAAGTACGAACGAAAGAGGGAAGATTGAGGCAAAGTGTGAATAGAAAAAATAATTTTATTGGGTGAAATAATAAATAAAAGAAGGAACAAACTTTCTTGTCTTGAAACGACACCAAAAGTGTCAAAATATTTTTTAAAAAATTATTCACAGCATGATAAGCTGATTAAACTCTCAACACAGTGGGGAAGACAAAACTTTATAAAAAAGGAAAAAGAAAAGTTGAAATTGTTTATGAAAAAAAGAAGCTTTGTGTACTTATAATCTTTGTGCAATTTGCTGGACAGCAGACAACTTAAAATCAATCGACTTGTTAGGAAATTGTCAAACTTTTACATCGTTCTTGAAGGAAACGATTAACTTTTACGATGAAAACTTCCGAAAACTTCATCCTGCAGGTAAGAAAAATTCTGGTCACTGATGTTTCAATCAGTGGAATTGCTCATCGCAGTTGTTCAAGCATCATAAATTTTCCTAGTGTAGCATCTGGCGATAGTTTCAAATTAAAATTTTCCTTTAATTGATTTTCTATTGAAACTCTCGTTCAATGTAAACTTTTATCCTAAATTTATGTTAAAAAATAGAAAACAGAGAGAGAAAAATAATTTGTTAGAATTCAAGATGTTCTGGTAGAACGTACATGATTCATTTGAATATTATTTTAAAAAAATAGTTTCATGTTTTATGCATAAATGAATGCATTATGTTGGTCAGAAACGGAGAATCATAACATGTTATGTTCAACATGAATAAAGAAGAAGAAAACATAAAATTTGATCTTGCAAACATTTCATGTTTTGCCTATCATTTCTTTTTTATTAAAATCAGACGATGCAACTTGCAGAAAGTCAAATCATTGCATAAGTTGGCAACATAAACTAAAGTAAAGTTCCAAATTATATGCATTCGTTATGATGACAACATTAATAAAAAAAAAAGTTTCATACAAATATGAGAATATTTTAGGAATGTTTCACTTTTCAACAATAGTTTCGTGAAATCTATGATAATGCTAGAAAAACCATTATCCGAAATCATAAACTTTTATGGAAATATTTATTCTAACTTTTAAGTACAAAACAACATTTTTTGGAAAGTTTTGATAAATGTTTAGAAGTTAACCATTGAAAGTTTAAATTTAATATTATCATTGTGGCAATTGAATTCAAATTAATGATCATTTAGAATGAATTTAAGTTTAAAACAAAGTTCAATAAAACTCAAAATTCTTAAATCTTTCACCTTCACTTCGAATACATTTTTTTTAACAATAGTCTCACAATGAACTTGAAACTATTCCTTGCAACAATATACGTTTTTCACTTTCAGTTGCATTTTTAATTCTTTCAAATTGATCACATAATAACATTGTCATTACTCTTCGTAACATGATACAAAACATTTCGAGTTCAGACTTTGTCGGCTGTCAGTTCATGTGAAAATCTGATTCGATGACATTCCATTATTACGCAAATTTCGTGCTAAATGCAAATTCGTTTGAGAGTCATCGTGATGAAATCATTTTCAGTGGCACTAACAATTGTTATGTAGATAAGTTAAATGCTCATGTTGATTATGCTTTGATTCTTAGCAAATTAGATTTTTTTTAACTCATTCAATGAAGTTTTTTTGACCTTTGTTAAGAGTAAACTCATAAATTGTTACATCCACTTGAAATCGTCTGTTGTAACAATGCACAGAAAGTCATAAAACCGCTTTTTGGGTATTTCCACATCGGCCAACCATCCAGCCAAAAGAAATTTATGTTCAGCCCCACAGTCATAACGAGAGAATCTTTCATAATTAAGCTTACCCTCGTTCTTTAAAATCGAGTAATTAAAAAGTTATGTTGCCATTTTTTAACGATCTTTATCGTATACTTGAACTAATTATGAATTCTAAACGTTATGAACGTCAGAGTGAGATTAAATTCAGATTAAGAATCGAAATTATACTCAAGAGATGAAGTAATTAATCGGGGGAATAAAGCAGACGAAAGCACTTACTTAATGAATGAATATTTTGTTATTCGTCTCAATCAATAAGTAACACTTTCATTATAATTTACATATTTAAAACTTACTTTCGCCTTTTCATAATGATCTTTGAAACTTTGGTATCCATGTTGATAAGCTAAGTCAAACTGAAAAGAAAATTAAAAAATAAATTATTCATTCTCAATTATTCGCTTCCAGAGGTTTTGTTGCGCGGAGGTTTAAAATAATTTATAATTTTTTTTTAAACAAAATGGCAAATATTCTCTTGCGTGTCTGATATTTTAAACATTAACACATTCTGTGTTAGTTTAGCAGACCTGATATACTCTGTCAACCGAAATATGCTGAAAACTTTTTTTTATCGTTCACCATCTAATGACAACGAAAAAAAACTCTGAAAAGTTCAACCGGAAGAGCAAGAGTTGACTTCATGAAATATGAAAACGTCAACAACTTGAAGTGAAGTGAAAAAAATCCCCGAGAAAATTTTGTTTAAATTTTGTACGGTAAAGCAAAATTTTTATCTGATGTCGATTAGTGTTATTAAGGTCATTGAAACCAAAATGATGGCAATTAGATATCCGAATGAAATTTAAGTCTCTGCTTGTTATCAAGTTCAACAAACTTTTAAAATTTTAAACATGCTAAAAGAACAAACAACACACGTTAATTAAAAATTAAACATTCTTACTTGTTTACTCCTTGTTTCGCCTCTAAAAAGACATTCTCTCTGCACCTTTGTCAGGTCGTCTAATAATTCACAAAAAAAGGAATCTTTTTAATGTCTGGTAACACGCAAGGGTTTAAATAATGACATAAAAGCTCAAAAGCTTCAATTTTCGAGGTTCGGGTTATTGTGCCTATGTTCCTTATTGTTTCCACCAAATCACAATGATTTGTTGTGAAATAGTTTACTTAATATTCACGTTTAGAAGAACAATTATGTATCAACATTACAAGAAAGATGTAATAAAATTTATACACTTTCACATTCGTGGTGGTTGGAACCAACGAACAAACGAACATCTTGTTGTACCCCACGAAAAGTGAATAAACATTTTTCATTAGAACCCTTTACCTTTTCCGTTTTCCTTTCGGTGTTGCATAATGAGGGTTGATGTTGAAGAAAAAGGAGGTAAAAAGAGGTATCGTTTGGGTAAATTATTCACTGAGAAGGTGGAAAAAGAAATAATTAAATTCCACTGTATAAAGGTAAACATGTAAACAAAGGAAGACGGCATACTACTATTTAGGAGGTAAAATTCCTTGTTACTCTTGTCGCTTTCACTACAATAATGTAAAGTTTGGGCGCCTCGAAGCAAAAACAAAGAACAAATGAATCCTAATTATTTTCCCTCTTGCTTCTTTAACCTGCGATAATTAATTATCTACTAAATGGGTGAGAAATTCTTTTCATAAATTTATTCAAATTTTTTATTTTATAGTATCAAAGTTAATAGCTTTATCTTTGGCATGATTATCTAATCCATTGATAATCGTTTGACGATGATGAGCTTATTTTAGGCACATCTCATGTTTCTTTCATGACTGTAAATGAACGCACAAATGAATGTTGATTATTGCTACGTAAATGTAAATTACGAAACTATATGTAATGTCCACAATTCCTGTAAATTAATTGATGGTTCGTTATCACAATGGTGATTGCTATAAAACACCTAAAACACTCTCTTTGATACATTTCCATGAAATTAATCGATGAATTTCATGTTTGACCATAAATTAACAAAACACAAACATATCATCAACAAAAATAACAAACAATTTAACGAAATTCAATCAAAACTTGTTCAAAAATGTTTCAACCATGCAACAGAAAATAAACAACAACAATAACAACTATGGAATTCTGGTTGACTAGTCGTGCGTGTCGCGTGTGACTTGAAGTGGATGTGTGAATGAATTCATTTATTTTTGCTTGTTTAATGACTTAATGCTTTTATGTTTGCGTGAGTTAGAAAATTTTGTTTTCATTTAAACTTTATTCAAGGGATTTATGCTGTCGTTGATAGCACAAATGGTGCTAACATTATCTGCCGAACGTGGTTCATCTGAGCGTTTGTCATCAGCTGCCTCATCACCATCTCAAGGCATTGTCGGAGCACTTTATCGATCTGCAGAGGCTAGAAGTGAAAGTGACAAGAATTTAGATTCGTCGCAAGCTTCACGTGGTCAGAGGTGTGCCAGATGTCCTGCACCCGCTTATTATGGCGGAAATTCTGGCTACGGTGACAGGTAAACCTTGAAACATTCCTCAGAAATCCCATTCAAATCCATTCTATGACATACTCGCTTTGTTAGCGGTACAAAGTTCATTAAAACTTCGTCATTACATACATTCAGAAAAATGTCAATGAAACTAAATAACTGATGGATTTTTTTTTGGTTTCCGGACGAATTCTTCTTTTTTTTTGGCAACGTAATTTGAATGTTTAGATATTACGACGATTATTATTATAGAGAAAGAGCGCCAGCTTATTATGGACGTGAAGATCCTTATAGAGAGTCTTACAGAGATCCTTACTATGGACGTGACCGCAATTGGTATTATCAACCTGAATATCGCAACACTTACGACAGGTGACGAACTTTTAATTCATTTCACTTTCCTTTGCGTGCTTTTTCTATATAAAAAACATATTCGTGAAATATCTCAGAAAAAGCTTAGACGAAAACGATGCTAATTCAAAGAACTTTTCAAACAGAGGCTATAATCGCTATGACAATCGTTATTATGGACGAGAAGATCCTTACTATGCTCGTGAACAGAATTATTATGATCCAAGACAAGACCCAAGATACAACGTCAACAACAACTATAACTCTTATCGTGGAAATGGTAAAGCTTAACATCAATTTAATGACATAAGATTGATCATAAAGCTTTGTTGATACTTCATTCATTGCTTTCATTTTTCTTCGGAAATCCTACAACAGGCTACGACAATTTAAATCCGACGCATTACGAAGCTATGCGAAATCAATTCCAGCGTGGTAAATTTTTAAAACAGATTTAAATTTAAAGCGCTTAAGTGGATTAGTCATTAAATGAGCTTCAATTTCTCTTTACTTTTTTTTTTTTTCGTGGAGCTTTAACTGTCGTCTACTTAATCGCTTTTGAATTTAAGTCGCTAAGAAAAACTCCCGCAACACGGAACGTTTTAAATTTTTTACCTTCATGATAAATGTCTTTGAAAGCAGATGAATGATTGTTAACGCATGCTCTAAATATTTTCAGATCGCAGCTACGGATATGACCAATATTATGATAGATTCTATGATCGTCCCGCTTATCGTGCTTCAGGAGGTTATTATGACAACCGAAACTTCCGGCCATATGATGAAACATACAGGTAATCGTTGTAAACTAGCTCTCACTCTTGATTATCAAAATTACGAAACTAATTCGTGATGAGAAGCGCAAAAAAAAATTTATTTTTCTGTTTTATGAATCAATGACCGAACCTAAAGCGTTAAGTCAACTACACGTTTAATTTTTCATTGTTCATTTGTCATCTGTATCTGGTTCAGATGATGAATAATGATTTGTGCATAATTGAGATTAAATTTGAATCATGAATTACGATTATCTTGTTTGTAAGTGGAATGAGACGGAAGAGAATTCGATTAACATTTAAATTTGATTTATACAAATCAAAATGGACAAATCAATGAATTTTTTGTTTGTGAGATAGAAAAAGGAACCAAAAAATGACCAATAACAACAAATGGAGCGTGATGTCTCATCTGACAACTTTTCAAACATCACCAACATACGTTTTTTCAAACTGATTGCCAATTCTAATTGATTTGTTCATTGACACATTCTTTTTGTGTTTATTGACCTCATTCTATGTGTGATGTTGATGTTCACTCGACTATGATCTTCCATTAAATTTACTTTTGAAATTATCCTATCCGAAAATTTGTTCACTGATGTGGGTTGTTGTATCGGGTGTATGAAAATTGTTGTGGTATCAGCTTAATAAGATCTGAAATTATGTCTCAAATTCTCTTTGCGATAGTCAATTAAATAAGAAGCTCATCCATTAAACTGAAAGTTCAAAGTTTCTGCTTCAGTGCATTAAGCTCAATCGAATTTCTATTCTTCCTGTAAAGTATTATCGGGTGTAGGTGAGATGAATATATATTGACACATTTTCATGATGAAACTTTCATCACATCAACGTTTAATGATCACACTAGGAGGGAAGAGTCATGTTAAACAAGATTATGAAAAATAATGTAATTAACATTGAGGGAAAATTATTTCGAAGCAGAGTTTAATAGTCGACAATCTCGTTTTTTAAAGCTGTTAACATGTTAACTCATGTCGTAAGTTGAAATTTATTTCAAAGCTTTCAGTTACAATCTGACATTCATAATTGTTGCAGTTTTCTGATGCTTTGAACTAGAGTGAACTAAAATATTTTTGAGGGATAAATTATTTTGAAGTTTACATGTTAGATGAAATATTATCATGCGAATAAATTGAAATTGAAATTTATTTGTATCCCTAAAACATTCAACTGTTCCCGGAATCTGATTTACTTTCCAAATATTTTGTTTTTGTCGTTAGTAATAAATATTCATGTACATATCGCTGTCGTGTTATGACATAAGCGATTCTAGTCGAAAATTTTATGCTCTGCTTGGTAATTGCAATTAAAACATATAAAAAAATCGATTTAACGCAAATGTAGTTTTAAAATATGTGAAAAAGATCAAACAAGATAATGAATTACATGCTTAAATGTTAACTGGGAAACAGGAAAGAAACAAAAAAAAGTTTAAATATTTAAAGTTTCACACTTTTACTTCCTTTCCTTTCATCAAAAAAATAAAAGGAAAATCTGCTTTTCTTCTGCTAACATAAAATGTTGCTAATACGTGTGTGTTTGTGTGGAATTCCTTCAAACATTCAGAAAAGATTTATGATGAAAGTTGTCTCTTAGTGTAAATAATTTATCATGTCAACTTACAAAACTTGTTAATTTGTGTCTCATTTCTTCTTCTTTGTCTTTTTCCGTTTCCGCTTTTTTGTGTTGTTGTGTTGATGTTAAATGTGTCGTGAAAACTTTTTTCTTCTCTATTCAAATTGTCACATTTCAAAACGATATCACATGCACAACACAATTATCCTTTGCCCACATGCAGAGGCTCATCCGGATTTGACAATTCAGGTCGAGGTTATTATTTCGCGAATCAACATGGTCAGAGGCCTTCACAAAGTCCTCAATATCCCCCACCAGAAACTTATGATCAAGCACAAAGACCTCCATCATCACATGGCAATCATTACAATCCACCACAACAGCAATCACATCACACGACAACCCGAGTACCTCCCGAATTCTATCATGGAAAACCTGCACAATCGCCGCACATTCAAACGGTGTCATCGGGCACGATAGGGACTGTAGATAGCAACCCATCTACAAACAATAATAAAAATAATAATAAAGAGATAGATGATAAGGAGAAAAACAGGTAAATTTCATAGCTTCAATGCACAGATGTTTGTTTAAGTATTTAGAGTTTAGAAGAAAGATATTTATTAAGGCAAGGACGATTGAGATGATAATCGGTAGTTTGTTCTTTCATTGTCTTTCAAATTAAATTAAGCTGGAAAATGAATGTGAGAAATTCTTTCAGAATAATTTTAAACAAATTGTTTTGTTTCTTATCTTTAACTTTGCACTACATTTATACATATAAATTCCGGAATTCATGAGAAGAAAGTCAAATCTTGGTGTGCTTTTGGGTTTGAATATCCACATTCATGTGGAAAATATTAGAATTCATTGCAGTGTCAAGTTTTGGTTACAACATTTTCAGTTGTCATTGTAAATATCACACTTCTATCTTTTTAAATGTTTGCATGTTACTGTCAATTGATGTAAGTCTTCTTTCCATTTTTTTCTTCTCTTTTTCTTCATCATTTTTCACTTTGTTTCCATTTTTATCCTTTTCCCAAAATCATCACATTTGGTCTCATACTTTAGCATTCTTCTTTCTCCATTAATAGCTCTGCCTATGGTCGACCTTCTTTAGGTAGCAGCTATTTGTTTGACAGATCAAGTGATGATGCTGCAGCTGATTCCGGCTTAAGCCCACCGATTTCCACCAATGATGAGAAGAAGACGGAATCGGCCAACATGGAAATGAAGAGTGAAACTGATGCATGAACAACATTCAAGAAACATCTCAAAAATGATCTATAATAGCTTTACACAAAACCAATCAACATGAAAACAATATTTTTAGTGAAATTTAATAGCATTTATGTATGGTCTTAATATAATATCCTTTTTTATAACTTTTCCTTTTTGTACTTAGGAATCATAAGAATTTACATTTTAATGCAAATAATAAAAGTTGAAAGAGTCAACAGAAGAAGAATTCACAATGTTTCGATATTTAATCTTACTTTATATTGCAAGCATGAAACATATTTCAAGATCTTAAAAGCACAAACAAAAAAATTCTTTTATACTCAAAGTCAGGAAATTTGTGTACAAAAGAAAAACTTTTTTATTCTCACACCATGTCAGTGTGCAGCTTACATAGCATTATTTTCAAATTCCTTAAAGCTCTTTCCAGCCGATGATAAAAAAGTTTTCTTAAACCTATTCCGAGTGTATAGTGAAAAAGCCTCGATTTCACATTGAAATGATGTTGAATTTGCATTGCTGATGACTCGCAGATCTCATGAAAAGTAATTGAAATCGAGGATGAGAATAAGAAATACGATTTCGTCTCCAATGTAATGGATGTGCCTTCTTCAAACTTTGTGACGTTAAAATACGCTGAAAATTTCCCTACAAAAGAAAGTTTTTCACTTCCATTAAACACTTATCGAGCGAAGAAAATTCCTTTGATATCAACAACAATAAGTACAAAAAATATTCCTTCTCACCTAAGAAAATTTCATAAACTTTTCCAATTCCACGTCGCTCATTCGAAGAGATGACGAGGCTTATTGAATCAAGCCACTGATAAACACAAATATTGCGTGCGTGTTGATGATAGTAGACGGTGTCAAAAGCTTATGATTTATGATCGACACAATAAATCCGTAATTATTCAAACACTTTACCTTGTTCACCATATGGGGATTTCTTACGACAAATTCGAAAAGCTCAGCGTTATTTATGTCATCAAAAGTCTCGCAAAGACAAATTGCATTAGGATTTAATCTGCTGTCGACTTCTTGATGATTTATTAATACTAATGTGAAGACAATGATGAAAATGCATTTAACATCCATCGTCTTGTTACGTTCATCATTCAATCACTCGTTTTATGTTTAATTATTAAATTCTTTTTTATACACAAATTTCTAACATGAAATTTAACATGACTAAACTTTTCACAACATAAACCGAGACTGTCTTCATTAAAATCGATTTTCAATTTATCAAACGTTGCTTTATTTATGTTCAGGTGTTGCTTTAAGTCCTAACATTTCAAAAAGCGATTCTCGTTCAGTCCTACTCTGGAACATTTGCTAATTGAATTAAGTTGAAACCATAAAATATTATCATTCTCAAGTCACAAAGCAACTCGTTGCATGTTGGAATAATTTTATTTAGAATGCAGAAAATTCGAGTCTCACTTTTCCGCAATGATTCAAAATTAAAAGTTAAATTCATTGTGTTTTTAAATGTCATAGAAGATCTTCCTTTTTTTAAAAATGTTAAAAACTATACAAAAATTAAATAATTTTTGTAAGGGTTTGAGAGCCATTGGGAATTTTGTCTATTCAGCAACATGAGCATATGTGGTTGCATAACCTTAAGGTGAATGGAAAAGAATTTTCTTCAACCAATTAAATCGATTCATCTTCGTTTGTCTTTATCAAATGTTATGTAAGAAACTGAAAATCTTCATGCTCTTGAAACCTCTGATTTCCTAAACCATCTATTGTGAATGAATGTATTTAGCTTTATTTTATTTATAACCAGGAACAGAAACCAAACCAAAATCGAGTCACATAAATTTAAAACTAGTTTTTTCATCGTAAAAACTTTCTCACGATTTTCCTTTAGAAAATTTATGCATCTAAAATATCTACGTGAGAGTGTATTGGATGTCAAGTGATTGCAATAGGGTGAATCTTAGGGTTGTTTGATAATAAAATAAGCGAAGACTTACCTTTAAATTTCTCCTTAATCGTTGCTTCATTTAATCTCAGAATTTTCATTGTGTTCGTATGTCAAGGAATTTATTATGTAAGCTACATACTCTTTAAAGGAAAAGAACTAGGGGTTGCAAAAGAACAAAAGATATTTCCGTAACTGGAACGAAGATGACTGGTTGTGTATTCAACTTTGATGTTAAAATTCTCTGACAAGCAATTCCTTTACCTTTTTCGAAATCTTTCCCCTAATCTTCATCGCACAGCAAACTACAAAAAACGAATACTAAATACATTTTCTCAGCAATATTTTATGCAAAATATTTAACTAAGTGAATTTTTTGAAAGCAGTTCACATCCACAAAACAAAGTAATCTTTTTCACATGAATTATTTATCCAAATTGTACCTTTAAGTCACCCAAAATCGTCTGTAGGAACTGTTAGCCATAAATTTCGATTTATTTAGCTCGCATTAAGAAATATGATCTGTGATTCATTTTATTTACCTTTTCTTTCATAAATTATTTGTTACGACATTTTATTGGAATTTTGAAATGCAGAACTTGAAGTGAAAGTTATCGAAACTGAATTTGATTGTCTGATTTCGATTATATCGTTATATAACTAGAAGATTCTTATAGTTGCCTTGCTTTGTTGTGTATGAAAACCAAACACGTGGTGTTTCAAGATGTAAATCACATTGTTTGTTAATTATACCTTGTTTTATATTGAATGCCTTTTCTTTTATTCTTAAATACTTCTCAAGGAACTCGTGAAGAAACAAAAGATTCTTTGATATGCAATCTACACTAAGGTTCTTGAAATAAGGCTAAGGAATTGAAATCAAATGCCAGCTTATGTAGCAGCAGTAGCTCTTGACATAAACAAGATTCAAACGATAAAATAAATGTCCAGGTGGACTTATTTCTTCTTCTGTTTTCCTTTTCGTTTTTCAATCAAACAAGATTGTGTAAAAATACTTTATGAATAAGAAGAAGACGAAGAACAATCAATACAACAGGGAAGAATGACTTGAAGACGTTACAAAATGTCTTTTGTGCAGAAATGACCTGAATTATGGCACAATCCAAAGATATTTCCAGATCGGAATCCTTTTGTCTCTTCCCAACAAATCATATTTTGAATGAAATCGTAAATTGCAAGATGTTTTCAAGATTGCACAAGGAAATATTTGTCACTGAAATGCCCTGGAAATTAAATCAATTTACAGCGAAGAAACTTTATTTTCCTTACCATAAGGAATGGCAATCTTAACATTTAATGAAATGAAAACAGACGAGGCTCACTTTACAATAGAAAGAAAGGAAAAGATTTTGAATTTGCGACGGTTCAATGATCCCATAAACCTTTTTTTATAAGAAAAAAAATGAAACCCTTTTGAGCTATTTCTTGACTCAATCCATGAATCTACCCTTTGAACCATTAATTTCTATGCTCAATGATTTTTTTATTGAAAATAAATCCATCGATCAGTGAGCGATAAGAAAGATTGATCCTTCGAAAATTATATTTACTCAGTCTCTGAACGAGTGCGATTGGATAAACAAATTAAATTTTATAATTCAGAAAATGATTTCTAATTTAACTAAATTCAATATAAAAAGTCTGGGAAGCAAATAAAATTTTTTTTTCATCTGTAGGCTTCCATTCCCCATGTAACAATCAAGAATAAGCATCAGACCACACCGACAAAAAAAAGAAAATGTACAAAAATAATCCATGATTCTTAAAAAAGATCGTCTCTAAGGTAATAGATTCAAAGGGTCTTCATAAAGGATTTTCAATATCGTGTTAGAGCTGAGAAAAAAATAACATTCAAGTTCATCCCTTTTCGAAGGATTGCGAAAAAGAAAAATAACAACTCGACAAACAATAGAAAGAAGAACGAGAGAAAAAGAAAACATCTCGTAACAAAGGCGCAAAAATTATCCAAAACTTACATCTAATGTAATCTATTCTCACCTCAAACTCAGATGCAATGAGGCGAACGGAAGACATTTTCAGGTAATCACAGGAAGGATAGAGAACGATAGCTTCAACATATGTGCTTCATAAAATCAAGAAAAAACGGCATACAGCAACACATAAATCTCTCTTTGCATAATGATACGAAAGGAAATCCATTCTAGTGTTTCCCGTGAAATTTCTTTTCTCACAGAATTAGTACAAACTCAGACACAATTCCCACGAGAACGTTGCAATTTAAGAATCAATGGTTAGCATTTAAATCAACAACAACTCTAGAGATTGCCTATAATTTCAACCCGCATAACAACCAGAAATCATCATCATCATCTTCACCCTTAATATTCAGATTGTACATAAATTCCGCCAACTCAACAAAGCTATTCAGATCAATTAATGAAATTGGAAGTGAACCCGCATTGGGCTTCTGATTTAATTTGAAAAGTTCGAAATTCAATGAGATTTCTGATTTTATATCCTCAGATTATAGTCATCGAATAATCGAAGCGATAATGACGATGACTTTCCCAATATGTTTGTTAATTTGTCCTAAATCGCTCGTTAGAATTATCAGGGTCCAAGATTCATGCTTAGTTAATTCAATAAAATTTACTTTACACGTTTCATGATTTTCCTTCAAATTATCTTTCATTTTAATGTAAATGAATCTCTCCTTCTCTCTCTCTTGTTTCCTTCCCAAAAATATAAATTTAAGGTACGTTAAACGTGTAGGTTAATTTAATAAATGAAAACAAAAGTCATTGCGAGGGAGCAAACTTCATGATGTAAAAAGAAATAAAAACAGATTTAATTAAATATAACAGGCCGCAGTGAATAAAAAAATATAAATTCCGCTCAAATAACAGATGTAAGCATCCGTTAAGAAACTAGAATTATAAATCCAGGTTGAAATGTTTAAGAACTTCGTTTGTAAATGTCTGTCAGGTCCTAATTGAGTTTCATTCTTTCTTTTCGCAACATCCTTTAATACTTTTTCTCATGCATAAATTTTTAAAAATCTATGCTTGCTAAAGATCAAAAGAGACACTCATTCATGACTGATTACTTTTAAATGAAACGAGTTCTCTTTAAATCCTTTCTTGCCTCAAACTCGTTGTCGTCACATTTACATAAATTCCATCAGCAGTGAGCTTGAAAGAAAGATGAGAATAGTCTTCGCTCTTGGGCATTTTTCTTAAGCCATAACTACTCAAGCTATTATTTTAACTCATTCTAATTTAAATTTAAGATTCTCACAGTTCTTTGTGCCATGTTATTATTATTTAGGGGGAAAGTTTTTTTTACGACTTTGTCATTTATTGTCTTGATTTTCGCCTTGCTTTAAGACGATGTCGTTGTGTAAGTGCCATTCATTCTCACGAAGGAAAGGGAAACATCTTAAGAAGAATAAGAACGTAAAAATAAAGGAACTTTCTCGACCCAGCAATCAACAAATTTTTTGACAACAAAGGAATCTCAATCTTACACACGTAAGAGCTGAAGGGAAAAAAATTCGAGAGGGGATGTGATGACGATTGTATACGACGGTTGGTGTTCTGAAAGTGAAAAAAAAATCATAAAGACCCAGCATGAAACTATAAAAGTCCGTTGTATCTATGAAAATCAGTTTAGTCGTTTGGAATCAACAGTTAAGTTAACAGGCACAGTCCGAGAGTGGGCTTAAGAGGTGGAAAAAGGATTTTCCATATCCTTAAATTTTCCAACATTCCTCAATTGCCAAAGTTTAAAGTTCAGTGAAAAATTTAAAAGTGAAAAAAGTGTTTAAATGGATTAACGTTTGATAAATCAAGGTAATGAAGTTTAATTTAATTAAGAAAAGTTTCATCTGAGTAAAGCGTTTCGTATCAATTTCAATTTCTCAGATATCGAATGAAAATTGTTCGTCATCAGCAGACAAAGGAAGCAAAGCTGAAGCAATTAACAATAGCTGAATGCGCATCAAATATTTAACAACTCAGTTCTTCGTATGAGAATCGACAGTAGAAACAGACCTGAATCAACATAAATTCACGTCATCAGAGCTCTCGACTAACGAGCAACATCAAATGGTGCTGAATCGTGAACAGAAATCGCCGAAGGAGCAAAAAAACAAATTTCGGACTTCACAGCACAACTCGTCATTACGTCTCGTCTAGCTCCAATATAGGAAATCAATTCAAGCACACCAACTCTACCTTTTTAATTGCAGATATGAAACGTGCAGTGAAAACTGTCGACAAAAAAAAAACTCGCTGCAGTAACTCTCTACATGATTGAATCATCAATTTTATATGTTAATAACCATGGTGAGCCATGGAGACCAGAAAATTGACATCACACCGCATCACCGACTCATATTCATCAACATCATTTCTAAATATTATAAAATATCCACATATCTAATTATGTGGCATAACAAATTGCAACATTTCTGAAATTGGCACAGGTAAAACAAACCTACGTAAGACATTCAAACAGCTACAATCAAATTTATCAAGCCAAATTAATTTTTTTCTCTTCTTTCACTTTGTCAGATTGAAAGAAAAAAAAAGAGAAATGAAAAATGCCATCAATTTTATATTCTGTAAAAATATCTGAGAGAAAAACAGAAAGAAAAGCGAATCGAGAAAAGTTTGAAAAATTGCGAAATTCAATTTAATTTCAACGATCTCGCTTGATTGATTCAGAAAATACTTGACATGAAATAATTGGAATTCGAAATGTAATTATGCTTTATGAAACTAGAGAAATTATTTTGTTACCGCGAATTAACTGACGACTTCATAAATCATTCCGAGTGTTTAATTTTTTTTTGTGTGTGACTTTAGTTAAGTTATCTGATAGACGCGCGATATGAGTTAGTTGAGAAGTTTGTAATTTATTACATTTCTTTGATTCTGTCGTGACTAGTGAATATCTTCAATAGTTTGTAGAAAGATATTTGCGACACACAATCCCTACTTAAAAAACTTCCATAGAATTTCTTATCGAAAAGCTTAAATTTCTCATCATTAAATAATTTAAATCGAATGAAATTTAAACTCTGAAACATCAATCATAATTCATCATGTTGTGTGTCCAAATATTTATTTTAAGGTAGAATTTATTTGTATTTTTGTGTGTAAGATGCGAGATTGTGCGACAAAACTTTGATCCTAGTGCCCTTTTAAAAAGAAAGTTCATCAAAAACCCCAAGAAAATGAACTCAACTTACACCATCTGAACCACTCACTCGAGATGGTTTCAGAATTCTTTTTGTTTCTTGTTGAAATTCGTTGAATTTTCATTAAGTTTTGTTGTTACTACATCGTTAATGTTGTTACTGTTATCTAAAATCGTCACACAGTTATTTGTTGATGTCATTAAGTTTGAAATAGTTTGTTGAATTTGTGTTTTCTTTAAGTTTTCAATATTCCGCCGAATTCTCTTGACTTTGTTTGAAGCGATCTATTGTCTGTTTTGATCAATGTCTTTAAAACATATTCGACAGAATTTGACGAGTTGTTTTGTTAAAGGAGAAGCTTTCATTCCGAATTAATTTTCATGAATAATCTCTTCTCCATTGTTTTCTGTTGATTTTTCATTTTATTCATTTTTTCTTATTCGTTCTTTTGTTTATTTTTTTATTTTTTGTTTTTTGTCTTGTGAAAATTGAAATCATTTCCTCGAAGCTATTTCGAAGCTTTCTATTCCACATCCATTCTTAAAAGTTTTAAACTTACTTATCTTACAAATACGTGCTTCAGTCTTTGAAAGCTTTACACAGCCAACAGTAAATGAAGTGTAAACATTTCAGTCCTCACCAAATGGAGTAAACAAAAATATTTTTCTATTAGAAAATGGAAAACTCATGAAGAAAAAATTATTCTGTCGCAAAGAATAAACAAAAAGCATTTTTCAACACTGCACAAGATTCGAGGAAAAGTTTTGATTCTCATGTTGGTTTTGTTTCTGTTGTTAATTTGTTATTTGTTTTGTTATCCTTTTTTCTGTTATTGTTTTTCTTAACGACTAATATTTCTCAAGACATTTCAGAACTTTTTGCAGTTATAAAGCTGTTAAAGAAATTGAAAATCACTGATTAATTTCAATGGAGAAATTGAAAAAGTTTTTCCGATCTAAGTACCGATTCGTTATGATAACATCTTCAAACGATTGAGTTTCAAAGAAAATTAAATCAGAAGAAAATTGATTTTCATTTAATCTTTCAATTCTTATACGTTTGTCTTTTGTGAAGATTTCAAAGTTTTTGTGTGTGTGTGATTTTGCAACCTTTTCAGTGTGTAAAAAATTTTCAATTAAAAATGTTTTTTGAACTCAAAATTCATCACTTTTTCGTGTGAGATTTCATGTTTTCATTAACTATAATTATAAGTTTGGTTCATTTTAAAGTTTTCAATCGGAAAACAGTTTAAGATAAGTTTTAATTACAATTTTCATCGTCAAATTCATTTCGGAACAGAAAAGTTTCTCTTAGTTTTGTTGAGAATAATGCAAAAGATTTTCAAACTTTCATTTGTCATAAAATTGAACGAATCATTTTGAAGTTTCCTTAGACTTTCATTATAACTATTGATGGCTATAAATGTTACTAGATTCATAAGTTCCTTCATTGTTATTTAATTTTTTAAGTATCCTGTTAACTAGTTTTAAGTGTTAAAAGTGAAAGTTAGTCGCTTTCACGGTTTTTGAATTTTTGTTTGGCTGACTTTATTTGTTGAGTTTTGTTTTGAGAGACAAAAAAGAAATGCTTGGTCCCAGAGAATCAGCCAAAAACTTCATATCTAACACAAAAAAGGAACACAGTCGAGCGATATCGTTAAAACTTTTCTTTCGAAGGGAAAATTCCTAAAATTGCTCTGTTAGAAAAGTTTTCTTGTTAAAAATTTCTGTTGTTTTTTTTACTTCAAAAATTCAATGAGCAGAAAATTTATTTCACAACGGATGAGAAAATTATCGAAATTAATCAATCAAATAAGAATTAAAATATTCCCGGCAGCAAAGAAACTTTCAAAATTACTTGAAATATTGCCAAAGAGTGCCTCTAAAATATTCTTACAATTGAATTTGTAATAAAAAATCTGGGAGATGAATTAAGCTGAAGGAATTGCTGGTAAACAATAAAGGGCTTCTATGTTATCGAACATAAACAGCAAAAAAATGAGAAAACCACAATGTACATAATTTATAAACATTTTTGAATGACTGATGAGAGTGAATGCAATTAAAAATTAAAATAAACATAAGTAACAAAAACATTATGAAAAAGCAAGCATTTTTATTATTAAACATCTTTAGAGATTCTTCGAGAATTTGGCATGACAATCAAATTTTAAATCAATTTCAGAAAAAATGCTGAGACATCTTGAGAAGTTTTACTGACGCTTTTTAGACATATTTTCCGATCGCATTTCATGTCCATTCACTGGAAAATTTATCGAATTAAGCTTATTCTTTATCGTTCCTTAATTCCCATCAAAACTCAACTTGACATTGAATGTTTGCTAACTTAATAATGTAACTAATCTCATCATACATTTCTTGAGATTTCGGTAGAAAGTTTCTCCAAAAAACTTTTTTAAAAGTTTTTTTTTGGGAAAAAATAATAATCAGACATAATTAAATCTTTATTTTGTTTTTTTCAGAAGATTTATCTCTCGTTTGTTCTGTCTTGTCTCAGACAGCTCATAAATTGAACTTCAGATTCATACCGAAGATTTTCCGTAACCATTGCAACAACTTTCTTTCCTCATATAGGTAATCATATTAACATTTTTTCTTAGTCTTCTGTAACTCTAGTTCAGAAAACATAAAATATCTAAGTTCCCATCTGAAATATTGATTTTCTATTCTTTTCTCCTTATCAACATTCGAAACGATTCAGCAAATTTTTTCTCCACTAACTTCACATGAGGAAGGAAAAGAAATGGTAAAAGATTAAAATAGAAATTATACTCTGATGGGGTCTTCTTATTATCCTTGTCGTTTATTTTCCGATATTCCAGCATCGATTATCATAATTTGAGCTTTATGAGAACCATTACAGGAATAACAAGTATCATTCGATATCGAGTTACAAAACCCTCGATCCACTTTTCCTGTTGTTACAAATCACCAAATTAAGCAGAAAGAAACCAAGAAGAAAGCAAATATTTGAGAAATCGTTATAATCCTTTTTATGTGCCTAAAGAAAATAAAAAAATTGCGATTAAGGTTGGACTTGAAGTGCTTTTTTTATCTTTCAGCATTTTCTTTTTAATGAAGTGAACCTTCTCCGTTTATTTGCACAATTTTCGTTAATAAAAAGAGCTTTAAGAAACACTTCCGCAATCTTAAGAAATGTGCTGCGTAAATCACATTCCGCATTAAATGAAGTAATGGACAGATGAGACAAATGATGAGATGAGAAAAACTAAACATCAGTGTCGGAACGAACACTTCTCGTGCTTAATGTTTTGACCCTATTTACTAATATTTCATTTGAAATAATTAATTAAAAACGTCTGATGAGCATGCCAAAGAAAATAACTGTCAAGCATACATTAAAAATTGTGAAAAATTTATAAACTTCTTAACTGTCGCTGCTTGAGAAATATCTGAAAATTAAAATCTTCCACGTTTTGCATTTTCCAAACATGGGTCAACAGATACAGTCGCAAATATCATCTGTGACGTTTCCTATGTGTTTGTACAGCATGCCTTAATGTTTACTGTCTTATGCTCTTCTATTTTCCTTTATTTTTCGAATATAGTTTCACACTAAAAGTTTTCAGCGATAACTTCCATTGCTCATGCGCACACGTTCTGTATCATGCGGCAGAGAGAAAAAGAATTCAAAACAAGCAGTTTTTGTGCGTCTTAACTCAATGTTTCTTAAAGTTAGTCTCAGTTGTCTTTATTTTTTATCATCGAAACGAAATTCGAACGATTAAAGTGAAGTAATTGACAAAGGTAATTGCATGAAATCGTTTGCTTTCAATATTCGATGACTGTCTGCGGTGAAATTGTGCTTAAATTTGTTCATTAACACATAATCTCGATGTCTTTTTTTTTGTGTGTCTACTCAATAGAACGCAGATCGATAAAGTGATTTGGAATTTTGTCGAACCAAAAAAATTTCTTTGACATTTAGATAATAATCGAGTTCAGTGAATTCAGTTGTTATGTAACAATTTCACTTTACATACATAAGCATAAGTGAAAGGAAGGAATTTCGTTAACAAGCTTCACGTGAAAAACGGGGTGAGTCAAATTTAAATGTTGAAATTGTTCGAACAAGGCGACGTGTCTGGTATCGATCACAGTTTTCTATTTTTTTGCTATCATAATTTCCCGTGCCCTTGGCCAAAATATTTTTTCTGTTCCGCATTTTCTTCTCATTCTACTTCTCATGAAAAGATGAAAAGAGTTTGTTTGTGCAGGCAAGTCACATGTGATAATGATCAAAATCGATTAATAGTAAAGTGGCATATTAAATAATATAAATTACTTTTATATGTTCCACTTCACTCTTGATGCAAAGCTTAAGAAAATATTAATAAAATTAATGATGTGTCATTCAGAACATAATTTCGATTTATCAACATATCAATTGAGTGAACTCAAGACAAGCATCTGATCGTTATTATTATTATTTATGTTCATTCAAATTGTGCAATGTTCCGTGCACTTAACCGACAACATTCAGGAAGATTCTAAAATGATAATTTGAAAAACAGTTTAGCAAGAAAGAATTTATTGATCTTTGGATATTTGTTACATTCAAATGCAGAACAATTTCCATGCAATTCTCTGCATACGACAGTACTTAATTACTAATTCATTGTACAATCTGAAATCAGAGTAGAAAAGAGGTCATGATATAAATAGAAACGGCAAATAGAAAAGGAAACACGATAGATCAGATGAATCATTCATTCACCGAAAATAAATTGCTAAAATTGAGATTTAATTAAAAAAAGAAACAAGAAGTTGGTGTGATGATAGCGTAAATACATTAAATGCTTCTAGCTACGCGTTATGCAAAGTAACTCAATCTGCAGTGTAGAAACAAATCAGAAGAACTTTGAAAATCTCAATTGATGAAAAATCAAGCAGCAGATAATTTTACTTCAAATCGAATCACGCTTTCATGATTTCAATTTTTTTTTGCATTGACAATCCCTCTCAATTGTATAACGAGCATAAATTATTCCACATATAAATGTTCAAACAATTCCCGACGATTTTTGTTTCAATATTTACTCAACCATTAAACATTTTCCGCTTCTTTTTTGAGAATTTTAATTTTTTATTTTGTTCTTATGTGAGCAGCAGAAGAAGACGACAAGAACTGTTACGTTTCTTGGAACTCAAACGTCTTTCTAGTTACTCTTCAGCCTTAAATCGTTTAAGACAGAATTCGTCGTCTTGAGAATTTTATCAAATATCTAATTAAGATGATGGTAGGAAAGAGTTCAACGAAACGGTAATGAGATTTATCGATCATTGTTCGAATTGTTTTGCTTCGTCAAAATCAGATGAAAATCATTCAAATGACGATGAAAAGAAAAAGAAAAAGATTTTCATTCCATTTCAACGCTACGCGCTTTTAGTTTTCGGAAACCGCGATGATAAACTTACAGCTCGTGATTTTTATTCAAAATTTTATTCATCGACAGCTGTTCAACCAAAATATTTTTGTGCTGGAAAAAAATATGAAATTGAGCGAAAACACAAAATCAAGAAACGCGAATTGTTAAATGACAGATTGAATAATCAACGAAATGTAACAATTCGTCGTTGTGATAACATCAAAGGTATGAAACTTATTCGTTAGATAAGATTTTGAAACATAATTTCGTGACTTGTTTTATCAAGCACTGCTTTGAATTTCATTTAAATTCATCTAAAATTAAGTAAACTCCCCGAAGATGAAGATACTTGAATCATGAAATCGAAGATTTTCCTGAAAAATTTGTACAGTTTGGTTAGAATAATTGCAAGTCGTGTTGAAATTTAAAACGCCCAACCCTTCCTTTGTGTATCAATTGAGCTGAGTAAGACAGAATGTTATTTAAAATCAGTTCCGATCTGCTTTTATTACATAACTAAAGTTATTTTTTGTTTTCCGATTCGTTTTTGAAAGCTAATTGAGTTTAGTCGGTCGAGTTGATGACGGAGTGAATTTCATTAACATCCAGTAGACGCCACAAATTCGCCAATTTAATTTATGACTTAATTCAATTTCGCGTTCTTGCTAATAAATAGTGATGGGTGTCTAACATTAAACCATCCCTAGTTGGAGTTATTTCGAATTGAATTGAATTAAAATTACGCAACATAAGAGCGTTTGAAATTATCGTTTATTTTCTGCTGAACTACTAGAATTAATGTTAAATGAATTATCGGAAATCTCTACACAAACACACCCATCATGAATGAATTATTGTGCGGTCAGGGTACTTAAAAGTTTCTCATCCTGTCTGCTTTTTCTTATTTCCGAAATCAAATTAATTTCAATTGGAAGAATCTTTCTAATAGACATAAAACAGTTTTGAACTTGTCAGAATCAGGAATCTAATTTCAAAAATTTACTGTCGGATTTGTTCGTTTCTTTTTTTGCTATGAAGTTTAAGTTGTCATGGCTTTTAAATTGAATATGATGATATTCTGAGTCACATGAAAAATTTGTCAACTGAATGATAAATTGCTGTAAGCGCTTTAAGAGATGTCAACAAATATCGAGAATAATCGGAAATCAAATCTTTCGATTACACAGATTATTCGAATATCTGACATATCAAATCATATATCTTGAGATTTGTCTCATAAATGTTATGATTATGAAATAAAAAGATGGCAATAAATAAATTGACTTTTCAATATAAATAAAAAAATGGAAAGCCCTGAGGTCACATCATAAATTTAATTGACTGCAATTAACGCGATAATCGATCGTAACAACCGTTTATTCTATTTTTTTTTCATCCATCGTCGATTAGAAAAAATCCACGCAATCATTTCCATGTATGTACACATTTACAATCTTCTGGTAATTTCATTTCGCCATCCGTTAGATCATCATTTAGCAATTTGATTTGATTTCATTGAAATTACGCCCAACCCGTTTCCAGGCTCTACTCCCTCTTTGAAACTAAAAATAAAGAATATTTTTCAACGTCAATTGATAGCAAAAATGTGACTGAGACATCACTGAATATTGTTGGAAGTACAAACAAAGAAAAAATGAACAAGTTCATTTAGAAGCCAATTGGTAATTGCCAACAATGAATTCTTTTTGAAGAAAGAAACTTACAAATCATTGACCGACTTTGCATATCTAATTGTTAAATAAAAATCTATTCAATGGATATCAATTATTGATTAAAATAAAACTTACATACTCACCAAACAAACTTAAAAGCGATCTGATAGATTTCCATTCAAATCATGATAACAATGAACTTAAACTGGGGATCGATGTCGACATTTAAACGCACCTACATACATTAAATGGTTAAGCATAAAGCAAAAAAAAGAACAGCATAATATCTCCGCCTACAGAGTTTCATAGAAATTAAAAATACCTTTCGAGATTGCAAACGCGGCTACATATTGTCGTCCGATGGAACGGACACACGGTTCACGATTTAATGTCGCGCTTTGAATAGAAATTCTTCTCTCAACTCTTTTTACGCCGAAATTGTTTGTTGAATAATCTCGCATTGATGCTTTTATGTTTTTATGGTATTCATGCTTCTCTCTCTCCATCTCGCTCACACATTATTTTTTGTTTTCATTTCTCGATGTAAACAACAAACAAAATGAGTTAATAAAACCAAATATCTAGCAATCGAATTATTTTTTTGCGCGGCATATCAGAAGTTCTAAACTATTTTTGTCAATCCAAAGCTTTGTATGAGTAAAAGATGTTCACAACTGGAAGCTCTGTGATTGTATTAATATGGGTATTTCGTTTCACATTCATTCAATTTTTTCCGTTCCAAGTTTTTCATTGTAAATTTTTTTTTGTTTGTACACTTCACTCCGTTCTCCCATATCAGCAGTTTTAGTATTGTACAAAGAGAACACAAGTTTTCTTTCTATTTTTTTCTCGTTTTGGAGTCGATGTTTAGTTTTACCGCGATGTTAAACGAGTGCGCATGTTTCGAACGCTTAGTCCGTAAGCGCGCGCTTTGATCTTCATCATCATCATCACATTTCGTATTTTTACTTTATTTTCTCGTTGTTTGTTTCAATAAAACAAAGTGTAAAAAAGAGAAGTAAATAAAGAGCTGTAATTAAATGTTATAGATGCAAATTTATTCATTGGCAGCAGTTGATTTCTTCAACGTGTTGTGTGTTGTCAAACCGAAACACAATTTGCACACTAGTGCTATATAAAGTGATAAGGAAAATATAAAAATTAAATTAAAATTCACAAATTGTGTGCAAAAAAACATCGTTCGAAAAATAGTCGTAAAATTAAAGTGAATTCTGTAGTTAATGTTATATTTGTGGATAGATAATATTAATTTACATAAATCCGACTGTTTTTTTTATCAGTTATAGCAGATTTTTTATTTTTATTTTTCAATTTAATCGAGCGAGCGAACCCGTTAAAAGGAATTAAATTTAAATTACCGCAAGGTTCTCATGTTGTTTTGGTGACAAAGGTAATCATTATTTTATAGCCCATACAGTGACTGCAAATTGGAATTAAAATCCCCATAAGAAAATTAATCAAAAAGCTGAAAAAATGTTTTATGTTGTATTGACATGTTATCACATTGCAGTGTTTTATTTATGGAAGCAAATAAATTAAATGCAGCAATTTTGGTGTGTCCAACTATATTTAGAGACATGAATCCCTTTTTGAGCCTAGGGCTGAGTTTTAGTTGATAAAATTATTAATTAATTAACGCGACCAGCGACCCTCGTTCAACAACAAAATGATGTTGTGTGCGCGCCGAAATAAGGAGTGACAATCTAATTAAAACGAGGGATTATAAAGTTTTGATGGCATCAACCAAGAACAGTTTCGTGAAAAGCGGTGGAAAATTAATTTCTCATCATTGTTTCGAGACCAATTTCGTTGAAAACAACGAAGTTGAGTCGGTTAATTCAACCACGCCAGATGAAATCATTAATTTCGATGAATAAGTTTTAAACGACTGAGCTTAGTTAATCAGAGATTAATTTAATTAAACATTGTGGATATTGTTCAATGGAATGATTAAATAAGCAACAACAGAATAGTTTTTGCTTTCCAGTTTCAAAGATGCCGCACAATTTTAATTAATTTTCTCCTTTTACAATTCTCAACTCTCGCAATTTGTGTTTTGTTTTTTTGCAAAGAATGTTAAGTGTTGAGAAGAAAAAGAAATTTCATTTGCTTATGAATTACTCACAATATTCTTCTTTCAAATGCCAGAATATTTCCTAAAAAATAAATCAAACAAAAGCTTTTTTCTGTCTAAGTGAAGTGGAGATAAGCGTTTGAGGGGAATGAGGACGCCAGAACCAAATATTGAACAGATACGTCGACGTCGAACAACAAACATAAGAGAAGATCTTTAATTTCTTATGTAAATCTTGCTTTTCTATCTTTAAAGTCATATCTAAGCAGAAAATTTAGTGCCAACATACTTAGATGACGACTCAATGTGAAATGTATTCATGCTTTGCATTGCTTTTCATTTTTATTACAATTTTTCCTTTTTTGTCTGTCTGTTGTTGTTTGCTTGACTCGGAAGCAAGAACACTTCCATCCGATTCCGTTGATTCTGACAACAATAAAAACATTTCTTCTTCTACCAGCTCATCGTCAATGTGAGAGACGAACTGAGAACAGTGCTTCGTAATAAATAAATAAAAACCATCTGTTTTGATGAATGTATTAAAATTTATTCATTCCATGTAGATCATCGTGTACACCATGTGTTTATTGTTTCAAATCTTGATCTAACTGGCAGTCTAGAAAACTACATTAAAAATTTATTTATTCGACATGAATTTTAAAATGATTTATTTAAAATTAATGATAAGGGAGAAGAGTATTTGCATTTGATTTCATAACTTCAAACCGAACTATCGAAAGTCAAGACTCGATCGAATGTTTTAAATTCCGTAAAATTAAAGTAAGAAGCTTCGAGTTGCAAGAATAATTTAATTCGATAAAATTAATGAATCTTTAAGTCTTCTCTTTAAAAAATAATAATAAGAAACAGTAAAGCTATAAAAATGATGATGATATTCATTCATTCATTTTGAGTATTTGCCTTTCGTATCATACACAAATTGAATTGAAAATTGAGTTTTGTTTTGACTTTGTTACGACCAATTCTTCATATTTATGTAGAATGTTCGAGTGTGTGATGAGTTATGTGTTTACATTATGTTATCATAAAGAATGTTTGGAACTTCTTAAGCTGTGTGAAAAATATTTGAAAACATATTTGGAGACGAAATTTTTGAACTTTCCCCAGATCTGCTTCACTAAATTGTTGCTTGTTGCTATCGATTTGCCATAAATTCATTAGTATTGTCTCAGATTTATTTAACGTTAATAGATCACAATACTGACTTGATTTCTGACTTTTTGATTCTTTTATCCACTTTAAATTGAATCATAAACTTTTCATCAATTCACATTCAATATTTAAATTGATGTTTGATACACATAAACTCACAGAGAAAATATTTACGAGTATCAAGGGCAATCAAATTAAATTCAATTCAATTCCTCTTCGAGAAGAAAATTTTAATTTTATTGAATCATGGAACAATAATCGGAAATTTCCTTTTTTTCGAATTAATCAGGAGAGAAAATTATGATTGATGACAAAAACTTGTGCGAGTCATGAATTTAATATTTAATTGGAAATTTAAGTAACAATATTTGGTTTGAAATTTTCGATAAATTAAAGTGAAATTGTATTTATTAATGATCTCAATGAATGTCAATTTGATATTTAAATTAAAATCGTCATTATAATTTGCCTTGCATAATTTTCTTTCAACATTTATGTTTATTGTCGTTTTGACAATGTGAATACAAAAGTGGACATGTTCAAGTTGATTGTTAAATAATGAGAAACTACCATTCGAAGTTGAAGCTCATAATCTTATCTTTAAGCAATGTTTATCATGTAAATAGCGACAAAATGTGCTAAACATTGAGATTAATGAGACTCGTTAGAAAGACTTCTTAGAAGTGTTTACCGTCTTGTCGAAAAAAAAAGCGAAACCATTTTCAGCGGCTTCTTGAACAACACAAATTTCATTTCCCTCCTGATTTTCTTCTCTCTCTTTTAGGTGATAATTCGTCTAAAAACGTTGCTGATAAGAAGGTTCATCGCTTACACACCAAATCAGACATTTTGAGCTTGAAAAATTGTAAGTATAAAGCATTGTCACCTTATCATTCACACATATTTTCTAACATCATCATGATAAAACAGAAATTCAAACTTTACATTCCACTTCTGGAATTTTTTTCTCACATTTTTTTCGCGTTTTCGCGCTCCTATTTTCATACTTCAGTGATCTCAAATGAAACTGTCATAGTGAGCAATTTAAATCATAATAATTGTCCTCATATCTAGAATGACATGAAATCGAAAAATAGAAACTGAATGAACAAAATTTTTCAAGGCCGCTAATGAGAAATAAATAAAAAGAATCATTAGACTGCTTGTTGCATGTAAACAAGTAAATAAATATGACAGACATTAATAATTTTGATTTTTTTCCCTCGATCAAGGTCCGACAGATGAACATAAAAAGTATTTACTTTTTTAAATAGATAATGGCTTGACAAAGTTTTGACCTTACTTCGAGGTTTAATTACGAACCTATGAATAAATTAGAAATGGCTTGCGATAACGCCATCAGCGTCATAGTCATTTGGTGACATCAATTTTCATTAGTTATTATATAATCTCACGGAAATATTTATTTATGTACATCCGTTGCTTGAATAAGCCACTCACGTGTCCATTCAATTCTGTATGGTTTAATACAAGAAGCATTTTCGTAATAAAATTTATTTATGTACTCACATATCGGGTTATCGATTTTTTATTAGATTCTGCTGTTTATTAACGCTCACTTTTAAATTTTTCTTGTTGATATTTTATTTATATGAAATGCTTCACTTCTTAAGCCGATTTATAAGAAAATTATTCACGATTAAATATTTGTAGGTCTTTATGAGATGTCAAATCATACAAAATGTCTTCTAGTAGAAACTCTCTCGAAAATAAAGATAAATCTTGACATTCTCATTGATATTATATCTGAATTTGCAGAAAGACAAAAATCTCGTTAAGACTTGTGGGAATTATATTTCAAAAAAATCATATAACGATTTAAGAGCTTTTCTGAAGCAAACATCTTAGCATTTGAGATTGAAGGAAGAAAAAAGTTAAAAGAAAAGCAGCGTCAAGACATTTTTATTAAAAAAGAAATGAAAAAAGAGCTTCAATGATACTTGAATCTGTTTCGAAGCCAAAAGTAGTGTTGGATAAACAGAAAAATGAGAAATATCGATGATGATCATCATTGATGATACAAAAAGAAATTGTTTACACTCAAATTCAAAGTCTTCTTCAGTTATTATTAATATCACGAGAAAAACTGATGAAAATTCTCTGATTGAGAGAAGACATAAAAAAGTCTATAATTTTTCTTTTCCTTATTCTTCGAGTGGCGAAAAACAAACAATAAAAACAAAAATATTCATAGATTTAAAATCTTATCAGAGGCTCACGTTATCAGTTTTAAGCGATAATGAGAATGCTGTAATAAATGAAAGAATTCGAATCGAGCAGAAATTCCCAGTGGCTTTAAATTGATTACGTGGTGAAAATTATTAAACGCCGACACTGTCACAACAATAAGAAGTCTCAATGATTATTTCCACTTTACGATGAGGTGAACTGAGAGCAAGCGAGCAAAATAAAGTTTTTCTTTTCTTTTTCCTTTAATTTTTGAAATTCGAATCACAATTTTTTTTTCGATTCTACGAACATTGCATTTAAAATCAGTTCACCGGTGTACGTCTCTACAAACGAACGAACGAAGCATTGAAGACGCTCGGCTCTCGCCACTTCAGTTGTTGTCGCAACGATAAGTGTTTTTCTTCCTTACCTGATCCGACACGATACGATACGTTTAAAAGTGCTCTCCACTCCAACATACATACTCATAATAATCGCAAACGCTGAAAAGAAAAAATGAGTGTCAAAGGCATTCCGTATTTTCGTTTGAGCTTGTGACAACAAGAATAAACTTTGAATTCACGCTCACCGCTAACAACCGACACGAAAACAGTTGAAGATATTTAATGAAGGCGTTTCAAACATTGAGAGACATTTTCATTTTGGTGTGGTTGTTTATTTGTGTAAAAGAATTTTGATTCTTTCCAATCACTTTTGTGTGCTTACTTCTTCGTATAAACACTTCTTCAGTTCATTTACGTAATTGTAAAACAGCGGATGCGATACGGTTTTTTTCTGTTTTGTCGTAATTACTTAGTCGCCCGATGCCGAGGAAAAATAAGCGAAAAATCTTTGGGAAGAGCAATAAAAATAAATCAGTGAAATGGAATCGAGATGTGTCGTCAACAGAAACTCAGCAAAAAATCGAGCAACATGAAGATGATGATTCAGAAGAGAATTGCGATAATATCGACAATGCAAGTGGCAAAAACGAAGACGACGTTGAAATAAAAGATGAATTAATTGCGGGTAATTCATTAAACGTTTATGACTCACCGCCAGCAATGGGACAGATTGAATCGGTCGCGACAAATATAAACTCGAATACGGTAACAAAAGAAGTGGAAAATCAACAACAACACAAAGCGACAATCACATTGAAAGTCATCCAGTTCATTGGAGAGATTCCAAATGTGTCAACCGATAATGATGAACCAACTTTGGAAGCTAAAAAAGCACTTTCGGAAGAAAGCAATCAAATTAAAAATGACGAAACATTGAAAAATGAGACATTTGTCATTGAAAACGTTGTCACTGTGATAAAAGAGAAAGAATTGCCGCATAGTAAATGTGATGTATTTGGTAATGTGCCAAAATTAGATGAAAACAAGGAAGATAAAATTTTGCGCTCTTTTGATGACAATTATCGAGTTGAATCACCAAAGCAGAGTTGGATTGAAGATGATCCAAATGAACAACGAAATAAACGACACGCAATGCTAATTCAGGAAATTAGCGAGAGTAGCTCGTCGGAAGAAGTGAAACAATTTCTAGATAATGAAGCATCAGCTCTTGAAATGAAAACGGATGCTTCACGAGGCAAAATTTATCGTGTTGATTCGCCTGAAAGTTCAGATGACAATAACAACAACATCATCATGCTATGTCAAGACAATGTCACAGTACATGAGATTAGTGAAAGCAGTTCATCGGAGAGTGTAAAAAATGAAATTTTAGCATCAATTTCAAAGTCGCCACCTCCACAAAAAGCATGTTTGAAGATCATAAACATCAAAGAACTTCCATCGGAAGACAGCAAGTCATCAACTTCAACGCCATCAAAAATTAGCATAACTCAATTTGAGTGTAGAGCGGAGAAGAAATTGAACAAAGCTGAAGAGGCGATTCTCGAGAATTTATATGGCAATAAAAATTTATTACAGATCCCAAATTTGCCACTTGACGTTATTTCAGAGGAAGGCAGTGATTGTGGAAGTGACATTGATAAGCAAGCGTCAAATAAAGCAATCGCCGATGAACTTGATGATGAAGTCTTTCTTCCATGTTCATCGTTGGATTCTTCAAAGAAACCACCGCCAAGTAGCCGTCGGCAATTACTTCAAGCACGTCGCGGTGAAGCTGAACAACCGCTGCTTATAAATACAAAAATAATTGAAACGGAACTCAATATACCTGAGGGATGCAAGTCATGGGAAACGACTCCGATTGACAGTGAATTGCAAGCTGAATTAGTTTATTTGACTTCAACGTCGAGCAGTGCTACTGACTTAAGTGAAAGAGGTGACATTTCTGATACAGATGAAGTTGAAGATACATCCGAAGACACAGAAACGAATTCACTTTTGGAAAATATTTCCGTTCCGTCTTTAGACAACATTGAGAGCATCATTGACATGCCAATTGAGATGAAAAATCTTCGACAATCTCCAATTTTTTCTTCTGACTTTTATCAAGAGATTAATGAACAGAAACTTCCTGATATTCTTGAAGAAGATGAAGAACAAGCACCAAAGTCTCTTGAAATCATTGAAAGTCAAAAGCAAATAGAAGATGTTAATAAAGAATTGCATCAGCTTTCAACAGAACATGAAGAAATGCAGACAAAGCGAAAGAAAACAGAAGTAGAAGAAAAAGTCGTCATTGAAGAAGACACGACAACTGAAATGGTCGTCCCTGAAACTATTAGTGATATCTTAAAAGATAAGAAAAATAATTCCACTGATAATGATAAAGAACAACGAATAACGCCAACATTATTCAAACGGAAAAGCTCGACAGATTCTTCATCGTCAGCTAACAGTCAATGCACAATAATAAGACAAAATAGCGGAGCTAATGAACAGCAAACCCAACTTGTAGATCCATTAGCTGATTTGTGCATGCAATCGTTACATAAAAGCGGAATAATGTTAAATGACATTAATGAAGCTAAAATTATAATTCAAAAGAAGCACAATAGTTCATCGCGAAATGCCCCACAGATCCCAGTAATCAATGAACTCGAGTTACATTACGAATGCGATAAAAAAGTGAATGAAGGCTGTGAGAACAACAAAGAGAAAGTCATAACAATATTGCAAGTGCCTCCAGAAATTAACAGTTCGTCATCTTCATCACCTTCACCAGAGAAGCAACGTTGGTTAGGCTTACAATCATCACAAATTCCAAATCTCCTTGTAGCTCTCTCACCATTGCAAAAATCTTACATCGACACTCAAGATTCGAAAACGAATGCTGATATATTATTAGATATGCATAAAAAGTTTGTTGAACGACGCGCGTATCACGAAACTCACGATTCGGAAATAGTCGAAAATAGCAGCAATTCTCGCCAAATGATCACTTCAACATTGAATGAAAGTCATTTGGAGAGCGTCAATCAGTTGGAAGACGGTTATTTTGGTGATCGTGAAAATTCAGTCGAGAGAGAACCTCCAAAGTCGAAACGAAATTCGGCAGAAATTAAGGAGAATTCAAGTGAAATTGAAGTTGCAAGTGTTGTTGATAAATGTGATAGTAAACGAGATGAAAAGGAGCATAAATTGACGGTGAAAAGTGCGGAAAATGCAATCAGCATGAATTCGATTCGAAATCTTCTTCTTCGTGAAGAGTTCTTCAAAGATTCGTTTAACAAAATCAAGCAAATTGATAATAGTTCGTCAGACAACAACAATGGAGGGTTTGCGGTTAAAAAATCTGAATTGGAGAAAGAATTAAAGCAGCTTGATGATGAACGTCGAGAGTTGGAAGAAGAATTGAAGAATCTCTATTCGTTACAACACTTCAAACGAGAAGAGCTTCTTTTTAATGAGAAGAAGTTGGAAGAGAAGAAGAAACCAGAAGATGAAAATCGCCTCTCATTCGCATCATCCAAGCATTCAAACGATGATTTCAACGAGTTTGTTAATTCGAATGAAAAACTGCATCAAGAGCTTTATAATGAGTGGCAAGATAAAGTTCTTGAACGTTACGAACGTAAATTGCAAAAGACAATCAAATTAACATCAATTAAAGATTCGATTCATCGTCATGATGATCCGTTAGAGCGAGCGTCGAGTGAAATATTAAGATTTGTTCCATTGGAGAGTGAATTCATGACGAAGTTGAAAGAACGTCAAAAGCGTTTGTCGCTTCCGATTCAAACTGAACATAATAGCAGCACTGAGTCACTTCATCATCAAAATGAAGAAATTGAAAAAACGAACAGCGCACCAACAATCCCCGCACACCTTCACGAATTCTTAAAATATTACGAAGAAGAAATTGCGCAAAGCAAACATTCTGACGAGAGTGGTGAGTCAAAGCAAACATTATCCAAACCGTTGATTATTGGTTTGATTGGTTTGTCAATGTGCCTTTGTGGATATCTCATTGGCAAATATTTAATAACACAAAAACCGAAACTATTTTAACAAAAAGCAACCGCTTTTACCTTTAAAAACCACCAAACACCGTTTTGTGTCTTAAAACATGTAATTGGAAAGAAAATGATTGTTGTCGTTGTTTAAATCATTTTAATTAATGTCAACAACTTATAAATTTTAATCCGAATGGTTTTTTAAACTTCTAAATTGATATTTAAATTGTGTGTTGGTTTTTCTTTTTGAAACAAAGCATGTAGCATTTATGATTATGTCAATAAAGATTGGAAAATATGAGTAGATATTTATTTATGTAATAGAAAAGACAAACAAAGATAAATAAATGTTGGAAATTGAAAACTTATTAATCATAAAGTGTTTGTTAAAAATACTCGTCAATTACATGCTTTGCTAACACCCTTAATGCTTAAAAGCAACATTGATAGTGACAGAATTGTTCATCAACACTAATTACAGCTTTCTTTTGTTTGATTTTAAACTACGATAAGCAAAGACAAACAAAAACTTGTTCAATTTAATGAACATGATTAAAATTTCATTTTATTGCTGCTTCGATTAATTTGTAATGTTTCTTTTACGAACATATGTGATAAAAGTTTTCCGATCATTTGTTGTTTCAAATTAAGGAAAAGTTTTGGAAAAGCATTAAATTCCCAACTGAATAATTCATTGAAAACATTGTGGAATAATATTGTGGACAAAGGAAGAATGGTCCATAGATTCATAGTTATCTTTACAAGTCTTTGAACGACGAAGAAACTGTAAAGATAAAGTCTTAATTTAAAGTATTTTAGAAGTTTAAGTCTCACGGCATTCAAATTTTGTTCCCTTTATGAGCGATTTTTCTTTTCTCTTAAACATTGTCTGAAAATATCTCTAAAAGCAACAAAACATCATGACAAGATTGAATGGAAAAGTACATGAACGGCACAAGTAAAATTGCAAATTGGAAAAACAAGAAGAAACATTCCACAGAGTTAATAGCATCCTTTGAGATCATTTTAAAATGACTGCCAAGAGGGAACAACGTAAGTGTCCTCGAAATGAGAGAAAATTCTTCCATTATCACGATTCATGAACAGTCGCACAGTTTGAATGTACCAGGAAAGCTTTTTATTACCAAATGCCCTGCCATACATGAGGAGTTTTGTTCAATTGCTTCTAAAGAACAAATGCAACTCATATTTCACAAACAGTTATTAGTTTCATTCTATCTCAAGTTAATACTCGTTCCACCCTCACATTCAACACGGCATTTATTTCAAAGAAACAAAATGTAAATCGATCTAACAAAGAACTTTGAAGTTTGTCACAATTGTGAAGGAAAATAAGCTTTTTCCGTTAATTAAACATTATTTGCAGCGAGAAAGTGTCAAATGGAGAACTGTAACTACGTTAACTCCGATTACTATGTGAAGTTACTTCGCGAGAAAGTTAAGCGAGATGGAAAAGTTGTAAAAATGCAAAATAAAATATTAAACGATCAAGTGAAGTCTCATCAGAAAGCTCCATTTCCGAAAAAACCTAAAAAGCTCTCAACTGAAAAGCTTTTCAAGTGTCAGCCAGATGAAAGCAATAAATCAACTGAAAAGCAGGAGAATAAAATTGTTGGAACGGGAAAGCGCATTTCCACCTTTGATACTGATCTCCTGAAAGAAATTGACAAATCTTTGGATGGCATTGCAAAAGGCTTTGTTTTTAAACAGGGTAATTAAGTTCCCTCGTCCTCGTTCTTGTTCATTTTCATTCTCATTTACTTGGTCACTGATGTTGATGTTATTGTTGTTTACTTTCCTTCCTACCTCTGCCATTCATTACCTTGTCTGAGTTTGATATTAATGTTCCTATTATTCACCCTGGGACTTCTCGTCGTACATTTCCTTACTATTTGTTATCAAATTCTCTAATAAAACTTTCCTTCTCCATGTGAATTCTTCATGTAACGAGTGGAAGACCAACATGGCTGTTTTCTGTTCCCATTAGACAACGTCCATTGTGATGCAGATAAGAATGAAAATTTCACATTTCTCTAGCAATTTTCCAATTTTAAATTGAAATAAATTGCAATGTTATGTAATCTTTTGTACATAAATTTCGAGGTCAAAGTCGCTTCTGTAAATTGTTTTCATCTTCTTATCAAAGAAGGAAGAAAGAATATTTCACGCAATTTTAAAATTCAAATTGAATCTTAGCTTCGTTACATTCTTTTAGGTGCTATGTTTAAATTTAATTGTGATTTTCCGTTTTCGCCCCATAAAAAAAAGCATAAAATAATTGAAATCGTAAATTTTCTTGACCCATTTTTATTCCTTCAATTTTCACTATTTTTCAACGCTTCCCAAACACATCGAAATGGGAAGAAGAAGACAGCAAAATTGTTTTCATTTTTTATTATTTGTTTCAACTGCAAAAATAATTTTTATTCACATCTTTTCCGAAATCACTCAAGCTAAAAATACTGAGAAATTGAAGCAGAAATGTACTCGAAGAAGCGGAAAATATGAAGTCGACATTCTATTAGATATGGAAACGATCTGTTGGTGGTTTTTGTGGTGAACCCAACATTCATTCATGCTTTAATACAAACTCTTTCGAAACAAATAAAAAAAGAAAGAAACGATGTCAGAACTAGATTTGATTTGATGAAGTTTCGCAAGCGTCAATGTGTGTAGTCGAAGCTTTACGACTGCATCGTGTTTTAATGCTCTACCTCAGACGAATGAATTTACGATTCTTTGCATAAAGTCCATTGATTAAGTTATGGCTTCTCCCCATCTCTCTTTCTTTCCTTTTCTCCCAAGCACACACTAGTTAGATCACCGACAGTTAAACGATGTTTTGAAAAGTTATCTCTCCGAACGTCTTAAAATAGAATCATGAAAATAATTTCACACATGAAGCGAAAGATTTTCTTTTCTCATCAACATTAAACTGAGGAAAAATATTGTAAAATTTTTGTTGCGAGAAAAACAAATTTAATTACAGTCTACATTGACGTTTTCAAACACAAACTCATACAGAAGTTGAAATTGTTCCGAACTTCGGACATAATCGAGCTTTATGACGTTAAATATCTCAAAATGAAACATTTTCCTGCTCACTCATCAAAATAAAAGAAAAGGGAGAAGAAAAATAAAATTCTCTATGAATCTTCGAGATTGTTGCATGAAACTCAAGTGGAAACATTATAAGTCACATAAGCCAAGCTCAAGCCGCAATGTGTTTTTATAGAGAAACTAACTAGTTTGGTGTTGAAGGAATACACAATTTTACTAAGCGAACATTTTTCTTTTACGTTTCACGTTCGGTTTGTGTCGACGAGAAAAATCCTCTCAGTTTGATTTTCGATTTTTCATCGAGTCAAAGACGAAATTCTGCTCAGTGAAGTTGTGAAAATTCGGCCAATCAGTAAAGTGTCGTGACTTGTTTCGCTATTTTATTTCATTTTCTTTCCTTCTTTCGCTCTTAATTTCGCTGATCCTAAAGTGGTCGTAAATCGGTGCAAATTTAAAGATAAAAATTCACTTTCCTCTCAAAGTCACACACATAAAAGAAAAAGTTTCATGTTGATATGAATCTAAAGTGATTTTCACGTTCTCTTAACGTCAATGGGCGGAAGAAAATTTCTGTTGTGTCAAACAAAAATTTAATTGAATAAAAGTGAATTCACATCATCAATCAAAGTTCTTTTTTTCTGCACGTTTTATAAGACCGAACATCAATGGAGGGCGGTTAGTTGAATGAACGATAAAGTCGATATCTCAATTTAGTTCAGTGATTATAAGAAATTCTTCTTTTTTTTCTCTTCCTTTCTTCTTGTGGATTAAATCCTGGAAAAAAAAATTGAAAAAAACTTTGAATTCAGAAGAAAGCACACAATCAGCGGTATCAGCTCCTTTGCGCTTGAGAATTGCTCCGAAATTCAAAGCAACAATTCCTCCTACAGGTATTTTCTCCTTCAATATACTCAACAACTATTTTTAGTTTAACTTTTGTGAAACATAACGGCATTATTTATTTTTCTTACACAAAAAAAAATTCTATTTTGGTTTTTGCGCGGTGTGAGAGTGAGAGAGATAGTTGCGTCGCTTCGAAGATTACCTGATACTTTACAAAATTTCTTCCTTCTATTTTGATCTTGAGGCGACACAACACTTACATATATATTAAATTGGTGCCATCACATTGCGAAGACGCCTCACTCATTACACACGTCTCTTTGATGGCGCGAATAAATTTCATCGGCGAGTCGCTAGATAAATATATAAAGAAACCAACATTAATTTGCTATAAATCTCTTGTAAACTGTGACTCACCGACTTCATTTATTGTATCTCACCGTCATGAATATCTATCTAGTCGTTAAGGCGAATTAATCAAGTGAAAAAAGCCTTTTGAAGTTCTCGACTCATCTTTTAAATTGAATGCAATTAACCTATAGCTATTTAACTAAATTACTATGATATTTATATTTATCTAAAACGTCTTGTTTGTTCAATGTTAAAGCTTTCTTCAGATTTTACTTTGCGGTTAATTAAGTTTTATTTTTGACGTGTGGTTTGAGAAACGAAGAAGAAGGAAAAAAAAGCAATGAATTTTCTCCTCTGGTTTGTCTTTTGAGACGTGAATCAGTTGATAATTTTTAATTTATTTGTTCAATATTTATTCAAGCAAATATCAAACGTGTTTTTATTTCTTAAGAAAACAAGAATAAACTTTTCATTTCTTTTCTTCTTTTGTGAGAAGAGGAAAGCATTTTTGTTTCTGTTTGCAACATGTGAAGCTGTAATCTGTTTGAATATCACAAAAAGATTTCACGAAACACGATACGTGAGATTTATATCAAATCCTCGTGAAGAAAAGAATAATCTGAAAGCGCTAAAGGTGAATTAATGACAGATTTTGCAATATTTGATGACCAAGTAGCAAGACAATGACGCGAGACAAATTCAAAGTTGAATTTATTTACAAAAATTAATATTTTCCTTGGACTACTGAAAAACAAAGCGTAACAACGCCTTTGTAATTATATTTTAGAGCAAAGATTTCCATCTTCCTTTTCTTGTCACATAAAGAAGCGATGATTAACAGAGAAGTTATTTGAAATTCAAGGAACGAGAGTCTTTAGTGTTTTTGAAATATTTCATTCCATCGTTGTCTGATGACTTCACTTACTACACACAACCTTCTAACAATATTTGTTCATTCATGAATTTTAGAATCGCAAGAAGTTAAATTATCATTTGTGAGAAGCAAGAAAATGATGGCGGATGAATACTTAGCAAATATTCATAAATAAATGTTTAGATAAAAAATTTAACATTGGAACAGTCGCGTTAAATACCTGCGCATTTTCACTCAAATTTTCATGCCATTTCATTGCCACTTCTTTCAGTCGTTACTTCATGGCGTCAAAATATTTACTGATCTTATGTCGAGACAAGCAGTGAGTGTATAAAAAAGTAAAGCTCTCGCTTTTTTTCGTTAAGGGAACCCCAACGATAACATCATATTTCTTATGAGCCGGACAGAAACAAAGAAGAAACTGCTTTTATTTTCCTCCTTCTCCGTTGTTCACTCGATGAAAATTAAAAATAGATTCATAGAGTTTTTTTTGTTGTTGTTCCACGTAACCTTGAGAAGATTACAAATTTTCCTCTCCCTTTGATCCATTTTGAAATAATTTCTTTCTTTTTTTTTCCTCCATTCCCATGCGCCTCATTCGAAATGAAAAATCTTCTTCTCCCCAAATGGAATTCAAATAAATCTTTCAGAATGACGAAATTGCTTAAATAACGAAAGGAATGCAAATTTGTGTTGCTTTTGAAACATTTGTGAAAGAAAAGAAAGATTGGAATTCCCTACGTTCAATATTTAAACAATTTCGACACAAATTAACAAAAAAATTCGTGATTGAACTTGCATTTTAAATTCCTTTTTAAATTAAAAAAAAAGTTTGATATTAGTTGAATGAATGTCATAAGAGAATTTAAATAGATATTCATTAATGGTTATTATACACCCCCAACCTGATTTTTAATGTTTACAAAACTCATGTCAAAAGCTTTTTATTAAACAGTAAAATATTTTTCTTTATTTTCTAAACGTGAGCGCGATTTGATGTCGAGAATACAATGTGAATAGGCAACACATGTTTGTTATGAAAATATATACAGAAAATGTGTATACGCGAACGAACCCAACACCCGAAGACACCGAAAGTGAGATAGATGCGGGATAAAAATAAATTTAATTTTAGTGATTGAATCATCTCATCATTTCTGATAATAACATATAACCCATGACTTGAACATTATTGTTGTTATGCTAAAAATAAACAAGCGGCAATATACAATCAGATCAGAGAATATTTTAAGTTGAAAACCGTTTCGTCTTGTTTTGTCTTTCCTCATAATTCTAATAAAGAAAAAAATTCTGTGAAAAACTTCTCAAGTTCTCCTTCTTCTTCTATGACGTAAATAGTTTCCTGCTTCATTCACTTAACTTGAAAGAAGAAGCGGAACATCACATAATTCTAAAGATCTTTATGATGATGATGATTCTATTACGAGATGATGTTATAAAAAGAAAATCTCAATGATCTCAACTTAAGCTCATTCAGCTTTTTTTTCCTTCATTTTCGGCTGATAACAAACATCAAATGCGTCGAAAACGCGAGATGAGAATTCATGTCTGGAAAATATCATTTTTAAAGTAAAGCGAAGAAAATAATTTTATGGAATTCAATTCAATTAAATTGAACGAAGTTTCATTTATGTATGTTTTAAGAGTCTTTTCATGGAAAACTTCAGGGTTTAGGTTAACGAGTGAATGTTGAATGTGAGGCAGTGAAAAATGCTGTAAAAATGTGTAAACATCAGACATTTGCGCGTGAACAAACCCTCATTTCCTGTACAAAGTTGAATATAAACCGAACTCTGACATCCCAAAAACCAACCACAAATAATTGAAATTATTTCAAGCGCTTTATCGCTTTGGAAACAATTAAAGCTTTAATCGTTTTATGTTAGTTCTTTTCCGACACTCATTCAATTGCTTTTAAAACTTCCCCAAACCTCCCCAGACCCAGCTCTGAATTGTTGTTAAATTTTAATTACACAATCATTCGCAATTAAACCATTTTGTAAATCAGTTTTGACTTTACAAAGGACTTCAGGATCATTAAGCATCTGAAAGAGATTTACAGTTTGTAATAATAGTTTTTACTGCTTGCTTTTATAATAACATCGGAATAAGCAAGCCGGTGTAAAACCACAATGAAATTATTGTTCGCTTACTCCCTCGCTTGCAAAAATAAACGTTCTCGACAATTATTTTTAGCGTCCTAACTCGCTGATTTATTTACATATTTCACTAACTCAACTTGTCGAAGAATTCACTCGACATTCCACTGACTGATGTGATTCCAAATGTGTCGGACAGTATTTAATAATAAGTACAAATCTACCATAAACGCCATGTTGTTGTTGTTATCATCATCGACGTATTTAGAAAACGTTTCTAACTTTTCCCCATCTGCTCATGTCCATCTCCATTAACATTTATTAGAATTCTCGTTTTTAAATGTTCATATGACTTTTGGCCATTTAACCCCAGAGATATCTCGTGTTCTCGAACATATCTCATGATAACTTAAATTAATGAACTAATATTGATTTAAATTTATGCTTTTATACGATTCAATAGCAAGTTCGCTCGTTCGTTCGTTGGCTTTGATGACATTAACAAATAAATGTTTTATGTTAGGAAAGTGTTTATTGATGTTTTCTGTTTGTTATTCTCACAGGTATCTGGTCAGAGTGCAATAGATCAGAAGACTCTATAGACGGACTTAAGAAGTCAGATTCTCCACCGCCACCTGTTTGGGTACCGAAATCAGCGCCACAATCACCATCGGTTGATAGAAAATTTCGACCAGTTCCATTTGAATCTCCGACATTACCGCGAAAGAAAATCGTTGCGAACGGCACAACGCCACCGCCTTGGACTCAACCAAACTATCCTGAGAAGCCTTATCAGCCTTCAATTAGTAAAAGCAGCAGTTGGAACGCAATTTCGACACCGAAACAAACTCACTCAAACTACATAATCTACAGGAAGGCGAGAGGTAAGTGAAGAAGAGATTTTAAAGATTGACGTTTCCTAAGCGCGTTAATCATGTTGTCACATTTCACAGCTGCTGATCAAATTAATGACAAAGTCGAGAAAAGCCTTCAAAATTCATCGTCACAAAAGGAAAAATCAATAACGTTCAAGACAAAACCTTTAAGTCCCGTCAAGTCAAATGAATTAGGTGAGGAAATGGATTTCTTCATGAATGATAGAACAATGTTGAACAAGTAAAAGTTAAACGGAGCGTTAATTGCGCAATTTATCAAATGGCTCTTTTGTGGATTAAATCTCATCAGGATAATCGTTTTTCTTTCCTTTTAGTTTACTCCATTAAACGAGATTTTAATAGCGAAACCAAAGACAGTAATTTTGACGATACGAGAAGAATGACATCAACAGCTCAACCAAAGAAGGTCGTCGACGGCGTAGGCCCGACAACCCATGAAGGAATGCCACTCTCATTGCGATCCGTGAGTTGTTAAAACCTTCATTAATCATTTCAAAATGAGAGAATTCTTCTTTTTTGCATTGAACGTTTGTAGGAAGTTCGAGATATGAGCCGTGACGAGTGGTACAAAAAGATGTACAATACAATTCATAAAGCCAAAGATGACGGTAATTGATTGGAGTTTCTTTTTGTTCATTTCTCCATGCACTGCGTGCTTTCGTTTTCAATAACAACATCCCATTTTTGAGTGTTTGTTTCTTCATGTTCACGATTCTTCCTTCTATTTATTTTACAGACAATTATGTGACAGTCAAGTACACAACACGACGAGGTATATCAAGAAAATTCAAAATTATCCTTAAATATGCTTCTTTACGAACGAGATTAAATATTTACTTATCTCCCTACTGACATAAAATCTCGAGTTTAAATATCTTTGCTTTTGTTCATAACAACATTTAAAGTACTCAAATAATCTCCATTTTAAATGAAAAATTTAGCACAAATTTCTATTTTTCCCACAGTTATCCACAGAACTAACTTTTTTTTGTACATTTAAATTCCAAAATATGCAAAACTTTATTTCATTGCGCAAACTTTTCGATTTTTTTCAATTCATTTTTCATATTTATCATGAACAGGAATTCCATACAAATCCAATGGATATGCTTCCGAGCCTGAAGCAAATTACGATTCTGATTATGTTCACAAATATTACAGCGTTGATAGAAAACGAACAACATCAACGAGTAACCAAAACGATGAGAAGTGAGTTTAGTTAATCAATAGTGTTTAGAATTGAAGTATCTGCATAAATACATATTTGGACAATGAAAAGCGGAAGCAAATGTTGACACGGCTGAATGAATTTTCAATTTTATTCTAGATATGGTTCCTATGACCAGCCCGTGAAGCAGAATGTTGGACAATATAAAATTCAACCGGGAAGAATTGAAAACTATACACCCGGAAATTCATCTGTCTCGGAAAAAGAAGCGAAACAGGTAACTTCCGATTGACTGTCTCTCACCTTTCCGGTATTTTCGATGACAATTTCAAAGAGGTTGCAGTGCAATGGGATATTAAATGATTGGATGATGACAATTTAACGTTTCACTGACTCAATCACTCATTCAAATCAAATGCAAGTGCATAAAATTTATGTTAATGTAGAAACAACTTTAGATATGCATTTCCAATCACCTAATAGCCCAAGAGTTGGTGAAACTTCACCGTTTGTTAAATAGAAGTTTTCACTTTATCACTTTAACAAACTTTCTACTCAACTGTCTTCTTCTCTCTCTTCTACTTTTCTCCATGAATTTCCCTCAATTTTCATTTTTATGATGGATGAAACTAATTTATGTACATGATATATCCATGAAAACTTTTCTTTTAGTGGTGGGATGATGTAATGGAAATATTTGACGGGGTACGATTCTCATTTTATTTTCTTTTCTTTTTCTGTGCTTTTCTTTTACTTTTCTGCGCTTTTGATTATCTGCCTAACAAAAGAAAACACAACAACAATGTAAAGGAATGAAAAACTTTATTTTGATGTTCTTCAACATGATTTTAATTTTATACACACAGAAAGCACAAAATTTCACTGCAAGCTTATGCACAAATGTAACAAATTTTAATCAAGAAATAAACTACACTCTAGAGATTCAATTTCACCAGCAGCCACACAAACACTGCACTAAGTTACAGCTTGATTAACTTGTACTAACAATTTTTGAGTGAATTTTCTTTCTTTTTCTTTTTTTAATTTTCTTAACTATGTTTTCTGCCTCCTTGAATGAAAAATTAAATAATCGTAACCTCCAACTAACGAAAAACTACCAACACAACACCGCAAAATTCAATTCTACGTTCTCATCCCAGTGGCTTGACGAGCATTCCTCAAAATCCAATTGCGGTAGAAAATTAGCAAAAGAAATTCAGAAATTCGTAAGTTACCTAATGAACATCATTCTTGCTGTCGTCTTTAGTGGAATGTAAAATTAATTCTTTATACAAATTTAAATGATGTTTTAAAATCACGAGAAACAAAAATTAATTAAAAACTTTTCACTTTTGTGACGACACTGGAAAATTCTTCTTCCTACACTTTCATGTTTTCTGATTGAAATTATGCTTCATCATGCATGTTTAAAATCCGACATTTTTTTTTTATGTTTCGGTTCATTAGTTACCCCATCAAACTCATCAGTTTTTTATTTACTCAAATTTTTATATCTTCCGGCATTATTTTTCAGCGACTTTTATTTCGTTTTGACTTGCAAATAATTTTTTTTTGCTCAATCATATCGATTAATGTAAATTTATTTCTTATACTTATTTTTAATCATTTTCACAGCATCTTGAGCAACAAAAATTGGCTTCTTCTAATTACACGCAAGGGAATCTTTCAAGGTAAAGTTTCAAAGTTTCTTAATTTTAATTAGATTCTAATTAGAATATAATTTAATTTTTCTTGTCTTCATTATTCTAGGGCACTCAAAGACCAAGGATACCAAAGTGATTCAACACTAGTCTTCAAAAAGCGAGGTGATGTTAATCAACTAAGTCCAGTTGACCAGAAGCAGGCTTATATGGCTGTTCAGCAAGGTGGTGAAGTGCCATTACATGGTTTCCGTAAACCATTACCGGAAAAGCCAAAAGGTGAGTTTCATTCTTCAACAATTATTCAAAAATCACTTAAGAATGTTACACAACATCAAACACAACACACAATTACACTCAACAGTAAATATTTTGATGGAAAATGATAACGGAAAATTTACTTAATTAGATCTTTCGATTTTCCATTAACATTTTATCGAACATCAAAAATTAAAACATTCGTGTAAGCAGAAGCAATCGCACAACTCATTCTCATAATAATTATGATTTGAAAATCGAAGAGTTAGTAATTATGTATGTACTTAAATGTTTAATATTGGAATGTTTGTTAATCAATTTTATCGCACGCCATTTTTATTGATTTCACCAAAGTCAAAGTTTTCTTTTTTGGATTGCAAATATTCGTGCTAACTCAGAAACTGGGAAATGATCTGAAAATATCAAATGATAGAAGAAACACCAAATTTAAATATTAACAATCACCAAAACCAAATCAACTTGCAGATTTCTTTTTCGCATAATTTTTTTAAATAATATTTTTGTGTGTCGATAATAAAAACATCAACAAAAAAAGCACAACCGCAAAAAGGGAAAGGAAAGCAAAAAAGGTACCAGCACTGCAAAATGTTTAATTACTTGGATGAAATATTCTAATGTGAGATTATAAAAATCATTCCAACTGAACAGATGATGATGACAATGAGGTCGTCGCATGTGCTGATGATGTGGATGTTAAACCAAAAAAATTATCCTACGATGAACGAGCTATCATCAACTCTGAAATTATTTGTTATCCGATAACAAATATTTCACGACCATTGGATATGTTCGGACCATTTCCTAAATCTGTAAAATCATTTGTCCCAGTTGTGCCACCATCACCACCAAATCGGAAGTCATCAAGAACCAATTCAACTTTAAAAATTGTCTCAAATTATAATTTAAATCCGACTCGTTCGAAAAGTTCTGGAAAGCACGCTCCTTCAAGCAGCAAATGTTTACCAGCAAATGGCAGTAAGAAAAGTGACATTAATCGATCACGCTCAGCTGGGCCATCGTTCATTACTTACGTTTCAACAGCTCAGAGAGAAGACAAAAACTTGGATTCGCACACACGATTAGCAAAACGTATTTGTTATCGAGCAAGTTCATCAAGTCCCGTGGGTCGTAAGCCATTTCCAGATCGTAAACATAATGAAAGCCCCGTGGCATTCGGTCGTGGGATTTCCAAAGAAAGAGCTTTCGCTGAAGAGAAGAAGAAAATCGAAGAAAAACTTTCGAAAATTTCCAAAGATCTTCACGTCAGTACAAGAATTTTACGCAATCCCGAATTAAAGTCACCAAATGAAGTTAAGCGTGCACTTCAAAATACTTTCAAGCCAATTGCTTACACAAAAGATCCAAAATTAGCATCGCTTATCATGAAGAAATCACTTGAAAGTCAAGCATATCGTCAAGCTTCAACCTCAAAGAGCAGCATTTCTAAAAGTGAACAAAAAGCACTAAAAGTCACTGTCGCAATATCGTCTCGTGGTCGTGAGATTCTTCGCACATCTGCAGAAGCACCTCGTAACATTCGTCAGGTTTCGAATGCTTCATCATTAACGTTGAAGTCAAGTGGATTATTGAAAGGCAATGTACAAGAAAACAAACATAAATTGAAGGCTAAATCGAAAGGTTCTTCTGTCATCACGAACTCAAATGTTAGTTTAGCTCGTACAAATTCAACTTTCTCAATCGATTCAAATCCACCGAGAAAGAAGACATTGGACGTGAAAGGTCGAAACGTTCCCATTACAATTACAAGTCAAAAGCTCAAGAAATCATCGTTGAAAGCATCTGACAAGTCAACGTCGATGAAGAAGTCCGAGAAAGAAACACGGAAAAATTTCTTTCAAGATTCCACGTTGGTTGATAATCGAAAAACTGTGGAAAGTCTTAATCAAGCTATTGTACATCAGAACGAAGCAATAAGGTCAGATTCATTCTTTCAAAAGCTTTTTCTTCGCGACCATTTACGTAAATATGGATTGACATTGCGACCAAACACTTCTGTGTTGGAGAAAGCTCGCATGTGGAATGCTTTGACAGCTTGCAAGTCAGAACCATCGTTGCGTTTACCATATCAATATCTACGACAATCACGTCCCGTTTCACGATCAAAATTTCACGAGTTTGAATCGAAGAACGAGTCGGAATCTTACGCAATCTTTAAACGTCCATTGGACGTGACAGAACCTGTTCGAGGTGGCTTCGTTACGGAACAAATTTACAAATTTGACTCGTTGTATCATCTTTCCGACGAGGATGAGTTTGGCAACACTAATCGCGGTCGTTCTTTAGACTTCGCTTATAGTTATCATGAGAGAAGCAACAGTGAACCACCGAATAAAACTGTGCTGACAGAATTAGTGCGCCCATACTCTCCAGTGATTATTTATGGTCGCAATAAATCAGTTGAATCGGAAAAGCGACATCGTTCTTCGCGTTCACCGTCGTGTCGTCGGATTCAAAGCTTAAAGACAAATAAATTAATTGAGTTGAGCTCATATCAAAAGGAATTGGTAAGGGCGCAAAGTGCCGGACGTACGGATCGTGCGAAGGAGAAGTTGAGTGAAAAGTCATCCAATCTTCATCGTAGTCGTTCGCTTAACATTTTGAACTTTGAAAAGCACTTGCCCATTTATGGCCATAAGAGAAATGAACGTTTCCGCGATTTGAGTGAATTTTATACGTGCTTGGAGCGAATCGGACAACTCGAATGTGCCACGTCCAATTCTGATTTACGTCCACGACGTCGGAATGAAGAGATTATTGATTATGATTTATGGCAAAAAGTTCGCGAGTACGAAAAGAATGAACGTGAACTGAATATTTTGGTGAAGAAATTGAGAGCGGAGCAGCGTGACAAAGATTTTCTTTTCCAGCCGCACACCGTCGATGAAGTTCGTTGGAAAGCTGATTCCGATTTGGGTCTTGTCACGAAGGAAAAATCTGTGGAGAATTTGAAGGAAATTTTCCAAAAAGTCTCGAATGAAAATGGCGTTAAACGAATTGAAAGCGTCAAAGATAATTACAAGCCATTGTGGCGTGCCAGTTCCGTTCTTGATTTGGCTTCTAACATGACACAAAAGTTTAACAAACCGACGAGAACGTCAAGCACTTTACCAAGTGATGCAAAAGTTGCGAAAACTCTCGGTTTGAGTAAGAAACTTCTCAGTACTTTGTCGAAAGATCAATTAAAGAAAATTAAAAATCAACTAAGTGAAATTTATTCGAGCGACAAGGCATCAATTGAAGTTGCTGAAGAATTTGTTGTTACAGTTCCACCGAAAGCAACAATTAAAGAATCTTCAGCGGAAAAGTCTTTTTTGACAGTTCGCAGCAGTTCCGAACTTACAAAGAAACAAATTCAAGAACCTTCAATTGATGTTTCAAGTTTAAAAAACGTTTTTGAATTAAAAGGAAAAGCTGCGAAATCTGTCGAGATATCTGAGTCGGAAAAGCGTTCAATTTCACAAAGTTTATGTCAAGAGATTAAAGACAAGTTTATGAGAAGCAAGAATTCGTTGAACCCTGACGTGGAACGAGTTAAAAAGATTGATAACATCATGAACTCCAAAACACTTCCGTTGCCACCAAAACCCAAGAAAGATATTTCGTTCTCATTCCAAGAAGCGCCGCCAGCAGCTTCTAAATATTTAGTTGATTTTCATCGACCCAAAAACCAACAACCAACAACAGAGACCGAAAGCATTTCATCAGAAACATCAAATCGCACCGTGATATTTCGCGATGCCGGAACGACCATGGAAGACGTTCAAACAAAGATTAAATATTTCGAAGAAATAGAACGTGAGAAGGAAAAAGTTGCCACGACAATTTATCACGCTGCAGATGACTTGTCACCGGATGACGAAGAAGAAGCAAACGGAAGAAAAGAAAAGGAAAAAGAAGAAAAGGAGACGCCAGCATTGAAAAGCATGAATGAAAATTTCGTTGACAAAGCAACTTCCATTCCAAAGTCACCAAAATTAACAACGTCACAATCGTACACTGACCTGAATGAAATGTTTGGCGAACGTTCATCAATGAAGTCGAATTATTATCGTGAAACCAACAATAACTTTATTGACAAGATTGTCGTGCGTAGATCACGCAGTTCAAGTCCCGACTCCGAACAATACTACAAAAGTTTAAATGAGTTTGGTGAAGTTGAGAAGTTGAAGATGAAGTTTGAGAATTACTACTCAGCTGATGACGATGACGCAACTTGTCAATATATTTACAGTGACTCTGAAGTCAACAGAAAAAATATTAAGAAGACTCAAATTCGAGGTCATGAATTCGGAAATGTCTCGCATATCACTCACAAGTATGAAATGCAATCGAAGCGTGCGCGAAGTCGTACTCGTCGCGCTTCTCCGATTTTAAAGCATCCGATAAAGCGTGAAGATCGTTTGATGCCTCATATAAATATCATAAGTAAAACTGCCAGCTTGAAAGATCGCCAAAGAATCTCTGTAAGCAACAAAGACAACTTGGATAAGATCGAGCCATTGCCGAGCACTTCAGGTGAAGTAGTTGCAAAAATAAAGCATAAGTTTGAAGCACTTGAAGATAATTTATCGTTGATGGGCAAGATGTACACATCTGTTCCCGATATTCGCGAATTAAAAGAAATTTCGCCACATTTGTCGCATCTTCCTTATTGTGGCACATTTGCGTCTCACCAATTCCCACTGCCCGAAGATAATAATCGTTCTGTCAATTCGCCAGATAAAAGCTCAGCTGGCGTTCAACCTCGTAAGCGTCCCTCTTCCGCTTCACCCATTCGTTCAACTTCATCATCGACGAGTGTCACAAAACAACTTCGCGATATTTTCGAAGACCATAAATTTGATTCTGAAATGCATCGACCTCGTTACAGATATCTGCCTGACAAGCAGCTTGAGGCCGAATATTTATGGAGCAAGAAGAATCAACAAAACAAATCGTCTTCAAGTTTCTCTAAAGGTCATTTACATACAATCTCTGAAAATAAATTATTTTAAACTACAATTAACGAGCACAATATTTGCACTCCAAAGCTACGAAAACATCGTGAAACAACGCGAAATCTTTAATCAAATCACGAGATAGAAAGTGCGATTTGTCATGTTGATGTTAAATATTTATTTATTGCTCGTGGAATGCTGTTGAATGTCTTCAGTTTACTTTATTTCTTTATGCTACTCTTACATAAATATTTAGATTTATTTTTATGTTTATCCTTTAATTTAATTTCCATTTTAATTTCAATTAATTTAGTTGATTCAGTTGTTCCCCCTACACCACCCCCTTTACCCACTAAGAATAATTATTATCACTTAAGCGGCAATAATTCAGGTAAGTTTGACATTCTTTAACGAATCAATGATGACAATCTAACAAAATAATAAAAAATATTATCGATTGGCTGGGAATGATACGAAACTTAAATATTTATTACACAATGTTGCCTTAGTTTGATTTTTTTTATTATGCTTTTGTGTCTATTTCATTGACGTCGAATGAAAAAATTTGCAAGACAACATTTTAAAACTTTCAATCATTTAAACAACGTCACTGTTTATTTCATGAAAGTCTATTTGAACAGCGCAAGATCAAAAAGATTCGAAACTATAATTCAATAATAATAAAAAATGAAGGAAATATCTTAAATGACTTGATTAATTGGATATGAAAGTTATAATTCTCTTTATTTTGCTGATTTTGCACAAACATAGACAGCGAGTCAAGTCAGTTAATAACACGTATAAATTTATCTTTCTTTATATCTCTTTGTCCAGTTGTCCATAACTCGTTAAAACGTGAACCTTTTGCCATTCATTTATCGCTTTTTTGTTTTTTGCTGCAGTATCGTTCAAACGTTAAAAATTGTAACGAAAAAAACTTTCTCAAATGTGTTTTGATTTGATCTTCTTAAGGAATGCAGGAAGGTTTCATTGAACCTTCGATTCGATATACCTGTCAACAAGATGCACATTTCTCTTCTATTCATTTCGTTTAAATAACGATTAATATGCATAAATTATCGTTTCGTAATATTTTTTATTTAAATCGCTTTGCTTTCAACGATAGTCACAGACTTTGATTCCAAACAAAAATTTTTTAACTTTTATTAACCACAAAAAGCCATTTCTTCGTCTATGATGACTTTTTTCCCGCATCCAACATCGACGTTATTACCGAACATAAACGATGCATAATTAGCATAAAAAAGTATTAAAAGTGGTGATTTCAAAAGCAATAAATTTCCGATCGAGTGAAGACGTGAACATGAGAAAGTCAAAGTGAGAAGTATAAAGAAAAAGTTTTGTTTTCCGCAGTTATCAAACATTGAAAAAGTGTTATGATGTTTATGAACAATAACAACCATGTAACGTGCTACTGTTATTGATAATTATTTGCTAAAAGATGAAGCTGGAAATTGCAATGAATTTATCGTTTAACATAAAATTGATAAAGCGATTAAGAATTGTTATTGTCATGTTTAGCAATGTGACGGCTCTTTGTTACAAATAAATCAAACAACAAAGTTATGCAAAATTATTCAGTTAACTTTATAATATCGTGACAAGCGAGTCTTACATTTAATAGGTGTGAAGTACAATAATTTCCTGTCGTCTTTCATCATAAAAAGTCATCAACGTCATTTCCGTACTAATCCATTCAACAAATTCATGTCAATTCTATCTTTTATGATAAAAGTTTAAGCTGTAAAGCAAATGGAGAAATAAACATGAAAAAAAAAGATAGAAGAGAAATTATTATGCAGTTTGCTTTGACACCTTTCTTCGTATTGTCGTTTCATTGATTTCAATTCAACTCTCACATTTGTTCAAATCAAGTCAAAGCTAAACATTGTCGAATACAAAGATAACTGAAGGGCTAAAAAAATGGCTTGATCGTGAAAGTAAACACCACACGTGAGTTTAAAAACTTCAACGACTACTTATGTAGATATCTACGTTCATAAATATTTACCAAAATGTAAACAACAACAAGCAAACGTTTCATATGAGAGATGGAAAATGTTTCTCACTTTTCTTCGTCTTTCTCCACTTCACTCAGTCGACAGAGCTTCGTTACTGTTCAGTTTATTATAAGCTGTTGATAAAAAAGCATTTCAAGCTTTATTAGTTCCTTGGAAATTGTAAATCACGATCAGAAATTCTTCTTAGAAGTGACTCATCTCATTGTGCGCGCGTCTTCCAACCTTCGTCATTCAACTTTGGGATTAAAAAGAAATGTTGAATTTACTCGTAAGAGGTAATAAAATTGATCAAGAAAAAGGATTTACATTTTGCAATGCTTTCTCGAGCAGAATATTTTAACTAGGAAGTTTACGAAAGCGTGCATAATTCAATAAATATTTCTTTAGTTGCCAAGGCCAAACCTTGAGGCAAACATCCAAAATATTTTGCGACACTTTTTTATGTGAAGTGATGAAAACTTGATATGAACATGCAGTGACGTTTTATATGAAATTCCGCGTCTTTAAAGAAAAAATTCTTTATTAATATTTGAAAGTCAAGTTCAAGAATTTAATTCAATCATTGAAATCGTTCAAACGAATACTTAGTAAGTGTAGCTTGTGTAAACAATCTGAGGTAGCTGATCTTGTTTATGTTACAAAGAGTTTTTGTAATGATTACAAAAGCATATCGTGTGATCGGAAAGAAATAGATTTCACAACCTTAAACTCAAAGCACAATTTTCAACGGTAATTGATCCAATTACACTAGAAGATTGATCGTTGAGAAGAATAAGAAAGTGAACCTGAAGAAACAATTATCGTTGAGAAGCAATCTTACGCTACTTATAGTCTCATTTTCAATTCTACTCACTATTGTGATGTTATAAATCTATTAACTTCTATAGAAACTTAAGCCACTTTTCTTATCTTATGCAATGCTCAGTTAAAAATTTTAATACAAATTTAGAAAGCCTCAAACTTATTCGACAGGGAAAATTAGATTTGTTGTCAATTATTTCAAAGAAATTCCAAAGAAAAAACTCTTTTAAGTACACATTTCCAGTTCATGCTTAAAGTGACTTAGTTGCTTGATTATTTTCACATCAAAATTTTCTTTTTTTAACCTTCGAAATGAAAACTTAAAATTTCGACTATGATTTTGTTCAGCACATGTTAGCATTAAAAATAAATTAATTAAGCGATCAGTTGCCAATTATTAAAATGATTGAATGTGCAGCCAAGAAATAAAATATTTATAGCAGTTTTGATATTAAAAGTTTAATTAAGTTTTTCTTTATGTGCACTCGCTACGTAATAGTTTTTAATAATCTTTCATATTATCCATGAATGGCATTTATCTCAATTTTCATCAGTTTTCAAAGCTGATTAGCTTCGGTCCAATAAAATTATTTTTTTTTGTTATTAATGTCATCATCGTCGTCACAAAGCGTAAACGACGAGAGTTCTTTTTTATTTGCTGTATACTCTTATTTCCTATCTAGTGAAGAATGTTTATTGTAACATGAGATTTTAATGACATAGTGTCATGTTTAACTATCTACTTTGTCAATGAACGATATTGAGGGACCAAAAACAAAGCAAGACAAAAAAGTGATAAGAGAAAGTATGTAGTTAGTCAATCCAAATGTAACGATGCATGATAGTAAAAGCCTTCCTTCAACCAAACAGTTCTCTCATTGTTGAAGAAAGAAATTACATAAATTATCGAGTTTTGCGAAGAAAAAACGAACAGAGAGAAAGGAAGGAAAAAAAATTAATGGATTAAAAAAAGTGCAATTGAGATCCATTAAATCTTGAGCATTAAATTTCTTTCAAACAATTGACTCGCATTTATTTAATCACGATGCTATCTATTGTTAAAACATTCTCCATTTACATTTTACAAAATCCATCATAATGTGCGAGTAAATTTTCTCACAAATCACTGCCGACAAAGTTGAGAAATATAAATTGAATCTTAAAAAAGAGATTATCAGTTTAGCTTCAAAAGAATGGACGCACTCAAGTCTTTATTGAATCAAACAGCTTTAAGTGTCCGACACTCTTTCAAATATCAAAGCCGCAAATCATGTACAGTTGTCGTACTTTTTTTCGTGTAACTGACTACATGTTGTCTGGAGATGATGCATGAGTGTTTCCCCTCTTTATTATGTATTTCATTTCTTTTTTTATCATGACATAACACACAAACCAACAGAAAAAAAAACAACAACAGCATAAATGAAACGATCCAATATCCGACTCGCACATTAAGAGTGAGGAAAAAAGTGAAACTTTTCGTCTTATGTGAGACACGATGATGAATTAATGCGAACGAAAAGATCATAAGTGAAAATACAATTTATACACGAAAATCTTTTTCAATTCCTGTACTAACAACATCATCATCTATTTCAACCATTAAATTCACTTTTTTTTCTCTCTCTTTCTTTCTTTTTTCTTCTTTTCTTATTCGCAACAACAAACAACGTTCACTCTTTTTTATGCATTTATGAATTGGCGTAAAAAGACTCTCAAAAAAGGTACGTCGAAAATGATGTGAACATTCATTACAAAGTTCCCGTTCGATATGAGTATAAACAACCCATCCCTGAAGAGGAGTTGGCCTATCAACAAGCTGAACATATGAAGAAAGTTTATCAAGAGGAACGTCGTCGAAAGTATTTACAAGAACTTCAAGATATGAGCAGTCGTAGACACACTGACAACTTTACACCATCACAAAAATCACCGATTTCACTTAATCGTTATGACAACTTTGGTCTTGAATTGCCGACGTCAAAATCACCTGTTAATTTACCAGGAACAATAGGAAAAGCTCTTTTCAGCTTTCAGGGACAATCTGCTAGGTGAGCTCAGAATGATAAAATTTTATTTCAATTAAATTGTGTTTCAATAAAAAAATGTTTCTATTTGCAGAGAACTTTCATTCAAGAAAGGAGACATAATTTATATTCGACGTCAAATTGACAGAAATTGGTATGAAGGTGAACACAATGCAAATGTTGGACTTCTACCTGTCCAATATGTAGATGTAAGTTGTGAATAATTCAAACTTTTTATGTAGGAAAAGTTTTCAACAAATTTTCTATTCTATTTTCAGATTATATCAAATGATGGAACACGACCAATTGTTGTCAACAGAAAGACAACAGAAGGACAAGCAAGAGCGAAATATAATTTCGTTGCTCAGTCCGATATTGAATTGTCATTAAACAAAGGAGAGTTGGTGTCGTTAACACGACTAGTCGATCACAATTGGTTTGAGGGACGAATTGGAAATAGAAAAGGAATTTTTCCCATCTCATATGTCGATGTTTTGCTGGTAAGTTTCATTATTCGCTTGTAATTGAAAGATTGAAAATTTGATATTGAAAATCGTATTTCTGTTTGAAGGACATTGGAAGCGATGAATTAGAAAACAATGTTTTATCAACAACAACTACGACACTCACAAAGCAACTGCTACCATCATCATCATCACCAATAACGCCAACTTCTGACGTTGTTCGTGAGACAAAAACTATTCGAAAAACAGAAGTTTTACATGTTGACACGGCTAATGAGCCCATTTCGTAAGTGGTGAAGATATTTCCAAAAAGTGTTGTTATGCAATTTATTTATCTTTCGTTGATAGTTATCGCGCAATGTTTAACTACCGACCGGTGAATTCCGACGAACTCGAGCTGCGTGAAGGCGATACTATTTATGTTTTAGAGCAGTGCGATGATGGCTGGTATGTTGGCACCAACTCTCGAAATGGTTTCTTCGGAACCTTTCCCGGCAATTATGTCAAACGTGTTTATTAGATTTTAACTTAAATGCAACCGAAAGAGAGTGTCACGTGTTCATTTTAACTCTTGATATAAAAAAATGTTATTTTCTAAATGTTTATGTTCTTGTTGTTGATGAAAAAAAGTTTTTCTTTTGATGCAATTTAAAGTCTCCAAAAAAAAATATGCAAAGCACAATTTCTTCACGTAATTAAAGAAAGAAGTAAGAGGAAAAATATTTATTTAATATTAAAACTTAATGAACTAAGAAGACAACTTGCAATCCCAAAACAAAATGTTTCTCACCTTTTCTCACCAAAAACATTAATCGATATTGCAACATTAACATTCAGTACAAACCATGATGAAAAAGAAGAAAGAATTTTGTTGCAAAGGAAATATTAATGAGAGATTATTAGAAATTATATTTTGGCGCATTAGAAATTTTTGAAAATTCAAACTTTACCAATATTTAGTCTCGAAAGTGTGCTTAAGAAATGTCCCTGAAAGATTAAGAAATAATTTATTGTGCCTATAGAAAGAAGTTGCCTAAATAAACCGGAAGTTTTATAAATGTATTAAACAAAGCAAAAAGAGAGCGAATCTAGTTTGTAATTGCCTAAACAGCTAGTCACGTTTTCAAAACTAAAAAAATGCCGTCATTCAATTTCTAACTCATTTAGAAAAGTTTTGGTAAAAATTAAGAAATTTTATAAGAAAATATTTGTCATTAAATATGCATGCAGTGCCTTTCACAACTGGAATTGCCTTCACACCACAAAAATGTGTGTGAAAGTTTTGTAATAATTTCGAGAAAGCCACAAAAGAAACAGAAAAGTTCTCACCAGCCAATTTATGATATGCAACTTTCTTCTTCCTTAAATATTATGAAATCAATGCGACTAATTGATACTAAAATCACATGAAAATAAAATAAAGAATAACTCGTAAAATACATAACAATGACTTGATGATTGATTTTTTATTATTAATGTAGGTAATGACTTCATTTTATTGAACGACATGTGTTTACTTTCAGAATTAATATTTAACTGAAATTGTCTTTAAAAGCTTTTGAAGCTTTTGAGTTTCTCGTCATGAAAAGCAGTATGAAAGTCGTTTCCATACTGCGATGACTGTGAACATTTTCCTTTAATTTTATATCATAAATAATTCGAAGTTCTTCATTATTAAAACATTATGTTCTTTCAGAATTGATTTTATTAAATAATAAATCATTATCTAATCTAGATAAATTGGTTTCCATTTTCCATTTCTATTGATAAGTACAAAATTGTACAAGAATTCGGATAAACAATTTTTCTATTTATTTCTATTGTGTCACCAGTTGTCGGTATGTGAGGATCCTTTGTTCGTTTGTTGAACTTTTCTTTTATTTTATGAGTCTTTAAAAATCTATTTTACATGAAGTTGAGAGAAAAAGCTTCGAAGAAAAAATGTTTCGATAACAAAATCAATGAATTTTTAAATAAATTATTCAAAAACATTTATTTTGAAGCTTTTTCCCTTAACATTAATTTTGTATAATTTTTCTTGTGAGGCATGGAAATAAATTTTTAATTAGACATTTTCATCCACTCGCTTTTCAATCTGAAGCATTTAAATCATTGCTTCTTTTTATGTATGCACGCATGCATGTATATAAAAAAAGAGACTATTACATCATTTTTAAATTTTATTTGGCAAATATTTTTATTTATTCATTAAATTTTCTTTTTTTTTGTATATAAAGCGCCACATAAAGACATGCCTCACTCAAAGCATGATCATCCTAAGCAGCAATCTTTGCATACATTCATTCTTAATGGCGCTTAAATTAAGATGATGATGAGATAATAATAAGAATAATAGTTTGTTTGAGAATAAATAACACTAAAGCATTAAACGTATTATCTAAATATGCAATATACAAGAGTTTCATTTCATTTAAATATAAAATTTATGAAAAATACATAAAGATTCTCTCATTTCCTTTCATGAAGATTCAGCAAAATATCTCTAACAATTGTAAAAGAAAAAAATATTCGAATATTGATGGAAAGAATTTTTACAACTTAAATGTTACCCTCGAAGCGTAAAACATCTCACATTTTTTTTTAGTTTTTGATTTCATGGAAAGCCATTGAATATTTTCAATGTGTGTTCTCGTTTCTCTTAATTTCTTTTTAAATAGTTTTTAAAACAACGTTGGGTTGTTGTATGAAATATCATTTCAAAAATCTTTATCTACACAAACTGATTGGTATGGTTGAAAAAATCGTGTGAACAATTCCGAAGCATTTAAATGTTGGTGCTTTAGAAACGGATGAAAAAAAAGAGTATGTAGAAGTAATAATAATTTATGCTAATTATCAATGTAAACGTTCCCACGTGACGATGAAAATATTATTCAAAGTTAATTACTTATTCGCGCGCGACTCAAGCGAACAGCGAAAAAATTTACAGGTCAATTGGAAAAAGGAATAAATATCAGTAGAGTAGACCATAAGAGCTTAAATCACTCCCAGCTAATGAATCGAAAAAGCTCTTTGGGAAGCGTCAGTAATCATGCACGAATGTGAAGCAAGAAATATTTTAATAACTAATTTATGGAGAATGACACGACATTCTTTTATTTTAAATATTTTTCCTTTCGTTCGACATTTCAACATGTACGAACGATTAGATCAATGAAATTCTAATTAAATATTCATAAAAATCGCACGGATAATTTACTGACAACGAGAGCAATAAAAAAAATGAAATGAAAGAAATTAAATAGAAAAAAATTATTTAATTATTAACAATTAATTTTTGGTGTTTGGTTTTTTATTACCTTAACGTTGAAAGTCAACATTAATATATTTCCCCCATGTGTGGTGACTTGTAATGCTTTCATTACATTTTTAACTTATTTTTTGTGTTCCCATTGACCATTTGTTTGTCTTATTTTTTACTTTTGCTTCTTTTCCAACAATTTTTTTGTTCTCTTTAAAACAAGAGTTTCAATTTTTCTTTTTTCTTCGTTTTTATGTCTTTTTTTTCTTAACGAGTTATTAGTAAGAATAAAGGAACCGACTTATAGATGACCTTGCAAAGTCATCCGCTTTTAATTAAAAAACAACAAAAGAGAATAAAAAACAACAAATATTGATTGAGACACTTTTGATGCTTCACTTAAACTTTTTTTTGACGCGTTAAATTTGTGAGAAAAACATTAACACTTAAAACAGTTTTGCTGTGTTTGAGATTAATAGAAATGAGTCGCCATCAATTAAATTATTTGCCACCAAATCGTCAACACTTTACGTCATTATCCCGTCCCGTCCCTTCCCCCCATGAATCCATGTCAATCACTCTTACTTTAATTTGAAAAACGAAAAACAGAGTGAAAAATATAAACTAAATGAAGCTAAATTAAATCAATTCCAATTTGGACAATTTGTTGCTGCTGCTATGATTTGATTCTCTGCTTCAGCTCGTAAGCCACACCACCCCAATAAAGTTTGAATGTCCGCTCGCGCCATCTAATTGCTGGATTGAATAACGCATTTAGAAAGAGATATGGACCCGTAAATTCACGAAACAGCCATCCAACGACGAAATTAAACTTGTTGAATGGCAGTGGTCCATTCTAAAAAGAAAGTTTTTAATTAAGTTTCATTTTCTTTAATTCTTTTTGAAAGTTTCTTTATTACTTGTACAACAGACAACATAATCCAGTCCGACAAGAACCAGACGAGAATGTGCACCAGGTAGAATGGCAAGGCATCCCATTGAAAGAGTACATTAACAGCCCAAGATGCTAAACAGCCGAGCACCATACATTCGCTAGTTAAAAAGATTCCAAAAAAATAAAGAAAAACATTTTAACACATTCATGTCAATAGTTAAATAGCTAAAATGGTTGTATGAATAAAAATCAAATAATTGCGTGGACGGAATTAACACGAATAACTATAAAGTTATTAAAACTTACCTCAGCGGTTCTAGAATAATTAAATGCGGCACCATAGCAACACGCAGTTTTGCCCATCGCGTGAGTCTCAACTGGAAATTGGTGACATCACAAACTCCTGAATTTTGCCATGCTGGTTGACTGCTGATTGTCGACTTCCATCCAGCTTCAGTGACAGCTTTTGCAAGGAAGAAATCTTCAGCTAAGTAACGTCCAAACTCTTTCAATCCACCAACATTGTCGAGCACTTCGCGTCGTATCAGTGATGACATTCCAGTATGACAAATGGCACCAAAGAGATCAGCTGTGAGATACATTCGCGACTGATAAGTTCCAAAGTAGATCTTCTCAAATGTCGCAGCGAATCCTTCGCGATCACATGTGAAAGGCATTTGATGGACGAGGCCGATACCTTCCTTCATATGTTGCACCATGTCCAAAAGCGTATCTTCTTTCATTCGAATTCCACTGTCGGATATCATGACAAGTTCATATTTTGCGTTCTCATAGGCAGGGTTCATGTTGTTGATCTTTGGATTGACGCCCACATCAGAACCACCTAAATATAAATTCGCGACAATTTTTGGATATTTGTCCATCAAATGTTGCACAACAACGACGGCGGGATCTTCTTTGTCTTCAATGCAAAACAGCAGCTCATAAGACGGATATTGCATCGTGAAAAAGGTTTCAAGATTCTGAGATAAGTTTGGATCGACGCCCATCAATGGCTTTAAAATGGACACTGATGGAAGGGGCGATTCCCGTGGCAGTAAACATGGTTTCTTGTGCAATTTGATTTTTCTGTAATGAAAATAAATGGTAATTTAATCATTCAACTACCTAAACATTCAATTTACGATAATCTGAGCAAAGTATTTATAACTCAATCGAAATAATCTTATCAGTTAATCGCGAAGTAAGTCAGTAGCATTGAATTCCGAAAAACACTGTTCAATAAATATTTCATTATGATTTATTGTTCTTCAATAGGAAATTTGATATCTTTTTGAAAGGTAATAAAATAAATGATGAAAACATTTCGAAAATTTAGTTTCATGTTTACAAATTCCATATGAAAAAGTAAATAAAAACAATAAAAGTGTCCCAAGAGTCAACTCATGAATTTGTCACTCTTTATACATAGTATTAAAGTTTATTAAATTAACCCATTGGAGAAGATTATGACACAGTAAAGCACCGTCCAATTCCCGTCACATGTATTAATCTAAATGTACTGCTGGTACATAATTGAATGAAATAGAAAAAAGTTTTGTTTTCTTCCTTTTTCTTGTCGAAATATGTGAATGAGAATCGTACAAATTTTTCAATTTAAATTAATAAAACAAATACAATGTTGATGGCCACTAATACAACATACAAATACATCGAAGAAGTTAGAATCTCGTTAGCATAGCTCCTATTTGTTTGAGACATGCGAACAAGGCAGTTGAAGACTTAAAAATTCTTTCAAAACGAAAATTGGCCCCCATCGTCATCAGCATCAAAAATTTATGTGGAATTGGAAATTCATTTCTCATTAGTCACCAGTTTAATGGCGAAAGGGTTCTCGATTAGGTCAACATCATCATCAGAGTTTAATGTCATCATATATTCAGATGATCTTCAATTATAATTGATGCCAACTGTTTGCTATCGAAATTATTTAAACTCACATTCAGTCAATAATTTTATGACGTTAAAGCCAAGTGTGTCAACCAATTTATTATTTATTTTTCAGTTATCATGTATTTGTCACCTATCTTTTCGCTTTATTTCAATGAATATGAACTTACAATCGAGTCGACAATACGAGAAACCAAAACAAATTGATAGGAACACCAAATTTGTCATGCCATGGATTTCCTTTGCATTTTAAAATACTTCTGTTGTCGTCACTTATTGCTTTCATTTCCTCAGAACGACTTAAGCGCAATGAAACGTAAACTGTAATCGTTCATTGATCCGAAAACTAGAGGAAGTGTGTTTAGTTGACAATAAATTAATATTTCTTAATTTAATTTAGTCATTTCTTGAAGGTAATGTTATCAATTCATGTCAACTTATCAGCAACTTACATAACGTTATTTGACAACTCTACTGAGTCATCTTTAAATGATATTTTAGAATTCTTTCAATAAATTCTTTTTCTTTAAATAAAACTAACTGATAACATTATCAAACAACATTTTATATTTGTGAAGCCAACATCAAATGGACTCAAGTATGCTGCAGTTATCTAGCGTTGTGAGTCAGTTAAAACAATCTCGAATATGTTTGGATGTCTTGAACGGCCACGAAACAATGCCCTCTCTGCAATTTTCTTTTGCTTTACGCTTATTGCTTTATTCAAGACATTTACACTTGACTCACTGTTGACATTCAATTATAAACACCTTCGAAGAATATTTTAACAGATATTTTACGTTCGTTGTTATCTTAACATTTGCATGAAAAAGTGTGAATTGTTTTTAAACAATGATAACACCTTTAATAAATATCCCTTCAGTGTAAATACTTGATACGGGAAAAGAGGTTCGTTTGTAAAATGTTTTGGTTTCTAAGAGCGCACAACTTTTTATTTACTCTTTTTGTTTCTTTTCAATGTCAGTTTGACTATTCAGTTTATTGATGTTTCGCCGACAACAAAAGGGAATTAGAAAGAGAACGAAAAAGTTCCCCACAAAAATTCGTTTAATATTTAATGCGATGTGTGAATAGCAAACAAAAGTCACTAACATCAGCCATGTCCACTGTATCCAAAGCTAATTTATGAAGAAACGACCAAGAATAAACATATATGCAGAAAACGTATAGATTTCACGGAAATCTTCTCTTTTTTCAATGGCAAATTGAAATTTAAGAGAGAAGAAAAGATAAAAATAAAATAAAAAACGAATTTGTGAAATTTTTGATTTAATTATATCTTGCAGCAAACAATATAAAATAAAATGAAATGCAGAAAAGATTGTGAAATCACGAAAAACACTTCCACAAACCAGTCGTACAAAGTGAATCATCCAATTACGGTTAAATACATTTCACTCACTATTTATGTCTTGGAACGAACGTGAATGATTGTAATGATTAATTGTTATGACGCGCGTCTGGCAAGGAGCTATTTAGATTGCGAATAAAGAAAAAATCTTTTCCTTGTTTAATCACAATATTCTAAAGGGAATGTCAGATGACGAGTAACAAAGTGGAGGCGGAGAAAGGGGAGAAGCAGAAAATAAGGTTTGGTGTTACGATTATTTTATTTTTCTGAAGCTAGCGGCGGAAAATTACTCACGCAATCCTCGTGAAAGAGCATTAGATCGCGCGACTATTTCCTCTTTTCTGTTATATTCATAGTACAACTATCCAACACTAGCGAAAAAGACTCGTCCTGCGATGGAAATTAGGTAATACGGCTTAAAGAGATTTCTTTTGGTTTTCATCTTGTCGGTGTCTCTGAGATTTTTAAATAATTTTTTATCTAAAATTGAAGCACCTTGAAAGCGATACACACAAGTGAAGATAAGTGGTAGGAAAAAGATTCGTATCGCATTCTTTACATTACTACAGGCAATTTTATTTTTTGGGCGGATGAATGGTTGGTTGAATAAAAAAGAGTGAGTAACATTGCCGAACTGCTCAATCGATAAGATTTCGTAGTCGATAAAGTTTTTCGCGAGGATATGATTACTCACCCATAAGTGATTCCTAGTAAGTGAAGTAGAAGGTTTCCACAGTAAAATATGAATAAAGCTATTGCAAAACCATAAATGTAAATAGAAAATGACATTTTAGAAATATATTTTTCATCATTTGCTTCCTCGGGTGCTTTGAATCCACAGAACTTTGATTCCACGGATTTTCTTTTTTTATCTCTCACAAGCACGTTTTTAACTTTTTGTCATTTTTCTCCACTTTCAAAATATCGTATTGCTGCTAGCTATTATTAAATTATTTTAATAATTGATTTTTTCTGGTAGCTACGATTTTCTAATTTATTTCCACTATTTTAACATTATTTGAGCTTTATTGTTGGTACTTGGACTTTTAAAAATTTGCGGCAAGACCTTTTTCAATGTTATCAACAATTTTTTCCCGAATTTACGCCAGAAATATTGGAGAAAACGATTTCAGCAACTTCTCTACTCTATCGTCTGATTTTATGCTCGGAAATGTACGACAGGGTGATTGAAATCAGAAGCGAACAGACAGGGTGATTTGTTTTTCAAATTGTAACGGTTCCTTCATGCAATCGACGCTTTTTATCGTGTGACATCATTTATTGACAAGATGATGCTTGTGAAAAAAAAAATTCGATCACTTTTCAAAATCGGTCTTTTAAAAACGGTTAAAATGAATTATTGAAAGAAACTTAAATCCAGAAAATAATTTATATAAGTCTCGATTTATTTGATTTATTTCAGTTTGTCTCATCTTATTATGAAGAAATATTATCAATATTAGAGTTGTCACAACACGATAAAAGGTTTCAGATGAGTTTTTAATCACAAAAGATTTGTTTCTCCAACATATCATTAGAATTTGAAAAGTTGAAAATGTAAAATGCAACTAACTTCATCTGCTTTTCCAATAACAACAGCAGACAGACATGTTTAAAATTTCAGAAGGTCATTGAATTGCTAAACTTTTATTTGAATAATCTGAAAGCTAAACAAAAATTGATTGTACAATTATAACGTTTGAGTACACAATCATCAGATAATTTATAGTTGATTGCTGTTGTTTGTACCAATAATTAAGTTGAAGTGATCAGAAGTTGTGACAAATTTGATATATCGACATAACATAAAACCTGCAATAGAATTTTTTACAAATAACGCAATAAAGATATTATTTGGCTTGAGACAAATCAATAATGCTTCCACTGTGGCCATCAATCAATCCTTCTCTTGTTGGATCACTCATGAATAACGTGAATCCTTCAGCTTTCAGTGAAGAGATGGAAATGAAGTAAGAAAAACTTTTCCAATGTCATTGTAACAGCAAATTTCATTGTTTTTTTTTTATATTTTATGCTAATCATAATAGTCATATGGAGCAAGAGCAACAGAACTACTTGAACTTGGTTGACACAATTGCACAAGATTTGACACCTTTAGGAAAGAAACAATCTGAACAGAACAATGAAGATTCTGATGCTGAGTCTGCAAGCGATGGTAAGTTTCAATTTATTTGAGAAAGTTCTGATGAATTATTGTAAAATATTTTTAATAGATCAAGAAAGTTCAGCAAGTGAGCCAGAAGATCACGAATCAGAAGATGATAATGATGGTCGCGAATCATTCACAATAAATTATTGAAATAAAACAAAATACAAAATTTAATGATTAAAAATCTAACTCTGCTTTTATTTTGTCAAGGAAATAACATTTCATCTTAAGATATTAAGGAATTAAATGAAAAACTTATTCACTTAAATGTTCTTTTGACTTTGATTTGATTTTGTCAATATGAATGAAACTTTTTAAAAAATCAGAGAAAACTTTAAATGGAAATATTAAGATATAATTAAAAAATTGATAATGAAAACTTGTTTGACCTTCTTCACATACATTAGACAGCTTACTTAACGTCGATCACGCGAGTCTGAACGATCGCGGCTGATACTCTCACTACGAGAGCGACGAGCTGGTGAGCGACCTCGAGGACTTCTAGACCTTGACCTGTGAGGGAAGAAATTTGAAAGTGTTGAAAATCTGTTGTGTTGATGAAAGGAGCAAGCTGCTTGGTTCATTAATGTGATGATTTTGTTTATTTGTCAATAAGATAAGAGGTGGATTGCGTTGCATAATTTTGATTGCTTATTGCATTGCAGAGACGCTCCCGTTACATTTGTTGATTGCAAGCTAATAACTTTCGATGCTATTTTAAAGATGTTTGTTTAATGCTGCAACCTATTTGAAAGAACTCTTGTCGGCGTTCTCATTTTTTTTATTCTTAAAATGTCTGCGCGAAGTTTCAGTCAAAATTAAGCAATTAAACTTTTGATTAACTACTAAAGGTGGTGTTGCTGACACTGGAGACATTTCAACAGCTGGATTGGTAGAGCTGACGTACTTATGTGGGAAACGCATTTTTTATTTCTTCGCGATAACGAAAGTATAAATTTGGTTGGTGAAGTTGATGAAGTAATTGAGGAGGCAGGTTGGTGGTGATTATTTTATCAGATAGTAGTTTAAATGATGAATTAAATCAAGATGATGAAGAGTTGAGTTAAAGTTAGATTTATATATTGCGTAAAACAACATCTCACGAAGTAGCAGAAGATGGGAAGATGGTGTATTTGTGGTTGGATAAATTTGGTGGTCGTTGGTTGACGTTAATTGTTTTGATCAACAACCGAGTTTAGATAAAGCCACTGATGGAAGTAGACATTGAGAAATTTCCATGTCGTATTACGGTCAAAGTCAGAAGGTTCTGGTCATAATTTTTTGTTTTATATTTTTGTTTTGTGTTTGCTTTTTTGATATCCCCGATGGAAGCAACAGAAAGAAAACATTCTAATGGAAAGATGGCGCACAGTGAAGCAACGCTAGCAGATGAAGCAGATGCTTTCGAAGCAAGAGCACGCCATGATCAGAGAACCGAGGCTATCACGTTCAACATGACTCTGGCAATATTCACAATTTCGCACATTTTCATCCATAATTACTTTTTTTTATGGTGGAAATATTGAAAAAGAAAATAGCCATGTCATGTTCGCGTAAATTTTGCCAACATATCGATGCAGGGACGACAGAAGCGATGAACATGTGTTGTTGTTGTCGAGGTGTTGGTGTTTATGATGGAAATTCCTGAAATTTGTCAGCAGGATTTGGCATTTTCAATTAAAAATTATCTAAAAAAATCAGTGATTGTCTAAATTTTTCATATTAAAAAACATTCAACAGAAAAATGAAAAAATCTCTTTTTTGCTTTTTTTGATCAACAAAAGACCACCAAAAACGATTATTTACACTCATCGTCAGATTGCTTCTATGCTTTGAATGATGGAGGGCGAAAAAGATACAAATATTGGGAATGGTTCACAAAATACAATAGAGGACTTAAGCTAAATCTTTATAAGAAAAATAGTGCAACTAATATTAAAGAAGTTGAGAAGAAAAATTGAAGAGTTACAACAGAAGTCAATGTTTGGATGTGATTTCAATCGTGTTAGTTCAAATCTACTACTTAAGCGAATTCTTTCGACAAAAATCTCCATATTTGACTTTGAAATTAGAAGTTTTTTTGGTGTTAGTTACATTAATTAGCAAGTTTTGTTCAAACCTGTAGCGTCGTTCGCCTCCTCGTCGGTCATCTCGACTTGGTCCTCCTCTACGACCTTCGTCACGTCTTGTTCGTCCTGAAGACATTTCTACGCGGATTCTTGTTCCACACACTCGTCTGAAAATTCATAAACAATAAACAAAAAATGTTTTAATTTAAGTTTCAATTACTTACGTTCCATCCAACGCTCTAACTGCATCTTCAGCATCTCTTGAATCTTCAAATTCAACAAAGGCAAAACCTGGGGGATTACGTGCCACCCAAACATTTCTTAATGGACCGTATTTACTGAATGATTTCTCGATTTCATGCTTTGACGCTGACGATCCAAGATTGCCTACATAAACTTTGCATTTCAAATCCCATTCTCTGAAGCGCGGCATATTTGATGAACGATCTGAACGATCTGTACGTTCTCGGCGTTCACGACGAGCTGGAAGATAAAATAGTATGTGGGTGTGTGCAGGTAGAGAAAAATCTGATTATTTATTCATAGAACAGTTTCAAGGTCGTGCAGAAATAGCAAATCTGGATTTATTCGTCAGTTGAGTTCATTATTATTTTTCTAAAGAGATCTCTTAGCTTGTTTCTTTGATAGCGTGTGAACGCATTGAAAAGTTTATATTGTAAATACAACGAATATCTCTTTCCTCATCATTACCGAAGTAACCCAAACGCCATTTTCACGACTTTTAATTATGGAGATGGGAATGAGATCGTCAATAATTTTATAACTATTGTTCACAGGTGCAAGACTAGTATAGGAAATTTAGGAAATTTGGTTTTAAAGGAAACTTTGGGAACAGTTCGGAAGATATTGAAATAATATAAAATAAGTTCCTACGCGAAAAGTCTCTCATAACGTCAATTGAAGAAAGAACACGAAATTTAAAATATTACCACTTTAAAGTGATTTCTTAACAAACTTTTAATTTCACTTTTACTTGATTCTTTAACCAAAATGAACTTAGATCTATTTTCAATTTTATTTTATTGAAATCCTTTCTTGAAGTTTGACTGTTTATTGAAGAACTTCATCGACTATGTAGTCGAAATTTGTCGAAAACATTGTTTAAACAGTGATACCCACTCAGGGGTTAAGATTCTCTTGAGAAATTTCTTTTACAAATATTTAAAGTTCATTTGTTTTGATTGAAACTTTTCTTAAATATAGACTATTATTAACTTTTGCTGATAACTTAACTTTTCAAAGTAACAGAAATCATTTGAGAATAGTTGTAATCAGTTCTATAAGAACTTTAGTAAGGAAATCTGTCGAATATTTGGAACAATTGTATTGTATTGAAATAAATAAACTACACGGGAGTCTCCCAAAATTCTTGCTTGCAACATTCATTTAAAACTACGACTTTGATTAGAATTCTCCTAAGAATTTCTTGTCATGAAAAACATTTGGAAGTAAGAAACAATTTGAAAGCTCTAAAATCAGTCTTCTGTTGAAGTGTTGAGAAATAAGGAAGTAGGTAACAAGTAAAAACAAAATGACATCACTACTCAAGAAAATTTTTGTCCAATCTGAAAAAACATTTGCAACAATCAATAAAGAATCAATTAAAGCTAACGTGTTAGCCTTGAAAAAGCTCATAGACATGATGGAATTGACGGATATAAATGTTGATCCTTATCATTTTACAAATAGAGCTTTTCAAAAGAGGGTAAATCATAGAAAAAAACACATTTTTTAATGTTTTAGATAAATATTTGTTTTTCTAATTTAGAACAAGGCGCCATGCAGTTTCATAAATATTTGCGAGAAAGAACATTTTACTATGTCAGTTTTCGTTATTGATTCTGGTTATACAATGCCATTACATGATCATCCAGGAATGTTTGGAATTTTAAAAGTAATTTCTGGTCAACTGAAGATACAAAGCTACACTAGAATTCCCACCAGTATCCCACACGAAATACTTGTCCATGCTGAAGAACCAAAAATAATAAATGCAGATTCTGATTCAACATATTTAGATGATAAATTATACAACTACCATGAGATAACAGCAGTCGATGGGCCTGCAGCATTTTTTGATGTTTTAGCTCCGCCATACAGTGATATAGATGATAAAGGTTCAGATGCCAGGCATTGTCAGTTTTACAGGAAATTAGTTGCTGAAAATATTGGAAAAACAATCTTGGAGCTTGAGCGTATCGAATGTCCAAATCATTATTATTGTGATTCAATACATTTCGAAAGACCAGACTTCATGGTTTAATGATTATCTTATAGAATATGCTCAGGCTATTAATGGGAAACTGTGTTTTGCTTCAGAGATTTGAGAATGATTTTTATTAAAATTTAGATACACTGCTCAGCAAAAGACCTATCAAAATTTAATTTTATTGTACTGAAAGGATTTTTGAAATTCTGGAAAATTAAAAATTTGTCAATTAAACATTTGCATAAAATTTAAGATTGAATAAACTGGATAAAAGCTTTAATTCTTTTTCTATTCAAATTAAGGGGAATGATTAAAAAATAAACGTTTTCGACATTTTCAAACTAAGTTTTCGAAATCATCGAAAAGAAATTGTCGAATAGAAAGAGAGAAATAGTTCCATTTCATTCTTCTTTCCTCAACGTTTCAAGACATCATTCGACTGAGCTTGTTTGATCCAGCAACATCTTTTGGCTGATTATAAACCTTAAATATCATCAGAAAAGAATACTCAAGATAAGTGTGAATTATAAAACATAAATAAAGCAAATTATTTGCTTTATCATAGTTTGAAATAAAATAAAAAAAGTGAAAAGTTGCATCATCAAATCCACGAGGAAAGAAAGGAAATTTCTCGAATAACTAGTGAATAGTGGTAGAAAAATATAGATTAATCACAAAGTGGAATATTGCCTGACTGCTAAAGTCCATTAGACAAAACGAAACAGGATAAAATGACTACAAATATAATGAATATGGTTCATGAGACCAAATACGAAACCTTATTTAATATTACGGAGAAAGACTTAATTTGATTTTAATTGGAACAATCAGCTGATTTGTTGATTGAACACTAATTAAATAAATTCCTATCTTCTTTCTTCACGTGTAAATTATGTGTAAAAAATCAAAAAATTCCTGAAATATTTTCAACACTCAGTGATAATAGTAAAAATAATAATATAATAATACTACTACTAAATAACCATCAGACTCATCGCTCAAACTAATCTAATTTCAATCAAATAAATAAATGAGTAAAATGTCAACACCAGCCATGAAACCACCAGCACCAATCACACCACCTCCACCTCAACCATCAACTGGATCTCTTTCCCCCAAGAAAGTGGGCGGTAAATTTAGCTTATTCTCTCATATCAAATACGAGCACATGGTTGCAGGAATATCAGGTATGAATATCTTAAAAACATTAAAAACATTACATATGTAAAATAATAAATTATTAATATCCGAATAGGTGGAGTAACATCGACATTAATTTTGCATCCTTTGGACCTTATCAAAATACGATTTGCTGGTGAGTAAAAAATTAACGACTAGAATCTTATTCCGTAATCATGAAGGTCAAAAGCTTATCAAACTTTCATTTTCTCAGAGTCAAACAAATCGTAAAATAATTTAAAAATATTTAATTTCGTCTCAAAGTCTAGTTGCGTGCAATTGAAATTGCAAATTCTTACAATTCCTAATTTGATCAAGAGAAAGAAAAAGAAATCTTACAGATGTGGAAGAAGAAACAGCTGTTTAACCAGTTTACATTTTCATGAGAATAAGAATCAAGTTTGAAACTTTGTTTCTTACACGAGCCTTTTTTCTGCTACTTCCACAACAAAAAATTATACTTTCAAGACCTTGAGTTCCAATACAGAACTTTTCTTTGCTAAAAAATAAAGGAGCACGTGCAATTTGACTTGTAATTTCGTCAGATTATGTTCGGTTGCGGTTCGTAATAGATTTTCGGCTTGTTTTTGTTTTTGTATTTTCATTGCAGACTTCAAAATTACTTTAAATGTATACAAACACATCCGAAATGTCATGTGATTTTTACGTCGTATGACTGTGTTTTTTTGTTTCTATGTTTTCGTTTTAAAGTCGATAAATCTTTAACTATTTTTAAATCTCATCAAGCTCTTTTTATGTTTCCAAAACAAATATTGCTGAACAATCTTAACTTGAAAGTCAACAGTCAGTGTTTGAAAACATGGAGGTCGTCAGCGTTCGAGTCGCTACTTGTGTTTTGTATTTATTAAAGACATTGTGTCTGTCTGAACTGTCCACTCTAATTTTCATGCTGTTGCTACGTTCGTTATCAAATATCACCTTGCAATGATTATTAAGTGCTTCTAGAAAACTCGTTGAAGTCTTAAATAGATAGATAGTCATAGATAGTCTATCAAATAGATTAAAAACATTTTATTTTCATTTCAAATTGCTTTCAAATTATTAATCCTCGCCCTTTCTTCTACCTGACTTTTATAAACATGAAACCCTTGGAAATTTCCATTATTAAATATGTTGCCATGTTCTGCAGACAGACAGTTGCAACCTTTCTATAAAAAGACTATGAATGATTCAAACAAAGACCTCGAACTTACCGTTTATAATTCAACATTTTAGCTTCGATTCTACCGGATTCTGCTGGATATTTTAAATTTAGAAACAAAAAGTGCTAATGATCTTTAAGGCACAAAGAAACTTCTTAAACGCTGGAATGAGTTTATCATCAACTGACACAATTTACATATTATGATAATAAACAACTGAACATGATCTCATCGACATTATGCAATTTAAGATTAATCCAAACAAAAAAGTTTCCATTATGATTTTCTACTCGTTTTTTGTTTCGAAAATTAAATGAAATTTGTGATGAACAAAATATGATCGAAGTGTCAGTTTCAAACGACAAACTCGTGCCTTGGCCGTTGTCCAAATCAAGTCAAATGAAATGACTTTTGAATGATGACGTAAAGTTTTAACTTATTCAAGAAATTTCTTTGTGCGTTTTCAAAGTATTTCCATTTACAACACTAAAACTTGTTTCACAAGACCAACATAATAATTTCATGAACATCATTCGTCATTTTGTTTCTTTTTTTAATGTAGTTAATGATGGTCGTACAGCCGCGCCACAATATCGAGGCTTAGGCAGCGCATTCACAACAATCTTCCGTCAAGAAGGCTTTCGAGGACTCTACAAAGGCGTCACACCAAATGCTTGGGGTTCTGGAAGTGCTTGGGGATTTTATTTCCTTTTGTAAGTTGAAACTTCTTCTTTGTTTCTTTATTTATAAATCATTTAACGCTTTGAAATTAGCTACAACACAATCAAAGGATGGATAAATGGTGGAAATGCAACAACACCACTCGGACCGTCACTTCATCTTCTTGCTGCAAGTGAAGCTGGAATTCTTACACTTTTAATGACAAATCCAATTTGGGTTGTAAAGACAAGGCTTTGCTTGCAATATGACAACAACGTTGATCCGAAATGTGATAAACGTTATCGTGGCATGATCGATGGATTAATGAAAATTTATCGAACGGAAGGATTTCGTGGACTCTACAGCGTAAGCAAAGTTTTGGGTTTTTACGTTCTTAATCGAATGATTATTTTATCATCTTTTACAGGGATTTATTCCGGGAATGTTGGGTGTTTCTCATGGCGCAATTCAGTTTATGACCTACGAAGAGATGAAAAACGCATATAACGAACACCGAAAATTGCCAATCGACAGTAAACTGGTGAGTTTGACCTCAAGTATGAGTTTTAGTCGCAAAGTGTTTTTACTTCTATTTTTACATTTCTTGGGCACGTCTTGAAAAGATTTTTATAATCATCGTGACGTTTATTTTGATGTTTTTCTGTTGATATCTGAGTTAGCGAGCCCTGATTGTAGTCGTGTAAATATTTTTCCCGAAAGTTCATTCTTTATTTAGCACCACACTGATTGCTTTATATATTTATTTGTTTGAGACATGTAAAAAAGATTTGACGTCAATGATAACTCGTGAAATCAAATATGCGATGCTTCTCAGTTAGAACACTTAAAAATCATCTGACTTTAGTTCTGCTCCAATTCATTTTAATGCTCGAGTTCAAAAGTGACATGAAAATTGTCATGTTTTTGTTTCGCCTCGCGCCACGTTTGTTTTTATTTCCATATTCGTTGTTTTGTTTATGACGCAGTGGAATTTTTTTTATCATCGAAACGAGAATTGAGTGAATCATTTTCTAGATAAAAATTTATGATTGCAACAATGTTAAATAAATTATTTTCTTCTTGTTTTTAGACAACAGCTGAGTATCTCACATTCGCTGCTGCTTCAAAGCTGATTGCAGCTGCCACAACATATCCTTATCAGGTGATACGGACGCGTCTTCAAGATCAGAATCACACCTACAAAGGAACGTGGGACTGCATCAAGAAAACGTGGAGGTACGAAAGAATGCCCGGTTTTTATAAAGGCCTTGCGCCATATCTCGTTCATGTTACGCCAAACATTTGCCTCGTTATGTTAATCTACGAGAAGTTTACAAGAAACTAATTTAAAATTAGTTTCGCATGTCCAATCAAAGCCGCAAAACTTTCTCAAGTAAAACAAACAAGCAAAAAAAGTTTAAAAAGGAAAATAAAATAAACTTTTCTATTTTGATACTCAAAACAATTCTTAGCAACAGTTTAAGTTAGGAGAAAAAAGAAAATTTAAAATTACTTTCCAATCCCCTTTTCCAAATGTTATTAAAATATGAAAAACAAAAGAAAAGAAAATGAAAGAAAATTTGTAGCGAAAAAAGACGAAAGATCCAAAATTAATCATTTGAATTAATATCAAAACATATTTAAGTAGTGTTGTCTTATTATTATTATTTTTATTATTATTAATTGAATTAAGTTTATTTTCTTACTTCAAGTTTTGCTTTCTTTCTACGTCTTTTAAATTTTTTTCTATTCTTTTCTTTCAAACATTTATAACTTTTCATATGATAATGTGTCCGACTTACAAACCTTAACTAAACATATTTATATTGTTAGTTGTTAGAATATTAAGCAAACATCTACAGAAAAAGAAGAAAAATCATAATTAAGTAATAAACATTTGGAACAAGTTACAGGAAAGTTAAAAAAGTCATGAACTTAAAACTAAAACAAATGAAAAGTTTTCATCTCGAAAATATTTTAAGACATAAACAAAGAATTCTTCTCTCGTTTAATTACTTAAGTAACGTGCAAGAAAGTTCAAGAATATTTTTATTTTTATCTGAGTGCTATTTTTAATGAGTGTTTTTATCACTTGACAATAGCACGTCTGATTCAAATGAGTACTTGCGCGTGCTAAGTATAAAAGATTATCAACATTCTTCATTATCAACAAAAATTAAATAAAAAATAGACAAGAAGAAGAAGAAAAGACGCAAACAATTAACTGACGTTGAACTCTTTTATTTTGGATTAAAACCTGCCTGATAACAGCAACGTTGGATTTACCTGATAAGACACGAAATAAAAAACTGAATTGTGATGTTAAAATTTAGATAAAAATGTGTCAGATGAAGAAACTGATACAAGAACAAACTAACAAATAAATTTAAGCGAGACATTTGTAATTGATTAGAATGTCAATGAAAGTAAACTGAAAAAATGTCTTTTTATTGCACTTTTACCTCTGGCAAGTTAGATTCTGCTTTCGGTGAAATTTATTTAAAATTTTTAAAGTTAAAATTGTGTCTTCACAATCGAGATCTTAAATATCTTCAATTTAATAATTATCAAGACAAATAAGAGTGGATGTGAGATGAAGCATCGAAAAGAATCTGTTTGCTTAAGGTAAGCAATAAAAATATAAATTTTTTGTGTGCTCACTTCATTCTTTATCATTTTTAATTATTTACATTTGTCACCATTGAACAACATCTGCTTGAAGTTTATTTTTAACATCAAACTTTTCTGTTGCGTTTTAAAAGGTTCATGTCAAAAATATGAATGCCAATCATTAGATAAATGTTTAAGTAGATGAAATATTAGTTAAGATTATAATAATTTAGAGTTAGATTATTGACATCAAGGGAGAGAAGGAAAGTTTCAAGACACTTCCAACATATTTCAAGATAAAAAGGAACCTTGAACCTCATTATCACAGTTGTAATAAAATTTCTATCTTATAAGCTTTTTATTCCTCACAATATTTTTCCCATAAATGTGGAAAATTTCTTACATCAAACATGACATAAACTTACAGCGTTTCAGAAGTCATGAGTTCTTCATCACGAGCATGATTTATGAGTTCATGTGAATGAAAGCTTTAGGCCTCTCGAATGTCATAAAAACGAGTAATGTAGAAAGCAAATTTGTTGAACGAACACTTTACAAGATTTTCCTTCAACAAATTCTTTAACAAACATATTTAACACTGCTTATAAGTGTTGCGTTTTAATCTTTTTTTTTCTATTTTTTAGCATCGAAATATTTCACTCTCATTTTAGATTTACATATAAGAAAAAAAATGTCGCGAATCGATTAGCATAGAAAGTGGTAAATAATTTATTAACATTTTCATTTTTCTTTCTCTTTTCCCTCCTGCCATTTAAAAATGGAAAATCATTTTTAGATTTGAAGGTTGGCGTGGATTTTATAAGGGACTGAAGCCTAATCTTACAAGAGTTGTGCCAGCTTGCTGTATAACATTTGTGACATATGAAAACATATCGCATTATATGTTGACGCAGCGAAAAGCAAGAGAGATGACTGAAATCAAAAAAGAATCCTAAAATTCTTATACACAAAAACCAAACCAAAGATGACGAGAAAATTCACCAAAAGAACAAAATTAAAATTCATTTTCCTCGTTAGATTTTTTCCGACTTAATTGTGAAAGATAATCAAATGAAGAATTTATTAAATCTGTGATTGCATTTAGTTCCTTCAAAGATGAATAATTTTAACTAAGTTTAATTCATCAATTTTTGTTATCTTTGGAAATTATCTTAAAGAGAAATGAAAATGAATTTTAATCATAAATTTGAAACTTTTATGTTGTTAAAAACGAATCACAATTTGGTAAAATAAGTCGACTTATAATAAAAATACTTATTTCCTTCCAGGATTTTATCGTCTTCTAAATATTTTAAGAAATTTGATAAATGAATTAAAAGTTCAATAACTAATTAAATTTTCTTGTGTTTCAGATGAAAGAAACTTAGTTTGCTTCTTCCATTATCATCACCATCATCATCAACCTTCATTTACACTTTCAACCGCTTTTTGGTTTGTAATTAAATTAATAAAATTACTTAATAAAGAAATTTTTTCTTTTTTAAAAATGCAACATGTGACTTTTCCGTTATTTTGAATTTTCCGAAGATTTTCTTTCAGCTACGCATGCTTGAGAGTGAATCGCGTGATTCTCTTGATTGAAGTTTCTTCAACTGTTTAGTCAACAATCGATAGTCAACAACATTGCATTGCTCGTATTTTTTCTACAAATTTTAAAAACATTAAATTCACACGAAACTTTCGTCCATTTACACAAACTAATCAAACTTTATGATATTAATTGACCTTAACAATCAAATGTGATATTAAAAAAATCTTTCCATGACATTGAAATACTAAAGTGAAAGCTGAGAAAACATATCTCGTTATTCTGCTGATTAAATATTTGGTAAAGAACAGAAAAAGAACGAAAGAAAGAAACAGACGAGTGTCGTCCACAAAAGAGAGTGAAGCGACAAGTAGCAAAGAAAAAATTTCAAAAAGTTCTCTGAGAGACTTCGTCGTCGTCCACCGCAGAGTCGTCAGTCAGAAAGTTTTCTTGCTTGGTTGGAATTTGTTGTTTTTTAGTATCGTTCGAATCGTGGCATCGTCTAAGTCATGCGTTACTACTCCCTACAGTGACTTTTGATAAGAGATAAAAATTCTTTTCTTTTTCATCATTTGTCGTCGATTACGAAAAATTTCCTCGTGTTAATTTTTTTGTGCTGTTTGCTGTTTAAATATTCGACGTGCTTTATACAAAATAATTTCAATGTTTATTTGTCATTGCACTTGACTTTAATTAAATTAACGAGTCAAACGTAATAAAACATTAATTGAAGTGAAGAGTTAAGAGGAACGAATTGATATTAACTATTTATTGAAATAAATTTATAAAATCGGGATCCGAGACGACACCGCTATAGATAAGTAATGTGAAAAGTAATCTCTGAATGGGTACAGCATTATTAAGAATTGTAGCAAGGAGAAGGAATGATAAGACGTCTTTGAATGACTTGAACAATAATAATAAAAATTTGGAGCTTGGTGAATGTGTGTTCAATAGCAAAGAACTTTTGTTGTTGGAATCTCCACCGCTTGGAACTTGTCATCGGTCAAAAGAAATTTTTCACTCTTGCGAAAAGCGAAAATCAGTGAAAATAGGAAAAATAGCTAAAACGTTAAATCGGAAAATCAAACACGAACAGCAAGTGATAGTTAAGGTGAGTCACTAATAACCTCTTATCATTACATTTTGCAATCGTCCGAATGGCTGGGTGGTTGATTGTGTTTTAGATAAAGCATTTAAAAATATACAAAATAAAGCTTCATCACGTAAAAAATGAAATTCAAAGCATCGTTTAGTATTGAAAAGGGGAAAAGAGTAAAATTTATGTTAATAAGTCATTAAACAAGCCCTTCTCACCAAGTATTATCAACTGTGACAATGGAAACTTGGAGAATATTTATTGTAGGCAGTTGTTACGTGTGACACATCATAGAAACTCATTTGATGGGAATAATCGAATTGAATAACGTGAAAGTGAACTCAGAAATGTTTTATTTGATCATTCACGTGGAAGTTTTTTTTTTGAGCAAAATGGAGATTCACGTTTGTTGATTGATTTAAATCAGAATGCAGTTTTCTGTCGACGATTTATTGTCGTTGCTGAAGTTGACGAATGAGTTTAGCTTGATGTCGGATTATTTATTGGAAACGTGAATTCATCAGTGAAATTTTATTTTTGTTTCTGTCGCTTTTTGTCGAAAAGAAAAGTTTATTTGGCAGCTTTATCAATCTGAATAGCAATTGAAGAAGAGATTCGAGAGAATAAAAATAATATATTCCTGATTACAATGCGTTCATTAAAGGTCAATGGAGCGTATTTATGTAAACGATCTTATTTTTCGAAGCGATTGCGAGGCCAGTTGAGTGGGCACGTTTGTAACATTGTGGAATATTTTCATCCCTTCAGTTAGCTTGTTGGTTATTGGAAAAATTGATAGCTTTCTCGTGTAGAAATTTACTTACATACATTACATCATGTCTGCAATCATTTAACAAACTTTTAATGGAAAAGAGATTGGGGAAAAGTTGTGAAGGAAATTGGAAGTTTTAATCAAACCGTACCATTGAATGTTCTGAAGTTGTTTTCATTTCTATTGATTACTTTTCACTTTTTTTTGTGCTATTCTCAAAGGAATGTTATTTATGTGGTCTTTAGCTCGTTGAATGTTCGGCTTGACGAATTTTTACATTTTTTCCTTTTTTAGTAAATTCTTAGTACGAAACTTTTCCATAGAAATCAATCAGGATTCGTTTGAAAGTTTAAGTTGCTTGCTTAGTCACGCAAGGCCAATGCTTATCATTTTTCTAAGTAAAGTACATATGAAACATCNGGGTTTCTTCTTCTAATAATTTGTGGAGGCAAGGAATAACCGTCTTTTTTGTGTGGTCCTGAGAATCAAGAGCGACAGCCATTGATTTCTTTCCACGATGCCACATCATTGCAGTGAAAATTGAAACTTCCTTTTTGTCCCAATAGGTGGCTTGCGTGGAGCCTTGTTGAAAGCATCTGTAGCTTTGAGCCCAATCTACTTGAAGAACGGCTGTTGTTGCGTTCTTAGATTGTGCTTGCAGGCTATATAAATCCAAGCATTCTGCCTGGTTTCGCTTAACAAGCACATGAAGTAAAAATTTGACCTTCATTTCTTTGATGTGCTTGATAAGGTCAGGTACAGTGCCGGTCTTCTTAACTCTTTCTACGCGTCCAAAAACTGTTCTATCAATCACCCATTGCTCCCATGTCACCGAGGCATTGACTTCGTTTTCTTCGAACTTCTCGAAGAATGCTGGTGAATGTTTGCATAAGAAACATTTGTTCGAAAAACATATTTCCTTGTTACCACTGCAAATGAAATTTTTGCTCATGTCATTTCCAATAGCTACATCTTTGTATGTTGGATCGGCACGAGCTAACGCTTTCAGCGCAAATTCCATATTTGCATGGGTGGAGCAAACACATGTGTCGCGTGGAGTTTTGCTTCTTAATTTGACAAAACGATTTGGTCTCGATTTAGAAAAATTTTGGAAGCAAATTTTGTGCTGTGGGAAATCTGCCTTATATTTTTCGTATGCTTCTTGAATTGTGCAGGTCATGAATCTCAGGGATGTTGTCTCACTGCCACCTTTTTCAATTGTCACAACCGCGTTGGAATTTGGAATTCGGCTGATCTTATCTGAACTGTAGAAATCAGTTACGAATTTTTCTACTTCCAAAGTCTTAGCTGATTTCGGCATTGGCTCTTGGACATTGAGACCAAGTCTTTTAGCCATTCCGAGAACTGTTTCCTTTCTCTTAGCTTCATCTTTAGGGAGAAGATCCAATTGAAAAGTGATGCTACATGCTCTTTCTAGCGGATTTTGAAAGGATGACTGACTCGAAGCTGCGTTGCTATTCTCGGCCTTCTTGCGTTCGCAACACATTTTTTTTCTTTCCTTATCGGCCTTCTTTACTTCAGCATGTTTCTCGGGGTTGGCTTTTGTTAACTCTCTTCTCTTCTGCATCCGCAATTTGTTCGCCTCCTTAATAGCTTCATGGTTTTTTAGACGATAAGCTTTAAGATAATCAGCACGTTTTTGCTTT